AACTACCTTTAGAATACGCGAAATATAAAGAACTATTTATAGAAAAGGAAGGTAAAGTAGTACTTCTAGAATACTAGCCTTAGAATTATAGAATACTTATAAAAAAAGGAGAAGTACTTAACTATAAGGAATAGTTAAAGTTACTCTCGAAAAAAGAAGAAGACTTTCTAAAGGACTATATCGAGAAACTAGAAGTAAAGGGCTTAGTTAGAAAAAGCTAACTAAAGGTAGAAAAATACGAATTTATATTCTATAGTATATTCTTCGTAATAAAGAAGAATAGATTACTACGACTATATATTAACTATAGACTACTTAATAATAAAACTATTAAGAACTATTATTCTATTCTTCGATAAGATAAACTATAGGACCGTCTTCTAGGTATAGTATAGTTTATCGCGTTAGATACTAGAGACGCCTATTACCTAATTAGAATAGCTAATAGAGAAGAATAGAAGACGATATTCTAAATAAGATAGGAGGTCTACGAATTCCTAGTTATACCTTTTAGACTTACTAACGTACTATTAACGTTCTAAGAATTTATAAATAATACTTTAAAAGAATATTTAGATATATTCGTTATTATATATCTCGATAATATTCTAATCTTCTTAAAGACTTACGAGGAATATATAGAGTATATAAAGAAAGTAATAGAAAAGCTAAAGAAAAATAAAATTCTACTTAAGCTATTTAAATACGAATTCTATAAGAATAGTATTAGATTCCTAGACTATATTATATCTTTAGAAGGACTCGTACCGAACTAAGAAAAGGTTCGAGCTATTAATAAATAGCTAGAACTAACGATAGTTAAGGAAGTATAGGCGTTCTACGAATTAATTAATTATTATCGAAAGTTTATTAAGAACTTCTCGAAAATCGTAGTACTAATTACTAACTTAACTAAGAAGGAAATAATCTTTAATTTTAGGAAAAAATATAAGAATACCTTTAAAGAGCTAAAGTAACGAATAATATTTACGCTAATCTTATATATTTTCGACTCGGAAAAGGAAGTAATCGTAGAAATAGACGCCTTAAATAAAGTAATAGGGAGCTACCTTAAGTAAAAAGACGAATAAAGGAAGCTTTATCTAGTAGTATACTATTTAAGGAAGTTAAGCGGATCCGAAGTAAATTACGATATCTACGATAAGGAACTACTTATAGTAGTAGAATATATAAAAATATAGAAAGTATACCTAAAGGGAGCTAAATACCTAGTATAAATATACTTAGACTATAAGAATTTAATATATTAGACGATAACTAAAGAACTTAATAGAAGATAAGTTAAATAGACTAAAACTTTAGCCTCTTACGATTTTAAAATTATATATATTCGAGGAATAGAGAACGTTATAGTCGACGCCCTTAATCGAAGAACGAACTATATAGAAGGACTAAAACCGAAGCTAGCGGCGCTCCTAGAAAAAAGAGAAGATTATCTAATATATAAGAGAACGGAAATAAAAATACTTATAACGCTAGAAATAGAACTAATAATAGAATAGAAGTAAAAAATTATATAAATAAGGTATAATAATAAAAGCGTAGGATACCTAGGTATTAATAAAATAATCGAGTTAGTAATACGAGACTTTACTTAGACGGAAATAAAAAAAGATATTAAGAAATACGTTAAGAATTACGATATATACTATAAAGCTAAATATTCTAGATATAAACTATATAGCTTACTATAGTTAGCGGAAAATATAGATAAAGTATAGTTAAAAATAGTAATAAACTTTATAGTTAAGCTACTACTATCGAGAGAACCTATAACGAATATAATATATAATAGTATACTTATAATAAACGATATACTAATAAAGTATATTTACCTACTACTATATAAGAAAGTATCGATAGTAGAGGAACTAATATACGTAGTTACGAGGATAGTATTCGTATAATACGAAATACTAGAAGTTATTATTATAAATAGAGATAAACTATTTAATTTATAGTTCTAGTAGTCGTTAACCGACTTACTAGAAATTAAATATAAAATATTAACGTCGTATTATTCGTAAACGAATAGATAAACGGAAAGAACGAATTAGACGATAGAATAATACCTACGATACTATATAGATTACTAATAAAGAAATTAGGTCGAGCTACTATTAATAGCTTAATTCGCTTTTAATAATAATATATTAGTAACCGGAATATCGCTATTCTTTATAAATTACGGAAGATACCTAGACTTTAAGAAAAAATTAGTAGATAATAGACCTATAGCGGAAAGGGTAAGGATAAGAATTAAAGACTTATATAAATTATACTTTCTACTAAAGATAAAGCTAGATAAAATATTAAAAATAACTATAAAAACGATAAATAAGAAAAGATCTAAGGAACTAGACTTCCGAGAGAAGGAAATAGTTTATATTAATATAAAAAATATAAAAATATAAAGACTAAGTAAAAAACTAGAATATACGAAGATTAGGCTATATCGAATTAAGAAAATACTAGGACTAGTCTCTTATAAGCTATAATTACTAGGAGAACTAAATATATATTTAGTATTCTATAAATTACTACTAGAAAAAGTACTAAATGAAGCTAAATTAAGACTAGTATATATCGATAAAGAAACCTAAGAATTCTATTATAATATAGAAACTATACTCTAGTATAGATAAGAAGATAACTAAATAAAATATTTAATTAAATAGTTAAGATATCTAGAAGAGGAAAATACTTAGGAACTAGAAATAAACCTTAACTCGAAACTAGTTACCTAGTATTATTTAGGAAATCTAGGATCTATTTCTAATCTATCGAATTAGTTACGAACTAACCGTTAAAAATAAAATTAGGCTCGGCTAGGGCTAGCTTATAACTAACGCTAGCGAACGCCTCTACGAACTTAAATATACTTAATACTTCTATCTCTCGACGGAGTATATAATTAAACTAGTCTTCTAGTTTAGCTAGCGAGTTCTAGATATCGGCGTCGCGCTCTTCTAGCTCCGCGAGGACCTTACGAAGGCGAACGATCTCGCGGCGCTTAGCGCGAGACTTTAAGACTAACTATTTCTTTTATTTCCTAACTTTTCGAAATTCTACTACGAAAAAAGTACTATTATAGTATCTTTAGTACCGAAGATATTTAGAGTATTTTATTAACTACTCTCGATTATAAAAATAAATAACGTTATAGTTAACGTATTTAGTATAGGCGACTATAGCGACGTTTTCGGGATTAGAAGATATAGCGTTCGTAATTTTAAGGCGACGCGCGTTCTAGTTACGAATAGATTTAGAAGATTAGCGGCTCTTCTTAATACCTAAGAACGATATAGTTAGCTATAAGAAGAGAAGATAGAAATCGCGACGGAGGAGGGAGCGATTACCTTAAGTACGTTAAGGATAATATAGATAGAAGGAGGGAATAGTATTACGAACTAGGTTATAGATAAGGTCGCCGAAATAGGCGCTCCGTATTCTAAGGAATAGCTTAAGGAAGGTTAGCCGATAGAAAACGAGGCTATATTACGTAACTAGAGAGTATATTAATATATTAGTATATTAGAATAATATAGTAATATACTAAAGTAGTACTTTAAATATTATATATACGCGCTCTATTACCTAGATAGTATAGTTCGTAGTTAACTTCGTTAGTAATCCTATACCTATATTTTAGGATATAGTCCGACGAATAAGTATTCCCTTTATTATCTTAGTTAATACTCTAGTACCCGCTCTATTAAGGAACCCTACCTTAGTTAGAACTACTTATAGCTCGGATTATAACACCTACCTTAGTTAGAACTACTTGTAGCTCGGATTATAATACTTATCCGTTCCTAACAAGAAGATAGGGAGTAGTAAGAAAAGACGCGTCGGGAAGCGTAGGTCATTAATAAGGTAGCTTATTTAATAGGTGCCTTACTTAGATAATTAATGAAATAAATAAATAAACCAATAGGTTCTTGCAACTAATGATGAACAGCTAATCAGAAATTTCAAAATTAACTCCATTAGGAACTAGTAGGGAGACAAAAAGCTGACCATATCATAGAAACAATCACCAGCGAAAGTGTTCAACAACAAGCCAGGAATCGAGAAAACTTACAACGATTAAAATGGGCACGGTAGTCAATTTATGCACTACCTTTTGAAGCCGCTCAATCGTATCGTGAGGTTTCAGGAAGGGAGGTAAACTCTTGATACGTTGACTTGAACAAAATAGTCCGACTTATCCTTCCACCGAAACCTGTACCTGTTTGGGATGAATGGATGACACAGACCACGCACACTTGATATTGTTCGATCGGGAGAAAACGTCTCGTAGACATCGGTATTGATCGAGATCATTTTTGTGCATAGAAAGAGCACAACGGGAGGTCGTTTGTCTCGGATCAGAGAAAGAGAGAGAAAACGGAGATGCGGCTGAGGGCAGATACTGTGGTTCAAGATGCGACGATCGGTCTGAGAGGGATTATCGAGCGCAAGATATAGACGTCCGTACTGGAGGATCGACAAACTGTGAAAGGGATGTAAGTAAAGATTAGGCGGCCTAGGACAGGATAGGCGTGATGTTTGTGATGGGCCTTGGGGGCGCATTGTAACGCAAGTTGGCGGATATTGGGCTTCCGGACCTTTTTACTACTGCAGTTTTCTATCCATCGGGGACCACCGTCCTCTGTCATTGGCAGATCATCTTCCTGCCTCGCTAATGGTTACCTCTATAAGCTTACATCGTCGTCAACGTGAACAGGATGGCTTTGTTGCTCGCTGTTGGCTGCCTCTATCAGCTTAGCTCTGGTCATCAATGTCCAAGCAAACACCGATGGAAAGAGTGGATGGCATGATATATACTACGTCTAAACTCCACAATGGCTCGGGCGAAGCATCGTCCTGAGTGCTTCTCACCCAGCCTGAAATTCACGTTTCTTAGCAGTTGAGTTCATCTTCCAAGGAATCGTCGACTTCTACGAGATTGGCAGCGAAAGCTAGAAGGAATATATATGCATCCAACATTCTACCGCCACGCCGGCGAGGCCATCGCAGGTCCTGTGGAAGAACTTGCCTACGTTGTTGGCCTCGATCCCCAACTCAAGAAAAACGAAGCTCTCTTCGTAGTCGACCTAAATCCCAGGTCAAGTACCTACGGTCGGGTGGTTGGCCACGTTGAAACCCCTCCAGGACAGGAATTGCACCATTTTGGCTGGAATGCTTGTTCGAGTGCGTTCAGGCACGAAGGCCACGATATGACGAATCTAGAACGGCGGTACCTGATCGTTCCAGGCCTGAGGTCGTCTAACATCTTCATCATTGACACGAAAGTCGACCCTCGCCATCCGAAGATTGTCAAGGTCATTTCGGGTAAAGAACTTTCAGATAAAGCCGGCTATTCCCGTCCGCACACGATTCATTGCGGTCCCGACGGCGTGTTTATGACATGCTTGGGCGGCCGGGAGGGCGATGCTGATGGCCAGACGGGCATTGCAATACTCGACCACAACACCTTTGACGTAATAGGAGCGTGGGAAACGGACCATGGCCCTCAGCATTATAGCTACGACGCATGGTGGCACCTGAATAAAAACACGCTGATCTCTAGCGAGTGGGGTCCCCCCTCGCTGATCGAGAATGGGCTCAATATCGAGGGGCTCCTCCAGCACAAGTACGGCCACAGCGTGCATTTTTGGGACCTTGCCAAGGGTAAGCATGCCCAGCAGATCGATCTAGGTGAGGACCAGCAAATGGTGCTCGAGGTTCGCCCATCACATGATCCTGAGGCCACATGGGGCTTCATTGGGGTGACAATATCAACCAAGGACCTCTCCGGTTCCGTGTACTACTGGTGTCTGGGCGACGATGGGAAGTGGAAAGCTGAGAGGGTTATTGTGATTCCCGCCGAGCCAGTGGACAACCCGGATAAGTTGCCCGCAATCATCAAACCTTTTGGTGCTGTCCCTCCCCTTGTGACCGACATTGACCTCTCCGTCGACGACAAGTTTCTCTACGTCGCATGTTGGGGCACAGGCGAGCTCAAGCAGTTCGACGTTCGCGACCCGCCCCATCCTGTGCAAACAGGCTCGGTGAGGCTCGGTGGTGTTGCCAATCATGTTCCTCACCCCGCAGAGCCGGACAAGCCATTCCTCGGATCTCCACAAATGGTCGAAGTCAGCAGAGACGGCCGCCGTGCGTACTTTACGGGCTCGCTGTATTCGACCTGGGATGCCCAGTTCTACCCCGATGGCACGGGACCGTGGATGGTCAAAGTCAACATCAACCCTGAAGGGGGGATGGAGATTGATCGAGAGTTTTACCCCCGTGGAGATGATTTCAAGGGTCTAAGTGTCCATCAAATCAGGCTGCAGGGGGGTGATGCGTCGACCGACTCCTATTGCTGGCGTCCACCCCAAGCCTGTCTTTAACGGGTCCAAGGGAAGAAAGCCTGATTCCGAGAATTGTACAGGACGGTGTTGCACCAAGCATCATCTCAGTTCTCTACTTTCCAAAGATTGATTAGTGATTCCAATGAAACAAACGCTGTGTAAAGTAGCTAATCCGTAAGAAGTGCCCCCTGTAACATTTACGTATCGACACGAAAGGATTGATAACACTGACAGGTTAATACACGTAATGAAATAGTAGAAGCGTCGCAGTTACGAGAGCGTTGGTCGGAGCAGGCAACTGCAGATCTCGCGCTGGAGTCCCTACAAAGCTTTTTCGAGGGGTTCAATTCAATGACAAGGTTTACACTTCACCGGCGGTGCAATGCGCTGTCGCACCATCTTTCATCTACGGGGAGATTTTGGTTCACGCAATGAAGCATCTGCATGAGATTTGTACACTCCGAATTGTCCCTAGCTGATGGGATTCTACAACTTAATGCGTGATTTATGTAGTGGAGTCTATTAATAGTATTTCCTCCTATCCCTATATCGGTGCTTGTAAAACGTCTTGTCTATTTCTGTATCTCTGTAGTAGTTTTCAATCTGATCCTCTATGAAGTGAATAGATACTCCAGAAGAGAGTAAAGTGAAGTTAATTGGATCACAGCCTTCCGAATCAGGGAAGGAGAATGGCGTACCAATCCAAAAGAGAAGCAGTGGCAACTTTGAGTGTTTAATAATCACGAACCTGGGCGGCGATCGCGGGCTCGTGCCCAGGTCTTAGGACATTCTCCGCTCGTATCTAGACTGGGTATGCTTTCCGTGGGTGCAGTCCACGTCAAAGATTTTAAGATCTTAGACTATTAATACTGTGTATAATAATGTAGTGTTATGGTCACACCACCAATAGTTTGAAAACTTGCCACGAAATCTGTGCAAAAATGCAGGGAACGGACGAGACAAATCAATACAAATGGATGGTCCCCGAGTGGTTCCCGAAGTCCCCGAGTAGGCTGTGAAATAGACGAGACCGGATGTCCAGTAGTTTGCCAGTTTGCAGTTTGTACTGCAGTACAAACTAGATCGTATGGATTTTATTAAACTAGAAAACGTACTAATCGACATGCCGGCGTGGTGAACCGCCCTGCATAGTGAAATAAGTCGCTGGTACTTTGACTTCCTTCACATCGTACTCACCACACATCTCTTAAATCAATAAACTGAATGAATATCTATACTTTGAAGGCATTACCATGCCTTCTTCACTATAAAGTTCATAATTACAATGAATTGACCCTCTCAAGGCTAGACTTCTTCGGCCCATCATCAAAGCACACAAACCGTTTTATCCCTCTAGTGGCGATAATGCCGGATCTGCTGGCTATTCCACATGATACGAATAGAATGCTAATGCATATATATCGTAGAACCAATTATCATATTAATGACTATAGCTATACATCCTCTGTGCTGCCATCTCATGCCGCATACCACCCCTGTCCGGTACTTCCTCCCAGATCCACAAACAGCCGAGGACCGGGCCGAGTACGATGGCACGTGAATGACAAGTAACATGACAGCCACCCACTCCACCATCAGCCGCAATAACGTGACTTAGCGATCTTACCGCCTCAATGCCAGTAAAGGACTCTACACGTGATATCTGAGGGTCGTCACGTATTGCTCGCCTGCCTTCTGTCCACGTTACACAGGCCCAAACCTGGCATCTGCCTAAGCGCCGTGCGGCCATCAGCTCGGCGGCCAGCAGAACGCACAAGATGTCGCTGCTAATTCAACCTACGTGTCCCACGACTTGGGGCGTAGACTACATATTTCAACGTGAATAACATATCGCCGTCGCCTAACGTTCTTCTGCTTCCTGAACGATTCCCTTCCTATCGCAGTCTCAGCCTTATTGACAGTTCTCTCGTAGCTTGCCCACCGCAGTGATTCAGCCTCGTCGAGGCCTCGCCCTCCATGATCCCTCTCAGCCTGATGGTCACATCTTGAACCTCACTATCTCCCTACGGCCGCAATTCCTCTCTTCGTTCCCTCGCGCGTCCCTCTTTCTCCTCTCTTACGTTCTACCTCTCAGTCGAGACCCACCACGATGACCACAAAACGTTCTCTACCGATCGAACAATATTAAGTGGGCATCATTTGTGCTCTCCGTCATAGGATGACAGCGGCAATCGCCCATCTAGATGAACAACATCAACCGATCACGGGTCAAGACAAACTCGATCCCAATAACTATCTGGTGGACCGAGTTCATGAATATAACGTGGTCATTGCCTGCTTGCCAGCCGGTGTCTACGGTACGAATTCGGAAGCTAGAGTGGCCAACGACATGCTGGGGACATTCACCGGCCTACGGTTTGGACTAATGGTGAGGATTGGAGGCGGGATCCCTAACCTACCTAAGTATTTAGATATCCATTTCGGAGACGTAGTGATCAGCTAGCCGAACAAAACGTTAGGGAGAGTGGTTCAGTATGATTTGAGAAAGAATCTGAGAGAGGAGCAATTCGAACGCAAAGGGCATCTGAAGCCACCGCCTACTATCCTGCTGGCGGCGTTTTCCACTCTGCAGGCGACTAACCTCTTTGTGTAGCTTATTAGTGAAGCCCTTCGTGTCGCGCGTGGCCCGTACAGCAATCTCTACCTGTCCACTCTCATTCTTAAAGACGATAAAGACGATTCCCTTTTATCCGAGTCGTAAGTGCGGCCCCATCCCAGCTTTAACAACAGAATATTCTTACCCGGTACCATAACCCTCGCCACGAGCCACGGCGCATATTAGATTCGAAGATCTCTCCCACTCTCGACGGCGTGTACACGAAGAGTATATACGCCGCGTGATCCTATACTAGAGTTCTAGGATACTTATACTAGTGCTAATCCTTCTACTACTTATATTTAATTAGAATAATAATATGGGCCACCGTTATAAAATGCGATTATCGTCGTTAAATTAAAGGTTAAGCCTTTTCTTCAGCTCTATTTCGATATACTAGTATAAACTCTTAGCTTCACCGAAAAAAGTAAGCTAAGAAGGGAGAGATAGGTTACGAATATAGTATACCGATTCCGATACCTCCGAGGAGATCTTATAGTTGTTAGGTCGCTATTCTAACTAGTACTAAAGTCTATCTACCGCTATTTTATATAGGATAAAAAGGAATTATTACGGCGCGCTTAGTAGCCTCGTATAATACCTTCTATAAAATATTTTACCGATGGTAAATTATAGGGGCTAATACTAGGCTTTCGCTTTATATACCTATATACTAGAGTTTCCGCTTAGTAAAGACTAGTACGGCCCTTGGATAGGCGAAGAACTTACTCATCCTAGAGGTCGGTTATTTAGTCGTAGTTTAACTTAGTTCTAGGTTTAATAGGTTTACTAATTCGATCGCCATTCACCTCGGCGTTCATACTTAACTACCACCCATTCTCTTCCGCTTCATTAAAGAATTCCTCTATCATTCTCTTCTTGTTTGACATTAGGGACATCGAACAGGATAGTGAACGCCTAGAAGGCAGTAAGAAACTAATGAAAGCCAAATAATGAGGGGAAGGGAGCAGAAGAGAGCGGGAGGAGAACGAGAGAGGTAAATCGAGCAGAAGGGAGTAGACAGGGGAGCGAGGAGATTAAATAGTCGCTAGCGCAGGAGTAAAGCGGCGACGGACGAGTCAGGCAAAAGGTTGAGGAAAAGGGCAGTTCGGGGATTCTTAATATATATATATATATGTCTGTATGGCTGCAAAAGTATTGAAGCTTCTTTTTCATACTCTCGCCAAGATTCAATATTTATTATTGATATTGTTGCGGTAAGGTTGAGAGAATCTTGTTCTAGCTCCACAGGAACAAGCATAAGCTCATGGTCTTCCCTCATAGACATGTGTACATGTATATATGTTCTCGTACCGATCAGGCTAGTCATCAGGGGGTCAGGGTGGAGAATGTGAATATGGAAAAGCTGCTCGTTTCATGTTATCCGCGCGCTAAGCACCACCTCTACTGCCAACAGATGCGAAAGTACATATGCTCTGGCTCCACTCATCAAGAGCCATCCATTTAAGTGAGAGCGGCATTCTATATGCCCTTCATTAGCGGCGTGCAACGCGGGGTTTACGGCCTCCAATGACCGATCACATTCCTCTAGCTTAAGGGGATAGTCTCGGATTACACCAGACATTGAAGAAACGTTAGATCTCTAAAGGCGAATTCTTCCCTGCACAGGCACCAACAATATTGGTGACAGATATAAAGGTAAAGGTATTCCCTCAATTGTTGGTCTGTTTGAAAAAGAAAATCAAGTCAATCGTAATGTAGTGGCACACGTACTCCGGAATCGATCTTCAAGTGAGAATTAGGCCTCGAGTGCGAGGCTAGCTCACCGAGGCTAGGTTTAGGAATCTAAACATTAGTGTTATGATCCGAACTGAGAATAGTGTCTAACTAAGTAAGGTAGTTTCCTGGATAGGGTAGATATTAGAAGGCTAACTAGCTATAATAGAGAGATCACCGGTTCGTCGGACTATCTAAAATATAAATTAGATAAAGAGGCTCTATCGTAGATGCTCTAAAATCCTCTGCTCGGGAGAAATAACTCGTTGCCACACAGACTAAGATTCAGTTGATGCTTTTCTTGGCCGGAACTATAACGGCATTCGTCACTTGGTAGTCACTTGCGATGGATACGTGGACCCGGACCAGCCCGGCCTGCACTCGAAAGTTATCCTGTGAATGGCCAGAAACGGCTGGAGCGAGGCCTCACCCTCACGTTGCCACTTCGCACTGTTCGACGTTCCCCTCTCCGGTGCTCTTGATTTGTACTTCGCGGCCGTCGAGAAGTGACGTTATGATGCCCTCCACGATGCAATTGTCCTCCCAGCTCATTTGGTCTACTCTCAGCTCGGACAGCAGCCACTGGGACATCTCTTAAAAGTCCTTGACGACCTAGGTGGGGGCGGCCTAATCTTAAGTTGTCCGGAGGATCAAGCAAGGCTCCGTCTATTCCTCCTGTCCCTGGATTCTGTACAGGCGCTGCGGGTGTCGGAGGAGTTCTAGGAGGTGCCGCGAGAGGTGTTGGATTAGGGTCAACTTCCACGGAACTCTGATTGTCTTGAATTGTCTGAACGTCAGTGGAAAACTTGAAAGCCACAGCGGCGGTCCTCCTGTTTTCATCCGTTAATGTTGGACTGGCGATGTCAAGACCATCCGGTCTCAACTCTTGAAGGCGGTTGCAAATATGGTGTCTTTGTCTTGTACATAAGTCAAATAGCCTTCGGTTTGGAGCACGCCAACAGTAATCATAGATCAAGCGACGTATGTTTGGTCCCCTGTTAAGGTGCTCGCTCATGTAGTCTAGGCATGGCCAGGATGCAGTCAAGATATTGTAGCCTTCGGGCACACTTCGCCACATTGTCTGGCCACAGTAGCCTGAAATTTCTTGACTGTGTTGGGATCGAGTAGATGGAACGATGGGATCAGATAATCCATCATAGAAGAGGACGATACTGACGGCATCCAATAGGGGTGCCCAGCCTACAAAACGATGTGTTAGTTGTGAGACTTAAAAAGCGTAAAATGATGTATGTGGAGGTGGTGCTGGGTGAACGAGTTGATTTTCGAACTTGACTGTGAGACTCACCAGTAGCGACTGCATCAAGATTGCGTCTTCTCATGGTTATATGTTCCTTCATCTTCACAATATCTGCGAGCTCGAATCCTAAGATCCTCTCGCGGAATATACCTCTTGCTCTAAAGGACTCGCGTCGAGCAACGTCAAGCGAAGCTAGAACATCTTCCATATAGTCCCTGATAGTCAGACTTCTCTCATCTTCGCTTAGTTCCTCGTTCTCCATGGGAGCCTTCAGTGGAGATTTGTAATTGTCGCGGATGGTTCTAAAGGCAGCTCGTCCTCCGTCGGCTGTGGACGCGCACCTCGGAATTCGAAACTCAAGCTCGCGCTGCAGCCAGGCCCTGTGTGGTGCTACATGCAGAGCGACACTGACAAACGAAACCATCCATGCTCGCTTCTCTGCAGGACTGTAGAGAATGACTGGAGAATTGATCAATCGGTGCAGATTGCCTTCAAAGTTCTTCATATACAGATTTTTACGGGTTTTCGCTATCTTGAAATTGTATGCGCCGTTCAGAGTTAACACCTTTGGAAGGGAAATGGCGCCCCCAATCGTGATGCTGTCTTTGATGAGCATCTGCTTCATTGGCTGCGCACTAGAGTAGCTGAGTTTGAGGCTGGAGAAATCAACGCAGTCGGATCCCAGGATAATCTCTGGCTCGCTCAGAGGCCCAGAAAATGATTGGGTATCTGCCGAAGCAAATCAAGGTCATCACACAGCAGTCTCTGACCCCATTGTGTGTTCCTAATGACTGATGTGTCCTCACATGGTATGAAGTGACACTGCACATAGTTATTCTCTCGGAGAACCGCATAGACTACCAACTTTTGTCCATAGAGAACAACACCTCCGGTCTCAACAACCTCGTATTCGATGCCACTAATTATGCACTTAAGTCGAACTGCAGTGCAAGTCCAGTGCCGCTATCTGTTGGAAAAGCTGTTGGAAAGATTGTTGGAAAGCCCACAGTGCAAGATATGCTAGAAAACAATGGAAGCCAGCAATCTCCCACGGTTCTTGGATGCATTTCTTGGTACGAAAGAGAGACTTCAAGAGCGGTGCAGTCGCTCCGAGGATGTTCCCGAAGCTCAACGCTGCAGGCCAATCCTTGTTTTGGAGCATTGCAGAGCACCGAATATAGCCACGCTAGAGCCTCCATAATTTCAGCCTGCTGTGACCTTGAACCAGATACGAATATTAGAAGCTCCGCAGGATTTCGGGCCTCGTTGTCTTGAAATGCAGAGACTATTATATCGGGCCCTGGAGGAAAACGCACAGTCGAACATACCTCCCAATAAGGTGCAGATCGAGGTGACTTGTCGAAGTCTTGTAATGTGCATGTGTCTGTCCATTGATTTTCGGGTGTCACGGTCCAGCTCTTCTTTCGCTTGTCCTTGAAGGAGTTGTGCGCAGTAGTACCAGGATCTGGTAGCTTGTTATGTTCGACCACGGACTTGGGATCTACAAGGTTGCCACCTAAACGTAAGATTACCAGTCTCAAGAGGTCCGAGACGTTTGACCAACACGCACAGAAATACTCGCCCACCGTGACGGCTAAGGGAGGAGGCTGATTCCTGGACAAGGGCGACGAGGTGAGTCCTGATACAACAACCAGATCCCAAAGATCGTCGCCAGTATCCAACTCCCTTTCCATAAAATCTTGCACGTCAATATCGACCATTCTTGCCAGGTCGTTATTCCTGCTTGGTACTTGATACTTCTCCACAAAATAGGGTTTAAATCGCTTGTCACCCGGGGCATACTTTAGCGGTACACTACCATGATCTTCGATTTCTGGATAGTCCTCTGCCATTCTCAATTGATTTATTCTCTCAGGGAGATGTTCTGCATCTTGATGATATGGAAACTCAATGTCCTCAAGTTTTTGGGTTTTTCTGGAAATTCTTTCTTCAATGCTCTTCAAGTCTCTCAATCGGGAAAGTCGCTCATCATCTAACTTTCGTAGAATATTTCGTTGTTGTTGTAATTTTGCATTTGGTACGGGGATTCGTGGCCCTGGGGCGGGCATGGCTGCGGCGATTCTTCAATCTCAGCCCAAGAGCCGAGAAAGAATGACTTGCAATCGAAGTATAAGAATCTGACAGAGATAATGGTTGTCACCAACGGATAGTTGTGGTTCAGAGTTGTATCTGAACATTTGACGCATGAGCAGTCACTTCAATCTGGATCATCCCTTCAAAGTTGTCTCGCTGAGGCTGGCGCACAACCTGGCAAGGTGCTGCGGATAGAGCGTTGTGCGCCAGCCTCCGCGAGACAACTTGAAGGGATGATCAACGTGAAAAGGCAAACAATGTAAGGCAGCTTGTCTCGATTTTGGCATGCGCTGCGCGTGGATGGGCCGCTCACTTTGGTGCACTCTGGCTGCAGCATTTTGTCCAATCAAACTTTTCGACGCTCACACTCCAAGGTGCTCTTTAGGTCACCAGATGCTCGTGTTGGATACAAGATGCAGATGACCACGATAGAGACCTATATAACTAGCTACCCAATAGAACCGGAGACCCGCTTTCGTCATGCCTTGCCAGAAGTCCCAAAGTCCGCCTGGGCAGACCGATTTCGGCCCCTTGGCCCTTGACATCTACCACCTACATCTTCTTCTACGAGAACACCCTCCTCACCTCCAAGAAACTTTCCAACTTGCATAAGCTCGAAGCTGACCCAGTCTAATACTAAGAAGGCCATCTAATGCAGCACATCCGTCTCGAAGAAAATACAGTCGTGTTATATTGATTATATAACAGTAACTCCCGCTTCTAAGCAAGCAGGCTGTTTAGTCGGAGTCTAGCATAAATTATATACACACCCACCTCACTAGTAAGAAGATAGGCAACACCTTCGATTCGTTAACTAGTAGTTAAACCTCGTAGTATAGCATTCACAATACTTTTGACTTGAATGGGGCAAGCGTCGACGAAAGGGTCTTTCATCTTATTGGAGAAACCTGATAGTGTCCTACGAGGCGTTTTCCATCAGGCTGAAGATTTAGTCACCAATTCTAGGTTTCTCTCCAGCTGAGCATTTACGAGCTTTCAACATTGCAGGTCAACCCGTATTCGTGATAACTACATATGTGCAACTTCTATATTACTGAAAGTGGGCAGTGCTTTCCACACCGGATCAGGGGTCACTTTTACGTTCAGCTTCAAGGGACACAACAAGATTTAAGAAACTCAATGAGACCCGTCCTCATGGGGTTCAAGTCCCACGCTTCTCATTGTCCCCGCTCTGGACCTGAAGAATCTAGATCAAAAAATTTGAACAGTGGTGTGGCTCCAGCCACCAACGTGCCGCTAAAGCCATAGCAGAAGGTAAAACAAACACTCTCACCGTAGGCATGCATGCCAGGGCTGCAAAGTGCTGAGTCATCGAGTCCCGCGTCATGAATCGAGCCCTGACTTATAAATCCGAGTCCTCGTTTTAGTAAAGACCCAAGTAGACTCGAGTTATTTACTATATATTTATCAGGCAACAAGTTCGTAAGCCCTTGAGGTTCGCTCAAAAAGACTTGAATCTCGCACGAAAGTGCGAGGATATCTCGGACCTATTAGCCATATACTTACTAGGAGGCCCAAGGCATTCCTAACATTATATAAGTAGTACTATAGTTCCTAGCCTCTAGATAGGTCTATATTTATAATACTTAGCCTTATTGTTCCTAATAATATATCCATAGTACTATTCCGGCTAGTTATACTATTACTAGTATATAAGTATACTAGTATACTTTAGTCCTATTAGATATCGTAGCCTTATCCTCTATCAGCTAACTACCCCCATAGTATAGGTGCCCTTGTCCCTTGGCGACCTTTCAGTGACCTGATTCGTAACACGGGGCTTACATTCACGTGTGACCACGATGTTCATTGTCCACGCCAGGCGCCGACAGGCGCTCTCGTCGTATTTCAGTATGCAGTCGATCCGCGCGCTCGAGCCCAGGATCACGGACTTGGTCCAGCAGATGAATCGACGACTACACGAAGCCTCCTCCGCTGGAAATGCGATCAACACGAACCACCTCTTCTCGGCGTTCGCCATGGACGTCATCGCCGAGTATTCGCTGAGCAAGGCCGGGACCACGGGGTCGCTGTCCAGGCCAGATTTGGGACAGTGGTGGTACGACCTGACCAGGCAGCAAGTCCCGATGAATGCCTTCTTCCGCCATTTTCCGCTCGTGATCAGGACCATGATGATGCTTTCTGACTGGCTGGCCATGGATGCTAATCCTGGCATTGAGAACTTTATCTGGTGGCGGAACAAACTGATGTCGCAAGTGAAAACAGTCCTCGAGCGCGATGATGGCGTTTCCAATGAAAAGGAAAGAACCCTTACCCATGAACTTGCCAACAGCGACCTACCGCCCGCCGAAAAACCCCCTTCCCGGCTCGTAGCGGAAGCAAATCTGCTGCTGGGAGCTGGCGCCGAGACGACGGCTTCCACGATCGCGAGAACGTGTTACCACACCCTCGCCAACCCAGCTGTGCTCAAACAGCTGCAGAAAGAGCTGGTTGTTGCATTGCCAGTTACCGATGCCATTCCATCGCTGCCGGAGCTGTCGCAGCTACCATATCTTAATACGGTGATTGAGGAATGCCTGAGTATTTCCTTGCCCATCTTGGCTAGGTCTCCGCGACTATTCCAAAATCACACGCTTCAGTACAAAGAATGGGCGATGCCTCCTGGGTTAGGTCTCATCGTCTTCGAAGTTCACTTTTTCCCGATATCTTCCTCCATAGTCCCTGTCCTCGTACAACAGACAGACCGACTGGCTTACGTATCTTACGTGTGTAGACAGCAATTTCCCAGTCCGTATTCTTTGCCCTCACGACCCCCAATATCTTCCCCGAACCGGAATCCTTCAAAACCTCACGTTGGCTTGCCAGCGAAGGCTCGGCTCGGTCCTAGATGCACAATATCAAGTCGCTTTTAGCAAAGGCCGTCGACAGTGCATCGGGGTCAATCTCGCTTCTGCTGAGCTGCGCTTTGCTATTGCGACTATATTTCGCCGGTTTGAACTAGAGCTGTTCGAAACGAGTGATGTGGACGCGAGGGTAGTACATGACTATTTCTTGGGAATGCCTTTGATGACGTCGAAGGGTATCAGAGTCAGGGTTATTCGGGAACTGAATTGAGCGGGACCGCTAGACTCTGAGCTTAGGATTTGAACTTGTGCGTCAAATGTCGCCAGTTCATCGAGATTTTTGAGGAGCGGTACCGTCACTTCGATCGACTGGTGTGGTGGATGTCCCCAGTGGAATGGATAGTTTGCCTTCATTTCCTGTAAATCCTGCCCCATATGACATGGCGAACACGCTATTTCCATCGCAACAAAGGGTGGCGGTTACTAATATGAACATCGAGCACACTTGGATCTGCATAGTGCACCTGATCCAACAAGCCGAAGTGGAGGCGAGACGGACACTATCCTCATCACGGGGGTTGTGGAGAGGCTTTAGCAGGCTCATCCTCGAAAATAAAACAGTACTAAATAGTTCTTCTGGAGCCCGTTTTACCAGCGGGGAATAGTCCATTGCTATTAGACAGGAGTTCGGATAAATCAAGGGAGAAAAAGGGAGTTGTATGTTGGCATTGTTTGCTGCCTTAGAGAATGAGGTTTCTCACTCTGATTTCACCTTTGTTTCACCTCCAAAGCCATATCCCTATCCATTCAACTCATCTACCGATCGACCACACAAGCCATTTCTTCGAGATCCCTACTCTTTGCTTGTGTAGTCCTCGTCAAAGCTGATCGTCGCATCTGCGTAGACTGGATGCTTCAAAATACATTTTGCTGCCTTCACAGCAGCCTTGATTGACGTGAACTCAAGAACCGCACGGCTCTCCCATCCCCAGTCGAGTCCAATCAGCTGACGACCAAGACCGAGACCCATGATTACACCTTGGATCTGGGTGTATTGAGCAGGTTTGAGGTTGTTGATCCAAAGAATTCTGGTAGCATCGAGACCTCCAGTGACGAATTCCTCCATATCACCACTGCGCGGGTAGGTGGGTTCTCTAACAAGCCAGCAATAAAGCTTGACGCGGTTGATCTCAAGATCTTGAAGTTTGGCCATGGCCATTGCACTGTCTTCCAGAATGAAAACGACGCGTGCAGTCATGTAGTCTGTAGCCTTGCCGATGGGCCCAACCATCTCAATAGACTCCACTGCTCCACCACGAATGATGTGAAGGACCTCATTTGCACAAGTACCTAGCGGAATGTGGTCGATCATGACAGTGCGGAAGGTATCTTCGCTCTTTACACCATTTTCTGGGAGATAGCGAACGGGATGATTGTAAAATTGGGAGCTTGGGTCCAGAGGAATACCGCTGAAATGTTTGGCACGCTCCTTCTCGGAGTTGTCATGAAAGATTGGGTTGTCCTTATGAATCTTCCACATAGGCTGACCCGGGAACTCTGCTGGGATTTCGCCGATGAAAGTAGGAGATTCGGTTGCGGAAGTCGTGGCTGGAGTTTTGAGGTCTGTCAACCCATCTTGGTCTTCAGATCCGTTGCCTTCATCATTGGTCTTTGAAGCGCCCTCAGTCATGTTTCCGTTATCAAAGCTGTAGAACTGACAATACGTGAGCGTTGAGGTCATAGGCAAGCAGTGACCGCGGACTTACATCATCCTGCAATCCGTCTTCTTCCTTGACAGAGGGCTTCGTGCTGTATTTTGCAAGGAACGCAGCAGGCTTTGATTGTCAGTACGAAAAACCCTCCCGAAAAAAGAGATTTACTCACCCATTCGAGAACTGGATTGTCACTCGTCTACATAATATGTTGGTGATATATGGAGAGTAGAGAGAGAAGGACTTACACGGAGGTTCTTAATGTCATCGTAAGATGTCATGGTTGTCGTGGATTCAGGCCCGGGGTTTGTACTTGTTGAAGGAACTTGGAACAACGAAAGCAGTTTGTTGACTCTGGGTGCAACAGGACCACTTTCACTGGAGATAGATTCAGGCGATACCTCAATCAGTTTGTTTGAGCATTGTTGGACAGGAGTTGCTGTGATTGTCTCTTGATGAGAGTCGACGACAAAGTGTTTGCGCAAGGTTTGACGCGCATGAGAGCAAAGGGTACCTTCAAGAGCGGAACCTTCCAAAATGCCTAGGTCGAACAATTTACTGTCATCGAGTTCACTCTCTGGCCCGTCATTGATCAGATGATTAACAGCATCCGCGACTTCTGCAGACCCGTTTGCCGCGGTAGCAGGCTTCAGGCATCCTTTATCCTCGTATGGGTTCACGCCATCACCTCTCGCAGTACCTTCGTTGTTGTCCTGTCCGACTGCTACCCTGACAGCTTTGTTAGAGTCGTTCCTATCAGGCACACGAGTGGAACCAGACTCAAAATTTGTATTGGAATAGTTATTGGGAACATCATTCATCAACTTCATCCGCATTTGAAGTTTTCGGATTCTTTCGTTAGAATGGTCAAGCTCTGCTTGCAGTCGCAGGTTGTTTTCGATCTGTTCTCGCAACGTCGCTCTGGTGAGCTCATGGACGTGTTGCTCGGTGAGCAAGGCCAAGCTCAAAGATTGGTTGACTAATGCTGGGTCTGGAAATCCGATAGGCATTTCTCTGGGATTGGCAGGGCTGAAGGGAGAATTGTTTGGGAGGAAGCTTGAAGCTTCAGCTTGAGACATTGAAAACGTGGCCTTGACAGAATTTCAGTAAGTCTCGCAAGGGCGTGCTCGAGGCATCGCCGCTGGGGCTTTGGCAAGGCTACCTACAGGATGACTGTTCTCTGGCTTGCTGCGTGCAATCGTCGTACAACCATACCCAGACTAGAGCAATGGTCAGTAGGCAGAGCAGCACGAAGCTCGAGGGCAATGAGAAACAGGCAGTGATGAAGGAGAAGAACTTACAGGTGTCGGTTCGTCTGATTGATGGTTCGTGGAGAATGGTGTTCGATAATGAGAGACAGTGCTTTGGATCTAGATCGACAGATCAGCTTGAAACGTGTGAAGACGAATGAAAGCAACCTTACCAATGGAGACCAGCCTGGGTTATGGGATGGAGCAGCAGAGGAAGCACCGCTCTGACTTGTGCTCAGTCGATCTGATTTCATTTGGTTTTGGAGGATGTGTCCTTGTCTTGTGGGACTAGTTGTAGCTCCTTCAACGGCAGAACGAACAGCGGCGGGCCCGAGACGAAGACGAGAATCCCCAAGATCAGGCTTGATATGTTTGTTGAAGAAGTCAGCATTGACAATTCCTGCTGGATGATGGGGCCTATCGGAAGGAGAAGAGGATGCTTTGATACGAGCAAGGTACGCGTTGATCTGGCTGCTCATGTAGCTGGTTGCGATGGCTTGCAAGGACCCAACGTTGTCGACCGGAGTGAACTTGAAGCTGCCCAACTGGGACTGATTGAGGTCTTGACGTTCCATGGGAGGATATCTGAATAAACGATCTGAAGGTCTGTCGATTGTCATGGTGACGATGGACGGGGTTGTCACAACAAAATGCGAGGGAAGGAGATATGCAGTGACGAAACTTATGCCAAGGGTGAAGAGATAGTCTGGTGCTGCGGAAGAGAGCCAGAGAATGAGAGGGACCAACAAAGGGACTGACAAGGGATTTCAGGAGAAGTGAGGCCGTACCGTCGAAGGAAGATGCAAAGAGGAAGGAGCAAGATGGTGCATACTGCGACTGAATGCGCAAGAGCGATATATAACTCCCTCGAGCCACCATCCGCCTTGAGATGGCTCACGTCTCTTGCTCGTCACCAGCCCGTGACCATCTTCTTCCTTCAGATCTCAGGGGTCACCTCCATCCTCTCACTGAAAGGCTTCAAGCCAGGGCATATCCGAGCCAGGCAGTGCATGTGCAGTCGCATCATGCACCCCATCACTCCTTCCCTGGCACGTGCTTGGAGGTATCGGATCAACTATTCTCCGGGCAAAGGCAGAGGGTGCCCCTTAATTGTCACCAGCAAGATTCACGTGTTGGCTGCCATTGGTCTGCGTGTATAAACACTCTCTTCTTATTTCCATATTGCACAAATATTGGAAGCCAGATATGCTGTACCGGTATTGGGTAATGAACATGAAGGGGTAGGGGATTGGCGTGTCGCATTCCATGTAATACAAGCATCCACTGCTCTGACCACATGTATAGTTGCCCACCGCTCCGTTGCATTGTATCGAATCATCAAATCATAATCCATGGAAGCAGAAAAGGTTCCTGTATGCTTACCCAAGTTTCCACTCTTGTGCCAAAGACCTCCAAAAATCAAGCCCAGGCCGAGATCAACTCTGTCTCTCCAGCAACAAAGCCATAGCCTCCAACTGCATATTGAGTGCTTTGGCATTATCCAGAATCCCTCCGGCATCAGACAAATTGCTCACATTGTTCGTAACGCTTCGTAACAGAAACTCGATACCCTCGTTAGGCCCCTCTTCAGCTCGATCCACGTCGAGCTCAACACGTCTCGCAGCCTCGCTGATGTTCCACTTCTCTCGTGCATCCTGCTCACACTCCCAATGGCGTCGTCTGACCGAGTCACACTTCAGGGCAATCTGCTCTCTCTGTTTCCGAATCTCGATGTATTCTGCTTGCAAGCTAGACTTCTCTCGCTTACTCTTCCGAACACGAGCCTCAAGATCAATACGATTTTCCAGAGCTGCAGACATCTGAAACAACTCTTCATCCAGATCCTCGCCAAATGCTTCCAATGCCGCTTGCTTGATTTTGACAGGTGTTCGTTCGGATCGTTGGACGTTCTGTGACATGTTCTTGAGTAGATTGGCAATAGTCTCCCGGCATATCTGTGCCAGAACGTCCACGACGTTTGGCTGTGGTCGCTCAGCGGGTAGATCCAATGTAGGTCGTTCATCATCCACAATCTGGCTTTGGTGGTCATTTTCTTCATTGATTGTGGGGAGAGTCGGTATGTTGGTCAGCCGGTGTGTCAAGATAGGGAAAGTCGGCCTAATTGATTTTCTCCTCGCGCGTACTTGGTTAATACGAGGATTTCCAGGCTTCGCTCGTGGCTTGCTTAGTTTCCTGTTTGAAGCGGGAGTCTTTGGTTCCGGAGATGCCCCTTGAATATAGGTTTCATCGCCCTCGTCCTCCATTGCCCCTGGAGAAATATCGCGCCCCGATGCCGGACTGGGAGAGTGAGAAGGCCCAGGTGATGGGTATATTTCGCTGGTGTCTCCTGCCTCTAGGCTCGTAGGAATCTCAGGTAAGAGGGCATGGGGTTCTGACTGGGCCTGAAATTCTGAGTTTTGAGTGAGGCTTACATTACTATCATTGGAAACAGCAGACTGCTCTGACAGTCGCTTCTTCTTCCGTGGCAGCACCACAATCGTACGCTTCTTGCGCTTCTTCTGTTTTGCTTTTCCGTGTTCAGGTGGCTCCAGCATGGATACGGACCTAGTAGATGGTTGGCCGGGGGTTTCCTCTGCCTCAAGGTTGGGTTGGAGATCTGGGAGGATACTGGGTTCAAGATCTTGACCGTGATTTCTTGCTTCGATTAGAACTGATCCTTGACCCATCCCGAGGGCATTGTCTGGTTTGAGTAGATGAGTCGCCGAATCTAGAGTAGCACCCAGCTCAGCTTCGTCCTCACCACCGACTTCATTCTCCTTTTCTGGATCAACCTGGTTGGTTACCGTCGAATGAATGATCTTTATTCCGGTTGTGGTTCCATTCGTCTGCGTAAGCGGAGATTCGTGAGGCTCGGTGTCCCCATCTTCAGCTATCATGAAAATGGCCTTGTCTCTTCTCGACGAAGTTCTCGTGGCCCGCACAGATGCAAAAGTTGCTGGAGTGCGTAACAGCTCAGGCATAGGACTGGCGGATGATCGTCGTCTTCTCTTAGAAGGATTAGTTAATGTCTGTTGTGGCGTTGCTTCCAATGGGACTTCTCGGGTGGTCGCTAGGGGCGTTAGGCGGACTGATCCGTTTGCCGATTTTCTAACATGGTTTTGTACCGTGGGTGTTACCGAGCCTTGACGCACACTTGATCGGCGTAGATGAGAAGTGCCTGTGTTTGAGCGATGTGAGCGACCCGAGCTCGGAAAAGACAGTCCAAAGTCAACAGGGTCAACCTTCCGGTTTCTGCCATACGCGTGAGAAGCATACACCTTATAATGTTGAAATACTTACGCAGCGCCTCTCTGTCGCATCTGCTGTCGGTCGTGTCTATCATTGCCAAATCCAAAATCAAGACCAAAATCGGTGTTGGCGATCTGTCGAGATCTAGACTAACTTCAGTATTGAAAGGAAGGGCCACAAGACTATTGGACTGGCCATACCCTGCACCTCGCTGGCGTTGGAGCGCCCTTTCTTGCCGGTCGTTGGAGGCCATGATTTCACTATTCACAGTATCAGTTGCTTGACGGTTGGCGAAGCCCGCAGCAAGACCATGTCCTGATTGCAAGAGTTGCTATCATTGTAGGTCGCTAAAACTTTGAAGACGCGTTAAAGGACGCGTCGGGCAGACGTCATTTCTTCCGATAATTAGCCGAAGCTTGGCAAAGAGCTGCGCTCCAGCGGAAAGTTCCTCGCAGATATATCAAAGATAATCGTTCTTTCTACAATCTTCAAAAGCAGGCATCGTTTTAGTGAAGTGCTTATCTTGGTGAAATGGCGTATGAATGATCTTTCGATCAATCCGTTGATGGTAAGATGTCTTGGTTCTGGGGTGGAGGTGGTGGTGGCAAAGGAAACCAGAGCGATCCCGCCAAAGCGCTTGATGATGATCTCAAGCAATTTTTGAAAGACCAGCAACCCAAGCCATATTCTCCTGCCGAAGTATCAAAGCCTGTCGCGGAAACTCCGAAGACTAAGGAATCCCCGCCTTCCATTGCCAGTCCAGCTCAGCCTCCCGAGGATCGACCTCTCCCAAGGGAATCTTTATTCCAGGATGGTCGTTATAAAGATCTCTGGAAGACCTATGTTCCCCACGAACAAAGTGGGGGCTCAGCGGTGGAACGAGTCATCGAGTCTAGGAAGGACAGGAGGCAGACGATTCACAAGGCAGCTATGGAAAATTGTGCCTTTGAACAGCAAATGCAACAAGATTGCTTGAATGGAGGTTCATGGTCGCAAAAGATCAGGGGAAGAATGACCATGTGTCATGAGGAGAACAAAGCATACAACCGTTGTTACTCGCTCCAGGCGAAATTTCTGCAAGCCTTGGGTTACATGGCCAGCACGACAAGCTCAGACGCACAGGAGGAGAGAATTCAAATGCATGCGGATAAGCTATATCACAGAATGATGGACTATGAGGCTGAAGTTGACGATGCCAGACGGAATGGAAAGCCTATTCCACCATTGATATCTCTCTTCAACCCGAATCGTACAGCGCCGACAGCTGAACAGCTGGAATTACCAGAAACCATCACTTCGAAATTGAAGAAACCTTTGCATGAGTATGCTCCTCATGAAAGAGAGTTGGCTGCCAAAGCAGCGCTTGAGGAAGCCAAGGTGGCAGACGCATATGCTGAGGATCTATTCAGCTACACTACGACGATGAATGAGGAACGCAAAGTCCGACAACAATGGTTAACCAATGCTTTTGGTGAAACTCTGGGGAAATTTTTGATACCGGATCCCCCTAAAGATGCCGCTATCAAATCGTACAGTATTCCCGAATTGGAAGAGAAAATATGGGAACAAGGGACAAGCCAGTCGTCCAAGAAATAATCTGAGTTGGACTGGCCACGGTTCCTACGGCGAGTCTGGTGGAATATATCCAAGTTCAACAAATGCGGAATTTTTGTCTTTGAAGAGAGATTGCCGAACACATATACTTCAGCCAACTTCCGAGTTGGCAGCTTCGACAGATTCGGACGCGGTTGTGGACAGTGCTTGCTCACATACTCTCCTCTCGCAGCCAACGATCGATCGATCAATAAACTCCCAAGCACATCATTCATAAGTCTGATGGACAGCTCTGGATATAAGATCGCAATCCGCGGAAGGCCGTGGGGCTTAGCGACCTCTACGTGCTAGCAGAAGGACATCGACCAGATGGAATATTGTCAACATGAAACAGCTAGATCATCGCCAAGGGAGTCGAGAAGAGGGAATACTATTACATTCCCACTCCGAACCGGGCGGAGAAATCTTGCTGGCTTTGGACGAAGAAGGCTGAACGCTCTGGAATATATGTGATTCCTAGAGGTCGATGTATAACAATGACCATGCACCATGCATGAGATTAAGACCACACCCTTCATTAAGGCGGCGAGGGTGTCTCGGCCTTCTGAAGACCGAACACAGAAACTTGTTCAAGATAGGAAGGCATTCGAAGCACAGCTCGGCCCACCACTTAGTGAGGCATGTTTCATCTCGTTTATGCCCACAGTCGAGAACATGCTCGGTCACCTTCTGTAATAGTCGTAGTAAGTGACATGTCCAGCGTTGACTCGTTATGCCTGAAAGGGCTGGTCGTGAGCGTCAGCGCCGATCCCGCGTTCCAAGCCTCACCTTCCTATCCTATCCAAGCCCACAGCGAATATTTTGACCCTTGCTGCCTGGCATGCCCGCGAGCCGAAAGGCTAAAGGCTTAGAGAGAACGAGAAGAAGCAAATCAGACGGAAAGGCGGGGCACAGGCTCGGCATCCAGCACGCCTTCGCACCTTTGATTATGGAGTACGGAGGGCATCGTGAATTTCTTTCTTTCGGCTGGCTGAAGAGTGTCCTAGACTGACCAGTGACCACACCGCGCTCCAGAATCGGAGTTCCCACGTTTTATGCACTCCGTCCTTCGTATGGTGGTCGAATCAAACTGACCATGACGGCATCAAATCAGGTACTAGTATGGCTGACTGCTTGTTGATATAGCGAGCCCATATGTATGTACTATCTGTGCTCTTTCCGGATTGCTCTCCAGCTTTGCACGTCTGCATTCTGGTCTGTTTTCTCTCTTCCATCACATACCTCCTGCTCTCCAAAAACATGGGCTTCACGAAGCGCCGATCGGAACCCGACGATGTTCCCCATGACTCAGACACTCCATCTCTGATCTCAGACACTCCCATGACGGTCGACCAGGATGCGCCACTGCTCCAACTACCGCCGGAAATCATTCACCAGATTCTAGCTTCTCTCCCTTGCCAAACTCTCGTTTCTCTATCACGGGCATGTCGGCAACTACGCGGTCTGGCGCAGACAGATTTACTGTGGGCTGACCTCTTGCGACCCAACATTCCTCCCGAAGACTTTCCACCGGACCCATACCCGTCTTCCTCTTATCGCGACCTTTACATAACCCACCATCCATATTGGTTTCTGTCGCGGTGGAAGATATGGATATCAGACGAACCCCACATCGGCAGGATCATGATCTGCAGGTTCGACCCCAGGAGAGGGTGTATAGAAGGCTATCGGTTGCTAGCCGAAAGGAGTCCTTCCTCAGGCGTGTTATGGCCATATAATGAGACGGTACACATCCATTTGTTCAATCCACGGGTCCACCTGTGGCTTGACGATCCAATTTTGAAATTAGCACACGACATTGTTCCTTTCAATACCCGACAGGGGTGGTGGGAAGGCGAGATCAAAATGAGTGTTGGGCGGCCTGGGCACAACACATCTGCCTCATTTTTCTTGACTCGAGACATTCCACCTCGACTACAAGACAGGAGTATGGAACTCTGGCCACCACGCACAATCCCAAACATGCCTCGTGTACGAGCTGCCAGTGTCGACAAATTTAGAGGCCGAGGACACAAGCCCCAGAAGTATAATGAAATCTCGCAGACGACATTCAGGATGAGGCATTGGTCGCAATTCAGCACAGGCATGTCGCATTTTGGAATCCGCATTGGAGAGGAAGTCAGCACATGGAGTACCATTGACCCTGCTTTGTACACTCCCTCGAAGGAGAGACCATATCAGGGTATCTATGTCGGCGACTATGCTGGACACGGCTGTGAGTTTCTTCTGGTGATGCAGACGGACAAAGCTCCGGCCCCGCCTCCAAGGACTACCACCAGCCGCTACTATGAAGCCATGTCAGAGGAGCTCGAAGAACAGAATACAGTCCACCAAAATGTGCACACATCCAATACGCATCCGCAAATGGATGCCGATAGTGAGATTTTCCGTGGCGCAATCGAGGCGATTAAACTGACAGGTGACCCAAATATTCCACGTGGAGAGCATACGTTCATCGCAGATGATATTGGGCCTGCTAGTCTGATAAGAATAGCAGATGAACGACCGTTCAAAGGAGCCAGAATTGTGAAGAGCCGTGGGCACGTGGCCGCGAGAGGATTCCAAAACGGTGAGTTTCTCGATTTCAATACCAAGATAAGATGAAGACTAATGATGATACAGATGAATGGATCCCATCCCAGCTGATCATGGTAAATCATAACCTGCTCGCTCAGTATTGGCTGCCTTTTGGTCACATTTCCTACTATCAGCGGATCGATTTGGAGAAACTAATAGATGACACTTTCCGTTGCGGTTCATAAGGTTGGAATCCGATGACCTCAGTAAAGGTTTTTGAGTTCTATATCTGTTGATTAGGTACACTGGCGTATAAATATGGATCATAATGACCTGGGTGGAATATTACATAGACGGCAAGACTTGAGCATGACACGCAAACAACCGATGGAGTATGGGTAGATGGTCTACGTCTTTGCAGTCAAATTTGCACAAAACAACAAACAGTATGATATCGGTTGATAGAGAGTTGCAGAGTTGAGTTGTGTCTACCACTGCTCGTCCATCTGCTCCCAATAATAGCAGCTCCTCGAGCGGGCAAATCCCCCCCCCCCTCACTCATCCGTTAAATGGCTTTCCAACAAAACAAAACTACCCGTTCATGACTCCTCGTAATGCAAAGTAGAGGGTATGGTATAAGTGACATGTGTAGTAGAGGCATCTGTCCTCTGCAGGAGTCTGATCGCGAAAAGGGAGCAGCGGTTGCAACCTGAGCCTCTCTGAAAAAGATCCTTGGGCCTGCCCTATATCTTGTCCCCTTCATCGTCTTCTCTCAAAGAAACCACTGCTCCCCATCACAGCGACCGACTGGTCCATGACCCATTCTCCGACGCCGAGGTATCGGTCGACCCAAGTCTGAATCTCTTTGCTTTCGCCAATAGAGGATGACTTGATACTGGTTGGACTAGTGGGTTAGTTAGTCTGAGACAACAACTGGCATTAAAGTGCCCTTTAATGCCATATAGGGCAGAGCATTTCCTTCTTCGTGAAGAGGGGTTTATCGGGGTGCGTACGTGAGGCCTGTGCTTCTCTTGACTCCGGCCAGGAAGGCAGATATCAGGACCGCATCGAAGGCGTAGTGCGTGAGGCGCCCGAGCTAGGTCGCAGGTGTCAGTACGAGTTTGTTAGAGGATGGAGTGTACTTACAACCATAGCGGGCTGTCCGTGAGGTTTTCCAACGGAGCGTTCTAATGTCTGGTGGTGGTGGTGGTGGTGGTGGTGGTTGTGCTGTGTATTCAGGTACTAACTGGCTGAAACGCAGTATGCCTGTCGTGGATTCGGTAACCTCACATGTGATGTTGTCGGTGGACGGTGGCATATCAGGCGTGTCGCCGGAACAACAGTTACTGCGGGCCCGAGGAAGAGAGTTTATCGTTATCGGCACCTGACTGTCAGGGCGGTACACGTGCAGCTGTACCTTGAAAGAGGGGCAATTGCACTTGGCAATTGGCAGCTAGCAGCTGGCAGCTGGAAATGGGGTGAGTGGGGAGCTCCTCATCTCATCAACATTTGTTCTGCCCTCCAATAACAATTTAACCACCACTGGCAACACAACGTGCCATAATTGGTGACCCCCACTCGGTGCCTCTAGCAGTGCAAGGTAGCAGCTCCCCTAAGCTTTCCAAAAGAGTTTCCATTGAGCCCTGTCTCAATCCCATCACGTTGTGGCTATCAAGCCCGACGCTTCTCATTCGTTCCCTCGCCCAAGCTGATCCCTTTTTCGACCCTCTTGTACTCCGTACGCCGTACAGAGTATACCAGTACTTGTACTCGTACTGCTAGCACTGCTAGATAAGCGTGACGTGAAGGCTCCATACCGCCTTGGACCATTCTGAGTTGGGTTCAACTCAACGATTGCTTTTTTCCCAGCAACAAAAACCCAGCCTCACCAACATTTACTCTGTTGCTCAACAGGGTTATACCTTTACCCAGTTACCAGATCACCAATTTCCTGGGTACGTATTCAGCAACACTCCTCTGACTAACCAGTGTCCTCCTGTGTCAAAACCTGAAACCCCTGCTGACCCTCCTAGACTCTCGGTCACCGGCCACCGCCTTGAAGATCTATCCTCCGCATTTACCATAACTTTCCAAACAGATCCCGAAAGGATATTTCCCCTCCAAAGATAACAAGAACACAACCAAAAGAGAAGGCTAGATACCATGGGCGACGCTTTGGATCATCTCTCCAACCGTACAAAATTGGAATGGCAGGCCAATTTGAACACTGAGTACCAGCCAAAGAAGAACCACCGCAGAACCAGCATCATTGGAACAATTGGTACCCCGATAGCCTCCATACAAGTTCTAGATGTACCCATGGACTGACTCTTTGTTATAGGACCCAAGACCAATTCTGCAGAAAAGATCACCATTCTACGAAAAGGTACGTGAGAAGCTGGTAGCAAGAAGTGCACCAAAATGTTAAATACATCTTAGCTGGCCTCAATGTCGTTCGAATGAACTTCTCCCATGGTTCTTACGAGGTAATTCGTTCTCACAAGCGAAAACATGGCCTTCCACTGACATTGACAGTATCACCAATCTGTCATTGACAATACCAGACAGTCAGCCAAAGAATACCCAGGCCGCCCAGTGGCTATCGCCCTCGATACCGTTCGTTCTCCCCTGCAGCGTACTCCCCGTCCTTGTATTGACGATTGATCATAGAAAGGCCCAGAGATCAGAACTGGCAACACCCCTGGTGATAAGGACATTCCAATCCAAGCAGGTCTGGAATTGAACTTGACAACCGATGACCAGTATGCTACAGCGAGTGATGACAAGAACCTGTAAGACTTCTCGCAGCGCACAGGCAAAACGAGTTGTTACTGAACGATAACAGATACGTTGATTACAAGAACATCACCAAGGTGATCGGCCCTGGCAAGTTGATCTATGTGGACGATGGCATCCAATCCTTCGAGGTCATCTCTGTTGTGGATGACAAGACTCTTCGTATCCGAGCGCTCAACAATGGACAAATCTCCTCGAGAAAGGGTGTCAATCTGCCTGGTACTGACGTTGATCTACCTGCATTGTCCGAGAAGGACATTGCCGATCTGAAATTCGGTGTCAAGAACAACGTGGATATGGTATTTGCCTCGTTCATTCGTCGCGGAGAAGATATCAAACATATCCGAAAAGTTCTCGGAGAGGAAGGAACAGAGATCCAAATCATTGCCAAGATTGAGAACCAACAGGGTATGAACAACTTTGACGAGATCCTCAAGGAGACAGATGGTGTTATGGTTGCACGTGGAGATCTTGGAATCGAAATTCCAGCTGCAAAAGTCTTCATTGCCCAAAAGATGATGATTGCCAAATGCAACATGGCAGGCAAGCCAGTTATCTGTGCCACCCAGATGCTTGAGTCCATGACCAACAACCCCCGACCAACTCGTGCTGAGGTCTCTGATGTTGCTAACGCCGTCCTCGATGGAGCTGATTGTGTTATGTTGTCTGGCGAGACGGCCAAAGGCAGCTACCCCAAAGAAGCGGTGACGATGATGCACGAGACATGTCTGTTGGCTGAAATTGCGATTCCATACGCCAACGTGTTCGATGAGTTGAGGACCAGTGTTCTACGACCCATCGAGACTGCAGAGTCGATTGCCATCTCGGCCGTTGGCGCCAGCATGGAGTTGAACGCAGGAGCAATTCTAGTCTTGACAACCAGGTAAGTTTCGGAGAGTTTTGCGTCACATAAACATGGACTAATTTCGAACAGTGGCTCATCCGCACGTCTCCTGTCCAAGTACCGACCGGTCTGTCCCATCATTATGGTGACACGAAATGCAAGTGCCTCACGATATGCTCATCTCTACCGAGGAGTGTATCCCTTCCACTTCCCAGAACCCAAACCGGACTTCCGTGGAGTGGATTGGCAAGAGGATGTTGACAAGCGTTTGAAGTGGGGTATCTCATACGCCATCAAGCTCGGTGTTTTGAGCCAAGGAGACTCTGTGGTTTGCGTTCAAGGCTGGAGAGGAGGAAAGGGACATACAAATACCATTCGTGTGGTCCCTGCCGAGGAAGATCTCGGGCTAGCTTCCGACAGTTGACTGCCGGTGGTGGGTGAATTCTTCGGCACTCCCACCAAGTCGAAGCAATTCGTCGTCTCACCACCCATGTCCCCAACATCACCGAGAATGAAGTCAAGGCCTACCTCTGGAAGATTCTCATTCGTGTGATATGTTGGAAGAAATATGTCAAGGAAAGAGATGCAAGCGACAAATGTGTTTGCCACTGATTGATTGTGCGTGTGCCTCAAAAAAAGAGAAAGGAGATTGACGAATATTGATTGTCGGAGACGACAGGCTGGGAAGCATTGTGTTACCTGTGGACCAAGTTTCTTATCGAGTAATGGAATAGCATTATGATTATCAACTGAATGTCTTGACGAAGCAAGATTATCATGGCCAGTACTGCTAGGAGTGATGGTCCATATATGTATCTGCGCGAACTGTGCTATTGAACCAAATGCCCAGAAGGGGGAAAGCCTAAACAGTGCTCGTATCTTTACTTGGTAAGCGTGGGTAAGCCTGAGGGCCAGGCGTATTTCAAGCCCCAGAACGCCAGAAGGGGCCCTCAAGACTGCTCGGAGTCCGCCAGTCTTGACTCCTTGGGAACCCCCCTTAGCCATACGAATCCATACGCAGTACCTCGTACTGTCTTCACTAAAGAGGCCCTTGGGAGGGAGTACTATTGGACGCTGCATACTCGCAAGGTCCTGCTATTTCTGAGGTTGGTTTCATTCTTTCCATTCCAATCTCCGTTTCAGATTCAGTAGGCTGGATAGGTATGGAGCATCTGGCGTTGGCTTCTTGCTCCGTGGCTTGCTAGCTCTCACTTTTTGGCCCCTCTCGCACTTTGTGACACACGACGACTACGACTATTGAACAAAAGCAGGGTTAGCAGAAAACTTGTGATCTTCATCCATTTCTCTTCCCGACTACTGTTGTTTACTGCGTGTCCAGGAATCAACCATCCTCCGCCAACCTATTTTCCCATAATATTTTCTTATTCAGCCTCCTACTATTTTCACGTGCCTTTTGTCACATAATCCACGTCGCGTCAAGCTTTAGTTTCCCCTAAACTTAGTTGCCGACCGTTTGGGCCTTGATTGGGAGTCTTCGCGCCTGCGCACCGGTCTTCCCCCAGAAGCTCAGGCTCGTGATTTGGTTTGATAGGGGTCTTAGCTTTGCGCCGTCGTCATCCCTGGTTCGACCTCTATATTCATCCCAGCTGAACCCTGCCTTTGCCCATCGACCTTGTACCCGTGCACGATCATCACTTTCGCAAACCCAACGACCCAACCATCCTGGAGCTGAACAAGCAAAGATAGCACCCACTCCGCAAGAGTTCAGCAACCATGGCGGTCGAAGGCGAACAGCCAAAACAAGTCTTCACGCGGCCAAAGGCTCCGGGCTTCACGGACTCCTTCTGGTCCGCAGACTATGCCGGCGGGTTGGGCGTGCTCTTTCAGAAGCTCCAGCAGGGTGTTGTAGAAAATCAGCAGATCCTCACCATCGCCAGTCTCAGAGCCGACGCCGAAGAGATGTACAGTGATCGTCTGGGTGACATTGCGCCCACCATCGATCGCATGAACGGCGGTTTCGCCCGAGATGATGGCGCCAGTACGAGAAAGGTGGGCAACCTCCCTACAAAGCCAATTTCAAACATATGTGTACATACTGATGGTTCCCGTGACAGGCATACGAAGGCGTTCGAAGCGAGATGGTCGAAGCGACCAAGAATCACAAGAAGATCGCGGACAACATCCGAGAATTGGTCGTCAACCCCTTTTCACGATGGTGCGATGCCCATGCCACGAGGATACAGAACTCCCAAGATGACCTGCAAGGCAAAATCAAAGCCCACGATCGGCAAGCAGAGGCTGTCAAGAAACTACGCGCCCATTACTTCAACAAGTGCAGATTAGTCGAGGATCTAGAAGAGGAGAATAAGATGGCCTTTCAGGCCGCAGCCAAGGAGAGCCCAAAACCGCAAAGTCCTCCGCCGCCGAAACTCATTCTGCCAGAAGAAGAGGTGGAAGAATTACCCGTGGACATTGGCGACCAGACATACCTGCCAGAGCAGCTAAAAAGCCTCCTGACAAACATGCTCGATACTATCCCCTTGGGGGAATTCAAGGTTCCTATCTTAGGAACCTACCAGAATGTTTCTTCCGGCACCGAGATCGTCGATTATGCACAGAAGCATTTGAATGCATCGAGTGTTGGCTACGCCGAGAGAATCGGGCAGGATCTAGTGGATCGAGGGTTCCTACGGCTTGTTGGCAACATGGGCAACACCTTCGCCAACAGTTCAAGAATGAAATATCAATGGAAACCCAGAGTCTTTCAAATCACAGGACACCCCGAGAAACGGAGACCATTGACCAGATCCACTACAACTGGTTCGAATGACGGTTCAATCGATTCACCCATTGGCAATATCGCCGAGACACTACAAACCTGGAATCCTTTGAACAATGCTCATCCCAATGAAACTCCTGCGGAGAAGCTGAAGAGGGAAGCGAAAGAGGCAGACGAGAAATACAAAGCCGGCGTTCGAAGACTAGATCAACTCAGATGCATCCTGGAAGAGTCGATGATGGATCACTTGAAGTTCTTGGAGAGATGTGAAACCGATCGACTCAAAGCCATCAAATCCGTCATCCTTGACTTTTCGGGAGCAATCAGCAACAGCATTCCATCCTTTCAGAGTCAGGTGGATCACATGATGCTCTACCAAGAGACGATCCAACCTCTCGGCGATCTGAGATATCTACTCGAAAATTACCGAACCGGTGCCTTCGTGCCTAAAGTGACCCCTTACGAGAACTACTACGGCAGTGTCGATGACCAGACTTTCGGTGTTGATTTGGAAGCTAGAGCCAGAGTGGATCGGAAACGAGTTCCCATTGTTGTGACTTCAATATTGACCTTCTTGGACAACCATTATCCTGACTTGGAAGGCGACGAAGCCAGGCGAAATATCTGGTTGGTAGAGGTACCCTTGGCGGCTACACATCATCTTCGAAATCAAATCAACAATGGAGCGCCCGTTCCACGTGAGGTCTTGGAAAAGTATGAGATACCAATTGTTGCGAGCGTGCTGAAATTGTATCTTCTTGAATTGCCAGGTATGTATTTCTCAGCTCAATTGCAACATCCACCCTTGCGCTAACCTTGCAGATTCTCTCGTTTCATCACAAGTCTATGAAATCATCAAGACGATATATGCAACCACGTCCGATGCCGTCCCGAATCCCATTTCAAGTGATGCTATCGATGCCACGCCGCGGATCAAAGTGCTACAATCGACACTTGGCCAACTCCGACTCAATAACATTGCAACTTTGGACGCCATTGCAACACATTTCACTCGATTGATTGACCTTACATCCGCAGACGAGGCATATGTTCAGGCACTCGCGCAATCACTTGCACCTTGTATCCTCCGGCCGCGGACGGAGAATTCCCTTACACTGGAAGAACGACATGCTTACCGGCTAATCCGAGATCTATTCGATCACAAAGAGTCCATCTTCGGAGAACTCAAGCGGCAATCATCCACACTTTCGGGCTCCAATAGCGTATCACAGCGTCAAAGAGCACCCAGCACCGCCACACCCGATGAGAGCTCAAGAAGAGCCAACATGGAAGCCCGCGCCAGAGCAATTACTGAACAAAGACAACGAGACAAGAGTCCCGGACCCGCCAACCGACACCGTCGCGACAAGAGCACGGATGGAAGCATGGGTAGATTTCCCGTTGTCGCGAGCCCACGTCCCGAAGGCGGCCGCCCAGCCAGTGGATTTGGCATGCCTACCAAGAGAGCCAGCTTGGAAGTTCCAGGTAGCAACGAGTCGTCGCCAATCCAGCAGCGCAATCAAAATGCGACGAACAGGAACTCCGAGATCCGAGTCCAAACACCACCAAACGTGACCAGCGCAAATAGTCACGACCAAGATTCCCCGGAGACGTTTGTCTCCGCGACCTTCAGTGGCGGTGGGCCCGGGCCTCACATTCCACCTCCCCTGGACGACGATAGCAATGAATCGGACGAGCCGGTACCACCACCGAAGGATGACCCGCCAGCGGCATCGAAGGTCGGATCATTAAGGCGCGGTGCGGCGGTGGGACGAAACGCCCCCGGCAGTATCAAGAGGACACCGGTGCCGTCGCAGCAGGGCGTTCAATTGTCGGATCGGCCTATGGATGACTTCTCTTGAATGTATGATGAATCATGATGCAATGGACTTGAACTGCACTGGACAGCGAATTGGTTGATGTCAGACTACGAGTTAAGCAAGTTGCAACGGCTGACCAGGGTATTAAGAGCGACAATCGCACGGACGCATTTATGCCTTGTTTGGCCCCAGTCGAGAGGCAAGCGCAAGGCGGAACCTTGACTGTGTCCGTCTTAATGTCTAACAAAGCAGGAAGAAGAATGGATGGAGAAAAAAAGGGTTGTATAAGGCAAGGCGGTCGCCATCCGCTGGCTGGTTTGGTGGAACGATCTTGTCGTATAATATGAAATCTTCGCCTACACCTATCGCCCCGCCTGGGGCTGTTCCCAATACGATTCCCCTCTAGCGAATGTAGCCCTGAGCCTCCGGGCGACGCGGGTTATACCCTGGACCAGAAACAGCAGCGAGATTTTTACGGGATGGAGAGGGAGAGTCTCACCACTCGCGCACCTGAACGCGCTGGGCCAGATATCAGGATTGAATCGTATCCGGCCAATGGAGAGGAAGGGGAGACCGAGACGGGGAGCTTTTGTTTTACAGTCTACATACTAAGTACGAGGTTGAATGGAAAAGACGAGCGAGTCTGCCACGTTTACCTACAGTTGACGAGAGCGAAAGCAGCGGACTCACTAGAATGAATATGTACAAGTAGCTACCAACTAACTGACGTTACCATGTTACTAGCTATGTCTCAACCCGGTCAAGATTCATTCCACTGCTTTTTTCCTCTGAGGGGGAATGGAATGGCTTACAAAAGTCCACGCCAACATTCAAGGTTTTCTTCCGCACGTTTACTGGATGGAGTGCTGTGGTTGACCAGCTACTCCTGCTGGATGCTATCGAGTCCTGCGGAAGGAGGCCTGACTCGCCAACCAGGCAGTTAGCGGTGAGATGGAGGAAGCGATGATTCAAAGTAATGGATGCATGGGCCTGCGTATCCGGAGTCGGACTCTGCTTGTGCTGGGGCCTGCTTCGCTTCGCTTCACCTCGCCTAGGAGAAAGTACTCTGTATGGAGTACGGTGTAGGTCACTTCGACTGCGATTGCTACCCTGCCTGGGAGTCAGTCATCTAATGCAGGGCGCATGTGCGGCCCAGGCCCAGCTCAGTTCAGCGGAGGGGAGGGATCTCTCTCCCTTGCCTCGTCCGAACACACGCGGCCCTAGCCAGCTACTACATATATCCCACGATGGTGTGCGTGTTGACAGCGGCAATGGCGGCACAGATGACGGGAGCCTCCACGAGTTCAAACTTGTTGGGTTGTCTACCCACACAGATTCCTCCTTATACCCATACGCCGTTCCCTCGCCCACTACCAAATCTCAAGGCGGATCAGCAGCCGGGATAGACTCTGCGACTGGGATAGCCCGCTTAACTAGTTAGGTAGTCCACATACCTAGGGTAGTGTCGCATCCCGCTCAGAGTCGTATTGCTCCGAGCCGTGCAGGGCCCGAGAGGCCCCAATATGGCGCTGACCGGGGATGGCGATCCAGAAGGCCTGTACCCCGTGGGGACACGCACTGGGTTTGGGTTTGGGTCTAGTGCGCTGGGTGGGTGGGTGCCTGATGGGAGATATAGGACGTGCGCGAAGACGCATTAGATGAAGATGATGGTGATGATATTTGATTACAGCGACTGATGTGCGGGGCCAGCATGTCCTGCGAGCCGTCTCATCTGTGAAAAAATAGGTTCAAGCGATCCAACGGATCAGAAGATCGGATCTTGTAGTTCGGCCATGTAACTATAATGGCCAGCCACCCGCACGGAAGAAACCCATGACTTGGTTCCCCGCTGGCATCGCCACGAAGTACGGAGCCATTGTACTACAAATCCCGTCATGCTGCTACGAGTACTGCCCTTATTGGCTATTGGGCTTTTGGACGCCTTTGCCAGCTCCAGCTCCAGAAAAACAACCCATCCTGTGACATCCGTCCACCAGTTTACACAGGATAACCGTTAACCTTCTAACCCTCCCCGATCCCAGCCAGACCCAGACGCTGGAGCTGTTCACGAATACGGAAAGCAGAGAGTCTTGTCGTTGCTTATTTGAAAGCTTGGTTCGTTCCTCTTTCATTGACGTTTATTCGTACGAGTGTGTGGAGAACTTGGCTGCCCCCCCCCCCCCCCCCTTGGGTGCATATGTGGATGTCGTATACATAGCAAGGACGGCCCAACTCCTCCGACCAGACACATAGATATCTTATCTTCCTTTCCTTTCTGCTCCCCCGAGTTCATTTGAGGCCCGGTTGAGGCGCCGGGAAGGTTCCTCGCATCCGGTTTTGGCATTCCTCCTGGCACTATTCCACAACAACAACATCTAAACAACCTTCCCTTCCTCGCGAAGGACACCTGCATCAACTCACCACCCCAGACCCGGCATCTCCACGCCAAAGACAAAAATGGTCGACAAAGCCATCGTGCTGCCCATTGCATGCCTCTCTGGAATCTGCGGGGCAATGCTCATCTTCATCTGGTGGTTCTTCCCGAAATGGTACAAGAAAGGACTCGCACAGGACCGACGGGACATGGATGACGCGCTGCGAGAGCGGAGAGAGTACATCGCTGCTGAAGCTGCCGCTCGGAGAGCTGCGAACAGCTCGTCTGATGCTGGTTCCGTGGGCGATGCCAGCGGTGAAGAGGACCTTGAGGCGCAGCGGCGTGGCTCAAAGGCCCCGGCCGTCACGGCCCAGACGTACAGGCCGCCGCCTATAGCTGTGTTTTAACTAGGGGTGAGATGGATGTTTTGGAGTTGGGAGTTTTCCTTGGACCTTTCGAGCTGGCGAGTTATTCCTTGTTGTGGCTGGAACAATAATGACAGCGCAAGAATTGGTTGCAGACTTCCCGGGCGAGCACTGGTCATAATAAAATGTGATGGACAAACTCGATAAATGCCGACGCCAATGTTCTCGGTCAGCCCGACTCATACCCTGACTGTTTTCATACTCTTTGGTGGAGTCAGGTCCAACGAACATCCAAGTCGTAACTTGTGCAAGCACAACGGCTAGTTTTCGGAGACTTCTTGTCGTTTTCCTTGACTGGGTGGCCCAAGCAGATGGCTAGCTCAGACCTGTCTGGACATATTACAGGTTCCAGGCTCGCCGGCTGGGGATGGTGTGATTCGCTCAATGTTGGTGGGAAACAGTGCGGGTTGCTAGCTGTCCATCACCGAAATACTTCACCACCTTTCACGATCGCTGGAAAGATGAGATTTTCCTTTATCGGGAACAGTTGGCCAACCTTTGGGGACAAGCCCCGTTGACCAAAGAGGTTCGATCACGCGGGCTTGCCACTACTCGTAATATCTTATATCGACTTACTATATGGTTGGTGTATTCCCCTGGTCTGTCAGGATCTCCTTCTCAGACTCGCCCAAGCAATCGAATCCAGAACGTATGGCGTGCGTTGAGGAAGAAGTCATTAGTTGGCAGAGTGTTTTCAACAATCGTGTCAATACAACTGCTGTTGGATTTGTTGCTCACAGCTAACAGTCTGCTTTGGGGGATCGGGCATCTCAATACGAAAGCAACAAAGACCCGAGTGTGACTTGGCAGCCGTAGTGAGCTGTTATATCTGTACCTACATTATTTGGGAGTGCTTAGTTCAGTTTTTACGCCTCTGCTGATATTGTTGCCGGTGATATTCTCGGTTGAAGTTGGTGCGGCGCTGCAACTTCTTGAGCACTAACCTGGGCACGAACGAAACAGCCTCAGAGCGCATGAACAAATATTCGTATAAAAGTGCGAGCGGTGTCAGACCAGTAGAAGTCCTGTGCATAAGTTCTGTCAATTACCATGTCAGTATTGAGAGTTCGCGAGGACGTAGGAACGAGGAGAAATTTGAAAGTCAAGCATGAATCAGGCCGAGACGGAAAAGGCATCTCGGTCACATGACACCTCTTTAAAATGGCAATGGATTTTCCCATTTTGGTGGATGGTAGATTCCATACATCAAGTCGGTGGTTGAGCATCAATCGAGCTTCTAAACATCCACCATTCCCATCACTACCACAACTGCCACCAACAATGCGTTTCTTCGGGCCGTGCGCTTTGGCGCTCGCCGTCGAGGGCGCCTATGGCTACCTCGATGCTCAGCCATTCTTCATGTTCTCTACCTCCGAGTACGTTCAGCCTCCCTCTTGAGTCTAACCTGCAGGCAATCGCCAATCAAGCCACCAAGCTCTTATAGCAACGGTATGGTAGCTAACAGAATCTGCACTGCATTTTCAGGCTCCTTATATCCTCCTCCAGACTACAAAATGCACAAGCAATCACGTCTGACGTCGCTCTCACCCTATCACAGTGCCCATCCGACTATTACATCCTTGTCTCCCAACAAGGTGTTTCTGCTCGAGACTACCAATGTAAAAAGAACACACCCGCTCTAGCCCAGAGACTATCTACTTCCCAGCAGCCCGGAAGTGTCATAAAGAGTTCTCTCGCCGTCACAGACGTCGTTGGAACCGTCGACCCGACGACATGGACTGAACTGCTGCAGACTACATGTGGTGTTCAGACGACCGAGATTCATGCGGCCGATGGCGAAATCCCAACCTCTCTAACACCTGCACCCAGGTTAATTCACCTTAGACTGCCTGCCCCATCATCAGAGTCGAGAGCGCAAGGTCTAGCCAGCAACGATGCATTCTTCGCCACTTTGCTTGAGATGCTTCCTACTCAGAAGTACACCGTCCTCTATACCACCAGGCGAGCACGGGAGGGATGGTTCAATGCTCAGGTTCTTGAGCCATTAGACTATGAAATGGACAGTGATATTCAGGAGGCACTTCACAGCGACCTAAAGAGGAATCTCGGGACGAGAGTGGCTAGTGGCAACAAGACAGAGAACCAGACGATGATTGATGGTCCTCTGTTCGATAAATACCAATTTTTCACACCTGGTAAGCCAGAATTTCTCCCTTTAACCGTCAACGAAGTACACTAACGACGCCAATAGGCATTTTCATGGGCTTCTTGACAGGCTTCCTTCTCTTATCTATTCTGTACGTTGCAGTCTCCGCAGTCGCGTCACTACAGGTAACGTACGCCGCCTTCGATAAGGAGACCGGCGCGCTAGCTGGCAAGAAAGCTCAATAAATGAATCGTTGTTTCACTGGACATTGACTCGAGCTATTGTGGACATTCGACCAGGGAAGGTCGGGCAATAGCTCAACCATTGGGAGCTTTGTCACGCCTTAAGAAGAAGGCGCCGCCGGTATATAGTTAATGTTGTCATGAATAGAAACCATGGTCGAAATTATTTACTTGTTTCTATGGATCCGAGGGTTTGATTTGTCGGTGACTTTCCGCTCGCAATGGCCTGGCTCACCAACATTGCGACAGGGCCACTATTGAAAGTCCAGATGGCAGCAAGACGAGCTTAGACCACAGGAAAAGACCCGTCGTGGTCAGCTTCAACGGCTGTTTGCGGCGTGTGGAAGAAAGTTTAGCCAGGGATCATTAACTCGCTGCCTAACCAGTGTCAGATCACGGGCCGCTTTTTGGAATAACACGTGCACGGCATGAGGGTGTCAACATGCAACGCAACCCCGTTGAATGCACTCTCTCGCACAATTGTGGCTATATTGGAACTGTTGTTTCAATCTGGTCATCACAATTATGATCAGCTACATCCTCATCCGCTTCGTCTTCCTCGTTTGGACACTCTCGCAGAGATAAGGATAGAAAGTCAGAACTTAGAGACTGAACGACTAGCCTAGCCACAAACTCGTTGAAAAGGCGTTGCTTGAGAGGCAGAGATCCCCTCTTAGAATCTAAGACAGGGCACAACTGAATGTATGCTACAATCTGACTCCGTTTGTCAAATATGATAGGTACATCGATTCTCACAACGAAAAGGCCCACTGAAAGTTGGAATATGATAACCCGCGCGGCAATGAGGGTCGGGTTCTAAGTGACTTGTTACCGCGGCTCGCTTCCAGAACTGGAAACATGCAACGAAACGACACTGGTCCAGAGGCAGTAAGTCCTATACAGACGTTTCTGAATCGCCGTAGATCTATTTCTGTCATGAAAGACTCCTGCTGAGAAATCTGTGATTTCAAGATCTGCTTTCTCATACAAGCGTCGAATGGAAGCCGCTGGGAGGCGATGGAAGACTCGAACTCTGACGAACACGAACTCAAGAACGGCAAAGGTCTTTTCGTGGGCTCACACCACGCTAGTTTCTTTACCAACGCCCAATCTCATGCAACGACGGCGATCATCCGGCCTCCAAGGATGCCATCGACTCATCGCTAAATGTGCCGGATTAGTATCCGTCCTCTTAGCTCGTCTAGGCACCAATGCTTGACAGGCTAGGCTTTTCCATCAACGTCAATGGCTGTATCAAACCCGCTTGCTGACCAGGCTCCCCTCCATCCTCCCACAGATTCCCCCATTCTCCAGCAATGCACATTTGAACTAAAGCCTCATGTGGCAGGAGCATTTCGCCCGGACAAGGGCATGTCGGATTGCTCACCGGCGGGTTTGCTGCTTGCCCTTGACCTGTATCACTGTTCCAGAAGCTCACAGGTTGTTCTCCGACACTAAGGGCGTGGCAACACCCAGTCAGGAGGTCAACTATGCTGTACTCCGTACCAGGCTATCGCTTTTCTTGGGGAATCTTCCGGTATCTGATGTATTCCCGACACCTAAGTATGATTACTCCGTCGCATGCATTCTGGAGGTGGACCGCCTGTTGCTGAATAAAAGCACTGATCTCCCCCCACCTCAACTCTCGCAGATCTGCCTCTCAAATCTCCCAACTAGACTGCTAGCTGTTGTGCGCTTCTTTGTTCTCTTCGAGCATTATGGAGAAAGCTGAGGCGACGAGGCGCTCCTCTTCCGAGGACGCGCATTCCCCATTGAGTGCCGAGAAACAGGTCGACGAAGCTCCAGTCGCAGTCCTTGACATTCGCGACCCAGACGAAGGGTTGTCGGATGAAGAAAGAAAAGCCATTGTAGGTTGAACCCGTATCGCCTCGCCTCACTGTTCATCGATATTGACCCTCGTCAGGACCGCAAGCTGCTGTGGAAACTTGACTTCAAATTGATTCCCTGGCTCACCCTGCTCTATCTCATTTCATTCCTGGATCGTACGAACATTGGCAATGCCAAAATTGACGGTCTCCAGGAAGATCTTCACATGACCAGCAACCAATATAATGATACATTGACTATCTTTTTCATTTCGTACTCCCTCTTCGAGCCACTCACGCAGATCCTCTTGAAGCGCTACAGACCATCGATTTTCTTGCCTACCATTATGGTTCTGTGGGGAATCTGTATGACGTGCATGGGATTGGTACATAACTTCGGTGGCCTGATGACTGCGCGATGGTTCTTAGGAATCACCGAAGCAGGATTGTTTCCTGGTCAGTCCGGAAAGCAAAAGTGTGTGGAGTGTTTTACTAACTTCTCTTTCAGGTGTCAATTACTACCTAAGCTGCTGGTATCGGCGATCAGAGTTTGGTATTCGAGCCGCCATCTTCTTCAGCGCTGCAGCACTCGCGGGCTCGTTCGGTGGATTGCTGGCCGCGGCGATTGTCAACATGAAAGGCGTTGGGGGAAAACCAGGTTGGGCATGGATTTTCATCCTCGAAGGGCTTGTGACTATTGTCATTGCAATAATCTCGTTCTGGATGGTATGGCTTTCCCACATTTTGGTGCCTGTGACTGCGTCGTGAGTCTCATCTGATACCTTCTAGATCCATGATTTCCCCGACGAGGCCAAGTTCCTCTCCGACGATGATCGGTGTCGAGTCCTCCGCAGATTGAAAGCAGATCAGCAGTCTAGCGCCGAGCACGAAGAATTCAAGCTTGATTACCTCTGGGCTAGTTTGAAGGACTGGAAGACTTACACTGGAATGATGATCTACATGGGTTGCGATGGTGCTTTATATGCGGTAGGCATGCCCCCTAGACCTCTGATTCCCCCTTTTGCATTGATTCCTCTTCCTGTCGCGATTTGGTTTGGTTCTAACTAGATGCTGTTATAGTTCTCATTGTTCCTTCCCACAATTGTGCAACAAATGGGATACAAAAACGTCCACGCACAGCTCCTCAGCGTACCGCCATACGCAGTTGCGGCAGTCGTGACGATTTTCATTGGGTTTGTGGCCGATAGAACGAGCATGAGAGGTACGAATGAACTTCCCTTCCCAATACAAGGTCCCCCTTGCGCAATCGAATAACCTCGCTTCGACGCTGACTTTTGATGTCCAATAGGGTACTGCAACATGGTGATGTCCCTGTTCGGTATAATAGGGTTTGGCATGCTCCTCGGATCAGGAGAGCCACACGTACAATACGGAGGCGTGTTCCTCGGTGCCATGGGTATATACCCATGTATTTCCAACACCATATCCTGGACGGCGAACAATGTCGAAGGCGTATATAAACGAGGTATCACCTTGGGATTTGTGATCGGATGGGGCAATCTCAACGGTAAGTTTTTCTCTTTCGGTTTTCCAGCCCTCTCCAAGAAGGGAACTCAAGCTTGTGATGGAAAACACTGATCGTTGTTTACTAACCACAGGAATCGTATCCTCGAATATCTACCGCACCAAAGACAAACCACGATTCAAACCCGGTCACGCCGTGGTCTTGGCGTACGAGACCGTCTTCTTGCTTGGAGGCAGCGTTCTCCAACACGTCCTGCTTCGCCGGGAAAATGCCAAACGGCGTGCGGGTGAGAGAGACGTTTGGATTGAGGGTAAGACTGAGGCCGAGATCGAGAAGCTGGGTGACAAGAGACCCGATTTCTTGTACACGTTGTAAGGCTGTTACGATCGTGGGTGAGGGATGCTAGAGCCTTGGTTGTGGTGAGCACCGGTGGATTGCTGCGTAGACACCATCGGGAGAAGCAACACGACGATCTAGCAAGGCTTGGAATGCAGGTACTTGGTCTCCCGCTTGGTGAGACAACCGAATTACGCTTTGTACGAGTGCAGTGATCTCGAAACATGTAGGCAAGAAAGAGTGTGTGGAATATGCAGGAGTGAAAGATAGTGATGACAACATGCAAACAGAGCGAATCTAGGGATGACACATAAAACACTCTTTGAACAGACATAATATATCTTCGACTTGCCTCGAAATGAGCACTCCACCTAGAATCAAGACTCTATCTGATCTCTTGGGTATTGCAAGGCTCTCCAATTGAAAGGCCCCCGGTCGCCGGCCCCCCCAAAACTCAGCCTTGTCGGGGAAAGGCTAAGCTTAAATAATAGGTTAAAATAGTTACTGTTTGTTAGCTTCCGATTGCGGAGAAGTAAAGCTCCAGGTTCCCCCTCGCGAAATCATTGGGCAAAGCGCATCTTTTTTTTTTCCCCTTCCATTTCGCTTCTCCAACTATCTCATGGTCACGGACACACGAGTTTGATCAACGACACCTTCACGTCAACACAGAGAAATTATGGCTGCAAGCAGGACGTTGAGAATAGGTGGGTGGGAAACACCAGACCCAGACAGACATGCTGTTCTAGCTCTGATTCTGGCCCTTTTCTTCCAACACTGACATGGTGAACTCCAGGATTGATACCCGGTGACGGGATCGGGCGAGAGGTGATTCCGGTATGGCCCTTCACGCACAAGGCGCACGCGCACGCACGCACGCACGCAACTAACACCCCCCGACTCTTTCCCAGGCAGGAAAACGGATCCTCGAGTCACTCCCGTCGTCACTGGGGCTGAAGTTCAGCTTCGTCGACCTCGACGCCGGCTACGACACGTTCAAGCAGACAGGGACGGCGCTGCCGGACAAGACGGTCGAGACGCTGCGGAAGGAATGTGACGGAGCGCTGTTCGGGGCTGTGAGGTAAGCAAAAGAAGTTCCGAGTCCCAAGACAAGGACAAGAACAAGAAGAGATAAATAGAAGACAAAGCTAAGCCATGCCGTTGCCACCACCAGCTCCCCAACGACGAAAGTCGCGGGCTACACGTCGCCGATCGTGGCGCTGCGTAAGAAACTGAGCCTGTACGCGAACGTGCGGCCGTGTAAGACGACGCTGTCGCCGGCGTTCGCGTCGCCGACGCCGCAGCCGATCGACCTGGTGATCGTGCGCGAGAACACGGAGGACCTGTACGTGAAGGAGGAGAAGACGTACGCGGACCCGGCCGACCCGAGCGGCAAGGCGCAGATCGCCGAAGCCATCAAGCGCATCTCGAGCAAGGCGAGCTGGCGCATCGCCAACATCGCGGGCGAGATCGCCGCGCGGCGCGCCTCCATGCGCTCCGCCGAGGAGAAGAGCCACAAAAAGGCCCTGGTCACCATCACGCACAAGAGCAACGTGCTGTCGCAGACGGACGGCCTGTTCCGCGCGACCGCGCGCGAGGCGCTCTCCCAGGCCAAATTCGGCAATGCCTTCGGTGTCGAAGAGCAGATCGTCGACAGCATGGTGTACAAGCTGTTCCTGCAGCCGCAGTACTACGACGTGATCGTCGCGCCGAACCTGTACGGCGACTTGCTGAGCGACGGCGCCGCCGCGCTGGTAGGGTCGCTGGGCTTGGTCCCGAGCGCGAACGTCGGCGACGGCATCGTCATCGGCGAGCCGTGCCACGGCTCCGCGCCGGACATTGAGGGCAAGGGCATTGCGAACCCGATCGCGACGATCCGGAGCGTCGGCGTCATGTTGGAGTTTCTGGATCTGCCCGAGGCTGCGAACGCCGTCTACAAGGCTGTCGATGGGAATCTCGGGGAAGGGAAGTTCGTGTCCCCGGACTTGGGCGGCAAGGCCACCACGGAGCAGGTCCTGGAGGATATTATCAAGCGATTATAGGTGGGGGAGGAAATCGGGAGGGAGGGGGGCGGGTTCAAATAGTGGTGGTGGTGGGACTGGAGAAACAGCCTGGAAAATTGAATAGAAATGGTCCGGTGAATGTGCATGTACATACTACCTGAAAAACCGATACCAGGAAAAGCCCAAAAAAAAAAAAAAAAAAAAAAAAAAGGATCAGTTGGTCCGAGTATCTTGTGAAAACAGGGGGCCAAGGGAATAGTATTCACTTTTTGCAGGTATGATCAATTCACACACCAAACTCAGTATCGTCTAGACATCTGGTGCTGGTGCTGGTGCTGATGATGGTGCTGGACGGTAGTATACCGAGTTTATCAGCCTCACCACCCATCCGCCCCGATCATCACTTCTCCAGCAAAGAGTAGAAGTAGAAGGTAATGAATGGGACAAGAGTCTCACAGCTATACCAGTCGACACAAGTTGGCACCCTTTCCCGCCTGCAGATGCCTATGCCTCTGCCTCGTCGACCTCCTCCACATCCCCATCCCCATCCTCATATCAAACAACAAGTTCCCTCATCCAAAACCCGCACTGGCCAACCCAACCAAAATACCCACACCAGCCTTGACGCCATCGACGATGTGGACCTGTTTCCCCAGCTCCTGGCCCAACTCCTCGACACAAGCCTGCCTGACCGCATCATCCAGGCCGGCCATGCCTGCGCAGCCGAGACAGACGGCCTTGACGGGCGATGAGCGTCTGGGTCTGCCGCTGTCTCCCGACCCGCCGGTCCCAGGATCACTACCACTGGTGGCGGCGGTAGTACCCCTGCGCAGTAAGCGCTTAGTAGCCTGCATCATCTTGTCCCGGACCTGGTCTGCCGGGAGATCGTGTAGATCCGTCGCGTTGAGGCCCGTGGTCTCGACACCGGCAAAGCGCCGTGAGGCCTCCGCTCCAAGAAACGCCGCGACCGCGTCTTGGAGCACCGTCTCCCAGATCTTGCCCGTCGAGACGATTCCAAATGTTTCGTTTCCATTGCCGCCGCCGTCGCCGTTGTCGAGGAGAGCCAGACACGCGAGGACGCTGGCCTCGAATATCCCCGTGACGTATTTCCGGGCGCCGGATCCGCTGGAGCCTTTGGTCGCGGCGCGCGTCGTGCCTGCGCACGCGGCCTTTAGCTGGGAGACGAGCGGGTGTTGGCTGTAGCACGCGATGAGGAATGCGTCATGGTGCGGGATCAAAGGGGTCAAGTGTGGAAGGCAGACTTTTGCGGACGCTGCTGCGTCGGCAGGAGAGTTGATTGATGGGATTCCCTCTAGGTTGACGGCCTCTGGTGTGCCTGTGGTGCTTGTGGCGGTAGTGCCGTTGGGTGAGGTGAAGAATGTGTATTGGATGGAGTCGGAGGGATACGCGAGGGAATCCAGCAGGGGAGCGAGTGACTCGGTCATGGAGGTCGACGTGTTGGGATTGATGATTAACATTCGGAGCCGTTGGCGCGGCAGCGATGGCGGTGATGGCGGCGAGGAGGTTGCGGTCGCCATGATGTGAATAGTCGTGGTTCGAGCAATGTTAGATGGCGTTCCCCGGATTCAAGGCGCTTCAATCAAGTAAGCCCGCGACTTCCCAGACCCTCAGGGTGCTGCGGGTAGATTTGCAAGTCTAGAGAGCCACTTCGTCTATGTATCGCTTGCCCTGGCAAGACAAGGGAAGTGCAGATTCTCTCCAAGGAACCAAAGGAGATTCTGAATCGGACTGGTTGGTTATCAGATCAAATCCCTTCTTCTGTGTGTCGAGAATGCTGATTTCCGCTAAATCAGCAATGATGAGAGCAGCCCAAAGGTATTCTTGGGAAAAGGTCTTCGTTGGGTCCTTATCGGAGTCGAGATGATGTATGGAATCGATCGATGATATGATCAACAGCGGATCGAGAATATCAACTTTCGTATCGAGAAGTATTTGACACTGCGTAGGAATATTACTTACTCTTTGTTGAACCAATCGGTTAAGTATGTGAGGGAAGATATGTCAATTCCGAGAGTTCATCGATTGTTCATGATTTTACGTCACATGCTGCCAACGAGGCTGTGGGTGGCTGTCCTTGCCGTCGAGGCTAGCCAATCAGCTGGGTGAGTACATAGCCTCCATCTTCCATGGCAGAAGACTAATCGATTATCAATACATCAAGGGACTATAAAATACTGTTCGCTTCGCGAAGTTCTCTTTGAACTACTCATAATAGGTGGTTAATCCGACTAACAACCACGAAATACTCCATCATCAACTGTCTGATCCAACCCGGCGAGCCGTGGCATCCCATACGGTCATGGTTCTCACTCATCCGCCGCCCGGTGTTTCGTTGTTGGAACAATGACATCTGTTTCACGAGTCTATGGCTTTGCGTCTAGAAGAACCAACTGTCCGTCTACTCCTCGTTGCGTCATCAACGTTGATTCCCGATCGTTTGGAAGAGCATCTCCCCCTGAATTCCTCGTCTTCAAATGAGATGCGTTCATGCTTAACCATCCTAATCTGGCGCCAATTTCGGTCCACTGCAGGGAGTCCTCAAAGAGATATTAGCTTTTTGCGGGCTTGTCTCTTCTCCATATTATACCCGAGCTCATTGGCGAAGTTCATTGGTTGGCAACCTACCAGTCCTGCAAATGCTAGATAAGTGATCAGAAGAGGAGACTTGAATGAAAGTGAGCGCAATTGTCCGGTTGGCACATGCCAGGCTTGGTCGTGGCCGAGATCTGTAAGACTGAGATCAGGCGAACACGAGAACCCACGAGTCCGATCACAAATCTCTCCGATCAAATGCGGATTGAATCTTGACCCAAACATCGCCATTTCTGGATGACAAAATGGCTCATCGCCATCATAGAATCTGTTGGAGTATCGAATTTCAGAGCGGGCTGAGCAACACGAGTAAAACAGCCTTTTTCGCAACCAAAGAGCAGCGAAGTTCAATCGACTGATAGCTAGAGTTACACGCGCCTCTTGACACCCTGTCCGGTCTCGAGATATCTCTTATTCCATTCTAGACATCGTCTTTGTTGGTACCATATCCGAGCCGAAAAGATTGTATAGGATTATATCAGTGCTCAAGCCGTGGATTTCCATCCGATGAAGCCATGGACTGTGTTGTTCAAAGGAGAGATTCGACATCAATCCCAGGCTCCTGTGATTCCATGATAAGCCGGGATCGATTGTTGATCGAAATCTGTCCTCTCTTGACCATCTGAACATAAGTCACCAGGAGTAATTTTCCTTCACCATGCCAAAAGCTGGGCGCTAATGGTCCTTGCACGACAAGTTGTGTTGTTCGCTCAGGTGTAGATGAGTCTTGGACTGACACAAGTGCAGAATGAATTACGTTTCCATTCTGTGAACTTCGTACTGTAAGTAGAAAACGATTGATCAACACCGCATTCGACATAGACAACATTGGAGTGTTGAACTAGTCCAAGCATGAACGAGAAATCTTCCATCATACAAGGTGAGGAACCCTACGATGTTTGCTGAATACGTACCGTATGCTGGCCGACCTTGGGGTGTGACCGAGACAAGTAGTATGGCGTTGCTTCTGTTCCTGTTCTCATCATTGGCGAGCTAGTCTAGTGTCGTGAAATTCTGCCTTTCGCCATCGAGTATGAATTTCCAAGAATCCGTGTTGGGCCTGATTTTTACCCAGCCGTTGGACTGGTCAGGAAAAACGATTGCGAACCAGCGTGTTGACGGAGCTTTCTGAAGATTTGAAGGTCTTGGCAACGCGAGAGTCCCATATCGCCGAGGGGTACCTGCTGACGCTGTTGTTCCAACGCCATGACTTTACAGTTGAGCGAAAATCCGTATGTTGCGTCGTTGAAAAAGATATAGACCTATCGATTGATGAGTAAATCTCGTTTGCCGGTTCCTGCTCCGGACATCTTACGGTAACTTCATCAGTCTCATCCCTCAAAACCATTGTGTAACCTCGTAGGGCTCCAAATTGTCTAATGAGCACTGGGTGGACCTGCTGGATATTGACGAGAACTCCAGTGAAGGCGGCTCGAACAGGGTCTGTCGAGTCAGGCAACTCGGATATTTTATCTCTCTTGTACGATTTCAGGTGCGGGAGGATTGCGTCTGGAGATTCTTCGTTGGAGAGGCCTGAGCTCGCAGGAGATGCCGTTGAATGAAGGTCCGTCATTGTAGAGCAAGATGACAAGGTATATAAGTTTCGAGAGCAAGTTCAAATAGAATAAGATGCACATCAAAATCACATTGAAGAAGTTATCCGGGCAGTGGCGGAGACTGCAGATTGTGTGCGAGTGCTTCGTGGGACGCCATGCCAGCAGGAAAGAGCGAGCAAGACCAAAAGGGAAAAATCATATGGAAGCCAACGAGAAAGAGCGACAAAGAGAAACACCCGAGGCAGGCAAGCACCACAGAAGAAAAGTAATATCCCTGGTGTTAGGTTGAGGCTATACTAAGTATCTGATAATGAGCGACGAGTAGTTGGTGGCGCATGACTAAAGACAGGGGCAAAAATCGAGGGACAACAGTCTGTGCAATCTAGGAGGATTAGGTAGGGGACGTTGTTGATGTGTCCAGCTCGGGATTCCACCAGGAACAAACAACAAGAAACCAATTCGCTGTTCGCAAGCAAGGGAAAAGCAGTCTAGCCACCCCATCGCAAAGTCGCAATGGATTCACAAGATTCTGCTAGACTTTGCCAATTGCTCGCAATCAAAAAGGTTTGGTGGATGGAGAAGGGAGAGGGAATGCCTAGAACAACTTGTGTTCAAGTGTCATGTCGGACTCGGGCTGGAGACCGATGCAGGCGCGGAAGATGTTAGTAAGAGCACCACGCTGCTTGGCAAGGGCGTTGACGACCGGGGTTCCGGGGGGAACGAGGGGAGCCTAAGATGTATGTTAATGTTGGATTCACGGAAATAGGTCAGGGGTAAACAGGAGTCAACCATACCTTGAGCATGTAACTCAGAATGCTGAGAACGCTGTGGAAACCCTTGTAGTCGCCAGCCTCCTCTGACTTCCACTGGATTCGAGTCATCATCTCAGCCACAAGGACGAGATCAATGATGAGGGGTGAGGCCAGCAGGGAGTCCTCGCAAACGTTGAAGATGCTGATTGTCTGATGACCACCCATGAAGATTTCAGCGTAGTATTCATCCAACGCACGCTTGTTGTCGCCGACAGCAGGCATGTACTTGATGACGACAGTATGGTCTGGATGCTCATCCTTGGCGTACAAGACGCTGTTTGCTGCAACCATGTCATCGACCACGTTGGACTTGGAGATTTCCTTGGAGCGGAATTGCTTTTGGGAACTCAAGTTCTTTCCGTCGTTGTTGCCGAGATGGTTGTAGCTTGCAATGGAAGTCAATTTGATACCAGCATTGATGAGGAAGTCAACCAGGGCAGACTTCATCTTGGTCTGTCCAGACTTGAAATCATCACCACCAATAAAGGTGTTGTGCTGCTCCGCAAGTTGAATTGCACCTGGAACAAAGGTATTCTGGGGTGAACCGTTGATGAAGGGAGCGTTTTCCAGAGTACAGGCAACGGAGAAGACGGTGGAAGGAGAAACCTCTTCATGGCCTTGCTTGATGGCCTGGATCAAGTTCTCGGCAGTATCGTTGACACCGGGGATGATATCTGCATAACGCTCAGTGTTGGCAGTCCAGAGAACGATGATTTTATCCAGGTTGTTCTGAGATTTGAAGGTTCTGACAGGAAAGTTAGCATTGCTCCGCATGCCAGCGATGACGCGACAATTGGAGAAAGTCTGGCATACCTGATGTCGGTTCTGATCTGCTCGACATGATCCCAGCTTGCTTTGCTACCAGGGATGACATTATCAGCTCGATCTTCTTGGTTGGCGGCGATGAAATCGGGATAGTAGATACTCGGGAGTGGTTTCATGAGAGCCATCTCCTTGTAGACCATAGCTTTCAAAGTGGGTTCGAGGACTTGAGCACGATCCATGGAAGCAGCAATGTTCAGGCTGCTGATATCCCAACCACCAACGACCAGATCGTTAGGATGAACCATGGGCAAGATATCGTGAAAGGGGATGTTGATCTCGTCCCCGGTTTGTTCCTCTGTACCAAGCTTGATGGTTGAACCCATAATGACGGATCCGTAGTAGTTTGCAGCACGTGGACCTTCTCGAGTATCCCAGGTGAGATTACGACGATTGGCGATGATTCCAGCAGTGACGGTGGAACCATTGTTTCCACCCCATCCTACCAACATGACACCGGTTTTGGGAACCTTACGGTCGACCTTGAAGTCATAAGTGGTTTCCTTGGGGGAAGCCACGAATTTACCGTCCTCGGCCTTGGTGACAGCGGTGGTTCGGTAAACGTATTTGGTGTTGATGTGGTCGTCCGTGTAAGTGACATTGGGAGAATTGACGGTCAAAAGATCCTTGACCGAAGCTGGTTGAGCTGGGGACGAAGTTGATTCCTGAGCGCTGTACCCGTTCACGGAGCCGACGCCTACTTCCGCATGAGGAGCCATCTTGAGTTGAAAGATTGGACCGAAGATTAGACTCGAGATTGAGTTTGGAGCGAAAGAAGTAGTAGTAAGGCGAATTTATCCTGTCTTGGGACAATCCGTTGCTCCTCCAGGAGGGGAAGAGCAGCGGCTTCCGTTGAACGGGTGGTGCGACCTGAAAGAATGGATATGTCAGAAGACAAGACATTTTGCACGGATGTATGGATAGTCATGTGTCGGCGCGAAAGAGAGACAGAGAGAGGGAAAAGTTGTTGAGAGAATTTCCAAGACGACCGGTGGCATGAAGTGGGAAGAAAGGCGATTGAATGAGGTGAGATGTTGGAGTTGATTGAAGAGTGTGGTTGGATGGGCGGCTGCAGCAAAAACAACAATTCGGATAACGACTTGGACGGTGACTTGAACTGATGCCAGGGACCAACATGATGGATGCTGGGTCTTGGATGTCTTGAATGCTCATGCAGGTACCGAGAGGATCAACAGGGGAAAGGAGACCAGAATAGGACCAGGGGGTGCGGGAGGGACAAAGACCATGGTGGGCAAAACAGCCGGGTCAAGTGTTGATGGACTTACGAGGGCAATAGGTTCGAAAACGTCTTGGCGGTTGAACGGATCACTCGGAAGCGATCCTACGGGATTTTGGAAGAGAGGTTTGGTAAAGACCACAGCCGGGCTATGATCTGAACTGAATGGCGAGCAGAGTCTTGAGATCTGGATGAGGTGAGTAGAAGGGAGGACGGGGGATGGGACACGTCTTTGTAGGAAGGAGGCGGTGGTGGCAGCCTACTTCTGTTGGTGCTAGCGAGTAGTGAGGATCCATTCTTCTGTAGGCCGAAGGGTTTTCTGTAGTCCGGAGAGGGTGGGTGCGCGGGAGCGTGGGAGCGTGAAGGCGAGGGAGGGCGTGAGGGCGTGAGGGCGTGCGAGCGGGCGTTGTGTGTGTGCGTTGTGCCATTATTGTGGGTTGCCCAAGGCCATCAGAACCGACACCCGGGCGATGTGACTAATGAGAAAGGCTTTTCCAGTCTTCTAGTGTCGCCGGGTTGACCGCCATTCATCGCACATGCATATGAAATGTACACCACCGAGTAGTCGTGAGCACCGCGAGAACCCGACACGATAATGGATATTGGATCATGGATCATGAATTGCGAGTAATATCCGTCGAGATAAGGCCGGCGGGGTCTTTGTTGGCAATGATATCGATCTCTGGAGGTCTGGTGCCCGGGTCACTTGAGGTTAGTCCGTCGCGTCTCAACGTTGCCCCTCCCTTCGCGTGTCGGTGAGGAAGGTACCCCGCCATCGAGATGTCCACGGGAAGGTACAGCTGGGGACGGACAGCACAGGGAGTGATACAGTAGCAACCAGTAATGGGTAATAAGTAATACAGCATACAGAATACAGCATACAGCATACAGCAAGCACTAGGTAGGACAGTCAGGACTTCAGTCAGTAATACAGTAACCGCAGTACGCAGTCCAACACTCGACTTGGATCCCTCGCGTCTTCAACTTCATATCCCTCATGTGCCCATTCTGCACGCTGCACTTGTCCATCAACTACATGTACCTTAGCTTACAGTAGGTATCTATCTCTCCAGCTACTTCATGCAATGCACAAGGGACTGGTGTCAGGCCCCCTCGGTCGTAGTGTGCATTGTACATGGTGCATTATTCTCACCTATCTACACCAGATTTCATATCCCTTCCCTCATGTGTCCCTTCTAATGCTCTTCCTGTTCCTGTTCCTCTGCTCGTCCTCACTCTCCTTCACCTCGCCTTCGACTTCAACGGCCATTTCCACTTCCATGCTTACTCGGTAGACCAATAATGAGTCGACGCCTCCCCCTCCTCCAGCGGTTATTTGATGTTTCAACCCAACCTACTCACTTCGTGCTTATGATATTATCCGTCCACTTCCGAAGAAAGCCCACATATCCGCCGAAGCTTGATTGGGGACAGGGACGTGGTTCTCGGGCCAATCCCCAATCTTTTTTCTTTCGCATTCTTTCGTTTAATTTCCAGGAAGCCACTGCATTGGCCAAACAAAATCGACTGTGTACATCCAGATCCTTGATCACGCGATGAACATGCAGCCCATCTTTCAACTTGCTCCTGCAAGAGCCATGCAAGGCAGTCCGCCCTCTCGACCTCGTGCCGTGTACGTAGGAGTAGTCCCACAAACGCTAGGTCCTCCTCCTCGCAACTGGCCGTGAACTGGTAGCCTCTTGATTTGGTGCAGCGATGTTACGAGTGGAACCCCTACTTTTCCCTCGAGACCGTGGGGGTGTCTTTTTCTGGTTGCCTCTTGTCGGAGATCTGGCCTCATCCCTCGCCATGAGCATCGATACAACAACGACATCCCAAGTCGCACCGCGCCGCACCGAGCAAACAAACTCAACACAGCCCACCTGGCTGTGAGGCGCCCTCCGCATCTTGATTCTATGTTGCAAGGACGGGGAGGCTCCTCGTGATTCGACCAAGGGAGTTATCTCCCGAGGCTTGATGTCTGCCACCACTCGTCGTTTTAGGACCCTCCTTGAATGCTTGTCAGAGACTCGTATGCACGCACGCCCGCCCGCATCGCACTTGTCCTGTCCTGCGCTGCGTCCTGCCATGTCATGCAAGCAGGGATAATGGCAGCGTTCGCGGCCCAGCCAGCACATCAATTAACGCCGGTCTCGGGCTGGGCTGGTGATGCCAGAGGTCTGGTATTCATCGGTGGACCCACGGAGCAGAGAGAAAAGAGTGTCAGAAGCATTCGAGACGACCCAGGGAAGCTGAGTGCTGCTATTGTTTTGCATAGCAGGCAAGTGGCGTAATGCATACATGCACATAGTCGGAAGGCGTAGTCCATCCATTCCCAACCGGGCTGTCAGATCAGATCAGATCAGATCATGTCATATCAAAATGCCAACTACGTATCTATCCATGTCATGTGCCGATGGATGCAAACAAAATCCAAGGGAGACATACTCGTAAATATTCACGGGTTGAACTAGTATATACATTAACTGTATCTGTTGGTTTGGTCTTCCTCCACCAGTCGTTCGCTCGAAGCTCACAGAGCTGGCTCCCACTTCCAATCTGGAATAAATTTCCCCGTCGGCTAGTCGCAACGTTCCAGGTCGCTGATATGCCAGGTGGACGTGTCCCCTTAACTCCATCCGCTGTCTGCCTTGTCATATGTCCTCGCCTGATCATCGCTCAGAAAAATGCATCTCAAAACAAAAAAAAGAAGGGCATGGTCCAAAGAGAGGCGCGAGAGGGATCAACTCAGCCCGGCCAAGAATCGAACGTTTCCATCTAGGAAACTGTATGTCATTGTAGATGTAGAGTGATGGAACACTCCCGTGTTGCCCCAAACTCCAAACCAAACCAAATCCCCATCACCCTCGAATGAATCGCCAATTCATCTTTGTACTACTGAGTGATCGTCAAATTAGGTCAGGTCGTGTTCATTAGTCTAGTGATTCTTCTCTCAGGGAAATTGCGGCCCTTGATCAGTCCTGGATCTCCGCTGCTGATGTACTCTCGAATCAAGGGACTGCGGCGAGTAGGCGCGTTGTCGTGCGGTTTGGGCAGCGTTGCTAGCCGGAACGCGTCCCTCTCACAGTACACCTTTCCTGAGAGTTCAAAGTAGTCGTGGTCGAGCCTCACCTTGCACGTCGTACATTTGAGACATTCCGGGTGGTGTTTTTCCTTTCCGCGGCCCGCCACATTGTGTGTCTCCATGTACAGGCCTTCAATACCTTTGCCGCATGTTGCACACAGAGAGTTCTCCAATTCGTGGTAATGATGTGCGCAGTACGGATGGTCCGAGTGCACGTAAAACTCTGCCGTCGGAAACGCTGATTTGCACGTCCAGCACACAAAACATTCCTTGTGGTACCTTCCACTCAACCGACCATCGGCGCTCGACACGGATTTTTGTGTTGCGTGAATGATGTCGGAGCATCCGCGACAGATCCCCTTGTTAGGTGCTGTACCTTTGCTTTTACTTCTGCTTCCCGAAGCCGATGTCGGCTCAGGTTCAGAGACATTGAAAAGAGACTCATGCTTATCGCTGGTCGGTGTAACAGAGGAAGTGGGAACGTCATTCTGAACACTTTCGGTATCTTCAATGAATGAAGACCGCCCCTTTCTTACAGGTTCAGCTTCCAGAGACGGCGTTGACGCCGATTCTGGTGCTAGTCCTGATACAGGTCCTGCAGGCAGCCTCGGCCTCAAAGGCGCTGGAAAATCCGCCTCGGTGGGTTTGAGCAAGCTTGAGTAGGATGCCTCGAAGGAGCTGTTGACAGGAGCATCGGCATGAGGCGAACTCGAACGAGAACTTGAAGAATGTTCGGAAAACCCGACTGATCCATACGAAGATGCAGAGTCAATCGACGCTCTTCGTACTTCAGCCGGCTCTAGAGCTCTCTCTTCAGCCACTGTCTCGACAATGACTGGCAGCGGTGTTGGATCAACTACGGCTGGCGAAATAGCTGGCGGTGGGCTAGGTGCAACTTCTTCGACAGCCTCGATCATAACCACTGGCGTCGCCAGAGAACCGGGGGCGTGTGTGTTGAGCGTCTCCAGCGATTCTTCGTGCCCTGAAAGCTGTCTGAGTGCCTCTTCAATACTTGATGCTGGTTCAGGTGATCTCAAGGGAGAAGGAACTGTTGTCGGGGAAGGCTCCGCGGTGACGAGGGAGCTCTCGCTGTTCGTGCTCAGGGCTGGACGTTCGGCATTTTGGTTCCCATAATCCTCCGGTTCATCACTTAGTGCCTGTCGCACAACCTCCCGACGTGAAGTGGCTGACTGTGATCGACGCCTACCGAATAATCTTCCCAAGCTCTTGGAAAAGACTCCAGCAGAAGGTGGAGGTTGTGGGAGGGCAGGGCTATTGTTTTGCGATAGAGGTGATGCCTGGCGGTCGCTGTTAATGGGTGGAGGCCTCTTGGACTTGTATGAAGGTTCTACGCTGCTCGAGGCTGGTCCACTAGGCCGATTCATATTTTGTCCTGAGATCGGAATCTGTGTTGAAGGTCCACGTTGAGTGTCGCCGAAATCAAATGCGTTCAAGTTTGGATCCATGCTCGTACTTCGCGAGGAGTCTGGTTCGGTATTCGTTCTAGAAAGAGGTGCAGAAAACGGCATGGAAGCACTGGCGTCATGTGTGTCTACTGACCTACTCAAGGTCTGGGATTGTGAGAGGTCAGTTGGTTCGGCAGCCTCATCATTGCTTGGCCTGGTGCTTTCCCCATTCGTGCTGATAGATTCGTTCCGATGGCTAGAAGCAGTAGATGGACGAGAGAACTTATCTCCATACGGTCTCTCTGGCTGAGGGTGTGAAAAGTGGTCTGAGGTCGTAGCTCTTACTAATGGAGGTGGCTTAGGTTGTCGGGTTTGTCTTGATGTGTCCCGTGATCGAGACCGCTTTGAATCACTATGTTGAGTAACTGCTCTTTCCCGTCTCCTCGATGTGCTTTTCGATGTAGCGGACTTGTTCGCTGTGGGGAAGGGTGGAAATGCGCAGTCGAGGTTTGTAAGTTCAGGAGACGGGGGACGACGTGGACCAGGCAAGGAGGCCTTTCGGAAGTTGTTAAATGGTGACCTTGAGCCAGACGATGTACTCAGAGGGGAAACCATGGAGTTGTGGCCACTGCTAGCCGGTGTAAGCTCTCCGGGATAGACTGGTGGACGAACTAAACTCGGTCAGCAACGGGCATCTCAACGGAGGGAGGCACGAAACGAACATGCAGCAGCAGCGTCGATCTTTGGTAATAGCGGGCGTTGCGGTTTGATGCTTTTCAGACTGTTAGACGAGTCCGTTCGGGGCAGCGGTGAAGGGATTGCACTGGAGGTGCTTGTCGGAGAGAATGCTGTGTTAGAGGAAGGAAGTGAACACTGATGGGCGGCTACAGCATCCAATCCGATATCGTCACCGCATTGGGAGCATTTGATGACAGGCCTGAAACTGGCGCTCCTCGTAGGCAAATCCATCGCATCCATCCTCTGCCGTAAATCCTTCGATGTTCGTATTCCCTTCTGCGCCTCCAACGGTCTTCTTCGAGATCATGTATCGTAGGCTGTTCGTGTCGGTGCCGATTTACTGAGAGGGTATCGAAGCGGGCTGTAGGGGGTTCCTGTATGCTGTGCTGTAATTCTTCGGTTCAATCAATGAGCCTCACCGAGGGCATTGCTCCGATATAGGTGTGTTAATCGATTGATTGCGCAGATTAGGTCAGGTGGTAAGCATGACAGGGATAGGGAATGCTTGGAAACAAAGACGAGATGAGCATCAGCCTGAGCAATGAGCATGAACACGAGCATGGCAATGCCATGGCTCCTCGAAATGCAGAATGCACAGGACTTGGTAGCCGCCGGACATAATGTTGCAAGACGCTGTGCATGAAAGGCCTGTTGGGTTGGAGAGCAGCATTGTTTGGCCGGGGTAGGAGATGAGGCTTTCGTTGGCTTCGAGACTAATGCGTTCCCACTTGACCAGGATACCTGAACTGGACCTGACGGGGACCAAAACGTCGATCAAAATCTTTGTCAAGCTCATTTTAGCTTCGATATTGACAAGGATCATTCAATGGAGTCAAGCCAGTAAGACGGACGAAATTGAACTGGATGATAAGGAAGCACGAGCAAAAAAGCGGAAAACATGGCCTCGCAACAGCCATGCTGTTCCAAGTGTCATTCCACCTGTTTGAAAGGCTTGCTTTGTCAAAAGGCTCGTAGGCATTGAGAACAAAACAACGGGCCACCCATGATCAATGGCACGCAATCTCATGCCCTGTCGATGGGAGGTGCTCGCTTGGGAGACAGGAGTTTGGTGAGGTTCAAACTTCGGTGGAAACAAACGCTGGGATTCTCGATTCTCCACTGCCAACGCGTCGTCATCTGAGAAGAACCACCTGCCTAGGCTAGTTGTAGATTAGGTTGAAGCGACCTGAAGCCACCTTGACAGGGGGTACATGGCGTTTTGATAGAAAAGGAGGCTGAGCCAAAGCTTTTGCTCCCGCGGTCTAGACTTGTTCTGGTGGAGATGGCGACGGAAGGCCATGCATTGGCCTCAACACTGGACAAGGTAACTCACCGACACCTTGACTCTTGGGTGGTAGTGAGTCGGTCGACCGACGGGATGGTCCACTCAGCGAAAACATTACTGCTCCAGAAGCATTCTGTGGATTCATGTTGCACGACAATGCAGTGGAGCAAAGGCCCTGATTCAAAGACATCGGGACTTGGGGGAAGTGAGCCGCGGATCCAAGTACGAGTAGAAGATTGGCACGTACTCATACGGGCGACGTATTGGAATTAAAAGACGTGCCATTCATACATGTGATCGGGGCAGTGTGTCACTGGCACCATCAACATCAGTTTGTACCATACAAGTTTTGGCTGATACATACAGTAGATGTATTGCGTTGCGTTGGATGGCATGCGATAAGGCTTGGTATCAGTCCAGGTGAACGAGCGGTGGCTGGCAGGAGGCGGGGACAATTAGATAGAGGCCGAGCCTAGCTAAGCAGCAAGGTGATCCGGCGGCTCCAAGGCCCTAAAACATGCCTATCACCGCCTAAGACTATGACCCATCCACCCATCCACCCATCCACCCATGGCCACCACTAATTTATGCCTGGAACCCCCAAGCCTGGCCTCAACCACCGCTGTTTAGACCCCCTGAAAACCACGCACACCCACCTGCTAAACTGCTAAGCCAAGTTGATCCCTACGAGTGTGTAGGTCTCTGATTTGCTCCAGGCACAAATTCGCTCGAAAGCCTTGGAAGACTTCGACAGCCTACTTTGTTCATTTTAGTGGCTCGCCTTGAAGCAGCTTCATTTCCTGGGCCCAGTGGGCGCCAGCGACGATAACGATGCCGCCTTCCATCCATTCCATCATTGTTATTGCCAGGCAGACCTCAGCCGTTTCAGCAGAGATTACTCGATAGCAACCATCAGATGAGAGGACAGTATGGAATTATCGGCAGGCTCCGTTCGAGCAGGCGACTGCACACTGCTCTCGCGTTGGGTAAGAGAGCAAGGTACCGCTGTGTGTCAGACTTGTTGTCGATGGGGAGGATGGATGTGAGGACAACCAACTTCCCACACTGCCGATCTGTTGCACATCACTACTCCTACGAGTCTAGAAACTTCTCCAGAGCCAGATCCAAATCGGCCACTCTGCAGGTCACTAGTATTGCGCGCAAGAGCCTGGCCTTGAGTCTGGACAATCATCCCAAGTTGAGCGGGGTAATCGTTTCATCCTGGTGGTGCTTGGTATTTGTACGAGTAGCGAATCGGGAGGATGCTGTTGCTCGAGCCACAACCTCCGACTACTGCATACATACTGTACTCCTACGACTCCATAGAGAGGTTACCTCGTCCCTACAATCTCCCAGCTCAGACTTGAATGAACTTAGCATATCCATAGAGCCTGCATGAAGGGCTTGTCTCGCAAACTTCATCCGGGTATCTTAGCCTCCAACTCCAGCACCTCAGGCATATCGACACCACCGATCCTGACCAGCTTCAAATCGCTCTCCCACCCTCGCTCAACATCCGGCCACGGGCCCCTGGGCGTGATGGCCTTGGGATTGATATCCCCATGGCTCTTGGTATAGTTCTCCTTGATATGCTTGAAATCCGTCGTCTCCTTGAACCCCTTCACATTCCAGAACAAATTCTTCAACCAGTTGTTCAACTGCGGATAGTCGTGCCGGATCGTGCCCAGATTGCACTTGAAATGCTGCACGTAGACTGTGTCAAACCGCACCACGGTCGTGTACGCCCGGACGTCCAGCTCCGTCAGGTCCTGGCCTAGGATATACGGCCCGCCGTTGGCCGCGACCATCTTCTCCAGTTTGTTCAGCGCCGCGAACACCGGCAGCACATTCTCATCGTACGCATCCTGTGTGTCCGCGAACCCGGCCTTGTACACCCCGGCGTTTAGGTCACGCTGCATCCAGGCGCCGACCTCGTCGATCTGGGGCCGCAGGTGTTCCGGATAGAGCGTGAAGCGGGCAACCTCGGCGGGTAGGAGGGCATCGAACGCCGTGGAAAGGTCGCGCAGGAGTTCCAGACTCTCGTTGTTGACGATCGTGCCCGTCTGTCGGTCCCACAGCACGGGCACCGAATACCGGCCCTTGTACTCCTTGTCAGCGCGGAAATACACTTCGTGGAGGTACTCGCTGCCGAACACGTGGTCGACCGTTGCTGCGGGATACTCGTTGTCGTCGTGGGGGAACCGCCAGCCTGGCCATCCTCGCTCGTCGCCTTTCGGGTATGGCTTGACCACACTGGTGTCAATGATTTCCGTCAGGCCTTTGAGATGCCGCACGATAAGGACCCGGTGCGCGAATGGGCAGAACAGGCCTACGTAAAGGTGATACCGGGCACGTTCGGGCTTGAACGAACCCGAGAGCGTGATCTTGCCATGCCAGGAGTCGGCAGTGCCCGCGAGGTGCTCAGCGACGGTGCTTGGTCGGGGCCTTGACTGTTCGTCCTGAGCACTGGCTTGATCACCCGACGTGGTTGCCATCGTGCTGGGATTTGATAAATGGCTAGATCTTGAGGTCCCGGTATCAGTCGTTGTAGAGCTTGTGCAGCCTGTGCTCGTTTTAGCTATATCGCTATTGGTAATCCTCACGTGATTCAACTGCTGATGGAGTCCCTGCAGTCTGTGCATTGTAGATGGCTTGTGTTCACGTTTGTCTGAAGTTCCTCTTTACTTTTCTGCCTACCTAAGGTGTTACCATATAGTCCATGAGTGTCTATCGAAGACATGCGGAACCGCAGTTCGTTTGGATTCGTTAACTAAACTTACTGAAAGGGGGGGCGGAAATTCCGCTCCGATGACGTCAATGTTTGCCTGAGTTATGTTTTATCGCGGCCCACACCAGGGTGAAAGACCTTGAACCGACGCATGAGTACAGCCTTGAAATGCTCATTCTTGCTAGGCTACTGATAATAACAGCTTGACCAATATAGATGCATAGTGGAATACTGTACTGTACAATGACTTTTTGTTGATTAGGTCATGAGGCTTGTCACTTTCGCTCAAAATGCTCAGCTCTTCGCGTCTTTCTCGACCTTGTTCTTCAGCTTCTGACCCTCCTCAACTTTCTGCGCGAGCACCTTCTTTACATCCTCAATGGCACTCTTCAATAGTCTCTCCGCCTCTTCTCCGTGCTTTTGGCTTAGCTCCTGTAGCTGCTGGAGTTTCGGACCTAGCTCTTGGCCACCTGGGATCATCTTCAGAAACTGTTCAATACCGCTGCCTGCTTGGCCGGATACCTCGTCAGTCTGTTCCTTGACAAATTTCTGAATGTCGTCGGTATTGCCTGATTTCGCCGCCTCTTGCAGCTTTTGCCATAGTTGGCCCAGGTCACCTTGCAATAACTTGTCTTTGTTTTCCTCGACAAGCTTCTTCAGTTCAGGCTGCTTGTCCAAAAGAGGTTTGGCTTGTTCAATCCCTTTCTGCCATGCCTGATCGCCATACTTCTTCAACTCCTGGGTCTTTTCTTGTATCAAATCCTGAATCTTTTTCAATGTTCCAGCGCTGAAGCCACCCTTGAGAATGTCTTGAGCCTGCTTCCATGTGTCATCAACCTGCTTCTTGGCTTCAGGTCCATACTCATCACCCATGCGCTTCAGCTGTTCGAATTTGCCTCCAACATTTTCCTTAAGCTGAGGATGGTTGTTGAGGATATCCTGAGCAGCGTCACCGGCGAGTGAGCCGATACGCTTGAGGCAGTCCTGTAGGATATCCCAGGCATCACTAGCAGCCTCAACACTGAATCCCTTCTGCGTGGTGGCCTTGAGGTTCTTGTATGTTTCATTGATAACCTTGTCCACTTCGTCACCGTGCTTCTCGTGTACCTTGTCCAGATCATCAAACGCTTTGTCAACGTAGATCGAAGCGCCAGGTATCATCCTTGTGTAGCCGGTAATCGTTTCTCGAAGCCATTTTATTGCTTCGCTTGGCTCTGGTGCGGCGGCTGTGGTTTTCTTGAAAGCAGAGTCGGCGTATGATTTAGCCTGGTGGACACTGTTGACCACGGACTTAGCTCCCGAGAAAGAATACCACAAGTAACCCCCTAGGAAGGCGACAAGACCGCCGGCTACGCCACCTAGCAGAGCATGGCTTGCGCCACCAGAGGCCTCACTGCCGGACTGCGCCGGGCCTGTGGATTGGAGGCGAAAGTTTCTTGGTTGACGGGCTCGAATGGGCACCGGTCGAGCTCTCAATGCTCGGGTTGAGCGTGCAGCTGCTCTGGGAGTAGTGGCAAGCATGACTCAGCGAGACTTGCACAGAGGTAGTGGCAAGGGAGAGTAAGCTGTCTCAATCAACAACAATGAACGGGCTAACGAGTGAGCTTAGAAGGGATGGAGGGAAAGGAAACACAGAAAAAGACAGGAGAGAAGTTACTGGAGAGACAACGGGGACCAAGCAGCTAAGCAGAAAGCACGCTCCATATCAAAATATCGCTGGACAAGCACTCGAAGCAACAATGACGCATTTGGTTCCTGAGAGCTGAGACCCAGCAGGCAACTCACCCTCTTTATTGGCTGCGGGACAGAATGAACTTCCAGAGCTTTGAAAGTTCAAACGTCATTGTGGCACGGTGGCACATACTGTGGGTGAATTCGGTCTAAAGATATACCCTCGACTTGGGAAAGCTGGCGGCAACCTAGCTGCTAATGACGATGACGCGCGACAATTCCAGAATTCGGGGCATTTGGCCACGGTGGAAGACGGTCAGAAATGAGGACGAGAGGTGGATTGCTAAGTGAGGTGTTGAGGTCGACATGGATGTTCAGGCACCGATTCCCCAGATTTCTCGAATCTCGGGTCAAGCACGTTTCCCCATTTGGGCAGCTCTTGGTCTTCAAACTTCCCACAGCCACTCCAGCCACATCTTGTGCTTGGGGGGCCCTGCGCACCCCTAAGCGACTGATAGGGATAGTCCTCGGGGTAGAGGACACCCCTAAGACTCAACTCATGTAGGCGAGGAATCCCACGCTCCGGGCGGCAGCTCCCCTGCTTGAACAGCAACGTCATCCCTTCCAACCTAACTGGTTTACTGCAAATGTGCATTTTATCGGACTGTCAACTTCCAATCCACCTCTTATACACCCATGACACCAACCATGATAAATAGAACCGCTGCCAGAGCAGTGCGATGGGCTACCGGTCCGTTCCAGTCCCTGATATCACCTGCATCTCATCGAACTACAAGATTTCCCACACGCGTCCCCAGCATAGCTGCCCACACTGCTCCATCGCGATGTCTGCTCCTTCGACCTCGTGCGTTTCACACATACACTGCACGTCTAGCACAGTCGCCCACCGCAGACGCGCTGATGGAAAATCTCAACGAACTGTACGCCACAGCAAAAGACGAGTTTGAGATCGCCGCAGAAGAAACTGAGAAGAAGACCGTCTATGCGGCCGATGATCGGGAGGCGGCCCAAGACGCCCTCAAAAGCCTGCAGGAAGGTTATGAGAAGGCCATCAAGGAGAGCGCACCGGATGTGGCTAAGGAGGTCCAGTCGAGAGTTGGTCCGAGGATAAGAGAGTTGGCTAATGCCGTCAAGGCCATGGAGGAAATGGCGATGGAGGACTAGAACTTTGTGGGTCTTTAGATGGTGTGGGAGTTACGTGAGGGTGCTGTTGGCCTCTCCTCTTTGGCCACGGATGATCGAGCGCAACGAACAAGTGGAGAGACACAATTGAGAGACATGACTGGATCAGTTCCAATATCTCTCGTTGCTCACGGGCTCACTAAACTGTGGATGTACCAACAATAAAGCTGGACACTAGTCTTACACTGGCAGATATACCGACTTTACGGGCATGAAAAACGGGGGTATGAACCAAATCAGGATTGTATCATAGAATTCTCTCAGGCACAGACGTCCATTGTGGCCGTCCATGCGCCTTCTGAAACAGCGTTTTTCATCCTCGCTGAGAAATGCAGTCGACTATCAACTATTCGTCCACCTAAGGTGAAAGCCCTTTTCTCTAGTAACGCTTGCCCTCTCTCAGGACATCGCCATACTCCTCCAGGGGACTTCTCTCGAGTTTGGTCTCCTTCCACAGGTTGGGAGTCAAGAAACCGTATGAGTTGCTGACAGCGACGAAGGTGGCCTTGAGGGTGTTTTCCAAAGTCTTTGTGCTTCCAGCGGATGATGTGTATGCGTCCTGGACACCAGCAAGCTGCAACAATCTCTTGACGGCGGGGGATGCGACGAGACCGGTTCCTCGGGGGGCGGGGATCAGACGAACGGTGACTGAACCGCACTTTCCGGACTCCTTGGTGGGGAGAGAATGAGGCTCACCGAGGTTGGTGCCCCAGTAGCCTCGTCGGATAGGAAGAACGGAGAGTTTGGCGATGATGATGGCGGCACGGATGGCAGTTGCGACTTCTTTGGAGGTCTTGATTCCGAGTCCAACGTGACCCTCGCTGTCACCAATGACCACAATAGCCTTGAATCGAGTTCGCTGACCGGCACGAGTTTGCTTCTGGACAGGTTTGATCTGCACAACTGTGGTTAGATTGATGTGTTGCTGGGGATGGTAGTTCTTCATACCTTCATGACCTCATCCTTCAGCTTTGGCAAGAACCAGTCGACGATTTGGTACTCCTTGATGGGAAGAGAATGTAGGTAGATTTGTTCCATGTTCTGAATCTTTCCGGCCTTGACCAGACGTCCTAGCTTGGTCACTGGTTGCCATTCCTTCTCCTCCGACTTGTTTCCTCCACGACGAGGTCCTCGACGGCCTCTTCGATCTCCTCGGCCTCTGTCACCACGACCGCGATCTCCAAATCCACCACGTCCACGAGGTGCGTCAGCCATGATTGTGGTTTTGTGTTAATATCGGGTTGACGGTGTGTAGTCTTTGACGGTGGGTGCGGTCTTGGATACAATTTCGCGGGCGCAATTATTGGATTGGTACCCAGAGAGTTTGCGGTTTGCCAAGAGTTCTTGCCCTAAGTAGGGTGGAGTACAAACTCCCTACAGGAAGAGATTTGTGTAAAACTCGAATAGAGCATTATTGAGCGAGCTTCGGCGAAAAAGGAAAGTCATCCGCCCAGTAGTCGGAGCTACTGTCAAGCATTTGGCCAACCGTGGACGAGAATAACGCAGGCCTGATATGAAAAGAGGGCGCTAGGTCTCCTTGAGCTCAACATGATCCTCTGTTATGAACACGATTCTTTGTTCGTACGAAAAGAAACGAATGGGCTGTCAACTCAATGATATAAAATTTCCATCAGACAGAACAGGAACAGCCCCGTTGAAGTGAACAAGCCCACATCTTCCCAAAATGGTCCGGAGGTGGTACGTATCTGCTACTCACATGTATCTTGATGCGCGATTCGAATGCTCACCCTGTGTAGGTACCAAAGCAAGCTGTCAAAACGGCCACTGCTTACACAAGCTGTCACCACGGCAGTAAGTTGGATTTTGTGTCCCACGTGTCAAAGATGTGGCTCTAATTTGTGAAGGTGCTGTTTGGTGCCGGCGACACTCTGGCCCAGCAAGCCGTGGAAAGAAAGGGTTTTCGGAATCACGATGCCGCACGAACAGGCAGAATGGTCTTATATGGCGGCTGTGAGGATATGATGCGAGGAGCAGCCACCATCAGAGTTGACAAATAGCAGGTGTTTTCGGGCCTGCCGCAACCAAGTGGTATGGGTTCCTGCAGAATCGAATCAACCTTTCTTCGCACAATGCGACCATTGCTGCACGTGTGGCCGCTGATCAGACGGTGTTTGCAACCATCAATCTCGGAGTATTTCTCTCTAGCATGGCGATTATGGAGGGAGGTGATCCGAAGGAAAAACTGGACAAGAGTTACATTCAGGGTCTGAAAGCAAATTGGATGATTTGGCCAGCGGTACAGGCAGTAAACTTCAAGTTTGTACCATTAGAGCATCGCGTTCTGCTGGTCAACATTGTCAGCTTGGGGTGGAATTGCTTCTTGAGTTACTTGAATAGCTCGAAATGAGGGCGGCTGTTGGGTTGTATATTCCCATTGTACAGTCATGTTTGTTGGGAAATATTAGCAGTAGGGGGTTGCATTGCAAGGACAGCAGAGCAACAAGAGCAATAGCAACAAATGAATACAAAAATCTGGAATGATTCGTCCTTCGGTGGATGAACATTGATTGAAGAATTCACGACGAGGAAATCCGAGAAGAACCGCCCAGCAAGAGTGATCCGCACTAGTCTGTTTGTGGCGACTGCGGCAACTGCCTGTGAAGTTCGAAAAGAACTTTTGAGACGGAAGACCTCTTCGAGCAGTCACTGCACCCAACTTTCCCTCGACAAACCACTTGTTTGACACGCCCGACCGTTCCTCGTTGTCAACTCCTTCTGTTGATACCGTCAGCCTCGCGCTCTCGAAATTGATTCTTCCTCTCCTCTCCGCGGAGCCAGTTAGACTCGGTGTTTTCGCCATCACATTCAACCAGATCTACCCAACATGGCCGAAGTCGAAATGCCCCAACCAGTGCCTGGTCCTGTTTCAGATGAGAATACAGCCCCTGCCACCTCCGACGAGATCAAGACCGTCTTCCACGATGTGAACAATTTCAACGTCAAACACCCTCTTCTCAATAACTGGAGTCTCTGGGTGGGTGCATCTTATTCCCTCATGTATATCCCGACTAACCAAACGCTACAGTTCACCAAGCCACCTTCATCGAAAGGCGACAACTGGAATGATCTCCTGAAAGAAGTCATTTCCTTCGACTCGGTGGAAGAATTCTGGGGAGTATATGTACGATCCTCCCGACATTCAGATTTGATCATCCACTGATGAGGAACAGAACAATATTACTGCTTGCTCCGACCTTGGCCTTAAGTCTGATTACCATCTATTCAAAAAAGGAGTCCGGCCAGAGTGGGAAGACCCGCAGAATAAGCATGGAGGCAAATGGTCGTATAGTTTCAAGGATAAGAAGCTGATCAACATCGACGAGCTGTGGCTTCACACCCAACTTGCTGCAATCGGCGAGACCCTGGAGGATGAAGGCGACAACGAGATCATGGGCGTGGTGGTCAACGTCAGAAAGGGTTTCTACCGAGTTGGCCTCTGGACTCGCACCACTGGAAAGGCAGGCGGCCGTGACAACTTGATGAAAATTGGTCAACGATTCAAGGATGTGCTTCAACTTCCAGCCACAGAGCAACTCGAATTCAGTGGTCACACAGACGCAGCACATGCAGGCAGCACCAGAGCCAAGGCCAAATATGTAGTCTAAAGGACACGGCGACGCGCTTGCTCTGAGAGGACTAGAATTATGGATGTATTCACACATTGATGGATGGACATAAGGTCCCTCCTGGATGGAGACTGGGAATGGAATTGGCGTTTGCGATGGGTATAGGGCTGGAACAGTCCCATCGAGAGCGCAATACCCTGCATTTTTACTCGTTTTCAGATTAGCATAGCGACAGGTCGACAGGGCACTACCAAAATATGAGATCGGTCACACACCTTGGCCTAAATGTGGTCTCACGGTGTCGACGGGGGTGAAGGATCAAAGCACTACACAGTATTGGAGGACACGTGAAGGCTCTTCATCAATCAGTCGTTATTGTTTCAGCTCCCGGCGGATCGTGTGAATACTAGTCTGAATCTGCCTGGAAGGTTTCATCAATTTCCCTGCTTGGTGGCCAATGATGTGAAGAAGGCTGCACCAGAGAGATCCGATCATACCCCATGGTGGCGACCTTTCGGTGGCTTGACCCCTAATATCCGGGCGAAGTACAACATGGCCTTCTTAAAGAACATTCTTTCCTCGAGTCTTTGTTGTGTTGTCTCTGCTATTGATAGTTGTGTATCCTTCAGGTGAGGAATAGGGAAGCACAAGTGCCTGATCAACTGTTTTCGTCGACCTGATCGCAAGGCTGCAGACTTCGCCTTCGGTTTCCCTTGCAACTGCCTTGGTACACCCTAGTCCCGGACTCACGGAGATAAAGTCAATACAGTACCGGTGCCAACCGAACTCATCGTCCCTTCAGTCCCTTCAGTCCCTTCAGTACCATCTACACATCACATGGCAGGCGTTCTTTCGTTGTTCCTGAGGACTTGCACTGGCAGAGCCGCATGGGGACATGTGACCTCGGCTGAATTTCCTCAAATGTAACAAACAGGCCAAGGCTGCGCTATAATATTATCCAACCAGAGGTGCAGAGCCAAACCGGTGATGACCGGTGAGCCAGGCTCTGTCGTTTTCGACTCCGACTTCATTGAATTACTATTGGATGAACTCAGCCGTCCAGATGGCGCCAACTCTGCATCTCCTGCATGTCCCCTGCACCAGGGCGCCGTAGCTCGAACTGCTCGACTTCGCCTATCAATCGAAATCAGTCTGCCTCTCTTCTGCCGTTCTTCACACTACCGGCTCCCTGGATCTCGTCAGTTGCGCAGTTCCAGCTCACCCCGTCTCACAAACTCCTCGTCTTTCGCACATGTGTTGGACATCACCTTTCATTCCTTCCAATGGACTCGTCTTGTCACCCCTCTATTCCCAAGAGTTGGGCCTCGACAGCTCGCATGTCAGGATGTGGGATCAAATGATCTCCTGTTCTAAGCGGCTCTCTTTCACGCTGTTCCACTCAGGTTAGGCCTATTGCGTGAGCACCATTGAATTGGTGGCACTCCGGGCATACTTCATAAACATCCTTCCCACTTTACGCGAGGGTTGCCTGTTCCCAACCTTCTATTCTTCCGCTTTCCACGTTTCAGCCTCTTCAGTTCCATTTACTGCCTATCGCCTTACTACTTGAAACCCCAGGCATCAAACTGCCCCTGCGCCATAAGTGGATAGCCAGCGCCGTTCTTACTTTGTTTGCCTAGGAGGCAGACAACCCTACCCTCAACCAATTCCAATGGGGCGAAAACCTCGGCAAAGCGGCTACAGTTCCAGGGAGAAAGCGTACAGATCAATCAGTTCAAAGGTTGCCGGCCAACATCCTACGGGCAATCTGTCGTATCGCCTAGCTTTGCCCACCTACCAATCCCCTCCTACGCAACCACAGAATTGGGAACCAGCCGCACAGTCAAAACTTCATCGATACGTCGATCATTGGCACGCAGCGTCGCAGCCAGAATTTCCCAGCCCTGTAGACTCCCTCGCAGTTGCGTCATACCACCCAGCAGGCATTGCAAACTCGGCCACCACAGGACCTACTGCCCAGTTGGAGTATGAGCGAAGAATCTCTCCAGACGCGAATACCCCTACGAATTCAACAGTGGCCATTACTGATCCTGACTATATACGACGTTCGCAAACACAGGGAGGCCGTGCTACTAGTAGTCTGCCTGAGGATGACTTTTCAGTAACTGGTTAGAGCATTATCGTTGAAGTAGCATCAACAGTCGCTAACTAACCACACCACAGCTGATCATGTTATCGCCGGCATTGATGATAGATTTTCCCCAAGCCAAACTGCTCAACTCGTCCAACAACCGGGGCCCAAGTTCATCCCTTATCCAAACCCACCACCAACTAATTATCGCCGAGCTCGTCAAAATAACGAACCATGGAATCCCGTTCAGTACTACCCTTCCGCAAAAGTACCTAGTATGGATGTGGACATGCAAGATGTGCCAGATTACGCTCACTCCCAGGAGGGCCGTGAGAAAGGAAGTGGAAGAACAGGTCCACTGTCTCAAGCACAAAGACAACAAGCTAGTGAGGTTCGAAGAATGGGCGCGTGTCTCCGCTGCCAGATCATGAGAGAAAAGGTATGCCCTGCACCGTTTTCTGCATGACGACTTTTCCTGATGATGCCTTAGTGTGATCTGAAAATACCTTGCCATACATGCGAGACCAAAGACCGCCGCAAGTTTCCCAAGAAATGCATCCGGACTGATTTCGACTGGGACAGCCATCGGACCACCTGCTTTCCTGGTAGGTACAGAAGTCAAGAATATATGATAGCCATTCACTGACCTTGACGGCTTAGACGAATTGACATTCCGACTTAAGCAAGAAAAACTATTCCAACACCTCTCCTTACAATCGTTTAACGTTCCTGATCGGCCATCATTCACGGTGCAATTGGATCTCAGCATCGAGGACAAACTGTGGGTAGTTGTTAAAGAATTTACCCCCTTGCAGAATTCCATTCGCCATGGACACCGTTCGATAGAGGACGAAGACGGTAACAAATCATACCAGCGTCTGCGGATCTGGGACCCTCCAATCATCATGCGCATCCGGGATGGCGATCTACCAGCTACCATCATCTCAATGCGCCAAAAGTTGAATGCTTTATTCAACAACATTCTATCAGAGGAACGCAAATGGGTCAACTGGACCATGAAATATTTCTTCCATGCCGAGGAAGACTTCCAATGCAGCATGATCATCTGGATCGGGAAGTATTACAGAAAAGACATCGAAGAGCACTCGATTTTGTCATCAGCATTGAGCTTGCTGTGGTGGGAATACCTTCTCTTGAATAAATTCACCGTCGCTGAAGAGGACGTGGCAAATCTCGAGAGACACCTGGACGCGAGGCGTCCCGAGGGAGGCGAACATTTCCCTGCTGTCCCTGACACCATCAACCGGTTCCTCAAAGCCATCATCTTACCCATGGCGATCGACACAGCCAAGAAAATCACCGAGGAACTGCACGAACGCCTGTTCAAGATGGCAGTCAGTCAAAAGCTCAGCCAATCCGGCACCGACATCACCATGTGCCTGATGTTTGTGCTGATGATTTTTATGGGTGCCGTGCAGTCGACACTACTTCTCCTACCAGATATCCCCGCGGAAGAAATGGAGAGGGTCTACAATCTGGACATGGCCAAGGTCAAGATCCTCGAGATCGAAGAATCCATCATCGAGCTGTGGACCTCGTTCCACAGATATACGTTAAGCCGACGCGGCGGCGCAACCTCGAAATCCACCCTGACCGCCAAAGAACTCAACTCGAGGGCCGAGGTCCACGCCCGCGCCTTCGACCTCGTGGGCAAGATGAAGAAGGAGATCGAGGACGATTACGGTACGTGTCTACCGCCCGCCTTGGACGTTGTCTCCCTGCTGCTGCTGTACCAGCCAGGGCATCATCGTCAACTTCATCAACAAATTCATCATCATGACCAGATGATGGGATATAGACCTGAGGCTGATTGGTTTTCCCCCCTTTCAGTGAACGAGAGACTTTCCGATCTGACCGTCGGCGCGAACGGCGGCTACAAGCTCGACGGCTTCAGAGCGACCAACATCACGCGCCTCTGCTGGAAGGTTTGGACCAATGTCGAGACTGGTATCTTGTAGCGACATGGGGAAGGCGCCGGCGCCGGTGGCATTTTCAGACAATCCTAAATTCTGGAGGGCGTGGTTGCGTCGCTTCCTTTCTATTCCTGTATTTATTTTCCAGGGTGAGGGCTCACGAAAGCCGCTGGGCTTTAGCTGTGGGCATTCAGTACGATACTTGACGACGAGCGACGATGGACGATTTGATGAGAGCGAAACTGAATTTCTTCATTTGACTATGTCATAGCGTGCGTACCTCCTTGCGGACCCTGCCACCGGGCATGAATGCGTGCGAAGAGGAGTCTCTCGTCCCCTCTAGCCACACAATGCTTCGCAGTGGTGCGGTGTCTGGGACTGATGCAAAGCTCTACGGGTAGCTGGAGTAGGTAGTAACAGTCATGTGCTATGCGAGCAGCCTTACGTACGAAGAGCCGTTGGTGCTCGATAAGCGTATCGTTTGTGAAACGTTGTTCAATGGAATCTCACCATCCAATATGTAACTTGACAACGTTCGCTGGCATTCTCCCGCAATTCCGAGCACAAGCCTAGTTCTACTGATCCACATCAAGGACCGACCCTCTATTCTAGTCTTCATCAGGCAGTGGCGTGGCTCCATGTTCCAAGAGGAGCTTCTCGCGCTGCCTTCAGGGGTAGCCCAAATTTACCGTCGGCGGTATTTGGGTCGGCTCCGTGCTTCAGTAGAAGCCGCAGGAGCTGAAAGATGGATATGCTATCGTTGTGTTCTCTCGAGCTGCACGCGGCCTACAGCGGCGTTCCATATTTACCGCCCGCCTGGTTAACGTCTGCGAGGTGGGCGAGGAGCATCTTTACAGTCTCCTTATCGGCGCCCCAACCATGCTTCTTCAGTGCTACCGCAAGCGCATTGCCGTACTTCCCTACGCCGGTATTGACCGGTACACCCAGATCCAAGAACAGCTGGACCCATTAATTTGTGCCACACACTGCAGTAGCCTGTAGCGCCGAGCCGTAATAGCCTCCTTCGATGGAGGAGTCGGCTCCGGCATCGAGTAGTGTGTTGACCAAAGCAGCCTGAAGCGGGTTTCAAACAAGGCATATAACTCTAATGGATTGGTATTCGCACCATGGTCTAGGAATAGCTGATACATTTGCTCATTCCCGTTGATGATGGCATTGACAAAAGGAGTGCCATGAAGCCCAGCCCCTAGATTGATATCCGCACCATTCGCAAGCAGTTTCTTGACCGCCTGGAACTTCAAGAGCTCGAACAATGGCAGCAGCAACACAGCTATCTTCGAACATGATCAGCTCAAAACCACGATCAAGCAGGAGCTGGACTGTGCTGGTTTGATTCGATGCGACCGCGACCTCGAGCGCCGATGTGAACTTGTCATTGCCGTGAACATAGCACACGGCTGGATGGTAGGCTTCAGCCATCTGGTTGATATCGGTGCCAGTTTCCAGGAGGTGTTTGGCTATCTCGTCATGGCTATGAGCGAGAGCCCCTCGCAAAGCGGTCTGGGTCTGCACCGGCCGGTAAAAGCCATTGAATACATTCTTGTGAGCCCCTAATTATGGCAGACTACAAGATACCGAGATATGTAAACCCAGTTAGGGTTGGGGGATTGGGTAACAATAGAAATGGATGATGAGATACTAACCTATAGGATTCGACATTTAGATTTGCGCCTCGATCCAACCAAGCACCTATTAGATGTTCTTAGCTTCTGTCTTTCGAAGCTAAAGCTAGGGTCGAGTCTCCGCAACTAGCTCCTGATGCGATGAGCGTTTCAGCAGCACTTAGATTACCAGATAAGAAGCCTACATCAGTTGGATAGTCTACTTGGTTCCCACGCTCACTGATGTCCGCACGTTAATGGAGAACAAACTGCAGGACTTCGGCTGCCTGGATTGTATCGCCCCTTTAAGTGGGGGTGCTATAACAGTCGTCATTGGCGCAAGTGATGTCTGCTCCTTGTTTTAAAAGTAGCTTCATCAGCTTATGTCGCTTCGCTTCGCGGCTCTAGCAAGAGGGTTTACACTTACGTTCACCGTAGCCCCTTTCGCTAGGACGCGTGCATAAAGTCCGGGACCTGTGTAGGAGCACGCTATATACCCAGTGAATTCCAGTCGCCATCAACAGGGAAATCAACGTCCGCGCCGTTCTGCAATAGGACTCGAACGGCATCCGCGTGGTGGGGTCATAAGGCCGTCGAATGAGGAGCATCATGCCTCTGACAACAGCTACTAGTATCCAGCCCATGATCGAGGAGGGGCTGGATGATCTCATGGTTGCCTTGATTACACGCGGCATGTAAAGCATTGCCGTTAGAAGCACTGCCTTCCCGAATAGGTGCTCCAGAATGAAGCAGCTTCACAGAGTATGCTCCCGCAAATGGTAGATCTTGGATCTGCGCCAGCTTTGAGGAGGATGTCCATGATTACGGGCTGTCCGCCTTTGGCAGCCCCCCGTGAGTGCGCAGTTCACAACATCGGCCTGAGAATCGTCATGATTGAGGCTGTCCAAAAGGAATTTGACGATGGGCCCAAATCCACACATTAAGTGTAGTACCACGCCGGCTTGAAGTCTCTGACAGTACTGCTAGCGAGTTGTGTTGATAATTTTTGCCTAAAGGAGTCTGGATCATGTAAGTTGAGGAAGTTGAGCAGGTGGTGTCCATTCTTTGAATTGAAGAAGCGCATGAGGAGGGCTTTGATTGTGTCTCTTTCTCTTTGTCTCACCTGTCTAAGATGCGTCATCTAGTGAAGAGCAGAGTTCATCCAAAGAACGGCAAGATGGCGTAGTGGCTTTACTCAGCTATTTGACCGCTGCTGAAATTGAGCAAGTATATTAAGCATATCTGAGAGATCTCACTGTGGCAGAGACTGTCGTTGATTATAAGTAGAGTTAGTGTTAACTTGTTTGCTCGGGATGTCAATAGATATTCCTTGAGCGAGAAATGCGCAAATTGGATAATTTTATCATCCTTGGGACGGAACCCAAACGGAAATATACGCTCGTTACGCAATTAAGTTTAAATATCGCCAACTACATGGGTTAGTGACACTAAGCTTGAGCATATCTCCAAAAGATTGAACGGGTCCCTAAACCAGTTATCTATTGTGAAGGACTTTGCTTCTAGGTCGACAGCCGTACTTTCTGCAACTTCTCGAATAGTCATGGGTCGAGCAGAGAAGGACAACAGCATGAGAACCGCCCGCAATTCGCGGCGGTACATCTCCAGTACGTCGTTGAAGATCCGAGATTATGTGACATCTAAATCTTTTGGCAGATTCTCGAGTACATGGCGGATTCTACCTAGTTTCGAGCATTTTCAAAGTTCTTTAAGCTGGCATACCACCTAACGAAACCTGTATCGAGGGTTAGCTTGCTATAGGTCAGGTATTCGGAACAGCTTGGGATCCACCGGCTCTCTCCATCAAACTCCCTTCGATCTCGCCTTTTATGCTCATGTCCGATCTCTTGAATTTTAGATCGATCATCGTTTGTGCTCGGATATGAAGGCAGATGTCCTGTTTGTCAAAGCGGCTCGGATATTAATATCAGTATCGCTAATCTCGTCCTTTAACTGTTTGATATACACTTCGGGGCGGCTCGCGACAAATAGGAGTATTGAGGTCCTTGATCTGGGCTAGATTATGTTTGCGCTCATGGTTTTCTGACTCTATGCATTCATCTAGGGCATTGATGACTAGAAAGGCTCTCAGCTGTTTCTCGAGGAGGGCTTTAAGAAGTTCAAGAAAATTGTTCTGTACTAGGTCCCGCTCCATTACAGCCCGAGTAAAGCTCGAGTGCTGGCTTGGGTATCATTTCGGTTCTGGCACAGATCTGGCGGATAAGCGATCTAAGGATACCAAGATATGTTTGTTTACAGGCATTACCGAAGTCGCAGTAGTAGAATATGATGGTGTAGTCTGCCCTGAGTGGTTGGGAGCGCAGAGTCTCAATAACTGCTGATGTGAGGATTGTTTTACCAGACCCTAGGAATGAATGGAGCCACAGTAGTTGGCTGGTGCCTGGTGTGTGGAACCAGGAATTCAACTCTCTCGAAGCGAGAAGCGATTCGCAATTTCTGGACATTCTCTTACGCTGTGGTTGATGATTCAGCGCGCTTAATCCGTGGTCACCTCATACGCTGGCCGGCGGGGCCGAGGGATCACAGATCCACAATGACAATGATCTGCACCATCAGTACCCTCAGTACCCAGTACTCGAAACCATCTGGAGCACGAACAGGAGGGAAGATCTGGAGAAAGAATTGTCTCGTAACTGCAATTGAGAGGCAGAGATAGAGAGCGCGCGTACACTACAAAGGGAACATAAGGGTGGGGGTAGATAGTCTAGGTACGAGAGCAAGACTTGTCTTAGCTACCGATCAATAGGACAACACGACTCTCTCTAGAAATAACAAAAGGACACAAAAGACAACTGATAGTCCGAATAAGACCCTTCTGGTTCCTCCGCATCAGTACTTACATTTGCTCCTCATTGTGCTCGAGGAGAAGTCCTCATGTCTTCCTTCCTTGACAAATCCGGAGCTATTCTATTCTACTTAAATGGTAGACGTGTCGCTCATGTCGAATTCCGATACCTCACTCCTATAATTGGAGGTCATGGTGCCTGCACGAGTGCCTCTGTCCAAAGTAAGGATGATCGTGTGCTTGGGAGTCAGCGCCTGGGTTGCCCCAAACCCTTGGTATGGGTTGATGTGGAAAGGCGTCGGTCTACCGTTTATCACCTTGGAGACGACGCACACTATCCTACCATTGGTTTTGTTGCAGAATCTGAACCTTGTCGGGTCTGTTTCGGTATCTGGCAAGTCAAGCCACTCTAAGAACTCCCGTGGTGGGTCCACACATGGTATGATATTCCTGACGCTGTTCTGACTTGAGACTTACGAAGCAGCTTTGATAATCTGCCACGACGGGCAGCCTTAACTTAGCCTTTCGCAGTCTGCCATTTAAAGCCCTTACGTCCGGCTCCAGAATCGCCCAGAAAGAATTATGGATCACCGGAACTAGAATTTTTATTTTCAGAATATTCAACGCTGGAAAGTGTGAAATGGTGGCGGCTTCGTTTGAGCCATGTTCTAGAGTCTACCACGATGGAAGTGGTGCAATATTCAAAGGCACGCGGGAAAGGTGGACTTACTCCTATTCGGGCGCCTGAATCCCTCACAAACAGGTTGAAGAATACGGTTGACCCAACTGTTCCAGCCTTTATCCTCGAACGACAAAGCCCCTTCCAAACGTTCTTATCGACTATCGTTTGTCTTAGTTTGGTTGGGGCAGAAATCAGCGAATGGCATAAACCGGTGAGCCTTTGCCAAACAGGACGTTTCTTGGATGTAGAGAACGTCGGGGTTTTGTGTTGCTGGGTTGTTGATCAGTGCTTCCATTGCTACGCAGGTTTTCATATTGTTCAACTGTAGTATACGAAGGTTGAGCTGATTTATTGTCGAGATTCCACGATGGCTGCTCCAATGCATTCTTTTGCTCCTGTGGGATGTGCTCCATGGCAATCGCCGCATCTAGTTCTGCGGCCAGGTAGACAATCTCGGAGTCACCACAGTGACCATACCTTGGGGTCTTCCGCCATAGCCGTGCTAATTGACCCTGTCCCAGGCATCGGTGGCATCTCTTCTTCTCTAGTGAGTACTTTTCTACGCTTTCGATATATCGCTGTTTATACACGATGCTAGTGACAACCTCCTACTCCGTGGTCACGACCGTGTTGAACCATACTCCCAGGGAGGCAGACCTGCCTAGGGTCTTGTCACTGTACTTGAGCCACGTAATGTCGTTGATGTTGATATTCCTGGCCCGCTTGTCGTTTTCCTCTATTATCTGCCGGATGACGTCCTGTTTGTTCTCCCGTAGGATAATGCCGTCAGTGGGAAAGCGGTGAACCACTAAGCTAAATAGCGGTTTCACCAGCTTGGTGTCATTGCTGAATTTGACTAGCCATTCCGTGTTGGCCTCTGCCGTGGCGAAAGACTGCTTATTCTTAAACCGGATCACGTACTGTTGGTTGTTCCGATCCCTGCGACCTTGACCTCTTTAGTCGGTTACGTCTAGCCTAGAGTACTTTAAGTGTAGCGGTTTGCCTATGCTATGGGCAGCTACCTCGCGAATAAGCCATCTCAAACTCTAGGTTTGATCGGCTCGCCTATATACTGATCCGTAGGTAGTTCACTTCTTTCCGGGTCCGCTCCCTGCCTCTAGAGGAGACTAGGCTAGTAGCCGGCTATATTGTCGTCATCCCGGTCACCATAGACGTGTAGGAGCGTATGGATGAGGGCGACGCTAAGAACGATTCAAGCTATCCTCAAGGGTGAAGCTGTTCTAAGCACTTTCGATTCTTCTTCAATCTCAATCAGCTCAGTTCGGATCTACGGATATTCTCGACAACGTCGCTTCGTTGCGTAGTTAGGAGGATCAAGGCTTTGATATTCGCGTGGTTAATATTCTTCCCATAAAAGCCGTCAGGTGTAATCCTAACATCTAGAATTCGCTGCGTTTCTTGTGCCGCAGCTGCCCTCGCGCTTAGCTTTCGAGTTCTCTTTGAGGTTGACATTGACTTCGGAATCTGCCGGCGCTAATGAGCGTGTTCCGCTCTGGGATCTACAGGTCGCTTAACGCGGGCGCGTATCGTTCTTTTCGCAGATATCGCCTTCAATACAGTCGTTTTCAATTGGAGTCGCGGTTCCAATGTCTAGCTTCTAAGCCAATTCTCCTTTTCTGTGAATTGCAAAACCCGTTTCCTTGCAAGTCGATTCTTTCTTTGATTTGGGTTTGGTGGAGACAGAGGTGGTTCGCTTACGAGTAGAGGCATGGCAACCTTACCGGACGCGCACAGCTGATTCACATTTCTAGCCGAATTATTCTCGAGCGGTCCAACAAAAGTTTTCTGCGCTGATACGTTGCCCTAGAGACGATGCATCTACTCAAGGTGCCTAACATTGCAGACCTGCTTGATCGTTTATTTGTCAACTAGCAGCTTGGTCTGACGACTGAGACCGAGATCGCGTCGTAAGAAGTCAAACTGTGCGCATTCAACTGTCCAAAAGTGCGGCAAATATGTCCCACTGTAATAGCCCTTCACGCAGTCGTAGATTATTGCTACCGGTTTGACGTTGTTGGGGCCTTCAAGAGTACGGAGTGATGCCAGATGCCAACTTGTGTAATTCGATTCGTGTCAATCCGTAGCAGCAAGGACAACATTTCCGTCGACACCTTTTTGAATACGGTACGTAGACCAACCGGGTCTAGGTAGGTCAATGCTGCTGTCGTTTGTTAAAGCCTTCATAAAAACACCATGCGTGACCAAAGCCACGTTTGGCCTCGAGGACCTTTCGCAAGATGCTGCCATCTTTTCTCAAAGTCTCGCGAAGTTTCATCGCTCGCATTTTGACAGCATCGTCGTGTTCAGAATAGAAGCCCGTCTTTGATCTCCATGTTGCGTCCTCCGCATCCGATAGCGGCGAGAGGTCGAGGTAAGGGAACATTTGTTATAGGGACTCTCGAGTTGAACAGGGATCGCAGGGGACGGCGCTCCGCTCCTGCGCATCTGGGTCTACAATAAAGGGAGGCTCCTGCTTTGGCCCATTCCCACTTGCTGGATCGAAACAGCGCCGGTCGAGAACGTTAGGAAATATTACAAGGCGAAGTCTGGATTGCGCGTTGCGACGGGGATGACAAGACAACGCCCGCGGAGTCTGCTTCCGGGAATAGCGAGCCCAATTGTTCTGCAGCCTTAACCCCAGATTCTGTTGACGTAGGGTCAAGCCGTTCAAAAATTTTGTCAACGTTGTGCCGGGATTCAGCATGTCGCAAGAGGAAGACTCTGCTACCGGGCATAGTTGTGGTTTCTGAGCTGCCCTTAGTAACGCTCAGGTTTAGTATCACAGCACTACCGAATGTTCGAAAAGTACTGATGCTAGTTGTGATGATCTTGCTAGACGGCTTTCGAACGATAGAGTCCATCACTAACATCGTCGTGCATCAGTTTACTGCGGGCAGCAAGATTCCCGGAAAACCCCGTGATCCGGCTCAGGCTGATGCCAAGAAATCAGACTCTTGCCGAGATGTCGTTGGCGTGCACGTGCATGCGATTTCCGTTATTCATTGGTTGAATCACTATTGCCAAATTTACGTCACAAATTCGCAATATAAAAATGCCGATGAGTCTTGAATCCTCAAACTCCATTGCTACCGTCAACAGCATCGACATGCCTCTTCTCTCAGCTTTTCGCGCAGTGCGCGACTACTCGCGCGACCAAAATAATGCATATCTTGCCAACACCGATAAATTTTTCTGGCGCATGGGAGATGTGATCACCAGAACTTGGGATCTCGGGTTTACGGCGTTTGGGGGGCCCCCTGTCCACTTCCAAATTGAACATCGTCGATTTGTGCAAGGAACACATGGCCGAATCCCATGGATTGACGAACAAGTGGTAAGTCGAGTGTCTATTTGCCGGCTTGCGTGGTGGTGCTCTGTATGGTAACAGTTGCTTAGTATCAAGAACTGTTCGCAATCTGTCAAGCCTTACCCGGGCCTGGTAGCACGAAGATGTTATTCTGTATCGTTCTGATACATGCGGGCATACTCCCCGCACTACTTGCTTTCCTGACTTGGAGGTTAGTATTGGTCTTCCCCCTAGTCATTATACAAACCTAACCCTTGCCGCGCAGTCTGCCAGGAGCAATCGGCATGTTTTGCCTGTCCTTGGGGGTTCGTCAGATCAATGAGGTTCTCCCTGCTGTTGCGTACGCTTTCCTTTCTGGATTGAATGCATCGACAGTGGGAATTGTCGCGCTTGCTGCTGTCCAGGCAAGTCACCTCCGACAGCTCTTCTCCCCATTGGCCTCTTTCTTCTAACGTAAGCTAGCTCGCAGAGAAAGCTATAAAGGACCAGATCACTCGTATACTGGTAATTTTTGGCGCTTGTGCAGGTCTATGCTATACGGCATTATGGTACTTCCCGGCTCTCATCATCGCCGGCGGAATTGCCACTGTTATCTGGGATTTGTGGCTTCAGCAACAAGTTGGAAAAATTAAGGCTAAACGGGCGGCCAGGAAGCGTGAGCAATCTCAGCCACCTGAGCACCCCGAACCTGCGTCTATCGAAGCGAACGAGCCAGCCGATCTTGCTGAAAGAAACACTACGCCGAGCCAGGAAGGTCCTGGTATTCAACGGAGACATGCAGCACAGACAAGCTCGCATACCAAACCCGGCCCGAAGACCGAGGCACCACGTATAACTCAAGATGTTGACCGAACAGATATGAAGTCATATGCGATACCAGTAACAATTGGTTTGACTATCATTGCCGCATTTTTTGGTAAGTCTGTTCTGTCTGCTAGAGAGTTCTCAGAACTGACCCAATCCAGCCTCGTTCATCGCCATCCTCGTTGCCCGAGGAGTTGTTAAAAATCCAGCGAGACCGCTTGATCTCTTTGCCAACATGTATCTTGCCGGTACCATCATTTTCGGCGGTGGTCCTGTCGTGATCCCGCTTCTGCGCGAATACGTCGTTCAGCCCGGCTGGGTCTCCACGCGAGACTTCTTGATCGGCCTTGCCATCATCCAAGCATTCCCTGGCCCGAACTTCAATTTTGCCGTCTACTTGGGAGCGCTTGCCGTTCTGGGCACGCCTCACTCCACCGTCCTGGGTGCTTTCCTCGGCTTTATGGGTATTTTCACGCCGGGGATCACACTGGCCGTGGGGTTCCAGAGTTTGTGGGGGACCTTGAGGCATAAGCCGATCGTGATCAGTCTGTTGCGCGGGATCAATGCCGCCGCTGTTGGACTCGTGTTTACCGCAGTCTACCGGCTGTGGGAGATAGGCTACCTGACGCAAGAGAGTTCAAGCGGACAGAGTCTAGGTGAAGATCCTTGGTGGGTAGTAGTCACCACTCTCACATACGCTGGCAATGCGTGGTTCAAAGTCCCCGCTCCTGTAGCTATCGTGACCGGAGGTCTATTAGGTCTTTGCTGGTACGGCGCTGTTGGGCGATGATTACCTAGAATAAAAGCATATTCACGGTGCTTTCCATTGCGGGTATAATCGAGGAAATTGGCAAGAGTATAGCGGGTAGCTGACGTTGGGGCCGGCGTGCCATCCCTAGCTGCACATGCTCTGCCAAACCAAGCTCTGCAAATGTCAAGATACATAGAGGCAAATTATACCGAGGAATCAGCTGTAAGCCGGTATTGAAGTATAGTCAGCCATTGCCACCCCAAAAATCCTTTCATTCCGCGGGTTTCTAGTGGCTATGATGTCCCTTTTGCGCCATGTGTAAACTGCGTTCCTCGGTCGGAGGCGATAATCCTGGGAAGTCCGTGGTGTTTCTAAGCGCAATGGACGAGCGGGTAGTATCTTCTTATTAGTAGTTCCAGCCGTAGTAAGCCTTAAAGTCTCGACGCCTTTAATCTATGGTAAGGGTAGTAATATACATATATGTGATAGAGTAGGTGACTAAAAGGTCGCTAAAGAATAAGGATACCTATACTGTGTAGAAGTTAGCCGACGGAGAATAAGGCTATATCATATTATCAGGCTAGGGTCTATTAGTATAGTACTAGTATACTAATAATGCTCGCGACGCGAGTGCGATTTGGAAAGTTACTTCATTTCTAGATAGTTTCGTGGGCCGTACCAAAATGGCTGGAGGGCTTCGGAATGATTATTGGCGAAACGAGGGTTATCTAGCTATTGTTCGGGGATAAACGAGTTCGGAAGTGCAAACTTCGAGGCACAATGGTACATCATTCAGTTGGGGGCAGACACTGTTTTCTTCTCGATGTCAGCCCGTACTCAAGACAAAAAGGGACATAGTCTGATACCTGTTCAGGCAGCCAAATACCATCGACAAAGGAGCCTCCGTCTAAAACGCCTCGTGGAACACCAGAAGGAATAGGATGGTACATGCGAAGGCCTTCTCTGAGCGAGGCAAGCAGAAACAGAAGCTGCGATACCTTCTGCATGGTAATGTCTGATTCCCGTTTGGAAGTATTTCGGGTCTCCTGGATCAACTTCTGGTACGCTTTTGGGCTCTTGAGCAGCCAGAAGGTTGTGCCACCCAGCAATGTTGCTGTAGTCTCGCTGCCAGCGACGATGAGCAGGTTGGCATTTTCTCGGCATCTCGTCCAACGTTAGCCGTTGCTCCTGGTTGGCACACAGCACATAGGACATCAAGTCAGGACGATCTTTGGAACCAAGCTCCGCGCATTGCTTCGCTTGTTCGAAGCTCATTTTCTGGCGATCAAGCTGTTTCCGGATCAGATCGTGCGGCAGAAGGAACTTCATGAATGGCATCGTCCAGGGATGTCGCTTTGTTGCTTGCATATATGAATCAAGTCTAAATCCTAAGAAAATGATTTCAACCCAAGGGTTGTATCCGCCGCTGTCGAGACATCCGAACGGTTCGTCAAATACTAGATCGCCCATCACATCGACCGCCAGGAAGTTGTATCATTTGGACATGTCAAGCCACGCAGTTGGACGATGGAAGGGGGCTATGGGCTCTTACCAGTATGCACTTATCATCAAGATAGTCGGGAGCCCATCAAGAATTATCTGGCGTGCAAGCTGTACTACAGAGATTGGATCTTGCACGGGAATCATTATGCGGCAAGTTGGCGTTGAGTGCAGGTAGAGAAGCGCAGACGTTTCTTTCTCCAAGGAGGTTCGTATGTGTGATCTAGCGACCATGATTGGGATGATAGGCTCCTCTGCTTTTCTAGGGGTTTGAGGTATCGCGAACACGGCAGATCTGGAGACGCGGGGATCTGGGAGCAGGGATGGAGTCAGACCGAGGGACGTATCTGAAAGCTATGCTCGGACAGATTTGAATGCCAGCTTCTGACCCCTTTAAGGCTCTGTGAGTGAGCCCATCCGAGATCACTCCCGTCAGTCTGATTGCCATTGCCAAACTCGCGATGGCGACGGCGTACTACTCGAGGGTGCAAGAGATGTTGACATTTGCTCTGTCAAACTACCGAAAACCAGGGGTCTCAGGGTGGAGAGTGGAAAATTCAAGAATTGTGCCGGGATGTCGAGAGAGGCGGTTGGTTTCGCAGGCGGTTGAGCTCCCGTGGGCGATTAGACCGAGCCACCATAGACTTAGCTCTCTAGCCGTAGTATAATCTCATTCAAATAACATAATCCCTCAGCATTCGCGTAAGAAAGCACGGGCGTACCATTTCTCCACGTCATATACGTCGGTACGTCTGATGGGGCACCAGTGCAGTCGTTCTTCTTCCCCAGTGCGAAAGGGCGTGTGACCTCATTTTGCCCGTTGTTAGTCCGTTGATCGCTGGCCTAGCATCTAGTAACTCCGTGTCCTGAGTCACTCACGCCCGAAAGACTGAAACCCGGGGACCGAGTATAATAAGTGTAGCTCGTCGGGAAGAAAATCGGATCCGTCTATTTCTTTTATGAAGTCTAAGCGCCCACTGGGGAGTTGAAAGTCTCTGGCTATTGACAAAGGTTCCAAAAAATCAATCATCTTCAGATTCAGCATCGGCGTCAGGCTCACTATCCGCAGCAATGGCACAGCCCTCAACGTTGGAGTACACACGGTTGCCGGAGAGAGCACAGAAGATCGTGGACAGCTTCATGCCAGACGAGGAGAAGATTGAGCGTGAGACAGCCGCTTTTGGACACGTGAAGCCTCGACCAGCAGACAAAGAAGGCGACACGGAAGTGTTAGATGGGAAACTGTTTACACACCACTTTACCTCCGGACCCGGCGACCATGAAGTTGTTCAATGGCATTATGTGGAGGCCGGTCCTACCGGAGGGGAAGTGGTGGTCTTCCTCCATGGTATTCCCGATGCGTGGTATCAATGGCACCACCAAATGGCTTCCCTAGCAGACGCGTACCGATGTATCGCCGTGGATTTAAAGGGCTACGGGCAATCCGAGAAAGGAGCTGGTGACTATCGCCACGAAGGCGCTGCCGACCAGCTTTTCGCAATGCTTCAATTGATTGGAATCAAGCAATTCAACCTCGTGACTCACGACCGGGGCACCGTGCAGGGCGATTTCATTGTCGCTAAGAATCCTGACTATGTTACTCGCTACCTTCGCGGCGAACAACATCTCCACCACTTCAACCCTCTAGTGGCTCCCCAGGGAGACCTCTTCAAAGACGCCCCCTGGACAGGCATCATGGAGAACCCCACCAAGTTCGTCATCTGGGTTCACAATTGGGTCAGTGGCCAGAAGCCTATCCCGAAGCCAGAGATGGAACGCGTCATACAAGAATTCTCGCATCCTGGGATTACCCGTGCCGTTCCACGGTATTTCAACTCGTCGACGTTCCGACAGGAATGGCTACAGCGCCGCAACCATCTCCTTGCGGCCTGGAAATGCCCCGTCCTAATCATGCAAGGCTTCGACAGTAAAAGCCAACCGCGAGAGTTTTACGAAAATGCCCGCGAATACATCCCAAACGCGGAGAAGGTGACTGTTCAATACATTCCCGGAGGACACTTTTGGACCTTAGAGTCGCCGAAGGAAACAACAGATACGATCAGGAAGTTTCTGGAAGACAAGATTTGATGAAATATGCTTCTCAATATGGTCAATTGTAAGGGCCGGATCCTGTTGTGGTTTAAGGGGTACTTCTGGGTAGTCTTTAAGCCCAGCGCGATGCCGATACCAGTATAGATATCATTTTTTAGCTAGCCACACATGCGATATCCATCAGGATCGAGGCCGTTCTTCTGTGGTCTAGGACTCCCGCCAATGCGCCTAGCCTTGCCTGCTAGCCCTCCTCTTGAGGGGGTCGAGTTGTTTGGCTCTTATAACGCTATTTTTTCAACAATCACTTAGGTTTCAAAGTCCACTTCTTAGACATGTTCCGAACGCCGGCTTAGTGCCATCGGCTTGTGCTTGAGGTGTGGGTCCTTTTTGCATACAGTAATCAAAGTGTCTCGGCCTAATTATCATTGGCTGCCAAGCATCGGCCTAATTGTGCTGCTAAATCTTCCGCATGCCACCAACAGCGGGTACCCGACATTGTGGGACATGTGGAACAAGCGGAGAAGCAATCGCCATCCCCCGCTTCCAGAACGACTTAGAAACTGTAAATCCACATCCCGGATTATCCACCTTTTCGTCCATAATATCTTCTGGCTCTTTGCCGTACCTCTAGTTATGCCGGACACCAGCCGCGCAAGAATAACGTGCTTCAGCTGTCGAAAGCGCAAGGTGAGGTGTGGCAGAGAAGTCCCCGATTGCTCTCAATGCCAGCGCGGTCAGCACCACTGCAAATACCCCGACGAAATCAAGAAACCTGGTCCGAAGCTCGGTAGCGTTCGTAGAGGGCCCCGAACGAATGCACCGGGTCAGGGGAAAAATCAGGGGGCGTCACGTCCAGGTCCCACGAGCCGGGACGAAAGCATTCAGAGTATCTCTACGCGAGAAGGCGACATTGCGCCGCCGTCCGTCCAGGGCACTCCAGGGCACGACGACGACGACGACGACGACGCGACGCCGAACACGCAGCGCGCCTCAAACACGATAACAGACCCGCAGTTTGACGACATCCAAAGCATCTCCTATATCATCCACCCTTCGCACGAGGCTTGCGCGTTAGACCGCCCGAATTCGATCGTGAACCATCCCGCCACCACTGGCACCAGTGACGAAGTAGCGCCACTGATATGTGCCTGTCGTGCTCTGGGGGTGACGGAAGACGGCCTGAGTAACATGTAAGCGGGCCATGGCCCCGATTTCTGTGCTACGTTTCTCGTGACATACTATACATCAAGCCCAACAGGGGTGACACAAATGAAGGCTGTAGTGGATCTATGCTGACATGCCGGTTCGGATCGATGATAGGTTGAGCATATTCTTTGCAACATTTACTGCCTTCACGCTGTTCCGAGAATTGCATTTTCGGGCGACCCTTGGCAAGATAGGCAGCGACGTACATCTGAAAGCGCTCCTGGCCGCGATATTTGCCTTTTCACGGAAGTCGATGGAGTTTGGCAATGGGAATACCACTACCGGCTTTGTAAGGGATCCGGACGCAACTTTGTCTTCCTCACAATACAATGACCAGGCTGTGTTTTGGGTTGATGCGGCCGTTGCGGAATGCGGAGATGACCCGCCTCCATTGTGCGTGCTTCAGGCTTTGGTCCTGGTGACGCATTGGTTACTGATTCGGCGCGTCCGTGGGCGTGCCTGGCGCTCCATGGGCCTTTGCATCCGCATAGCATATGAGCTGGGCCTGCATACAATCGACAAGGGGCGGGATTTCGAAGTCACCAAACAAGCACCAGAAAGGTGGTGCGAAGACGAAGAGCGTCGGCGCACGTGGTGGGCCATATGGGAAATGGATGTCTTCGCCTCTGTGCTTTACCGCCTTCCGTGCACGATCTCTTGGAGCTCGACTCAGGTCTGGCTCCCTGCGCCCGACGAAAACTGGCTCCAGTCGCAACCACAAAACAGTTGTTTTCTTCACCCAGGCCTGGTATCTCGGTCTCAGGAGCTTCAAGCAAGTGGCAATGAGTCGCCCAAAGCATGGTTTATCGTGCTAAACTCGTTGATGGCAGAAGGACATGCCTTCTCTTCTCGCGTAGGCAATGGGGCAGTTGTTACAAAGGAACCTACATTGGGCGGGGAACAATATGCCAGCGACAACCGACTTTTCCTTGAGAGGTTGATGAATGCAATCCAGCTGTGTGCCCTTAGCATACCTTCCAAGTACAAGTACCGAGGCCAATATCTGGATTTCGGCACGATGCAGTACGGGCAACGGGATCGAACGTCGACGATCCGCACACAAAGCGCGGTGTACGAGTTAGCCTTGATGCAAGAAGTGGCGAAGCTGATGGCGTTGAAGAACGCAATTTTTGAAGGCGGAGCTGCGAGCCTGCTTCGAAAGGCCCAGGACTTGGGCCTGGGCCTGAGAAGTCAAAGCGGCCAGGGAAATACAGGTCAAACCCTAGACAGATATTTCCAGGCCTCGCACGCGATATTCAGCCATCTGTTCAGTAGCCACGAGACGCATGTCCAATACGTGAACCCTTTCATTGCACACGCGGCATGGATGGCGGCAACTGTACAACTTCTTCAGCATGCGTTGACGATCAATGAAGCTCAACGAGAGGTTGTCAAGTCAAGGTTTGAGCTGTTGAAAGCCATACACAAACAGTGGGTCGAGCATTGGTCGATGTCAGAAGTCCCGCTACACCGCCTTGTCGTTCTTGAAGCTCAACTGAGAAGGCTGGTTTGCCTTTCGAGGCACCCAGCAGAGCCACGACGACTCTTGAGCCCTGCGCCTGCGGCAGATAAGTCTACACGACTACAACACCATTGCCCAGACGTCGGGAACGGCAATTCTGCCTCTGGCTCCGATGGACTTGGACTGAATGGCTTGATGCACAAAGCCAGCGGGCAGCAGAGACCGGCAGTATCGCTCGGTAGGGAGTCGGTACCTGCGGCATTACCAAATCCTCCTGTCATAATTGAGTCTTTACCCAATGACATGCATATGGGTAATCAGGTGCAGCAGGTTCAGACCGGTGGATTAGAACTTCAAATGATGGCCGAGACATCACGACAAGGTTTGGGTCCGACGACTGACCCGGTACTGGCATCGGATGCAAATAGAGCCACTCCAAACTCGGCGGCCCAATGGCCAAAGCAATCTATGCAGGTGGACCTGTTGGATGACGCTGCCATGTGGAACGACATATTCCCCGAGGAAACAACCAACTTCAGCCTCCTGACAGACAATAAAATGATTGGAGAGGTATCAAGCTATCTGGACGAGATCTTCTCGGGGCCTGATTTTTGGTGAGCAAAAAGACCAAATTAATCGATCTATCAAAGACCCAAAAACCCCGTATCGAGCAATCACAGAGCCTTTTCCCTATCTCCGTATTCGCGAAGGTCTGCGGCTAATCCCAGTTCGCTGGGAAGCCTCTACGACTTTGGCACCATGGTCCTTCGTCCCTGCATGACGCCCTGTAGCTCGGGTGTGCCAAACGCGGCATCAGCATACTTCAGCAGCCTGTTGGATACGATCCCGGACCTTCCCACGTCCTGCAAGCGGCCTAACAAGATGACCAAATGTGCATCTAGCACGGTTGGTCGGTTGGACCCCAACAGCCAGGGCGCATCTTCCGAGAGTAGCGACTCAACCTTTTCCAGGAGATGGCGTGCCTTTTCCTCATTGGCACGAACAGCGTCTTGCTTGATGCCTTGGACTTTTTCGCGCGTGGTGCTAAAGAAAGGAACGAGGATCCGTTTGCGTCAGAAAAACTGTCCTTCTCAACATGAGTTGGGATGTGTAAAGCACTTACACTGATAACTTGTATTCCAGGGCATCTCTGTACTCGTCGCTGATGTCGTCCCTCGCAAGCCGATCTCGGATAGCCTTGACGAAGCCTGCGACGACCTGGGGCCGGTCGGGGAACGAAAGGGCAAAATAATTCAAATCATGGACGGCTTTCAGCAGCGCGAGACTCTCTTCTTCGTGTGACTTTGGCATCAAACCAGGGTAGTGCTTGAGTAGATAGAAGGTGATTTCCAAGCTGTCTGCGATCGGCTTGTCAAGGGTAGGCGAAGTGAGTGCTGGCACCTTCATAGATAACGGATATCGTTAGCATTCGGACTCTCCCGCAAGCGATCGGCTATGTATTGCATCGTAGCAGATACCACGACTGGAAGACGTGCCTGTCCCTTGCGGTTGACTTTCGTCAGGAAGTGTTCGTCCAACTGGCCGTCATTGAATAGGTCGACCACGACCTCGTCGAACTGCATTGGCGGAAGCCCATCCCGCGGTGGTCCAGCTATGGCAATGGTGTACCGCACCTGGAGCGAGCATAACGAGTAATGATTATGGTATAATCGGTGGCTTTCCATGGCTCGGGTACTGTATCTTTGAGTCCGGGTTCGCTGGTGTTCGTAGACGAAGTTGCGCTGTAGGAGATCCTGAATCCAATATCAACTTGGATGAGTGCGGTAAGAAGTGTGCATGGGAACGAGAGCTCATATTTGAGAAACTGCTCCACATGGGGGTTGCTGGCGGCGAACGTCTTGCGGTGCAACTTTCGGGTCGTCCCGCCAAGGCCTGACGCCCGAGGCGCCCGAGGATAGTGAGCCAAAAATCACCCCGAGCACGGGGCGATTCCCTGTTGACACGACAAAACTCGGGGCACGGAGCGGGCTTACTGAACGAGGCCCACGTCACAAGTGTGCTCTCTATAGACGGGTATCATACGTACTAGTGACGCATTGCTATGGGCTCCACTAATGAAGTGCCAAGCCTACTCTTGTAGTGGTCACGTGATAATTAGGTACCTGATTGTCAACTTTTGATATCGTAGATGAACGGCATATTTAACCGAGGTGATTTAGTGTTTCACAACCACGGGATACCTCGTGCCCAAGGAGATGAAACAGGCCCTCAGGCTGCAGGGCATGTCTCTTGTTAGCACACTCCTATACCAACTGAGGGGGGTGGGACGGTCGTGGATGATGTCAACGGCTAAGATGTTAACACAATGGGTGAACCTCGGTCAATGGTCATTCTGCCCCGCGTTGCCCCTCCCTCCATAAGGATTGATTGATCATGAGAAAGACACGTGTGATATACGCCCGAATTGCCAGTGGATTGGTAATAGTACGCGTGGGATGACGGGTAGAAATAGTGCACATGGCTGATGGTATTTATTGATACATAACTGGGTGTTTCAGACATGGATCTCCAAATGGATCTCCAAATGAAAAGCAGATTTCACACTAAGCGAGGAGAATGGTCGTGCAAGTAGAAGTATTCCGTCCTGCCCCTCCTTTCCCTGTCCTACTTACAACATCACCTCAACTCACTTATCCCCTTCACTCCTGTGTTGCATAAAGAAAGCATCGAAAGCCCATCCCGTGAAGTAATGGTTTCGATCAGCGATGTACAGTTCTAACGTTGTGTTGATGAAACAAGGCTGCATGTTGAGAATAGTGGTGGACAATGAAACATGAAATCTGGGTTCCTGGGTTGCTCCGATGCTATGCCTATGATATCCGTGAAAATGAAAATGAAAATGCTCCGACTTTGACATACCGCTATGAAGCAGCGAGTATGCGGGAGGTCGAGGCTCGGTATTGATTCTGGGTTTCTCTCTTTTTGGGGAATTTCGGATGGGATATCTTGTTGGTTTTGAGGCAAGCCAATGACTATCATGTCGTGTGGATGGCATGTGCCTTCAAGGGCGACGGTAACGTGTCGCCAGAGTTGTCCAGTTGTGGTGAAGAGGAATGGAGGAAGTATGGCCCAAACAGGATCATAGCCTTTGGCCTCGTGGTTCCTGCCGATGCTTGACCTCCATGACTCGGGTTGTATCTCGATGTCTTCAGGAGACATCGTGTCTACTTCTTGGAGCTCCAGCCCCCGTGGATTGGCGGCTTCGGCTTGGGATCTCCCTTTGGAGGGTCACCTCGAGGAGGTCTGGTGAGAGGGCCGATTGTGCCACGACGAGAGCCCATGTTTGAGGTGATGTTATAAGCGTAAGCGATGTGTGATATTTTTTTTTTTTCGGTGATGAAGATGATCGTGGTTGTTGTTGGTGGTGTTGTTGAAGTTGAAGGTAAGAATTGTTTTTATCTTTGCAGTGATGGCTTGCTCAGGATATTGAAGATGATATATGTGAATGGCCTTGATCATGTATTGACTGAAGGTGAGATGGAAGGAAATATGTTTGTTCTAGAAGGCGAGGGGGGACATATAAAGCCGGCAAATTCAGGCAACACCAAGGTTCCTGGCCAGGCAGGGTGGACTTGCATGGACACACTCTCAAGGCAGCCACAGTGCAAGTGTGGAACCAAAGCCTCGACGATGGACGACAAGTAGGAAACAAAGCCCTTGTCTGAGGTTGAAAGTGAAGCAAGTCGAGCAGTGCCACGGAAAGGAAAAAGAGTCATATCTCTTGACAAGGGACACTTTCCTGAATTCCAACATGGACATAGGCACCAACAGCCAATCATAGCCCGACGACGCTATAACACAACCCTTTTGAGGGGGAGATCAGGTGGCGAAGGTGATAGGCAATGGCTAAGCAGCAGCACTAGGAATCCAGGCAACAACACGGACTGCGCCAGCATGGCGAATGACTGGATCACGGAAGGGCAGCAAGTGGATTCGATTCAGGCGGAGATGGCACGATGCAAAAGGACTCCAACGTTCCAGCAATCCAGAGGGAGAAGTGAGGGATTAAGACCGTTGGGAACTTGTTTGTTTGGACTTTTGTCCGAGGCCTGGGGTTCCATCCAGTCACAAAAGGCGATGGATAGTGGGAGACGGAACAAGGCTGAGCAGGGCGGCACGAAAGGAAAAGGGCATACCGGAGGATGCGTCGAGATTTGGTGCTGGAATGTTATATCCAAGGCGGGATGGAATGATTCAGAGCCTCTGGGCACCAGTGACGCCAAAGGACTTGATGGAGATCGGACGGTTGCACGAGGGGCAGTGGGCTTAGAGCGCGGCAATGCGCCAACGGTAAGGCATGATTGGAAGAAGGGCTTGAATGGCATTCACGAGGCAGAGAGGCGCGAGGCTTGAAGCCAGCATTTTGGTGGGCGCCAGTGGACAGGAGAGATGGGACATGCGACATTGTGGGTACAGGACAGGAGCAATGAGTCAACGACGGCACAAGCATTGAAGCAGCGGCGACTGCGCCATGGCATGGGTCTGGCGCAAGAAGTGGCAGCACGGCACTGGAATGGAAGGCCAGCGAAAGAACACCAGAGTTGAGTTTCTGGGAAAGGTGGTAGAATGGTAGATGGAAAAGTTATGCGGGAAGACAAGGCGATACGAGAGCAAACAATGGGGGCGGAAGCATGAAATGACAAGCACATTGTTCAGCACATTGTTCAGCACCGACTCCAATGCACGTGTGTGTGAGAGAGAGTGTGTGGGGGGGAGAGAGCACAGCCTCAGAGAAGAACGGCTTGAGGGATCGGAATGGAATCAATGGGATCAAAAGGGACGCGACGAGGCGGGTGTCTTTTGCCTGACAGGAGAGAATTGGGAAAAGAGAGAGTCAGGGCGAGACAAATGGACAAACGATAGTGCTACAGTGCCATTGATACAGCCACTGTCCCGATTGCACTTTCCCAATCGACGATACAGAGAGTCAGGAAGGTACAGATACTTGGCGTGTCGTTGGAGGGAAGGTGCGAGGTGTGAGGTGTGAGGTGCGAGGTGTGAGGTGCGAGGTGTGAGGTGCGAGGTGGACGGGTCCCCAGCAGGCAATCACGAGTCCGCATGGCCCAGCCTGGTTAGTCGGGGGGCCGCAAGGGAAGCGCAGCCTGGCACCCGCCCAGCCTATGCCATTTTGGGTTGGTGCCTTTGCCGGCCACGATTACGATTGCGATTGCGTCTGACTCCCCGCCGGTGATTGCAGCTTGATTGCCAGAAACTACGGATCTGAGACTCATCATTGATTGAGAAATGCGGCTACCTGGACGAGCCACCAAGTCACCTCCGTTGCAGAGGGAATCAGTTGGGCTTGGAGATGAGGGGTTGGAGGCTCTTCCAGCGTGCATCTTCCTGCTGCAAAACATAGCAGACGGCGAGTTTATTGGTAGTTATTTGGCTCTAGTGATACTCTCCGGTTCTTGACATGGCTAGACACCTCGCCAAAAAGCAATGGGTTTGAGGAGAGGCATGGGTCTCGTGGTGGTCATCGGCCATTGGGTGATAAAATCATCAAATGGGAAATGAATCCACGACGACTTCTCAGGTCGGAGGGCTTCGTAGTGGTTCATGCTGCTGTAGTGCCGACCAGGGGGATAGATCTGGATGGGTGACATGCTCAATTGTTCTTCCATTCCTTGGGCACTATTGAGCAATGACGGTGGGTTCGGGGCCGGCTCAGCATGAAGAACAGTGCATCATGGTGGACAACCCTTACAGTGTAGCCTCAGGCCTTTGCGCAAGATCGTTCCTGGATATTCAGGTAGACTGGCCGGAGCAGATCACGCGGCCCCAATCACCACCAAGGTCCACATTGAACATCGATCTTGCACATAAGATATGTAAATTCGGGGTGGGGTCGACGGGCGAGACAAACGCGGGTGATCGATCACTCGTGGGCGAAATGATAAAGTGGGTTAAATTTTTTTAATTTTTTTTGGGTCTATCTAGTCGGGGTCCCTTGTCTATCGGTATCGGTATCAGAGGGACAGGGCTGTGCGTCATATCGATACGGATGCCCTCCTGCTACGGAGTACGGAGGACCACGATCCACCATTGAGCAGAAGTGAGTTCCTGACTCGGTATGAGGACCAGACAACTACAGCAACGGGGGTCATTTTGTTTCACCTCCGACGACTCCGTATGCTCGACCTCAAGCACAAGCCTCCACCGTTGCCTGAGTAGGCTGCCACGCTACAGGGCTCCGAGCTAGAGTTTGTGGGGCGCTCCGAGACCCCGAGGCGCCATGTCCCAAGGCTGCTCAGGCGCTGCCTGGCCTCCTTAGGCTGTTGCCCGAGGGGGTCACGACTCACGCCTAGCTCCCTGCCCAGCATTGACTTCTGCGCGCACCCGGGGGCCATCAGAAAGCCTGGAAGCCCGAAAGCCGCCTAATGGGGCACGGAGGTGCAAAGTGCGAGGTGCGAGCACCCGGCCAGCTGACGGAGGCGGTTGAGGATGTTTGCGCAGAATGCTGATCTAGCGTTCCTTGTCGCAATCATCCAAGTGAATCATGTTTTCTGCCTAGCATGGATGAGTCGTTATTTCCAATTCCAGCAAATCACCTGAGTGGTGTTTATGACGTGTTCGTTGACTGGTCTCCAACGGCAGCGTCAGCCCAACTCTACGACAGAGCAAGTGTACAGGAACTTGCTACCCACCAAACCGAGAGACTTGGCCCAACCGACCACAACCTTGACTTCCAGCAAAAGTACACTTCTTCGTCCCCAGCAGCCCTCACGCTGGCAGCAACCAGCCAGCGAGCATAGTGTACACTGGCGCCATTTCCTGTACGCCTGTATTACTTATTGGCTGATATTCATCCTTGCATCCAGCCATCCTTCTTCCCACCGCACGATGCAGTCTCGAAACTCACCAGGTCCCAGTACTGAGCATTGGTCGAGGCCTACATATGACCCCGGCGTTGTCTGCATTTCCTGACAAAAGGTCCTAGGGCACATCGCAGACGCCTCAACCCGTCACGACAGACTCGCGGGCCTTGGGCACTATGGGTCCGTGTGCACATGTTTCAGACCACTAGGCCAAATCCAGGCTGTGAAAACAAAGTCCACCATGTCATGAGATATCACTTGGCTGTACCAGGATGAAGACGAACGTGATCTTGCTGCCCCCCCCTCGCCCCGGGACCAACTGCGCACGCCGTTAGCTTGAGCCTTGGCTGTGTTCGGCTTACCTGTCCTGTCTATACATGGTACAGCAATTGACACAGCAACGCATTCAGCTGCAAAACATTGCACTTGGGAGACGACAAGGCTAGACAAGGCTACGCGACACACCTGTCCCTGACGCAAGATGTCATTAGGCTGCGTAGCTTTAGATCTATCCCGCACAACCACCCGTTTCATTTCATGGTACAGTCGTCGGTGTCTGTGTAGAACCTGTATCCCATCATAAAAACTCCTCTCCAGCGTCCTGCTTCTCCACCGGATCCGCCTGTAGGACTCCTCCACCCGCCTGCACCTCCTCGGTCTTGACCCTCCTCTTCTTTTTCTTCTTCTTGACGACGCCTCCTCCCCCTTCTGCCTCTCCTTCCTCCTGCTGCTCTGCACGATCTGGAATCTTCGCCCGCTTCTTCCTCCTCCTCTTCACAACCGTACCTTCCGCATCCACTCCCTCGCCCAGAACGGTCCGGCCGCGCTCAAGCTCGCGCTGCATCTCGACGCGTTTCTTCTCAACCTCGCGCAGCGCCAACGTCATCTCGAGTTCCTCTGCTTCGCGGCGGAGGATCTCGGATTCCGAATCCGGTTGGCCCCCTTCTTCGAGGCTGATTTGGCCCAGCGTCGACGAGTCGAATGTCAGGAGGCTTCGACCGGGCCGTGCTTGAGTCTGAGGCCGAGCTCCAGCCAGCGGGCTCATCGAGCGTGAGTGGTGGGGTGTTGCATTCGTCGACAGCGATGCCGATTTCCCGTGCTGGCTTCCCAGGTCGTCACTTGCATCGAGCGTTTCGTCTGCCGCGATGACGAATTTCTTTGCGGGCTTCTTTTTCCGAGTTGTGCGCTGCTGCCGCTGCTCTGGATCGCTTTGTAGGGCGGTCGTTGTCGTTTGCTCATGGTCGATTTGTAGATCCATGATCGGGATTGAATCCACGTCGAGCTCCTCGCCGCCGTTGGATTTACTGATGATCTCGTGGAAAGTGGGGCTGGATCCTCCGGATGGAGCAATGTAGAAAGGGTCGTCTTTGTTGCGTGCCATGCGCTCTGCCTTTCGACGAGCTATGGTCGCGGGTGACTCCGGTGCCGATTGATACGAGAGCGGCTCGCTCTCGGTAGGCTCAACTAGTCGTGCCGAGGCGGCTTGAGGTTGAAGTACCATTGCCGATGCTGGAGGCTCCCTTTCATGATAGAATTTCTGAAATGCATCGTCACCCAGATCGTCCTCGTCAGCTACTTGGGAAGCCTGCAGGATCGCTGGAAGTTCTGCATTCAGTGGCGTGTCCAGCTCGAGGTCGGCGGCCACAGGAACTTTCTTCTGAGCTGCTGGAGCAACAGGTTTAAGCTCGATGCCAGAGAACAACGATGGTACCGCTGATGTGAGGAGTAACGGAGCCTGTACTTCGTCGTTCGCCTGGGCCGTAACTGCTTCGGCCGCGACACGGAGTAGTTCAAGAAATTCGACACTTCTCTCCTGGACTTCGAGGTTGGGGTGCGCTGATAGTCTTTCAAGGAACTCGGTTGTCCGTGCAAGAGTCAGTGACATTGTCGTGCCCCTCGAACGATTCCAGTGCTCGTTGAACATCACTGCGATCTGAGAGATGACTTTGGGAATTGCTTGGATGAACATTGCCAAAGCGGCTGGAGAGAGAGTTTCAGACGATTCGTGGATCAACGAGTTGAGAACCTCGTGCGGATTGGATAAACTCGATGCAAATTCACCGCACATCCAGGCCGCGGATGTGAGGACTTCGCTCTGTCCTGAACCATGCGCAGGAAAAATAATCGCGCGATTCGACAGCAAGATAAGAGTCTCGGCAGCTTTGGTAGTCTCTGGCCGTAGTTCTTTGACGCGGACTGCAATGTCAAGGAGTTGTCCTCCTACTCTGGAAGCGGGAGATGATTTGGTCTCGTCACTTCCTGTGTTCAAGGATCCCGGTTTGTCGGCTGGCAGGTGGCGAACAAGGTGCACGAGGATTTCAATATACCATTCAAAATCCGTGACGTTTGAGTAGATATTGTGTGAACACATGTTCAATATTCTCGTAATGATCTCGTGACGATACTCGTCTGGTATAGGAGTGATCTCGGAGCTTCTTTTGTCGGGAATGAGCCTTTGTTCTAGGTCTGTTTGGTCTTCATCCACATGGCCATTCTCGGCCGATGCAGATGCAGAACTGGCAAGCTGTTTCATCAAACGATTGATGATCGGTTGCAAGTTGTCGCTGTTGACCATACCAGATACCAGTTCTAGAGCTTGCATCTTGATTGATATGTCTGGATCGTCTAGACATGCCATGATAACATCCTGTTGCATTGAGACAAGGTTGGGATGTGACCCGACGATCTTATTGAAGGCCAGCAGTGCAACATACTTCAAGTTTGGGTCACCGTCAACAACGATCATGCCCCTTAGCTTGGAGATGCACAGATCTGCAACCTCTTCAACGTCAATTCCACTCTCAGGGCCTTGTAGGATACCGCCTTGGATGATACCACTGATGCATTCGTAAAGCAGCGACATGGCCGTGGTTTCCTGGATGAGTTTGGTCAATGGTCGGACTAGTTTCTTGACCAATCTAGGTTCAAGCGGCGTGAGAACTGCAAATAGTTTGATTATTTTGATCCCCATCCAGTTATTCTTCTGCGCCAGCAAGAGCTCAAACAGTCTTGGCGCCAAAGGCAGGAAATCCTGTGGTCTTCTCCAGCCCAGTTCACAGACAACGTTGACGGTAGCGGCAGTAACGCTGCTGTCTTCTTGCTGGTCCATGAGACGCTCCTTGAACTTTGGCCATGCTACTCTAAGCGTCTCTGGATAGACCAGAGCGAGTCTGTAGAGGGTGACAATGGTCTTTTTCCGAACTGCTGGTTGAGAATGGGACAACCGTGGGAGCAGATCTGTGAGGATAGACAAGGCCAAGGATGAAGTCACTATATGAGGGAGAGTGATGAGTGGAAGAGAAAGAACGGGAATTGTAGGAGATGTGAGGTCCTTCTTCAGCAAATTCTCAGCCAGCATCAGGACTTCTGTCTCAGGCCCAAAGCTTTGGACAGCAGCCAAATAGCCGACTCGTTTGAGCATTGGTTTGGGGGAAGCCATGACTTCCAAGACATTGAAGGCGGCCCATGTCATATCATACCCAAACATCTCCAGATAGATGAGTTTGAGTAAAGCTGTGGCCTTGACATCGAGGTCCTGGGAGCGTATCTCGCTTCGGCACTCTTTAATGGCCGATTGGATATATTCGGCTTCATTTCCTTTGTGGCCTCGTAGGCCGCGGATCAGGTCCACCAATGATTTTTCGAACATGGTGAGAAGTGCTATTGATCTGGTGTAGGTGGAATTGGAAGTTTCTTACACAGTCGAGTGATCATCGTTTCTGGAGGCAGACTGATGGCTATGGAACCAAGCAGATCTAGTGGCCTGATACCGAGTATATCAGACTCGAATCGTTTGATTCCAGTGGCACATTTCATGAGACTCTGACTCCAGCACGCTCTTGAGCGGAAAGGATAGTGTGGGAATTAAAGATGTGTCTTCCAAAAAGATAGTGTTGACATTGGAGATGTCGTGAGATGGCGGAATCCCAGGCGATGCCAAGGCTTTGGGATGCACCGAAAGTGGTTAGAATTGTTCTAACGCCAAAATCCACTGCTGCCCTAAGAGAGGTCCTCCGTACGCGATATCGACCAGGAGGCCAGAATGACCCTCAGCCTACAACCTCCTCCTCCAGCTTGCTCCTAATCACTCCGCTTCTGTCGCCTAACGAGAAACCCCAAGTGTCACTCTCAGAGTCCCAAAAAACCTGTTGTCTGATTTCCAACCAGGACAAGATAATGACGACCGCACCACAGCATTCCTCAGACCCTGCCGCTGCGCTGCAAGTAGCACAGCAAGCGTCCTCGATCCTTGCAAAGTCTTCCTCCGTCAGTGCGACGTTCCCTGCTTCCTTGTTCAGCCGTGCCGAAACGCCCGAGCTATGGACCGAACTAGAACAGCTACTTTATGCCTGCCTACGTACTGGTGACGATAAATCTGCGTTTTTGTGCCTGGAAAAGCTGGGACAGAGGTTCGGAGCCGATAATGATCGGGTGATGGCTTTGAGGGGCCTCTATCAGGAAGCGGTGGCAGAGGATGACGAGGCCCTACGCAAAATACTAGAAGACTACAACAAGATTCTGATGGAAAACCCGATGAATGTGCCCATACACAAACGAAGGATTGCTCTGATCAAGGGCATGGGACGACGCCAGGGAGCCATTGCGAACCTGGTGGACTTCCTAGAATCCTTCCCCACCGATGTTGAAGGATGGTCGGAGTTGAGCGACCTATACTACTCAGAAGGACTTGTTTCTCAAGCGATATTCAGCATGGAGGAGGCCATCGTCATCACCCCAAACGCGTGGAATCTCCATGCGCGACTTGGAGAGCTCCAGTATATGGCTGGCTGCTCAACATCAGATAACGCCGAAGTGCAGAAACATCTCACACAAGCCATCCAACGATTTAGCCGGAGCATCGAACTCTGTGACGACTATTTGCGGGGGTTCTATGGACTCAAGCTTGCCTCTGACAAGCTTTTGCAGGCATCTGGCTCAACAAAGGGAGGCTCTGCAGCGACCATTAGTCCAGAGAACGTGCAGAAATTGAATCAATTGGCAACATCCAGACTGCAGGCACTTGTCAAGGATCGGGCAACACACCGGTCTCTTCCAGGTGACCAGTCAGGAGTTGTTGCAGCACAAGAATTGTTGAACAGGTCAAAGTGATCGAACTCCGCCACAGTGAGGACTACTCAGGTGGTTTCCGATGAACCCGAGGCACGGCCAGGGGCTATGAGACGCCCAGAAAGGCCCGGATTGGAAATTCATCAACGACGTCACCTGTGTGTTTGCCTCGCTTTGCAGTCTCCAAAGGAGACTTTCTGATGAGAATTGTTCCTGCAGTGGGCCGAGCGGCCAGGATGAAAATCGTGGTTCGCGAGAGTGCATGTAAGATGTGGACGTTCCCACTAGCGTGACGCAAGGAGCAGGAAAGTTGGGCAGCATTTTGACGCCGAGCAGACGTGGCAGAATTTCTCAGGGTGCCTTGAGAATGGACCAACCCAACGGCGGACGAATGGTCGCCGAGGTCTTCCAAGGTTGTGGGTTCTACCGAGCTTGGTCTCTAAATTAGGGCACGGGGAGCCTTGCCCTTAGTTGCACTCCAAACCACGAGGTGATCAATGCCAGGGCTTTCTGATCCGAAAACAGAGAATTTGTTGGGAAGATGGGATTCTTGTTTGGCAGAGAGTCCATAGAGGACACCATGATTAGCGGCCGTGAATCAGGAGAAGTGGAATGGCCAGCTGGCAGACCCGAGAAAGATGAGATTGTGGCGGAGGCTGATATATAGACTGGATGAAAGAGCACGGCTGCCATGGTGTCAATAGCCCACATCACTACCAAAGCAGCCCAATGTAGACCCTGCCTGTTGGCCCTGAGTCCTGACAGCAATCCTTTTCGACAGCGAGAGATTTATTTTCTGTTCATCTGAAGCTGATTGTCTTGTCTCCCCGCCAGGAGTTTCAATGTCTCCAAATCATCTAAGTTCCCACAAGCAAAGAAAGACGCGCAAGAAGCGCTTACCTGAAGTAACCTCCTACAGGTACTCTGCATTCTGGGCAGAAATACCTGTGACACAGTGCGTCACCTGATTGAGCCCAAGTCTGCGAGCGTGTGGCTGTGGTTGCGGTGACGATCACTCCTTTTCGACCTGCATCTCCTTTTCCACCCGTTGAGAGAGGTTGCTGCACTGTCCTGTCTCTATCTGTTCCCGTCATCGTCGTCAACATCACCAGCACCATCGCCATATCTATTGCGAACAATCGCTTTGGCACTAGCAGACACTCTCTCGGCCATCGTGTGAACAATACCTCAAGAGTAGATCACCCGCACCAGGGAGAAAAGTGTGCTTCCCCCCAAATCGAAACCAGCTCAGGACAACAAGGTGTATCGTTCACGTCGATCAGAAAGCACATCCATAGGGTCGAAAAGTCGACCCATTCCTCACCTCATCACCACCGCACCACCGCATGTTTCTCATTGTTCCAGCCACAGGACCAAGACGCGGACTTCTCATTTCTCGTCAAGTCTGCCTTGCCAGGTAGTGTGACCAACAGCACACACATTGTTTTCGCTCTCCTGAATAAAAAAGACGGCGGCATCGATTCTTCATCATCACTATTACGGATTTATTGTCCATCAAAAGCAAGACAAAAGTTGGCGGTTACTCGTGGTCGTTGTCGAGGGCTGTTTTGGCAGCTCGACAGCTTGAACCATTTCATCGGCGCCAAATCTGACGCCTTGGCTTGATAGTGCCGGGATTGAAGTCGTACCCCGGCGTGTGGCCCCACTAAAAAGAGGAGCCCAGGCCCTAGACACACCTGGAAATCCTGAACTGGACTCCCTCGCTCCCCTAGAACGAAGGGCCTGGGAAGAAAAAGTCAGTCACCTGGCACCCCCACTGCCCTTGCCTGGTGCTCGCCTGTGGTTGCTGTGGATGTGAGACTTGGATTGTGGGCATCATTGGGCATCACTTACTTTCTTTTTTGGGTGATTTTGGGTGGGTGTTCCCTGCTGAGTGGTGCGTAGCGCAGTTGCCATCTAAGACTATCACTGCTGCTACCACCATCACCTCCACCTCCACCGCCTACCGCCCACCGCCCACCGCCCGGGTTTGCTGTCGGTGTTTGGTTTGGCCCCCCTCTGGACACTGGACATTGGACGGGACTCTCAACTCCGGCCTCTGGACTCCCAGCTGCACCTCTGCTCCCCTTCGCCTGTCAATCAATCCACACCGTACATCATCATACACACGCGCCGCTGCAACATATTGCACACACGCACGCACTTTGTCCTACGCGCGGGCAGTAGGCATTGTTTAGGCATCAGGCACTAGGCATTAAGCATCAAGCATTGGGCATTGGGCACTTTCTCTTGTCTTCGCCTCGCTGGCCTCTGACTCAACAAGCACAAACTCTTGTTTTCTCCCTTTCCTCACCTCCTCGACACCAATTCAAACATCAACATCAACATCACCACTCTTATCTTTTGGGACATCGGTCTTCTGCCTTGCCGTGTGCTTGCGGCTTTGCCTCTCGGGTCATCGCATTTTGGCATGCAGGCTCTGGCCGTCCCTTTCCTCCCCGCGGATCCACTCGCTCGGAACATCACAGGTTCCAATTCCAATTCCAATTGCAATTCCACCTCGTCTTCACCCTCGCCTTCACCCTCGCCTTCACCCTCGCCCTCATTGCGGTCACAACACCCACCCTAATTCCGCTCCTACAAATTCTCTCAACGTACCACCACCGTCCGCCTCACTTTGAAACCCCATTTTCCTTATAACCCTTGGGAGCTGGCCACATTGACTCTTCTGCATCCTTAAGTCAGCCTCATCATTGGTCCGGTTAGCATCCCTCGTAACTAACAATCATCTCAAGGCTATCTCGTTCAACCTGCCTGAGGCGCAGGTTGAACGCGGTAATCCCTTGACCAACACTCAGTCTCTAATGGGGTGCGTGGGATACCTGTCTCTTTCTGTCAATGCTGACCAGTCTTTCCCCAGGTCGTCAAGTCGCCATAGTCGCACCCACATCGACATCACCCACGTTCGCTCCCCATCTCCCTCTGCAGGCTCGCAAGACGACGACCTACTCGAGCACGGTGTTCACGTTTCCCCGGCTGAAATCTCCCCTCACTATTCTGTCATACAGCCCAGTCAAAGCCAGAGTGGCTCCTCGTCCCATCCTGGCGAATTCCAAGTAATATTCCCTAGCGAACTCGGCCCCGAGCATGATGGCTCGGATTTAGTCTCACGTTCAGACCCCCAAGAGCAGCTCCAGCAACGGCCTTCTCGTTCCAACTCCGCTCGCAGACAGACTGTCCGTCTGCAGCAGCCCCTCCGTGAATCAACACGCAGTCGAACACGACCGCTGCAAGATACCTCTCCGACAGAAAGCGGTGATTCCACCGAGGACTTTCTCAACCGCCCGGATCCATACCCTCCCATGCGACCACAGTCACAATACGCACCTAATGCTTATCCCCATTCCACATCTTCAGGATCTTTTGCATACCCACCAGTTCCACATCCGCATCCCAACGCGGTGATTGCTTTGCAGCCACAGCCTATGGCAATGCCCTATCCACCACCACACTACCCTCACGGCCAACCCATGCCATATCCTCCGCCCTCAGCCTACGGTGGAGGCGGCTACGGTCATCCTGCCCCCGGCTCACAAGTCAGCTCTCCCTACACCACTTCTCCCTATCATGCACCGACCATGGTGAGTTATGGCGGCGGCCCTCCTGGCGGATACTTTCCACCACAGTTTCCCGCCCATTATGGACAACAATATCCACAACCCTACAACCCTTATGCTCAACAGATGCCCCCACCATTCCCCTATCCTGACTACGCTCGAATCCAGCCTCCACCCGCAGCTTCTCCACCGCCAAGCTCGGCCAATGCGTCTGCCGACAGGCTTGAAAAGCCAAAAGAAGCAGATCCTGAAGAGATGTTCAAACGATTTGCCGATATGATGAAAGAGGAGCGCGCCCAGGCGGAACTCACCAAGGAGCAACAAGCAATGGAAAGAGCCAAAGCCGAGACAGCACGCGCCGAACAAGAGCAGCGTATCCGTGAACAAGCCCTACGACAAGCTGAAGAAAGAGCCCGGCAAGATGCACTGCGAGCAGAAGAGGAGAAGCGTATTCACGAGCAGGCTCTTTTGCAAGCGGCCGAAAAGGCACGTGCCGATGCTGCCGCTGCTGCCGCACGTGCAGAAGACGAAAGACGCATTCGACAAGAGGCCATCATTGCCGCGGAAGCCAAGGCTCGCGCTGATGCTGCAGCGTTTCAGGAGCGGTTGGCAGCCGAACAGCGCATTCGAGAGGAGGCTAGGCAGGAGGCAATCCGTGCATACGAAGAACAAGTTCGCAAGGCTGCCGAACAAGCCGCAAGGGAACAACAGATTCGTAAGGAAGCAGCCGAGGCAGCACTCAGAGCTGCTGCTGAAGAAGCCGCCGCCAGAGCAGAAAAGGCTGCCGCGGAGAAGAAAATTGCCGACGACGCTGCAGCGGCTGCTAAGACGGCTGCCGAGAAAGAAGCCGCCGAAGCCGCCGCAGCCGTTCAGGAAAAGGCCAAAAAGGCACAAGAAGAGGCTGAGGCGAAACTAAAGGAAGCTGAAGAGGCCGCAGCCAAAGCAAAGACAGAAGCAGAGGAAGCAGAAAAGAAGGCAGCCGCCGCCGCACCTCCTGAGAAGAAACCTCCCGTGAGATTCAAAGATGCCATTGGTCGCAACTACAACTTCCCTTGGGAGCGTTGCCATCGATGGAGGGTACGTCCATCCTATCCACTTTTGAGACTGCAGTCACTGACGTATGCTAGGATATGGAGGGTCTCATCAATCAAGCTTTTGCACATATTGAAGGAATAGGCGAGCATGTCATGCACGGTCGATATGACCTTATCGGGCCTGACAAAGAGATCATCATGCCCAATTACTGGGAGTCGACCGTCGAGCCTGATATGCATATCACCATGATGCTGTGGCCTATTCCAGAACCACCAAAAGAGGACGAAATCATAGTTCCTCCGGATTTCGATCCAGACGCCATTGTTACTTTTGATGATATTCTCCACCCACCGGGTGGAGGAAAGAAGAAAGGTAAGACACCCGCGCCCCTTGGGTTTCACGTTGCATCTGCTAATCCACCATTCCAGGACATGCGAAAAAGAAAAAAGGTGGCGGTGGAGGACTCGCAGGCTGGATGCTGGGAGGAAATCCTAGGGCCTCGCGGTCTTTAAAAGGTGATAAAAAGCCTGAAGTTGCCGCTGGATCCCAGCACGGAGCTGCTGCCCAAGCGGGTGGTTGTTCCGTTATGTGAGCGCTTGCCCGATCGTTGATCTTGATCCGTTGAGTAGAGTGGAGATTGATCTGGGTCATGTGAGAGACTCAAAGGGGTGGAGCTTGGGTGGCACAGTCGAATTCATCCACTGCACATTCAAATACACCCCGAGATGATTGCACTAATCTCTCGCTTCTCTTCCGATCAACTACTGGTCGACCACGATAATCACGACTACGTCGGAAACCTGCTTACATAGGCAATTTCAGGGGGGTGTGGCTTTATCCTCTCGAGATATCGGGATCGGTTTTTCACGCCTCAGGGGACGAGACAGTGGATGAAACATTTTCTTATGTATTGATGAATGACGAGGATTGGAATTTAGCGGGAGTATTCTGAACATGGTTCGCATATGGATGGAAATTCAAGTGGAGCATTGGAGATGTGATGTACGGAGGGCGACTTCAGGGCATACTATGTAACGTCATGTTCTGGAAGGTCAAGGCGCGAACCTTGGAAGCGTTTTTGGGAAAAACCCCCTGTTCGATCTTCTTTAAAATTTACACGATACCCCTGTTGATGCCGATGGTGGAGGTTATACAAACTTCTTCGCACTGATGGAGAAGGAGATGCACCAAATGGAATTGCAACTGCAACTGCAAACGGAACTGGGACTGGAACTGGAACTGGAACTGGAATTGGAAATCTGTGTACTATGGAGTGACTCGATTTATGTGGGCTAGATCATACTAGTAATATGCCCAAACGTCCTCTCTTGATGCGTTCTCCCAGACAACCACATAGATTTCTCTATAATGGCCCATTATTCTTGCGGGCAAGAGCTGAGTCTGTCTTACTCAGCGGGGTCACATGACTCGCCAATCTGAGCACTGGGCGGGTGGGCCGGCCCCCTCAGCCCTGTGCCATGCTCCCATCGATCATCCGCACAACTCCCTCTCCACCCTTGCTTGAGCTTTTTGAATAATTCAATTACTAGATCTAATCTTTAAAATCACCTTTGACTGTCATGGACACTGTGGAACACTAGTAGCTTAACAGCACTTACGTCAATGTGCAAAGCCGTCGGCACCGTCATGTTGTACAATTGATTTGATTGCGTACGCATCAAAACTGGGAAAGTCTGACCTTTTTCGGCACGCGAGCGGCAAGCCAAACCCACAACCATCCAGTACTTTCAACTACGGACACTTCTTCTTACCCAGAGGGAGGCACAAAGCGGCTCAATCCAGATGAGAACGCCGTCAATTGAAATGTGCCACACATTGTCCCTATCCCGGTAGCTTGAACCGCCATGTCGACCCGAGTCCTCATCAATGACTACCCACACCGGACCTTGGCCTTAGTTACCGACCAACATGCCTTGGTCTTTCGACACTCTCATCCTCAGTCAGACGGCAATTCCAGACTGGGAAGCCAGACCAGCCTATCTTCGACGAACCAAAGCCGTGCAAACACAACTCCCCGATGTATGGTTGAGTTCACCGAGAAGGCATCCATCGACCTAACCCAGTTCCATACCGTCGGCAGTGCTAAGGGCACTTTGGGTCTCATCACCCTCAATAATGATGTCTTCCTCTGTGTGATTACTGGCGCTGATGAAGTCGCAAACGTCAGGCCACGTGAGACGGTGCAGAGGATCTTCGCTGTGGAGTTTTGTGGGTGGAAAAGCAAAGCTTCGGCAACCATAGATAAATTTGACTGACTTTGATCCACAGATTGCCTCAACCGAGCCGACTATGATCATGCTCACGGCCCTTATCCGAACCCATATCCTGGTCAAACATTCCATTCCGATGATGTTGACTATGGCGGTGGATATGATCAGACCGATTCTACGGCCGAGCACCCTTTCCACGCTCTCAGGAAGCTCCTGAGCGGTGGTAACTTCTATTACAGTGTCGATTTCGACCTGACCCGTCGCCTTCAAGACCGGTAAGCGAACGGGCCAATTGTAAATCCACTTCGAGCTAACCTTGCGGCCTTCATAGTGCCGAGTCAGAATCTTCTGTTGACATATCAAGCCTAGATGAAGGGCTACTCTGGAACTTCTACATGATAGACCCTTTACTCAAATTTCGAAGTCGACTCACAGGTCATGAGAAAGAGGCTCTTGACCATTCTCGGATACTCACTTCCGTGATTCGAGGGTTTGTCAAGAGTCTGACCATTCCACTATCATCCTCACCAATCCGAGGCACACCTCCAGGTCTCCCGACCACCTTAACCGTCATATCTAGGCTCTCGTCGAGACGTGCAGGCACAAGATTTAACTCCCGAGGTGTCGATGACAATGGTAACGTCGCTAATTTTGTGGAAACCGAGACTGTCTTTTGGTCCCCCGCCGGCCTCTGCTTTTCTTATACTCAAATTCGTGGTAGCATCCCAGTGTTCTGGGAAAGCACAAGCAGTTTGATCCCTGGTCAACAGAAAATCCAGATCACTCGTTCACCCGAGGCAACTCAGCCCAGCTTCGACAAGCACTTTTCAACTCTTGAAAGGACCTACGGTGCTGTCCATATTGTCAACCTCCTGAGTGCATTCAAACCTGGAGAGGTTGAACTCACAGAAAGATACCGATACCATATTAGCAGAAGTCCATTGAAGCGTCACAATGAGGGCGAAGTGGAAGAACACAGTTTGTTACAGGAGACAGAATTCGACTTCCACGATAGGACGAAAGGCGCCGGAGGATATGAGGGTGCTAGAGCAATTCGACCATATCTCGACGCCAGCTCCGAATCTTTCGTATATTTTCTCTCCCAAGAGATCATTGACGAAAAAGAGCATCAGGGACAGAGAACAAGAAGGAAACGGCCCATTGTTCTAATGCAGCAGAATGGTGTATTCCGTGTGAATTGTCTGGATTGCTTGGACAGGACCAATCTCATCCAAGGCCTTATAAGTCAAATGGCTCTGGAATTGTTCTTGTCCCATAGAGATGAGAGGGCAAATTCCGACTTTTGGATGCGACACTCGGCGCTATGGGCGGACAACGGTGATACGTTATCGAAGATCTACGCCGGCACCGGCGCCTTGAAGAGTTCTTTCACTAGACACGGTAAAATGAGCCTTGCTGGTGCGATTGCAGATGCAAGGAAATCTGCTACTCGTTTATACGTGAACCATTTTGAGGACAAATCTCGGCAGAACACTGTGGACCTTCTACTCGGGAGGTTGGTAGGCCAAAACAGTGTAGATTTGTTTGACCCCGTGAATGACTGGGTTGTCTCCGAGGTCGGAAGAAGACGAGCAGATTTCGAAACAAGAGATCAGATCAAGATTTGGATGGGTACCTACAATCTGAACGGCAAAACAGCAGGTGTCGGAGAAGATCTGTCATCATGGCTGAATGTTCGCGACAAAGCACTTGACATAGTCGTGGTCGGCTTTCAGGAGATTGTTGAATTGAGCCCACAGCAGATCATGAGTACGGATCCAAAACGACGGATGATGTGGGAGACTGCTGTAAGAATATGTCTAAATGGGGGCTCGGACGATGAGCAATTCGAGGCTGTACATGCAAAGGCTGACGAATATGTTCTCTTGCGAAGCGGCCAGCTTGTGGGCGCAGCGCTATTGGTTTTTGTTCGTTCGAGCATTCTTGGTCGTATTAGGAATGTCGAAGGGGCGATAAAGAAAACCGGCATGAGCGGTATCGCCGGCAATAAAGGAGCGGTCGCCATTCGAATGGACGTTGAAAGTACTTCCGTGTGCTTTGTGACAGCACACTTGGCAGCAGGGTTCGGCAACTACGAAGAAAGAAATCGTGACTACAACACTATCACGTCTGGCTTGAGATTTCAACGCAATCGCAGTATTGAGGATCACGAAATTGTTCTTTGGGCTGGAGATTTCAATTACCGAATTGGCCTCGGCTATGAAAAAACCAAGGCTATTGTCAATGAAGCCATCGTCGGAAACGAGAAGATACGGGACGAAGCCTTGGGAAAGCTCTATGAGAATGACCAGTTAAACATTCAGATGGTAGTGGGCAACTGTTTCAACTATTATCGAGAAGGCCGCGTTCGGTTCCTCCCAACCTACAAATATGATCTTGGCAAGGACGAGTTTGATTCGAGTGACAAGCAACGCATCCCAGCCTGGACAGATCGCATCTTGTGGAAGGTCAATCATAAAACAAGTCTTGCGCAAGCCGGTGAAGATCTTGGCTCCAAGATGAAACAACTCGAATACGATAGTGTGATGAGTCTCAGGTTCAGTGACCATCGGCCTGTCTACGCCACTTTTGAATTGGGTATACGGGTTATTGATGAGGGAAAGAAAGACGCACTTGTCAAGAAGTTATACAAGAAACGAGCAAACGAGCTGACAGTCAGAGCCGGCGACTCCGTCGAGGACTTTGAAGAAGTCAGCTCAGAAGGCGACGATACGGAAAGTGTCATGGGATATCAGAGCATCCAAGAGGGATTGCCTCCTGCGAGCAGCGACAAGCGGAAGTGGTGGCTTGATGGAAACAAAGGTGCAAGGAGCACCATTCGTCCACCCAAAGACAATGTGATGCTTAGTAAATTGCGGGAAGGAAATCCTTGGAAAGAAACAGATGAGGATGACTGGGTCGAGGTGGAAAGACCACCAATCCTGGAGAATAATCATTCTCAACCCCAGCTCATCAACAGCGGTGCCACCAGCAGAACATCGAGCAGGAAGCCGGTGCCTCCACCCTCTAGGACAACAAAACGGATGGTACCACCAGCTTGGGAGGGGGAACGCATCGTCCTATCTGGGCAAGCAAAATTAGATGCAGAAATGAAAGGTCTCCGACGCCCTACACCGCCGACACCGCGAGGGAAATCAAGGTCGCGAACGAGGGCGGACTCCTCACCCATACACGTTCCGATGAACACAGTCACCGCAACCTCACCAACAACAAGAGCACAGATTCCACAACGCTCCTCTTCGACCGCCACAGTCACCAGGAAACAGCCTCCACCGAAACCCATCAAACCCACTACACTTGTTTCTTCCTCAAGCCAAGTCGCTGTCCCACAAGTCTCCTCCCTACCGGGTCCCGCCGTGTCTCGATCCGACGTTGCCGTTACCCCAGACTCTTTTCTGTCCAGAGAGACCCCCAGCGGCGGTCCACATGGCTTAGATGGGGCCTACACCGACGACAGACCCCCGCAACTACCACGTAGAACCTTGACGACCAGCTCAACCGCCTCCTTTGTCTCCGCACCAGACACTCAATCGGTCACACAGACGCCAACATTCATTCCAGCCAACATCTCTGGCATCAGCAGCGGTAACACATCCTTGAGAAAAGGCACCCCGCCCCCGCCGCCCAGTAGACTCACCAGGCTTCAACGGGACGGGAGTATTGGCAGCATGACGGCGTCAAGTCGTAGCTCACTGAGTACCGACCCAGTAACAGCACTAAGGCCACCTCTCCCACCAAGGACGAATACCAATCCCTCTTCTTCGGGCACCGCGGTAGCCGCAAGCGGCGCCGTGAACAGGCCTCCTCAGCACGATTTACTCAATGACGCCAACGACGACCTCGAACTCGGCCACAGTGATCAGAATCCTTCGTCATCTGATGCATCGCGGAAATCTGCGCTGGATCGCTATAAACCGCTCATGCCCAGCTAGCGGATGAGTGATTCTGGCTTTTAGTCTTGGATAAGGGTCACGGATAGGCGCTGCCGATGGGTATTTGGCACAGTGAGGACCGAAGACGAACATGTGGTTGTTGTGGCCCCTTGGGCCGGTGTGGTATGAGTGTCATGTCAAGAACATGTGGTTGGGATTCTGCGAAGAGAAAGCTAGCCCACCGATCCATCAACGAACCGGTCGTGCGACCGACCACACGGTCCATACTGGCCTTATCAGAACCAGAATCATACGCAAATCTCGTCATCGTCTGGCTGAGAAGGATCAATCAACCCATGAATCTTTAAACACCCCCCCCCCCCCCCCATTTTCCCACATCCATACATGCGATCCAGTGGGCACAGAGCTCATACAGAGAAGTCGATGGAGTTTGAACGGAATAAGTATATTCCAGTACACACGGGTTTTCTGTCTAGTCACGTCGACGAACGGTCGAGTTTCGCAGGAGAACAGGGAGACGGAGACGGATCAAGGGATAGGGTCACCGGGGAGATTTTAGTCAAATAAAAATGGCCCAAATTTTTTTGGACTTTGGGCGTTTCCATGTCGCTGGGGACTCCATAGATGTCCAATTATGACATGAACTAGGCTAAGCTACGCTGAGCTAAGCTAGCTACATTCCGGGGTTTTCCAAGATGAGATAAATGCTGTCCTTCGTCGCTTGGCCACATTGCTTGCTCATTCCATCGTCCTTGGCACCTTCTCTCGCTCATATGAGTCACTTGGGCCACGCACACACATACACCGCACAATTTCCGCTCCAATCCGGGTGTCGATTTCGACGGCCTGACAGAGGAGCTGACTTGGACGCCCGCAACCGGCGATGAACTGTCGAGCCTAAGTTGACTTCCAGTTGCGGATGGGAAGGATGTCGAGCCTCCAGTATTTCCTTGGCAATTCGGGGATCTTGATGGGGAAGTTTTGTGCTCCTGCCTCCGCCTCCGGTGCGCTGACGTCGGTTTATGGGCGGAGAGGATGATTCCGCTACACATATTGTCCGTAGTATATTGGATTTGAAGAACGAAGATGTGGGAAAGGATGTTCAAAGCTGCTTCTTTGTCGAGAGAAACAGCTTGCACGAACGGAACAGGTTTTCTTTTGAAAAGGAGCAAACTTTTCGCTTTGGAATAGATGCCAGCAGGAGTTTGGTGAGGATTATTGAGGGCCCGCGTATTCAACTGAGCTGAGAGGGGAGAGACTGTGCTCGCCATTCAATATACACCTATGCTTTGTCCCGGGGGGCGGGGGGTTCTGAGGGAAATTTGCTGAGTGCATGTCCGCTAGAGTTCTCTGTTCACAACAAACGCGTTGCTTGCGTCGCTTTTTTTCTTCTTATTCGAAGCGTGGCATTTCCATTCTCATGGGCGCAAGATTTCGATATCAATGCCATCCGGTGCCTTCTTCGTAGTCTTCAGCCTCTATATCGAATGGGTTTGTGGCCACGAGAGGATGATGATAGGCAAACCGAGCACTCCAATTCCTTAGACCAGCATGCATTGCCCCAATAAAAGTGCATATCATGTCTAGTTGGCTGGTCGAGTCTTTCGTTGGTCGTCCAATAACCGGACTTCATTTTCCAAAGCCTTTATTTCACGGTCTTTGTGATCCTTGAGCTCTTCAGTCTCCAGAATCAACCAAGCCCAATATATAACCTGGTAGCTGAAGAACGCGAGGGTCAAAGCTTTGAATAGTGCACGACCATGTGACCGGTAGACATTGACCGGCTGTTCTGGTGCATTGTGTGATTGTTGTAGTTTTCGGGAGATGGTGAATGTCCGCGAGGTTTGGTGAAGCCTGCTCGAAAGTGTTCGGCCTTGGTGCCGGTGTAAAGCGCGTAGAGCAAAACGTGAGGAGTTCATTGGGTCGCTGATGTCTACAAGACCAAGAGGAGGGAGTGAGAAGAGCCCCGAGTTGGGGGAAGAACGATGATGCTTCGTTTCGGACTTCAGGTCGCAGCTCTGAGATTACCGAAATGCTCGATACGGTAGAGCATAGTGGATGTCATTTGAAGTTCAGTCCGACAAAATTGGGGGGCGTACACGGCAGCCATGCTCCTCCGTACAGAGAGGGACGAAGAAGTGATTATAATATCTGCCAATGGTGACTTCGCTTCATCTGGCTAATGTGACTATGCATCACAGCTTGACAATTGGCTGAAACATGAAGCCTCAGACTGGGTCATGATTCTGACCTATAAAGGCAAGAGGACAATCACTTGGGTTCTCGGACCCCATCGGCGCCTGCAAATTGACGCCACCAATGGCAGTTGCAGTTCATTTCTGAATCTTCCGAATGAACACTCGTCACGCTGATTATATAGTCAAGAGATGTTGAAGGAACTTATAATTTCTGTCTGATATCAAGAGTCTCTGACTCTGGTGTGAATAGCAGCGGTGGTCTTGCCGGCCACCTGAGGTCAGACACCAACATCTCTGGAGTTCATCAGATTCTTCGAAGTCTCTCTCAGCCTGTGTTAAACCCGTTACTCGGTCCCTATCTGAAACTTTCAATCTTGACTTGCGCTCTAGCGTTCAAACCACATTCACGACTTCCAGGATTCATTCAAATCGGGACAAACGATTCTACCGAATGCCAAAAACTTGAAGAAAGTCTTCCCTGAACTATCACGCAGTGTGGCCTGTCCCTACTGCCCAGAGTATTTTGCTATGAAAGGTCGACAGTTCAAGTGGGTTGTGGACATTTCTTCGAGCACTTGAAAGCATGTGATAACCTCAACACTCCCATAGATCAGACCTAGAAAACCACCCCCAAATTCTCATTCAGTGCGATATTTGCCCTGTCAAGCCAATGAGTGAACGAACGTTGAAGCGGCACATGAAGACCATCCACTCAGATACCTACCAACTTAGAGTACAACTGTAAACGCGCCTACAGCGCGAAAAGAAAGACCTATTTACTCCCCATCTGCAGAGATGCCGCTTTTATTGATCATAGATACCCCTGGATAACCATGGGCAAACCTTGGTGGGGAAGTGTGCCCAAAGTTCTAAATTGGCTTTCTCAGCCTACCCAGTCTACTACAATTCCAACTGTTGAGTAAGTGGTGTCGAAGAATACTTGGATGATGTGTGAATTGAAGATATAAATAGATTATATGAATGGGACAAAGATGATTCTTGCCCAATGGAGCCAGCCTGGCGCTCAGTCGCAGCTTTGTCCACGAGCCATTGTCTGTCCCTCTGCATTTCCCACGCGTGTGCTTTCCCAGTGGCGTTTAAAATGATCAACCATACGGGGCGGTCTTACCGATGTGGCAGGTGACAATTCCGCGGATCCGTTCGATTGTAGCACAGCGACCTAAAGCAAAATATGCCTACAGGACGGCATTGTCCCGCACAAGTTGAGGGAAGTGGTTTCTGACGAAAGACGTACATTATGCTAAAGAACCTCCCTCGGGCCTATACTTACTTTATTTTTGTTGGAAGGAGTCCCAGAATGATTGTGCTGGCGCTCAACAGGAGGGTTCAGCCTGGTCACATGACTGGTAGTTCCCCCTTCCCTTTTCTAAACGAATGGCTTTGTTGTTTGGAGGTCTTATGTCCACAAGTTATACCCACGTGAACTACACTTACTGGGCCATACGGTTGGATCTGTACATGAGTCACTGAACACTGCAGGCTATGGAGTGGGACGAGTAACCAAGATCTCCAGTGGGTGAAACTGACCAGGGACCAGGCTGATGTTAGCAAACACGCCAAGGCTGCTGTTTTGTAAGAGTTGCACTTTCACCACTTGCGTGCCACCGAACAAGGCCTCCCCACGTGATATCCCCCTCCAATAATTTTTTGGCAACCGTTGTGGTCTGTCCTGCGGTTGACTGAACATTGCCTGGAACAACTTTCTACAATAATCATTCCGCAAAGAAAGTTCAAGAGCAAATATCGAATCATGGCAAATCCCACTCAGATCTTCGCCGAGGACGTCCAGGAAGAGAAAGGCGAGAATGCCCGTCTCTCTGCCTTCGTCGGTGCCATCGCAGTCGGCGATTTGGTCAAATCCACCCTCGGTCCCAAGGGCATGGATAAAATCCTCCAGAGTGCCAGCACAGGCGAGATCATGGTCACAAACGACGGAGCAACAATCCTAAAGTCAATAGCACTCGATAACGCAGCGGCAAAGGTCCTCGTTAATATCTCCAAAGTCCAAGATGATGAAGTCGGAGACGGCACAACCTCAGTCACAGTTCTCGCTGCCGAATTACTACGAGAAGCCGAAAAACTCGTGTCCCAAAAGATCCATCCCCAGACAATCATTGAGGGTTATCGGGCTGCTTCACAAGCGGCACTACAGGCCTTGGAGAAGAGTGCGGTCGACAACAGCAAAAACCCAGAGTTGTTCCGCAAAGACCTACGAGCCATTGCTCGCACCACCTTGTCCTCCAAAGTCCTCAGTCAGGATCGCAATCAATTCGCAGATCTTGCATGTGACGCTGTCCTCCGTCTCAAGGGTTCCATTGACCTGAACCATATCCAGATAATCAAGAAGTCGGGTGGGAAATTAAGTGACAGTTATTTAGACGAAGGATTTATCCTTGATAAAAAAGTTGGAGTCAACCAACCGAAGAGGCTAGAAAATGCAAAGATCCTCGTCGCCAACACCGCCATGGACACAGACAAGGTCAAGATCTGGGCATCCCGCATTAAAGTCGGGTCACCGAAGGAACTGGCTGAACTGGAAAAGGCTGAACGGGACAGAATGAAGGCCAAGGTTGAACGCATCAAGGCTCACGGAATCAACTGCTTTATCAACCGACAACTCATCTACAACTGGCCCGAGCAGCTCTTCACCGAAGCCGGGATCATGAGCATCGAGCACGCCGACTTCGACGGCGTAGAGCGCCTGGCACTCGTCACCGGCAGTGAAATCGCATCGACATTCGACCACCCCGAACAAGTTCAGCTGGGCCACTGCGACCTGATAGAAGAGGTTATCATCGGCGAGGACACACTGATCAAATTCTCTGGTGTAGCCGCTGGCCAAGCATGCACGATTGTGCTTCGTGGAGCGACAGAACAACTACTTGACGAAGCTGAGCGATCCCTTCACGACGCGCTTGCGGTCCTCTCGCAGACCGTGAAGGAGCCCCGCGTGACGCTCGGAGGTGGCTGCGCCGAGATGGTCATGGCGAAAGCCGTAGACTCACTCGCCCAGAAAGTTGGCGGGAAGAAACGTATCGCCATCGATTCCTTCTCCACCGCCCTCCGCCAACTCCCCACCATCCTCGCCGACAACGCAGGCCTCGACTCTTCCGCTCTTGTCTCAGAGCTGAGAAGTGAAGTCTACCGTGGAATGACAAGCAGTGGTCTCGACCTTCTGACCCCCGGCGGCGGCATCACCGACATGCGCGAGCTCGGGGTCATCGAGAGCTACAAGCTGAAGAAGGCCGTCGTTAGTTCTGCAAGTGAAGCGGCTGAGTTGCTACTGCGTGTCGACAACATCATCCGTGCTGCGCCGAGGCGGAGGGAGCGGATGTAAGGGCATGGTTTCTCAGAGTCGTGCGCGATGGGAAAGGAGCAGATGACAATCCCAGGTTCCAGGTTGGGCGGCTGGATTTCAAGAAAAGAGTAGCGAGGTGGTTCCTAAACTCGACCTCGTTCAGATACACACACATGGCTGACAGTCAAAGACTCAAAAGTGTTTTCAGGGAGACACGCACGCGGGTGGCGTCTTCATGTGTTGAAAGAGCGACGAGAGGGAGACGGAGAGGGCCACCTTTCGAACAAAAGCTCATGAATGTAACAACAGCCCCCGGCTCCCAAGACTATATTTCTCCCCGATCCCATCTCCCAAATGCAGGACGTGTCCAGATGCTCGCTATGTGACCCGCTGTCTTACGCCACTACATCATCAACCACTTTTTAACACCTACGCAAGAGCAACAGGCAGCCGATACTCTCACTCTCCCTCTCCGTATCTCTTTCTGGGACAAAACCCGTCCCGCAAATTTTCAACAACGCCCTATCTCTCTCTCTCTCTCTCTCTCTCTCTCTCACACACACACACACACATATCCGGCTTGTCTCGCTTCGAACGTGCAAGTCCGTACCCACACCCACACCCGCATTGATTTCTCGAATTGGAGGCCTGGGATGTTTACTAGAGAGAGCGCAAGGTTTACCTGACTTGCATGGAAGATGGGACGATACGCACGCTGGCAAACAAACTCAAGCTCCTGCTAGACCGACGAATGAATCTCTAAGTAGGAGAATAGATTCGTGGATAGAATAAATTCCAGAGAATTTAGCAGACTGAAAGGATAGTAGTAAGAAGGCTCGTTCATGTCTTCATAAATTCGCTTTCTCAATTTATGCATGCAATGAGCTGACTATGCATTGACTATGTTATCCTTCCCGCAATCCCTAGAACCAGAAAATACGGCTATATGTATATATATAGAGATATACATATCTCCCAATGCAGTTGGACCAGGATCCAAACCGATCAAACCGCACCGTCAAAATAGCGCTCCATCCTAAACCGCGTGGCCAACTCCCTCTCGATGATCAGGGCATGACAGTTGATCAAAAGACTAGGGAAGCGTTTAGCCCAGAAACCGTAGTACCCTTTGGCTCCACCTCCCAACATCTGCTCCTTGACGTCGTCGGGAAGATCGTGGAAATGGTTCTTTTTATTGCGAATCACGCGCAAAAGGTCAATCATCTTGGAGCCCGTGTATTTTCGCTGTTTGCCCATCTCATTGACGAAGCTGCGGGGAATAGCTCGCAGGAAGTCGTTTGAGGGCCCGATGACATTTGGGGCCAGTGATTCAAGAGCAGTCAGTTCAGCCAGAGATTCTAGTTCTGTTTGTGTACGAAGTGCCTTCTCGTCGAAGATGTTGTTGATGGAATTCTTCTCTCTCTCGTAGCAGTCAGACACGTCGCACAAAAACTCCAGCTTGTCCGCTACATCCCAGAAGTATGGATGTCTGAGGATGTCTTGGGTGTCTGGTCTATCTCGTGGATCATGCTTCAACATTTGCATCACAAGATCATCAGCATCGAACTGGTAATCATGGAGACGAAGAGCGTCTGTGGAGAAATTGTTTTCCTTGATATTAAGATCACGTCCAAGACTAGTCCCGCCAACATCGAAAGGATGGTGACCTTGAGTCATGACATAATAAAAGACACAACCTAGGGAGAAGATGTCGATGGCTTTGGTCGCGCGACGGCCAGAGGGACGATCAACAACACCCTCGCTAGAGTGGACTGTGGACTTTGATGTAGTTGACGTAGAATTTGGTGCGGTCATAGCGGCACGAGAGTGAACTAAAAGTTCAGGAGCCCGCCAACCAGTAGTACCAGCTGCAGTGTGGTTCGCAGTGGGAGCAAATGTCGACTCAGGACCCTCCTCTAAAGGCTTGCAAAGACCAAAGTCAGAGATGACAAATTGAAGTTTTGGTAGACCAGTCGATGGTCGATTGCTTTTGACAGCTTTGACGAGGACGTTCTGAGGTTTGATATCTCGATGAACAAGTTTTAATGAGTGGAGATGTTGTACACCATCTGTGATTTGGCGTAGACAGTCCTTAACATCAAAACCTTCAGGGAGCTTGATCAAATTTGGGTACTGAAGGGGCCGCTCAATAAATTGATCAAGAGATGTTGTGAAAAGCTCCAGAGCAATGTAGGTGAAGTGTTGAGATTCCTCTTTGCCGAAATAGCGAACAACGTGAGGGTTCTCGTCACTGGATAGAAGATGCTTGATTTCCTTGGCTGCCAGACTGTTCGACGAACGTATCAAGCGTTTCACGGCGACCTCACGGCCTTCCAAAGTGCCAGGAAATACAGCAGTGCCGTTGCTGCCTCGGCCGAGACAACTCTCCTCTTTGGTGTCAATTCGAAGTCGACCGACCAGGAGTGGTCCGTCCTTGGTAGGGATCTCGGGTGTAAGGATTTCAGCGTCCATAGCTTCCGGGTCCATTGTCTTTTTGCCCTTTTTATTTTTCTTGCCTCCTCGTTTGCCACGTTTCGCATGTCTTTTCCTTGGTTGTTGGCCATTCTCTGTAGGTTCACCAGAGGCGCTGTCTTGCTTTCCTTTATCATCTTCTGATTCCCCTTCAGAGCTTTCTTCATTTGTATCTGGAACTTTGACGATGGTAGTCTTAACAGGGCTAGCAACAGTGATGACTGAACTCTGTGCTCGGCTTCTTGCAGGGGTGGTGATCTTTTCCATGGCTTCACTCACAGCTTCAGCAACGTCTTTCTCCTCCGATACCTTGGCAACTGGTGGATCCTGATCGTCTGGAGGTTTTGAGGTTTGTGCAGAGGCAGCTGGCGTGTTGTCGTCAACAGATATCTCGACACCAGCCTTCTTTAGAAGTCGTTGCATCTTGAGCATCATAGGTTGCTTCATTTGAACTCCACACACGAAAAGAAAGATGCTAAAAACAATGATGTTGAAAACTGATAACAATGGATGGCTCAAAGTAGGTAAGAGAGATGGCGGTAGTTTCGACTCGATTGAAGCCATGTTCTTTTCCACCTCCTCACCCAAATCCATTACAGGAGGAGGCGAAATGGTTAAACGCAAGGGTGCGCCAGACGGAGTGCGAGATAGAACATGGACACCCACAATGTCGTCCAAGTCACCATCAAAGTCGAGGGGATGATTCTCATAATTCCAGTGAGAACTGGCAGGAGCAGCACCGCTGGTGACTCCAGGGTATGAGAGTTCCGACATTGCATACCAAACACCCGATTCGGTTTTATTAACGAAGACTCTATCTGCACGTTGCATTTCATTGCGCCAGATTTCCGGGGAGGATATCAAGGCTGAATCTGATGGCCGTGTGAGGAGAACCAACTTTGGCGTCTGTTCTGTGGTTTCGATAGGACGCACAACATCGAAGACTCGAGCAACAGGGGTGTCCAGAGCCAATTTGAAGGCACGAGGCTGGATTGAGTCGGTATTGAATCCAATGATGCGGCCATTGTATAGACTTTGAATATGATAACTGTCGAGAGGAGCAACGTATTGATCTTGCAGATCGCTGTCGGCTTTGTTCGGCAGCCATTCAGCAAACCGAATAGTGCATAAGGGCTGTCGTGTATACTTGTGAGAAATTTGAACAGTGTATTCGATCCTTCCTAGATTGAGTTCTCCCAGAGGCTCGCAGGCTGGATCGTCCAGTTCAAAGCCACTCAGCCTGCGGCAGCTGCGGCTTTGATCGCTGTTTGAGAAAGGTTGATGGGTGTCGAATTCCTGAAGAATGTGTCCGGTGGCAGCATCAACGACATAAGCAGCAGTTCGCTGACTTGAAACTGTGACCAAAGGAGGGTCGTCGACTATAGTTGGTTCGTCACTGGCAAGAGATTTGACAGTGATACCCAACCGTTGAAGACCAATCCTTGGGTCTTTGTGCTGGAGGAATAGATTGCCATCTTTACTGGGCTCGACAATAAACATATAGTCATCCTCGTATTGTGAGCTTTCCAAATGGCTTCGATTCAGCTTGTGGTGTATGGTCTCGATCATGGGGCTGTTCGGAATTCCCAGAGACCATCTTTCGATGCCGGTCTTTCGATCTCGAGCGTGTATTGTGCCATCAATAGTGGCTAGGAGTATGAGATTCTCGACCTCCCAATCTTGAAGCAGCCGCGCTGAATGAAGCGAAGTGAGGCCAGAAGAGGACTCTACAGACTGGACAAGTGGTGCTCGGACAACATCACGGTAATCGTGAGCTGGAGCCAAAGGACGGAGTTTGTGGTTTTCGGGGGATTCATCGGTGCTTCTGAACTTGACGGTGGTCACGTCGTTCTTGAGGAGAGGGATCTCTGCTGGACTGCGGCCAGCCTGAGGGCGACGACTCGACTCAGGGCGAGGACTTTGAGTGGCGGCTATTATCCTCTGAACCGAATCAGATTGTTGTGGGAGGGACTGAGGATTAGCAGCAGCGATGAGGAGGAGGAGGATGGCCCATGTGAGCATTGATTTATTTGATCCTCCACGTCGACCGGGTGGCCGAAGTGGAGGTTTTGCCATGGCGAGTCGAGGAGGATGAAGCCAGTGCTAGAGCGGAGGAGGGCGACGGTATGGTATCTATGTGGGAGTGTTCATGATATAGGTTACCGAATGATGGTGTGGTGATGGAGGAGGAGAAGGGGTTGAAAGGGTAGTGTTGTGGTTGTGGTTGTGGATGAGGTTGCGGGAGGTCAGCTTACGGGGACAGGCGCTGGCGCTGGCGGTGGTTCTGTGGTTCTGTGGTTCTGGTTTGCGGTATCGATACGGTACAGAGTACGTGGTACCAGCCAGGGAAGGGACGAGCTAATGCGAGTGACTGCTGCCACTGGTGGGCGACACTGCATTGGGGCATGGCACCCGTTAGAGGGCCAGTCACAGGTGGTACCAATACCAGCGATACGGAATACGAGTGAATTACACGTTACAGCCACCACCCGCAGGCTCCAGCCTATCAGTGATTCACTTCTAGGGGCGGAGTAACTATACCCGTACCCGTTCCGAACGGGCATCCCAATTAACACGAGCCCATGAGAGCCCCTTGCTGATTCCTGTTCGGCACGTTCCTTCCAACGTTCAGAACAGTCCAGAGCTCCAACGTTGCTTTCCCGCTTAACCTCAAACAGCGTCTTGATGTGTTTCAGGCTGGTAGAAAACCCTTCATACGATCCTCAGACCTCCACTCCAGAGTCCTCCCTGAGCTTCTTCCTATCGAAAGCCTCGTCTTCCAGAGGTCCGAAAGTGGTTCTGTGGCGAGCTTTCCGCGCTTTCTGTTCGGTGCTCCCCTGAACTCTGCATCTGGTGACATCTGCCATGAGCTCATTTATCGACATCAAGACATCTCGGAAGACTGAAAACTGCAATGCCCCGCAAGTCAGATTCCTTCTTCTAGCTTCTTAACTTTTCTTCTCGGCGAGTCGTGTGCCGATTTTTGGACCCTGGGAGTCGGTCCTCAAAAATTCCTGCCTTTACACATGTGAGATCTGAACTCCTGTGTTATATGGCATGGGAAGGGCTGTCAGTTTCGTTTAGTCCAGCCATCTCGAACCAAGTCTATGCCTTTGGTCAGTTCAGAAAAAGTGCTCTTCTTCCCCACTGTGGTCTTAGTACTGTGAGCAGATTCGATTTCACGTGGTGATTGCCAATTAGGTATCCAGGACCTCGCAGGGCGGCTTGGGGGAAAAGACATCGTTCTACAATTCTCGAAAGAAAACACCCATGTAACAAGCATGATTTGACATTAGTATCGAGGCCAGTACGCCAAGGTGTAACCGTGTGTATCTGTTCTGCAATGGTTGTCCAGGCCACGAAACTCAACCACAGCTGACATCTTTTCTCTTTCGTCTAAATGTTGTCTTATGGAGATTCATCCTTCATTAAGTCTAAACCATCCTCAATCGGACGGCAAGTCATGCATGCATGTATGTTCTAACTCCACGCTTATCAAGAATATCAAAGCATGCGCATACGTGTACACGGGGGGTAGTCACAAAAGGAGCACAAACTCGCCCTTCTCGTTCCTCCTAATCCGGAGACCCCGCCAGAGATCTTGCTCATCTTCGAGTTTCAGAGAGGTACTCCTCACATCGTTTTGCTTATGCCATCGTTTTAACATTTTGTGGATGGAATATCCTTTTTCCGAGTCGAGACCTGGAGCGTTGGCCAAAAAGCTTCGACATGCTCGTTTCTGTTTCTCCTCAGCTCCGAAGACTACCATGGTCCCGTTGGTCGACTTCCGTTTGTAGTCATCGCCGTGAGCATGTGGATGTGTCGGGTCAGAGTCGGTATCTGAGCCAGAGTCATCGTGTTTGCGATACTCAATTGCCTTCAGTTTTCGAGTAGCGCCTTCATTTGGAGAGCTGGCTGGTGAATTGTCACCGTTGGCTCGTTGCCTTGATCGAGGGTCGTGACGGACGTTAGCTGAGGACGTTCCGTTGTGGCGATGGACTTTGTGTTTCTTCCTTTCACGCTTCTCTCCCTCTCGGACACGGGTTAGGCTCTGACCATGATCCGAGGAGCTAGCTCTCCTTCTGGTTCGACTCTCCTTTGCGTCTTCGCCGGATCCTGGAAGGAGGGCAACTCCAACCATGGAGAGTGCCTTGACAGCACGGCCTTTGAGTGATATTCCCAGCCCATTTGGATCGTCCTTGGCATGCCTGGTACGCTTGATAGGGGAGGTGGGATCTTCCACTTTGTGATTGCGTCGAACGGGTCGGTTCTTCTCAATAACAAGCTTATTCTTTCCTTCAGTCTCTGGCGTTCGCCGGAATGGATAGTCATCTGCAGTGGTCATGCGATTGAGCCCACCAGTCAGGCCAGAATGAACGACAGTAGGAGTATCTGCCTTGGATGTGTCGACCATTAGTGTATCACCAGGGGTCTGGTCGTCACGTTTCCGCTTTTGGCCGCTCCCGCTGTCGGTGCGGCTATGTGAACGCGTCCTTCCATCCTTTTTATCCAGCCTTGATTTCGTTTCCTTAGCGGCGGGGGTCATGAATTCCAGGGTCAGTTGGCTGTGGTTCATGTCCAGCATGCCTCGTGGCTTGACAGGCTCTGCTCCCCAAGTAAAACCATTGTCCAGATACTCTTGGCTGAGCATCTGCTCTTCTGAGTTTCGGTAGCCATCTTGACTCGATGGCCGGCTGTTGGTGAAGATGGATGGTGCCCCTTTGGCCATGGACATCTCTTCTCTTTCCTTGGCAGTAAAACTGATCTGAGGAGTGTTTGGGAGACTTTCATCCACCATATAGTCGAATACACTGTCGCGGGTCAAGGCTGGCACGGCGGGAGGAGGGGTAGGGACATGAGGAGGAGTATCGGTGTCGGGGGCATCTTCGACGTATGCTGGACGCGGCACCAGGGCCTTGGAGTTGTCGGGCTCGACAATCGATACCGACTTTCTCTTCGACGCCTTGGACGGCTTCTCTCGGTATAGATGACCCTGGTATTTCTGGTCTTCTGTAATGCATGACTGCCATTCTTGTCAGCACGCAAAGGTACTTTGCATTTGGGCACGATGGAGATTCCTGGGGTCTGGGGGCCTATGCTTGACATACTGTGTGTGATCTATAGTCTGTGCCATGGAAGGTGGTCATGCAATCGATGCAGGTGAAGACGGCGGCACGACATTGGTTGCGGTGCGGGTCGAGTTTCTTCTTGGTCAACACGTCGCCGCATGCCTGTGGAGAGGGTGGTCAGTAGCGGTCAGGGGAAAGGAGATTTGAGGAGCGCGTGGGTTGCTGACCTCGCATTGAAAGGAGACCATGTTGGCGTGTTCGACGATGAGCGGTGAGAACAGACAGAGCCTTGTGGGTTTGGGGTTCGGGTTCAGCGTGTGTTGGTTCCCTCGAACAAGAGAGAATGTAAAGAGTGGAGCGGTCGGGCAGCAACAATTGATAGTCGCACAAGAGCCAGCTCTTTTGCGGGATTGAGGGAGAAGTAAGGCGTCAAATAATGTCAGGAGAGAGCCAGAGGATACGGGAGTAATGTCAGAGGGGTAATAAATCGACCAGAATAGAGTCTAGTCGTAGTCGTAGTTAGCAGCAAGTCGTAGACACGTAGGAGCAGGCGGACAGCAGGCCATGGGATTCAAGGCGCAGGCGTTCGAGTCTCATAGAGCGCGCTTGGCGAGCATCCGACCCAATTGATCCAAGTTTGGCGGCCAATGTTTTTTTTTAATGTTTGGGTTTCAAGCCCTGGCCGGTTTGGCTGATTTGATGGCCCCGTCGCCTCCCTGGATAGCGAACCCCTGTATTTCTGCTTCCCGTGATAGGCATATGCGTACTAAACCGCATTCGGCTAAATGTGAAATTGCCCTTCCAAACTGGGTTCTCACGCTTACACGCTCAGGCTCAGGGGGTTCACAGCCCACGAAGGGTGTGGAATTACTGAGCCTGATCAAGAGGACAGGGCTGAAAGATCATGTTCACGACTCGACCAACACGGAGGGGACGGGTCTACCCCATACTCCGTACACAACTCCATATAGAATCAAGAACACGACCCTGTTTGACCATCTCACAAACCTGTAACAGTACCGAGTAGGAGTGAATGAATGACGGGCCACTGCCGCCCGCCCGGCGCGCCCTTGGATTGACCAATTGTCACGGGTATGCTACTTGAAAAGAGCACCCGGTGCCCATGAACATGGGCACCACCCGCAACACCCTCCCACGCTTTACCGCGCCTGATCAGGTTTCTGCGGTCTTTCAGGTGGTCACCAGACAGAAGTCACAGCACACGAACAAACCGGTTTGATGTGAACGGGAATGATAGTTGCGTCCAGAGAGAGCTTGGTTCAGGATCAGAATAACAACAAATAACAATAACAACATAACACAGACACTCGGGTGCCACGAGCGTGACGCACATTGATATCCCAAGTACGAGGCTACTCCATATCGCATACCCATAAGCGTACCCGGGGCTGTCCGGAACCTGAATGTGAAGCTCGAAGCTCAATCGCCGCAAAATATGTGTCCACCCGCAAACACGGGGCTCTCGTCCCGGCAGCCTGATGAAACATCCCTCGCACACCCGGATCCAAGCACCATTGAAGAAACATTGGCAGCCTTTGTGCCTGACACTCCCTTGAGCAGATCCATCTTGCATCATGTGGTCTCCGCTCTCCCCTTGTCCATAGTCCACCACAGCTTGCGGGTGTACCTGTTCGCTAGATGGCTAGCACAGAAAGAGCATAGCCAGTTGGCTGATGGCGATCTACTGTTCGCAGCTTCCATGGGCCACGATCTAGGCGCATCACCTCTTCATGGTCTCACGTCGGAGAGATTCGAGGTCGAAGGCGCAGATGCTACAGTAGAGTTGATGCGACAGCACCCCCAGGTTTCCGAGACAGATGCGCATGATGTGTGGGTCGCCATCGCTTTGCATACCTCACCTCACATCGCTGAGAGGATCACTCCATTGGCAAGACTAGTCAGACTCGGGGTCTTGATTGACTTTCGTCCCGCCACCCGCCAGTCACACGATGCTGTCGACTACGGCACAGAGATAGAAGCCAAGTTGCCACGTTTGAACATTGAAAAGATCCTCGGAGACGCTGTGGTCCAGCAAGCCCTGCAGAACCCATCAAAGGCACCGCCAAACTCATGGCCCAGCAGTCTCTACAAGTCACATCTTGAGGATCCCAATTGGGCGGGTGTCAACCGTGGCTTTTAGCCACACCGTATTAAATTGAGAATAGTCTTGAATGGCTTCAAATTGAGCCTTAGAGTACTTACAATTGGAGCCTCCTTCCGATGGCTCCAAAACAGATGCTGGTGCAGAATAAAATGCTCGCCAACCATGTGTAAACCCCAAATTGTTCCGATGCCATCGACTGATGAATTGCCGGCACTGGCACAAAGTTGGGGTCCACCACCAGAAGAAATGTCGTACCAATTGTGCCCACCAATGCCGAAAATGCAAAGCCAGGTAAGGAGCGGTCGATAACATACCAAAGCACGGGGTTGGCAAGTGCTAGTGTCAAGGCCACTTGCAAAGTTGATTGCCATGGTATTCGTCGCTGGTAAAAGTCAGTAATCTGCAGCAACACAAAGCACCATCGGTGAAAGAACTCACCAGTGCAAATGCAATCCCCACGAAAGCGCCCACGCTTCGGACCGCGGAGTACCATATAGGGCCGGTCCCGCTGTCGAGGTTTGAAGTTGCAGGGCTTTCTCGCTCCGTCTTACTGGATGTCCCGGCTGGTCGTCCTGATTTCTGGGGAGCTTGATCCATAGAGATGGTTGTGGAGATAGACTTCTCCCAAAGGGAGTCAACCGCAGGCAGGGCATTACCCAACAGTACGCCGAGAAGACCCCAACAGAGGTTGTAATAAAGCGATCTGTGTTCGACATCCGGCAGAGGAAGAGGCGTGATTCGTCTGGTCTGATGCAAGTGCGTCACAATGGAACCGTACCCGACCCCAAAACTAAATAGCAAGCTCGTTTGTATGCCCAGTGGGATTACATAGCCTCGGAATCCCCGGCGGGGAGGTTTTGTTCTGGTCGTCGTGACGGCATTCTCATCCCAACTAAGGTTCGGTTGTTGTGGTTGGTAATCGTCAATGCTTCGTCTATGACTTGGTGTTTGTGCTCCTGTTCCCCAAGGTGTAGACAGCTCTTCCCGTTCCCCATCTGATACAGGTGAGTAGATCCCGAACAAGGTTGACGATGTCAAGTTGAGAATTGACCGTGTACGGCTACTTGGGGTCATGTCCAGCCTTGGGCTGTTAAGAAATTCTGGGTTGTTGGGTTCAGGGGCAGGTGAAGGAGGGTGGGAGGAGTCGGTCGAGGCAGGTGTGATCTCGAAGGTCCTACGAGGGATTGGACGATGCAGATGTGGCATTTCCATGATGCTAAGGCTGAGAACGGAGGTCTCAAGAGTTTAGAGTGGAAATGCTTTCGATGACTCGTTTCCTGATAAGATCTCGTCGTGTAAAAGATCTCGGCTTGGCTTCGACGGCTTGGATAGATTGTCGAAGGTGTTATGAGGCAGGGAAGAGTTGGAGTTGTGTTGAGAGCATGTCGAAGAGTTGGGAAACAAGCGAGCCCGGGACAAGCAATCAGGCTATGCAAGTGGGGAGGTGAGATGCCGACACAACTCGAGGCATGTGTAGATGGCAGTAGGACAGCAGAGGTGTACAAGAGAACTGTCTTCACATGTTCTTTGGATCCCCATGCGCGGTCTGATCAATAACGAGCAGTTGAAAGGGACACACAAAATCCTAGGACCAATTGCATGATCCGCGGTTGGATGTGCGGAGTTCTCGTTCCGATTTTCAGGATCCCGTGACGAGAGCGGCAGATCATTCAAGTGCCAAGACTTGGGTCATGGTTTTCTCGTTGCCAAGATTCGGAGAATAGTATTCCCAGCCGCTACGACGGCTAATTCTATTCGTAGAACCGGAAGGAACATACAAGAGACTGCTCGTAAATCATTTCACCGTTCGACTTTTGACGAGAACGAAGGTAACACTTTGATTGTGGAGCTCAGGTCCATTCTCTTGTTCATAGATACACTCAGAGTCTCTTGGAGCTATATCAGAAACTCACCATCGCTTTCTAAAATATCCATCAGCTCCTACATCAGTGATCATATCAAACACCGACTCGACAATCAAGATGGCTCTCTCAAACTTTGACGCTGAAAATGCCCCCAACTACGAGGATATGGAGAAGCAGTTCGCTGTCAAGGCAGTACAACACATGACTGTCTACTGGTCAATTCTCGAAAAGTTGCCTGGCTCCAAGCTCCGCCTCACAAGACTGGATGATGAAATCTACGAGCACCTCAAAAAGGAGTTCCCAGATTTCAATCCAGCTGACGAGATTGATGAAAACTCCATGAAAAGCAAAGAGGGAAAGGAGAAGTGGAGGAATTTCTCCATGGTTTACGAAAAGGGCGACAAGAAGATCGAGGACTACAATTTTGGTACGATGCTTCGTAAGAGCCCAAAGACTGAATACGGCGAGAAGGAGACGATATTTGCTGTGCGGATGCAGTTCTATGCTATCGAGATTGCGAGAAACCGTGCCGGCCTCAATGACTGGATTTACGAAAATGCACAAAAAGCCACCAAATGAGGCCACGCCATTCCAGTCGAACCGAAATAGTGTCGACGAAGCGTCATGCTTACTGGCTCTGAGGAACGGCAACTATGTCTCTATTAGAAGCGACAACCAAGAGGCCACTATTCGCAGAATCAACATCGCCTTACACACTACAAGAGCAAATTCGAACTGTCTACACACATGCTCGACAAATAGCAATGACAAATTCATGTCCGAGTCGCCAAATTCTTCAAGGCAAAGACAATTCCGAAAAGCCAAGAGCAGATTGAAGGACTACAAGAAAGATGCGGCAGCCAGCATTCCAAAAGAACAATAGCAAGCCATTACCCACCCGTCCTGGCTTGCAACCATCCGTGACCATGGAACAAAGCAAGAACGCCAATTAATTTAATTCCAGCTGGTAACTATCATCTCCTCTACTTTTCTCCCTCTGTGATTGTAGCGATCTCTTTCTGTGGTTGTCCTTTTGAAGTGTGCCCTGGCTTATCATGCCGTTATGTTGCGGAATGAGTGCAATCGACCAAGATCAACATCGGGGCGAGCAGGATTTATTGCAAGACCACGGGCAGAGAGGTTGGCATGTTCTTTTTGCCTTCACCAGGAGACCGCATTTGCTAGTTTTGCTGCCTGCCATTCTGCTTTCACTCGCCGCAGGTCTACTCCTTCCCGTGACAGCCATTTTCCTTGGAAGAATTTTCAATAACTTCTCCGACTTCGCTGCCGGAAAGGTCGACAGCACCACCTTTAGTCATGAGATCCTCAACAGTGTTTACGGATTTCTAGCTCTTGGTGTGGCCACCTTTGTTCTCAGGGGCGGATTGTTCAACTTTTGGCTACAGTTCGGCGAGATGCAGGCCAAATGTGTCCGCGAAGAACTATTTCGTGCTCTCCTGGAAAAGGATCTGGAATGGTATGACCTAAGGACAACTGGCGTGGAAACGCTCTTAAGAAGAACACACACGTAAGCACTTCGTTCCAGACCTTTCCCAGTCTGACAGTTCCCAGGCAGACACAAGATCTCCGAATCGCGACATCCCAACCTCTTGGAATCTCGATATCATACCTTGCACAAGCCTTAGCAGCTATTGCCTTAGCCTTTTATACCAATTGGAAGTTGAGCCTTGTCATTTTAGCGAGTGTTCCTATCACAGTTGTGGGAATAGCCGTGATTTCTCGTCGCATACAGGGGAACACAGAACGCTATGAAGGCAACCTAACGCAAGCAGTGAGATTGGCGACTTTTGCCATAACGAATATCGTCATGATAAAGTGCTTCAATACAAAGGCTTCAGCGCAACGAAATTACGTCGATTGTGTGAAAGCCGCGGCTGAGCACTATTTGAAGCTCGGATTTTCACATGCCCTCCAAGGTGGTTTTGCTCGATTCATATCAAATGCGATGTTTGTTCAAGGTCAGTGGAAATCTTGGGTGCTATTACGAAGGCTAGATCTCATCCTTTTCGTCAGGCTTCTGGTACGGTGGCTCGCAGGTGCAAGCTGGCCGAACCACCGCAGGCAGGGTAATCACAACCTTTTGGAGCTGCGTAATTGCCGCAAAGTCATTTGAAGGCATCCTCCCCCAAGGCATGATTCTCCAGAAAGGCCGAGCTGCCGCTTTCGCTCTTGAAGCGGTGCTAGGCAAGGTTCTGAAAGGCAGAACCGATATGGTCAATGCCGGAGGTCTGACTCCGCATTTCTGCCAGGGCAAGATTGAGTTGCGTTCTGTATGCCTAGTCTGAGCCTGTCGTCGGTGTTTGAGCTAACAATGAAGGTTTCGTTTGCATATCCTTCAAATCCTGAACATCTTGTCCTCAGAGATTGCAACTTTACCTTTCCAGCAGGACAAACAACCTACCTCGTTGGAAAGAGCGGATGTGGAAAGAGCACTATAAGCTCCATGTTGCTTCGTTTCTATCCCCCCAGCTGTGGCACGATATTCCTTGATGGACTCGATATACAAACCATTGACAAAACCTGGCTCAGGAATAACATCACCCTTGTCCAACAACAGTGCCATCTCTTTGACGAAACTATTTACACGAATATTGCTCTTGGTCGGAGGGATTCTGATCGAGTGACGGAGGACGAGATAGAAAGCTGTCTTCATATGGCAGCATTGGAGACCGCTGTGGCAGATCTCACAGAGGGAAGTAGGACAAGGGTTGGAGTTGGCGGTTCCTCTCTTTCAGGTGGCCAGAAACAACGGATCGCACTTGCACGAGCATATCTCCGTGATACTCCCATACTCATACTAGATGAGGCAACAAGCGCCCTTGATTACTCAATTAGAACTACCATTACGAGAAATATACGACATTGGAGAAGAGGAAGAACGACAATTATTATCACCCATGACCTCGAGCAGATTGAAGCAGAAGATTTTGTGTACGTCTTGGGGTCTGGAACCGTCCTCCGTCAAGGCCGCCAAAAGGACGTCACCGACCTCGCAAAACGATTTTCCGTGATTTGTCGTAACAGTGACTTCAGCGAAAGTCCCAGTCATCAGCAAGATGGCGTCACCTACCGCGTGGCAAGACCAAGGGAAGCCATCAAAGCTTCGACATCAACCCGCAGAAGCTCCAGACGGAAAGACTCCTTTGACACAGAGTTTGAACGCGCTGATGGATCAACAGTAACCAGGGCTCGTGTCAAACCTCGTGGTAGTGGTGCCCGACAGACATTCAGACAATCAATATTCCTCGGAATGCAAGGCACCTTGATGTCTTTGAAGTGGGCGTCAACAGCTCGAGCCAAAACTTTATATCCATTACCACCTCCAATTCCCGGCTTTTCCATTGCAGAGAAAGACATCAGGTCTATAGAATGGGAAATGACGAGCTCTGATCGCAGGACAATCGCTCCTTTCATGAAGCGGGCTAATTCATCTAACTTGGACAACAAGCCGCTACCCATTCCTCTCATCGGATTTACACTTCCCAAGCGGCCAAAAATTATAGCTATCAGTGAGACCAATGAAGATGAACGAGTGAGGCCCACGGAGTCACTCCTCACGATTCTCCGGACAGTCCTTCTTGATTCAGATATGAAGAAAAGGGTGAAGATTGCCGTAGCGCTTATTGCGACTACAGGGCATGCAGCTATGACTCCCCTGTTCTCATGGGTGGTTGCACAAGCTCTTGCAACATTTTTCCTAGGATCGGGTTTCAAACAGAAGCTGCTAACCTATTCCTTGTCCATGCTTGGCGTTGCGATATTCGACGGGCTATGCTATTTTACGATGAGTTATCTGCTGGAGTCAGTAGCCCAATCCTGGGTTGATGGGCTTAGGTTCCGAGCAATATATCGCATTCTCAGGCAGCCCATGGGCTGGTTTGATGATGACTTACACAAATCGTCATCGATCGTGTCGGCACTGGACCGCAATGCGGAAGAGATGAAAGACATAGTGAGCAGATACGCAGCGCTGATAGTTATTGCGACCATCATGATGCTTGTTGGATCGATATGGTCGATCATCACTTGTTGGAAACTAACGTTCGTCACTCTCGCTGGAGCACCTGTTGTGTATGGACTTGCCAAAGCGTTCGACATGGTCTCAGCACATTGGGAGAATTTGACCAACATGACAAGTGAAAGCATCGGTCTCATCTTTGTTGAGACTTTCGTGGACATTAGGACCATCCGAGCACTCACACTGGAATCATATTTTCACAAGAAATACAAATTTGCGACACAGGAGGCCTTTACTACGGGGCAGCGCCGTGCGATTTTCAGTGGAGTATTCTACGGGTTATCAGAATCCACCATCCACTTTCTTACCGCTTTCATGTTTTGGTATGGAGGGTTTCTCGCTAAACGACAAGAATGGTCCGTCGAACCGATCTTGACAGTGTTTGCGCTGATAGTGTTTTGTGTATCTAACGCAGCTGCTATCATGGCGTACATACCTCAAATCAATTCTGCAACAGATACTGCCAGTCGCCTTCTCGATCTTGCCTGGGAGCCGGTACATTCACATGAAGACATGGGTACGTTTTCACTTGACGTTAGCGACCCAAGCACGCTCTCAGGTCCAATACACTTCATCAACCAAACCTTCCACTACCCTACGCGACAGGATGCACCTGCTTTGCTACGTTTGAATTTAACAATACCTTCTGGCAAATGTACGGCAATTGTTGGAGAATCAGGGTCGGGGAATCCGACGATTGCATCGCTTATACTTGGTCTCTACCCAGCAACGGCAGATTCAATCGCCCGATCCCCCACAGACTCGTCTTGGGACCCGCCTTCTTTGACATTATCCGGTCGCGATATCAGGACTCTGAACCTACCTATTCTGCGGTCAATGATCTCGATAGTTCCACAAACCCCAGTCCTGATTCCTGGTACTGTGCGTGAGAATATCATCTACGGTTTAGAACAAGCGTCTAGCCTGATTTCGGCTTCTACGATCGAGGCGGCAACGCAGCTGGCTGGGATTCACAGCTTCATTCAATCTCTCCCGCAAGGATACGCAACCACTGTCGGCGAAGGAGGGATGGGTATGTCCGGTGGTCAAGCTCAACGGATCGTGATTGCAAGAGCATTAATTCGGAATCCTCGGGTTCTTATTCTTGACGAAGCGACAAGCGCCTTGGATGATGACAGTGCGAAAATCATCAAGGCCAGCGTGGTTCGATTGGTTCGAGAGAAAAATGGCCACCTAACGGTTATTATAGTGACACATTCGAAAGCGATGATGAGCTTTGCCGATGAGGTCGTCGTTATGGAGAAAGGTAGTGTGGTTGAACAAGGCTCATATGCTGACTTGTTGGCCCGGCGTGGCAAGCTTTGGGAAATGCTCAATGCAAGTCCTCATAGTGGTTAGTAATATCCATATACTCTGATGCTGAGATACTGGGGCACGAGATCCTGCGAGTTGTTAGCGAGGTAGGCGCTCATTGGGAAGCAGAATACGGGCTGCAGGGATGCATATTTGGATTGTGCACTTCAATCTGTCCAGTTCTACGAGTAGGCATGCCGAGTCGCGAATACAATCAACCTGCTCCTCAGGCGGCTTTTCTGCTTTGTGCCGATATACCCACCAGTTGTCCAAGCATGATTGTACGATGTGCAATCGTCCCATGGTAGTGGTATATCTCTTTCCCGATGCGTTTCAATCCCAACCCGACGATCAGCGACTGTAAACCGCGGCCCGTGCACTTGCGGCTAGGTACCTCCGCTACCTCGAACTACGAAACAGTGGCCAATAACAAACACTCTGTGAGGTGGCTTGAAGGCATACAGATATCTGTCACTGTCCAGAATTACGTGTCGGGTAGGCCCCTCTCCCCGGAATTTCTCCTCAGTCACGCTCGACACTCAGACCCCTCTTGGTCCATTAAATCAGATCAAATGGTTGGACGCAGGATAGGTGACCGGGTGCTTTGCGCCGGTTGCATCGGTACGAGGTCGGTGATGCGCGGTGGGGGAGTTGCGGTCCTTTCTTTCATCACTGTCCGCGAGTCTGGTCGGTCTTTAATCTGTACTTCAACAGTCGGAGATCCACGCTTTTTTTTTTAAAGAACACAATCCCGGAATCGAATAAAAGTGTCTTCCATTTCCATATTCATTTGGATCTTCCAAGCCAGCGCTAAACAGACCTCTCCGGGAAAGCAACATCGAGCTGTTATATCATATCTTTGTCTTAGAGGCAATCTAATAGTACCAGACAACAACTGCAACAGGCCTCATCATCTCCATCAGTCACGATGCTCGGCAAGATCGCATTAGAAGAGGCCTTCGCACTACCACGGTTTGCGGAAAGGACGAGATGGTGGGCAGGACTGTTCGCCGTCGACCCCGATAAACATGCCGCTGAGATCAACGACATCACCGAGACGCGGATAAAGTATATGGACAAGTATGGCGTTGGCTTTCAACTGTTGTCATATACCGCCCCTGGTGTCCAGGATGTCTGGAACAAGGAAGAGGCTGAGGCACTGGCGACCGAGGTCAATGATTATGTTGCTACTGCTATTAAGTCACATCCGGATAGATTTGGTGCACTTGCGTAGGTTTCTTTCTCCCTGTCTCCCTTTCCTTGAGAGAGCGGGTGAAAGCATGGTCTGGAGTCAATCTTGGAACGCCTGCTTACTCGCAGGCGATTAGGACACTTTCGATGCACGACCCCAACCAAGCCGCGAACGAGCTACGGCGAGTAGTCAAAGAATACGGGTTCAAAGGAGCACTCGTCAACGACACGCAACGAGCCGGCGCCGACGGGGACGATATGATCTTCTACGACCAGCCTGAATGGGACTTGTTCTGGTCGACGGTGACGGAGCTAGATGTTCCATTCTACCTGCACCCGCGCAACCCGACAGGAACGATCCACGACAAGCTCTGGGCTCAGCGGAAATGGTTGGTCGGACCACCTCTCAGTTTCGCACAGGGCGTCAGTCTGCATCTCCTCGGCATGGTCACGAATGGAGTCTTTGACCGTCACCCAAAGCTTCAGATCGTCATTGGCCATCTTGGTGAACATCTTCCTTTCGACCTGTGGCGGATAAATCACTGGTTTGAGGATGTAAAGGTAAATATCGGAACTTTTTTTGGTTGACAAGGTCTATAATCTTCCGAATGCTAACGTGTCTCTTTTACAGAAACCTCTAGGATTGAAAGAGACCTGCAAAAAGACCATTCGCGAGTACTTTGCCCAGAACATCTGGATCACCACGAGTGGGCACTTCTCAACGCCCACCTTGCACTACTGTCTCACTGAGGTGGGAGCCGATCGGATATTGTTCTCGATTGACTATCCGTTTGAGAACTTTCATGATGCGTGTGACTGGTTCGACAAGGCTGAGATCAACGACGTTGACCGGAGGAAGATTGGTAAGGATAATGCGAAGAAGCTGTTTAAATTGGGCGAGTACAAGGATTCGAGTGCGTGAAGTTAAACTCTTACATTACCTTTTATGAAATCACCACAGGCATGGAGGGTATGATACGTGTTATTGTCGGATCGTGCAAGGCTGTGTACTATAGACGTTTTACTGGCTAGAATGTTCCAGGGCCAGTAGTATTCATGGCAGGCGCCCTGTCAGGCTAATTGTGGACCGGAAATTCCTTCACGGTCACTTGCATGCTATATATCTCATCCATTAGTGGTTTTGACCTGCATCGTCTACCTAATACCTCAGCCTCCCGGATGACATGGATGTGCAGGTGTCCCCGGATCGAGAACCTGACATCATCCGCGGCTAACAAGAGTCTGGGGTAAGCGTGCACCCCTCCGGCGTTGCTTGGTTGATGACTATTAACTGAGGATCTATCGTAAGGAGGGTTAGGCTCAGCTAGGCCTAATTATCTGTTTCCGTACCGAGAGACGGAATGGCCGTTGCTCCAGGTAAAGGTGGGGATCTGACAGATGATAATTAGACGGCCCTTATCAGGACGCAAAAGGTCAAGTCTGGCACTCGGCGTTGGTGTTGGTTCAGGCGCCTGAGTCCTTATCAGTTGTTCACGTCTTTCATCCCAGCAAACTCCATCAACTGAACCAACTCACTGATCTTCATTGCGCGCGTATGAGGACAATCCACAACTTACAGCACCTTCACATTAGGTTGCCATTCCCACCTCCCTAACCGCATTCAAACTCAGTTTCGTTCGGACTTGATACATGACCAGGCTCTTCGCAGGAAATGCCTCGACCAAAGGTCCGCCCTGAGGACAGGCAACGGGCAGCCAAAGCCTGCCTGCCTTGCAAATTCTCCAAGAAGAGATGCGATGCTCAATTACCTTGTGCCCATTGCACCAGGCGCAACAATGCTTCGGCCTGTACATATGAGGACACTGTCTACACTAACCGCACCCCTCGACGCCGTGCTTCAAACAGTATTCATCGACAATCGGTCACCTCGACTGCTCCACCATCCAGTCATTCTCACTCGAGTCAGCCAGAAGTCGACCATACCCAGAACTACAACCACAATCACGCCCAGAATCAGAATCAGAATCAGAATCAGAATCAGACTCCTCAATATGATATCCCAGATAGCTTTGCCGACCAGGGTCCAAGTGGTTTACTTGAAACTACTAGCTTCCCCCAACGAATCACTAGAGACCGACTGCTATTGAGCTCCAAAGGAGAGCAAGGTACGTACATTTGCCACCTACTCGTCCAGAGAGGATTTCTCAAAATAACTCTTATCAGTGTATATCGGCAAGACTGCTTCACTTTCTTTCTTGCAGTTTCTGCGTCATACCATCAGACAACAGATGGGCCCGTCTGTCTTCACCGAAAATGCTCGCAGACATCTCATGCTTGAGATCAATAGCCCTGAGGATGGCTCGAGTACTTTCAACGAAACCGATGCTTGCAAGCGGGCCTTGGTGGAGACCTACTTTGCTGCTGTAAGTGGTCTTTCTCCTGGTTACCATGAGTCCAGCCCCCGACATGACACCTGTCATGATATTGCCTCCTACGTCCTGAGTGATGGATGTGATACCCTTAGCTTGCGCCTTCTCCTTGTCCTCTAATCCTGATATATTGTCTAGACCAGTGGCCTCCTCGACCTTTACTCACGAGAAGAGACTGGAACGTATCTCTCGACAATCAGCACGCCCAATGACCACAGCCAGGGATTTGCTGTCATTGCTTTCGATCTAATCGTCGCCATTGGTGGCCAGTGTCGCGCTGCAAGTCCTACCGACCTCAGATATGCTGTGAGATGCTTCACTAGGGCGCAGAAAGCTGCCCTTGCAGGAATGCTCGAAGATCCTTGTCTCGATATGGTGCGCTGCTTTCTCCTTATGGCCTTCTATATGCTAGGCGCTTGCCGTAGGAACGCTGCCTTTATGTACCTTGGAGTAGCCTCGAAGGCAGCTTCAGCACTAGGTCTCCATGTCACCGACCAGTATCGTCATTTCCCAACCCAGGTACAGAGTATCAGGTAAGACGGAGTTAAGTCGCGACGCCCTGCTCTTGCTAACATGCTAAAACAGGTTACGCACATTAAAAAGCCTTCGTATTCTCGACGTCCTGGTCAGTTCGATTCTCGGAAGACCTTTGTCGACACCGGTGATGCGAATCGACAACACCTCGTTCAGTAACCTCCATACTCACATGGGTACTCCACGGGACATGGCGCTCAACGCCAGCTTCGGAGCTTGCTCCCTCATCGCGGAGATCATGCAAAACCTCGAGGCCGACAACACCGTGGATCTACCATTCGCGGACCAGACTCTAAAACGGTTGAGAGACTGGAGTTCCAGTCTTCCCAACAATATCAAACGATTCACCAAGGAATCCGCAACTCCATTGACGGTTTTAGACCAAGAGCGAGTCATCGGCAATATCCATGTTGCTTGTGTCTACTACTTCGCCGTCATGCTCGTTACTCGCCCTTTCCTGATCTCTCATCTGATGGCGAACCTTCCTGGCAGTGCTGCCGAGATTCCAGATACGCCCACGACGGCCAGAGAGCAGGCCGAGATCGTCAACATGGCGGAGGCATGTCTAGATTCAGCGGTGTACATGGCGCAGATTTGCCACGAAGCACTTCAATCCGGACTCTTCCTAAACGCCATGCCTCTTATGAAGTAAGCATACCCCTATGTCCCTCCCTCCCTCGAATTTAATACGTTTTCTGCTCTAGGCCAACTAACACATGTTTCTCCTCCACTTTCACAGAGCATGGATGTTCGCGGCCGGCCTCGTGATCGGCTTCTCCATGTTCGCGCAAGCGGAGCCGAAATTTGAAATGGACGAGTCCTTCAACGGCGCCCGCGAAGTCTTGAAGAAACTCTCCGACCACAGCCCACAAGCAGAACATTACCACGAGATCCTCACGGGGTTCGCCGACGCCATCCAACGCCACCGGCAACACCTCGCGCGCGAGAAGCGCAGGTCTCAAAACAAATACGTCAATCAGATCCTGAAGCTCGACATGAACATGAACTCCAACGGTGGCGGCGGCAGCTCGGGTCCGCACCAGTCGACGTTCTCGCCGCAGGCGCTGTCCAGGGAACTGGCAGATGCGGCGTCCAGTACGCTCGCGGCGGAAGACGTCGGACCGCTGGGCGACAGTGATTCTCCTCCTCAGCCGTTCCAGCTGTTTGACGCGTCGCAGCTCCCCGTCGATGGCGGCGGCGGCTTTGATTTCGGCATGTTCGGCTGGGACAATTTCGCCATGCAGATCTCGGAGAACTTTGCTTTTGACAACGACACGCTTTGGGATCTCGGTTGAAGAGAATCGAATTGGGAGAACAAATATTGGCCTTTCTATTGGGGCTTCTTCAAAATTCTCACCACTGATCCAATCGGCCGCGTCGCTTCAAGACCTCGGCGATAATCCCCGCTATCTGGTCACCAGTCTGCCACAGCTCATCGTGGTCGCCTGAGGCAGATAACTCGACGACCCCGATAGAAGCACCTATGGAAGATTTCAACGCTGCCTGCATGCCCACAAGCTGCCGATAAGGGACCAAGGTATCGTCTTGACTCTGCACGAGCACCACGGTGCCATTCTCCGGGCCCCATTCTTCCACCCAGTCCTTCACAGATACAGGACTGACATCATACCATGTATTTTCGTCGTCGCCAAACGCAGATCTGGTGAAGGCGTCGTACGCCGGGATCAAACCCGCGTGCTTATCGCCCGGGTCGTTGATCAATCCTGGCAGGTCGTATAGCCCGTCCAGGCCGATAACCACGCAAGGTTTGCAGACTTTCGGAACGTGTGCGGCAGCCTGGTCTTCAGGAGATGAAGCCGACGACCATCGCGCCACGTCCATCATCACCTGAAACGCCAAGGTCGCGCCGCAGCTGTGGCCCACCAGGGTGTAATTCTCCGCGAAACCGGTAACTTTCTGGACGAAGGCCAGCCCGCACAGCACGTCCACGATATGATCAGGATGTTTCCCGGAACGACTTGGCGTTGCCCCGCCATGGTGGTGACTAGGCGAGAGCGTATAATTCAGCGAGACGACGCCCGCGATGTCACGAAGCGAATCCGGGAATTTGAGGAGATGGTGCAACGTGGCGCCGAACGAGTCCGCGCGGATATCAGGGTCGCACCATGCGCCGCCGTGGATGTAGACGATCCACCATTTGTCTCCGTTGTTCTTTCGAGAGAGGAGAAGTTGCTCCGGCGTGTGCTGCTCCACTTTTGCCGCAGGTGCCGATGATGATGGTGATGATGGCGATGATGGAGACGACGATGGGGAGGGAAGCCAGACGTCGAGAGTCTGGAGCTCGTGGCCTCCATGCACGTATGGCACCGACGGCTTGTACCAGCCGACCGCCTTCTTCGGGCTCGATAAGTCTGGCGAGTCGTCCCATTGTTGCCATGGCACGCTGTCCCACAGGGAACCAAACTCTTCATCGGCCATGTCGTAAAAGGTGAAGTGGCCTCGCGATGGATGACTTGTGTAGTAATCGCCCGAAGATCTAGGATGTGTGCTGGTGTTGACGGTGATGTCAACAGCTAATATGTATAAGCTCCTCGATGTAAATTCAACCCCAGGTTTGCTCTGATAAAGTATCCCAGGTGTGCGATCGACGGATCGCGCGATTGTTGCGTAGCTTATGCAATCAATTGTAAGAGGAGAGTTGTCCTGTCAGAGCGGATCTGTGTGGGCCTGCCGCCCAAACCATTTAGGTCTTTCTGCTTGTCGCACAGCGAACGCCTTCGTCCTTCGTCCGAAGAACGATTGGCACGGCAAACTGGCCCCAACCCAGACTTCACTCACAGCCAGCCTCCTGGATGTCAAATCTTCAATCCCTCAACATACGCCCTCGGCTGCGATTCTTCTGGGGAAGCACACGCAGGACCTTTCTTGGCCGGCTGGAGCAGCAGTTGATTGATCGATGGCGTGAATGGACCGAGAAATTATAGCTATGTAAATAGCACACAAGTCCGCCCTAGGCAGTTACTTAGATGTCATCCCCCTGTGCATCCGAGGCGGAGAGGGGAGGAAGGAGTATGGTTCGTCGCGGAAGAGAGAGAGAGAGAGAGAGAGAGAGAGAGAGAGAGAGAGAGAGAGAGAGAGAGCCCTTACCCGACCCCCGCCTACCACACAGCACAACGGCGGAGCTTAACATCGCCAAAAAGGTCCACAGAGGCACATCTCCATTTCGGGACGCGAACTACCCGCTGCTCTTTCACTACGTGAATGTCGAATTGAAGATGACATGCCCATTTGGAATGTTGAAGCCGATGGGGGTGCGTCCGCGACTAGACTGGACCGTCTAGCCTACCTATGAGTCTTTGATTAGGTCAGAGAGGTAGTTTGACTGTAGATCCTCGTAAACACGAGCTGCCGGTCGCTTCGGTTTGTCATACTGAGACAGATCGCACTCGGTGCCTTGTACTCGGTAGCAAAGTAGGTAAGAAACTGGTTGGGTTTTCCTCAGGAGGATGGGACAAGGAAACAGTGCAGTATTCTAGAGTCATTGCAATGATAATAATAGTGACGAGAATCCTATAATTATGACAAGAACATGAATATGAACCATCCGCTTGGATAAGGCGCACCTTGCAAAGTAGTGTCCTGCCGTCCTGCCGTCCTGCCATCCGCTGCCAGCTCTTCTTTCTATTCCCGGGTTCAGAGTGATACATACCCTTATCCCTCCATGCTTGCTCGCCCGTTTCATCCTGGTGCCGCGAGAGCACAAAGTTTCAAAACATACCAATACGTCAATCAACGACACCGTAAACCTATACCGATCCATATCCCATCTGAAGAAAACTAGATTGATCGCCGTACATACAAAAGTTAAATCCACTCCGTCCCATCCCATCCCCTTGAACGAGCAGAAGAACTTGAACCTTTCTAAGAATTCCGCTGCTTCGCCGCCTCGAGGGCCTTCTTTATGCGATCCTTATGGTCCGGATCACTCCCAATCCCATCGATCAGGTCCTTTATCAACACTAGCGCGTCCGCCGGAGACTTATTGACGCTGTTGACGCGGGTGTTCATTTCTTGGACGAGCTTGGCGTCTTCTTTGGCTTTTTCGGACTCGAGCTTGGCGTACGTCGCTGTGTCGGCGTTGGCGGTGCGGGCCTCTGCCACGGAGACACCGAAGTCGGATTCATTGAGGAGCACGTCGGCTTCGTTTGAGAGGGCCAGGAGACGTCGTGAGTCGGTAATCACCGTATTGACGACCTCTTGGGCTAGCGTGAGTGTATCGCGCGCCCCGTCCCTTTCGTAGAGGGTTTCGCCGCTGTCAGGATTCTGGGAGGCGGCTCCGTTGGCGATGACTTTGTTCAGTTCCTGCAATTTGGTCAGAAGATCATCGACGAAGGTTTGATTATCGCCCAGTCCGCGAACGGTGGCACGGTCGAAAGAGTCCATCAGCTTATTAGCTCGATTGTCCTTTCCGCGCGCCTCATGCAAGACTTGAAGCTTCTCAGCGACAGCGAAATCCTTCTCAAGAGTCTTGACACCCGCTGTGTCACCATTTGTGTAGAGGACGGTCAACTCGAGATGTTTGCGTCGCCGCTCTCGTTCCACCTGTGCTTCTGCGACCTTCTGATGGCGGATTTCGATCTTGTTGAAAAGGGCCAGAACACAACTCATCACATCAGACATACGTGGTTTTTCATTGTTGCCCTTGAATAGACGACTGACAGGCTCGCTTTCTAGGTCGAGCAAGTCAATTGCCAACGTGTATGCCGTCATTAACTCAGCAATCTCCTTTTGTAACCTCTCAGTGACTGGATTGAAGACTTGTGTTGTGAAAGACTCGAGCTCTTCTTGGTTCTCCCGGAATCTCCTTTCAGCCTCTGACAGCTTGAACTCGGCCTCAAGATTACCAATGTCGGCATAGCCAATTTCATTATCATTGAAAAGCCCATCAATGTGGGCTTCAGACTCGACTTGCCGAGCGTGGCGTTCAGCATCTTGCTCGTTTCGGACTACCCGATTGGTTTTATCCCACTCAACAACCTTTGCATGAATGAATCCGAATTCATCAAGGACATCGTCAACCTTTGCTTTGACCATTTTCAGCTTGGGGTGTCCAGGACCTTCGATTGGAGTCGCCGGGGGAGCTTCGATCGGTAGAATTGACCTCAGACCCATCACAGCTTGCTTCAATGGGTCTTTGGGTGAGGCATTGGCTGGTGTTCCGACTCTCATCGAAGGAGGTGGTGGGCGACGTGCAGCATCGGCACCACCGGGTCGGATAGCCCCAGGTATGCCCCCAGGACCGGGCGTTTTCTGCCTTACAGCCATACTCTGTTGTCGAATCAGTCCGATGAAGGCTTCTTCATGCTCTCTCTTGCCACTTGCTGTACTCGGCCGAGCAGGAGGTATCAAATTGTCCGCTTTCATCAACCGACCTGAATCTATTACCGAATGTCGCAAGGTTGAATAAGCTTTATCTGCTGGCTGCAAAGGTGTTGGCTTCTCTTCCCGAGTCGCAGCGCTGTAGCGAAATGGCGTATAAGCTGGTCGAGCAGGTTCGAACTTGATTGGTTTACTAGGCTTGTTGCCTGGCGTCGATGTCCCAGATGCACCGGATGGAGGTGCCATTTCTGGAAGGACAAGGATAGGGGCATTAATCCCAGGGGAAGGAGGTCCTGGTGTTCGATAATCATCAATAACCATGGGGGCATTGATGCTCGGCGACAGTGCATCAGTATCAGGCTTCTTCGGAAGGCTTTGACCACGAGGAGGAAAAGTGTCGACAGCCGTAGCGGGCGGGGCAGTGGTTACCGGCGGTTTCTTAACCATCCTGGGACGGCCACCAGGACTATATTCCCCATCCTCATTGCCTCCAGAATCCAGGATAACGAAGGATTCATCTTTGGACGGCCGTCGTGCTTCAAGCACGGGCTTTGTCACAACTGGCGGGGCTGACGGTCGAGCAGGTTGGAAAGTTTGAGGCACATCTTCCACTGGCTTGGTGGCGGTAGGAGGAGGCACTGGAATTTGTGTAGGTTTGCTCGCAGCCTCGGCAACCGGGGGTTGAGGCTGCTCAATTGCAGGTTTCTCCTGCCTGACACTCTCAATCGCTCTGGCCGTCTCCGCCGGAATGGCCTTGGCCGCATCCTTCGTCTCATTGGGCAGTTCGATACCGTACAACAAGCTCCTCAGTCGAAGTTCCTTCTTGACGAAGGCTTGGAAAATGTCAAACTTGGCTTCATCGGACTCGGCACCCGACTCCTTCCGCAGCATGGCGCCATATCTCTTCAAAGAAGCTTTGAATTCTGGCTCGAGGTCGGCGTAGGGGTCGACCACTTTAGCGGTAGGGGAGAGCTCTGGAGATGCCACACGACCTGAGGTACGAGATTCCGGCCGGACAGTCTGTTCTGGAGGATGGCTAGGCCTAAGAGGGCTAGTCCAGGCTTGAATGACACTGTCAATATTCCCATTGCCGTTCATGTTCAGGCTATCCGAGCGAACTGAGGGGTGGCCAGATGAAGACGGTCTCTCTTCAACGGGTTGAGGCGGTTGAACGGCAACGGCACTTCCTTGTGGGTGTGCCCGAGAGTCTTTCCGTGGCGTAACAGGGCTGTTAGGACCGATCTCGACTGGCGACGTAGGGCGCCCGGTCATTGACAATGGAGTATGGGACGTAGATACCGCTGGCGGGGCAGGTGTAGGGGCAGGCGATGGGACACGTTGGTCATGGTAGTATGCAGTCACAGCAGGAATTGGAGGGCTGGTTGGTGTCTCTAACGGAGGATTGCTCTCATAGTGCTCCCAATCGGAAGGACCACCAAAACTAAGGGCTTGTGATTGATTTTGCTTATCGTTCGCCTTCTGACCGGCCGTACTCCCATGTCCTTGATGACCCCAGTAGACATTGCTTCCCTCTATCGGAGAGACCAACGGGGCATCCACAGTCGCGGAGACCTGGGCCGCGGGCGGCGCTGTGGGATAGTAGGAAGGGCCTGCGGGTTGTGGTGGTCCCCATTGATGCTGGGGCGCAGGGTCGTACTGATGAGAGGGAGGGTGGTGCGAGTATTCTTGATGCGGAGTGCTGACCCGGTTGTAAAGAGGCTGCACTACTGGTGGTGGTGGTGGTGCAGATACTGGAGCCTGTGCCTGTGCCTGTGCCTGCGCCTGTGCCTGATACTCAGCTGGTCGTGGGGGCGGAGGAGGAGGGAAGGTGGACTGTTGAGGAGACAGATTCGCTTGATAGGGATCTCCCCATGAGGTTGCGTAATGCGGTTGCTGGGTCGAAGGATGGGTGGTGGTGGTAGAGGAGGTCGGCGGCTGGTGAGAGGAGCTCAGAGACTGGTTGTGAGCGTGGCCGTGTCCGTGACCAGGCTGCGGGCTGATTCGGCCTGCTGCGCTCTCTGGCCGCGGTGGAAGGGGAGGCTTCTCTTCATATGGTTGGGGTACCAATCCTTGATTGTAGCGGACGCCCCATGCGGATGTATCATACTGAGACTGCTGCGTGGAAGGAGGAGGCGGTGGTGGTGGAGGCGGTGGTAGAGGCGGTCCAAAGGAATTTAATGAGGTCTGGCCGTACGGAGAGACAGGGGACGTTGGCTGTTGCTGTATTCTCGGATCGCCCCATCCTCTCCGTGAAGGTGCTTGCCATTGAGGCTGCGGTGGACCGGGCGTCTGCTGCGAATAATTGTAGCCAGGGTTGGTGTTGTTGGTGTTGTACGGATTCATGGTGCTGATGCAGCAAGCCGCGCCCGATAACTGTACCGGAGTATACCTTGCATCAACGGCGTCGGCGACGACGGTGGCAACTTATTTCTGGAATTGATGTGACCTTCCCATAGATCCTCTCCTCGAAAAGAATGCAAAGTGCGTCGGCGACAAAAAGGAGATGGGAAAGGGAGAGGGAGAGGGCCGAATCCTTCCTAATCAATTAATCCTGGTCCTAGTTAGCGATGCGCAGCTTTGCCCAGCCCAGCCTCGCCTTGCCTCGTATCTCGATTTTCCATATGGGACAGAGTCCCGCTAAACCATGAATACACGATCACAGAGAAGTCTGACTTTGATCATTGCATGATACGAATTGCTCAATAACTGGTATATAATTGAATTCTTCTTTTTATAGCTCTTGCTACGCCTTCAACCCAGTAGTAGGTAGGTCAAACCGCTGCTCCCCCGGGCGAGTGGGTACAGGGCCTAGTAAATCAAACGATGAGGCGCACCAACCCTCTCTTCCCCCAAAGAAAAATCATCCACTCAAATCAAGAACAACTCTTCCCTGCAACTGGCCCTTATCCATCCGGTGGAACACTTCCGTCAGCTTGTCCATCGACTGGACCTCAAAATGAGTCTTGACCACACCCCTAGCAAAACACCAACCATGTCAGCCTTGCGATTCTTTTTCAGTATGCAAGAGGGCGAGAGCTTCAGCACTTACCTCGATGCCATCTCCAGCGTCTCCTTGGCATCCTGCCTATTGCCCACTGCCGAGCCAACAATTCTCAACTCCCGCGCGAGCATCGTTGCGGGATCCGCCGTCTGAATCGGCACTGACGGGCCCTCGGGGACACCCACACAGACCAGCGTCCCTCTGAACTTGAGAAAACTCAGACCCTGCGCATACGCGACATTGCTCGCCGTGCAGACCACGACGGCAGCGACACCAGGCCCACCCGTGATAGCCTTGACATCTTCGACCAATTTCTTCGACCCCTCGTCATCACGGCTGTAGTTCGCCAGGTTAAGGAACTTTTCAGCACCGCACTCCATCGCGAGCTTCTCCTTCTCGCCCATGTCAATCCCGATCATGCGAAGCCCCATCCCGCGCGCACCGATCTGCAAAGCAAGATGGCCCAGCCCGCCGCCCGCACCGGGGATCACTACCCAATCGCCCGGCTTAGCCCCGGACTTGCGCAGCGCGCTGTACACCGTGACGCCGCCGCAGAGCATCGGGGCGGCCATATCGCTGGGGAGGCTCTCGGGGATAGGTGTGACATAGTGAGCCGGCGCGAGGGCGTACTGCTGGAACGTGCCGGGCGTGTAGTAGCCGCTGATTTTGGCTGAAGTGCAGTTCGCGTCAGCGCCGACCAGGCACGGCTCGCAGTTCCCACACGCCGAAGCGATCCATTTGATCCCGACGCGGTCGCCGACTTTCACATTGGAGTTTTCTGTTCCTGGTCCTAGAGAAGCAATCACGCCGACGCCCTCGTGGCCGCCCACTTGCCCCTGCGCGGTGGGTGCGGGGAGCCATGCCCATGAATTGCTTTAAGAGGTGTCAATAGTCATCCTTGAAATGGCTTTTGTTGAAAGGTACGTGATATTCAAAAGGAAGTTCGTTAGGAGCTGGAGATGTGGTAATACACATACCACATGACGCCCATATCAGAATGGCAGACACCAGAATGTGTCAGGTTGACAAGCACTTCACCCACACCTGGCTTGGGAGTCTCGATCTCCTCGATCTTGGCCGAGATGCTGCCTGGGTTGTCGTAGACCAAGGCTTTATGCCGCGTGGGAACCTCGACTGAACCCATCTTTTGTTGTGTTGGACGAGGGACCTGCGATTTGAATGCTTCTAGCAACCGTCGTACTTAAACACGATTTCAAATGCTGGATATCGACAGACGAGGCAGGGTCGTATGCGTAGGAGATGTGTTGCACAGCGCAGGACGGTAATATCGAGGAGCGAAAAGGAGCAATCACAACTGCCAGGCCGTTAATATAAAGCTAAGAGACTGCCAGTCAAGTAGTCTCTCACAAAGGAGTTCTCCGGAGGATGAGACGTTACGACCAGCCCACCAGCAGTAGTACATATAGTATATATCCTCTTATCTCAGCACCAACACCACCACCACCACCACCACCAAAACCGAATGCCACCCTTTAAGTGCGTGGGGTAAAGATCCATCTGCCTGTCACCCGTATAGGGCAAACCGCATCTGCCGAGGTGCTCACTTGCTGTAACTTGACTGGCTTTAGTGAGGGGGTTTCTCCGCGAAAAGCCATGGCCTCGATGTGAGAATCCGCGCTCGGTGCATACTACTAGCACAGGGCTCGCCTGGTCGAGTCAGCATAACACCCGTCATCGACGCATGTCCCGGATCGGGGCTGCGGTGGCATGCAAGGTTGTTTGTCAATGGAGGACAGGACGCTGACGCACGAGTAGCTCTCAATTTACTCCGTACTAACCTCGGCTTTTGACTGGGATGTGGAGTGGTGGGAATAAGGGTCGAGTGGCTCGTTTTACCCCGCCATCGGTGATGACGAAGACGTATGGACATCGTACTGCCGTGGTCAGGGTCTAGACCTGCTCGTGGTATCGGCTGTCGTTTGCCTAATCATGAGACACACTTGGGTGTGTAGAGGACCCGGTGAAGAATGGCTCGAGGATTCATTTGTGGACCGTGCATTGTCGAGCCTTCGAAAGGAACGGTCACCCATCCAACTCGACAATCTCCATCCTAGAAAAGCCTATGTCTTTGAAATTGATATTCTTACTGAATTAATATTGACCCGAAATCTAAACATGACTGCTTCGCAGTCAAGTCGAGACTGAAAAAAACAACCCGGACCCTGTTAACAGGCGAGGTGCTGGCGGAACCAACCAACATGAAGTAAACACCATCGAAATCCGGAATCCCTCTCCACGATGCTGTCTCCCCCTCGACCATCCCTTGGTAGTAAAGCTGGAACAGGCCATTCTTGGTGACTATTCGGTGCATATTCGGTCTGGTCTCATCGACCACGAAGGTGCATAGTGATGACTTGCCCTCACTTAACCACCGACCCCTTCACTGCAACTCCACCCTTGAGACAGGTTGATGCAGGTGACAGCTATCCCATCCACCTGATCTATCGCATCCACAATCTTCTCTTGCGTCATTATGCTAGTATCATTCGCTTTCGGTTGTCCGCATATCCAAGCAAAGCTTAGTCACCATCGACACCTTTCAATCCCCAGATTTTCCAAGATCGAGCCACCCACAGAGTCAATCTTAGATCAATCTTAGATCAAACTCAAGCGATCTCGGTAGGGTTTTGGAGTGCCATTGGCAAGGAGTTGCCCGACAATCCCCCGCAGTTTGTTTCGCATTTCATTCCCCTTGAATGTCCCCGGTGCCAGCGCCTTGATTGCTTCCAGAGCGGCGAGAATAAACACAGGCTCCTGTGGTGGCGGGCTATGAATGAGATAGTGATAGAGGCTGATCTCAACTTCTCCACCCGACGACCTCCGCGTTCTAGTGGAGCCATGTTTGTGTACACTATCCATGTTTCGCTTACACACCTCTTGCAAAGCAGAAACCAAGGCTTGTGCAAGGTCATTCAATCCTTCTGACACATCCTCGAGATCGTCGGATGCGGATTGGGAAAGTATGCGTGTGGTTTGGGAGATTTCCTCGACCAAGGCACGCCTTTGAGCCTTTCCTTCTTGCCAAGGCACGGTGTTGTCATATTTCTCGATTTCAGCTTTGAAGAGTCGATTGATCTTCTGGCCAAACTTCCGCATCCGTACGTCTGCCGGCTCCAACTCGTTGAGGACTACCCACGCAGCAGGATCATGGCAACCCTTTTGCATCAGTGATCCCGGCAAGTCGTCGCCGATAACCCATTCCGATGATGATCTTTTGGATTGCTCCTCACCAATACTTGCAAAGATATCAGCCTTATAGTTTGATGGGATTTCGTCCCTGTCGAAAGAGGCGAGGATCCCTCTGATACGTTTCTTCCTCTGTTCCAAGCTTGAAGCAGCAAACCGCATATCGTCGGGTAACGACAGCTGTGAGAATTCTTCTGTGGGAGTTGCCATTTCTGAGGAAGACGTACTGACAGGAGAGCCGGAGATCTTAAGCACCTCAATAAGTCAAGTTTTTGGCTTCGTGAAGGCCAGGTCGTCCTACACTTAAGACCACATGGTCGACTGCTATGTATCGAAGCCATTAGTAGCGACCAACCTGAAAGTCAAGAGCGAGCCATGCTCCCGGTCAAATGTATACCGTAGCGAATAACTATTAGTAGGAGATTGTTGAATGCATCAATTTGATACCCTCATGCAGGCAGTCTAGCCCCCAAAGCCTATCACGAGGACCCACACTCTGTACCGGGAGCCGCATCGAGTTGCTCTCGGGATCTTTGTAGTGGGAATTAACCCTTTTGACCCTCGCGAGGCGCATTCTTCCTTGCTTTAGTACGAGTGTGAAAGGAACCTCAAGCAAGGTGGAGTTCAGTGGTCGACGCGAAAGGGGCCGTCACGTGACGGCGGTTGCATGGCCGGCGGTTGCAGCTCGGACTGTGATTGGCTGCAATCCAACCTTCCGACGCGATCCCGCCGAGATAGTAGGCACTGCAAGCACTGCAATGCCCGAGGCGAGACTAGAGAAGGTGAAAGAGCATACGAAGACCTACTGGCCGCAGACAATAGATTCGGCTGCGCTTCTTGATGATGGGGGGGCATGATTGCTACTCCGCCCTAACAGTCATTTTACCAACCTGTATCTCGATGAATTGGCCTCTGTTGCGGACAACAACGCGAAGCTGCATTTCAGGAAAGACCTGATGGCTGCAGGATATGGTCAAGAGAGACATGGGCGTAGTTCAAGGCATACGCAAGACCGATGTTCGACGTTGCGAAGACCAGAAATCCTTCACCGGCTGCCAAGAATGATTGTGATGTTGAATGTGATTGCCTAGGTAGCTGATGTGCAGACGGATTCCGGGTGGACACAATACAGACTAGTCGAAATATGCCGTTACAAGCGCATCGATATCCCTTTCTCCTTTGGATATACTTCCGGTAAACGCCACACTAGGAACGGTGTCTAGCACGACAATTCTTTTCTAGAGATGGTGGTAGAGAGTGTGCATCTTGGGAATGCCGGGTCCTTTTCCGCGAGCAGCCTAACAACCGAATGTAGCAGTAGACTTGATGCCTGCTATCTGTTAGCTCCTCGCGCTAAGGCGAAATGGATCCGAGAGGTGTGCTTCCATCAATTTCTGCAAATATTGAACATGGCCGATGCCGGCGAATCGATAATCAAAGGTTGCTCGTTCAGGGTTGAACGGGATTGAGGGACGGGTCGGTCCAAGCGTTGAGGTCGCCGGCTTCATGCACTTGATTCTCGTTTCCCTGTCGGCTGATCCCATCGTCACACAGGAAATGGCTTCCCGGTTGGGTGTCTCCTCGTCACTGGCAGATGGCTTGGGACCTACCATCTGTGAGCCGCTGCAACCTTTGCGGCGCTGAAAATCTTGACGTCGTGAACATGAAGTATGATTTGTTCTTTGGTCCAGAGCGTGGATCAGCATTCCCACCTCAGCGAATCATGCATGCATCGCTTCAAAAGGCATGCGCATTTCTTTAACCAATATGGCAATAGATCGTCTGAGCTGATGGCTAGTCCTCGAGTCGTATGAATCTCGGCCGTTAGGCCTTTTCTATGGTGATAGCAAGGACGAGTACAATCAGGGTCAGCAAAACCTAAGAAGGTTAGTGATTCATGCCTTACATGACAGGACAGTCACCATACTAGAGTCGTTAGAGTTCCGGCACATTTTACTTCCCATCCACCGGCCACAGCATGACCTCGAGCCATTTCATTTTGAAGGCGGACGAATCTCACAGCCCCTAGAAAGGAAAAGGAAATTGCACAGGCATGACACACACATGAAAGCGGTACACTGATGACAAAATAACCCAAGACTGGATTCGGAGTGGGACTATGCTGCAGCCGCATAAGTTGAGCAATCTATCGATCAAGGCAAATCAGCATAGACAGGCAGGCTAGTGGATTTGCTCCAAGTTGATCTGCATCAGAAGAGCTTTGTTTTGACAGACATAGCTCGTATTGCAGGTTTGTCGTGACTTACAATCACACCCAGCATTGCAAAGGCCTGGCCAGTTCGGAGGTATCCGAGATAAGTTCTTTCGTTGGCTATATTTTCCGGCGTCAGCCAGGTCATGACCCGGGTAGGCTGGGTTCTATACCTAAATGGTCACGGCAAGCAACATGAGGAACGGCTAGAAAGATGTATCTCTTCCACCATCGAGAGAATTTATGAGTTCCATGGCTTGTTCCAGTGACTGTTGGAAATATCGAGGCCTCATGAGGCTCAAGTTCTAGGGCCTCACGATCTGAACGTGTAGAAAGGCTTTGAGTAGCTGAAATGATGCTACTTTCTTCATACGCATCATGGTGGTGGCGACTGCTGCTCTCGGCCTCTGCCATTGATGCAGATGAATCAACAGTCCAGGCTACCTCCACAGAGTCTGGTTCTGGCAAAGCCTCCTCACAATGGCTGAGTCAGGTGAAATTCGGCAGTGCACCAATGAGCAAGTCCGAATACTTCGTATCAGACTATCCTTATGGTTAAATGAATCCTTCGAGATGAGGTGGTGTCATTGATGCAGAAGGAGGAATAGGCGAATATTCAAAGCGTGGATGGGAGTCAATCATAGGATGATGTCTGAGGTGCCTTTCCGGATTTCAAGTTGAAAATCTGCAGGGATGCCAGGCAGTGTGGGATGAACCAGGAAGAACCAGGAGCAGGTGGCCGCTTTATCCTCGGCACCAACCCGAACATGAGCGAGGCATGTCACGTGCCGCTAATCACCGGGCTCACGAGGGCCAATGAGCATGCGCACCAGATCGCCTAAAAAGATATGATAGGCACTACAAGCCCCTAGAGCCTCCCAATCGAAGCCGCCTAGGCGCTACCTACGGGCTTCAACGTGCGATGACGGCAGCGGAGCGGCCCAACGTCCCAGGTTCCCCCAGGCATGACTTCCCTAAACTCCATCCTGGTTTGGTTGCCAGCCACGAGTTTATCAACACCTGCAATTTAGCATCTGTGTTGGTGTTGCTGCTGTGACGACTCCCAGCCTCCCCATCCATTTTCCCACTTTATTTCCCAATCAATTGAAATATCCTGCATCGAGTATATAACTCTTCGCTAGAAGTAAGTTGCTCTTCTTTCCCCCCTTGTCTGTGCTCCCTCGTTGTCATCTCCACGTGGACCCCGCCTTATCAATTGCTTGGTGTTCGGTGTTCGGTGTACGGTACTCGATATTCACTCCTCGGTACTGACACTCGGTCCTGCAGAATCAAAAGAGCAACGAGCGCAACAAGCCGCCCTACGCTCCAAGCTCACCTCCCTTCGAGAAGCTTGTTCAAGATGCTCGGTGGACTCCTCTTCTCCTTCTGGAGAATTGCGGAAGTCATCACCTTGATTCCAGTGATTGGCATGCTGGTAAGTCACTGTTCTCACCGCCGTCTACATCAACCCCGCCCAACTAACCCTTGAATCGACAGGCTTGGTTCGTACAGGGTTTCAATGAGAACAACCAGTTGACTCCGAACTTCATCCTTGTCCTCTTTATCGTCGCGATTCTTGCCTGCGCCTGGGCCATTGCGACGCTCCTGCGACTCGGATCCACCCGCCGCTCTGCACTGTTCGTTGCCTTTATCGACCTCTGCTTCGTGGGCGCCTTTATCGCGGCAGTGTGGTATTTACGCGGCATCTCCAGAGCAGACTGCTCCAACTTCTCCAGCGGTTCCATCTACATCGATCTTGGGCCGTTCGGCTATTATGGCCGCACCAGTGGCTCGTCATGGGCGATCAATATCAACAAGAACTGCGCCATGCTCAAGGCTTCGTGGGCCTTTGCCATCATGAACGTCATCTTTTTCTTTATTACATTCATCCTCGCTCTCTTTCTCCATCGCCATGAGAGGGTCGTTGTCACCAAAGAGGTCCGACGAAGACACAGCCACGGCAGCAGGAGAGGCCATTCTCGCTCAGGCTCGAGAAGAAGCTCCAGCCGTCGTCGGTATTATGTCTAGAAGGGGGTTGTGGTTCAGGATCAGTCGGTAGAACAAAGCGATATAGTGTTCCTTGGTTCTAGACACTATTCCCAGGACATATTACGAATTTCCTTCTTTGCGGTCTTCATTGACCGATTTCTTGGTCTATGACATTCATGTGTTAGCGATGCAGCGAAGCCTTTTGCCTTTCAGTTGACGATAATCTTGCAGAGCTTCCCTTTCAGCTCACGAATGATGGAATGCAGTTGGGAAATCGTTGATAGCCTTGGGTTGAGATATAGAGCAAAACTAGATACCTCAACCCTAGTCGTACAAAACTCAAATTAAATGTGGCTCATTTTTGGATTTCTATTCTAGGCTTTGCAAGATTGTGGGCCCTGACCAACCTGCCTTCCCATTACTAGATGGCATTTTAAGTATCTGCTGAGATGCTCTGGATGCTTCCGTGACTGAAATTCGAAAAGCCAATTAGAAATCTGGCACCTGTGATGCTTCACTAATATGCACGAGTTCCCACTCCATATATCCATTGTCATATCCATTGTAAAGAGAAGCATTTATCCAAGTGCACGCATCGTCATCTCCACCCTGAAGGCCATCGTCAGCTCCGATATCTCGAACAGAAGGGAATCAACAATACTCACACAGCAAAGGTGCCCGCGCTTACGGGCATCGCCCTAGCCAAAGTTGGCCCAATGCCTTTCCAAAACCCGCGAGCACCCTCTACCTGCCACGTCTTTGCGAAACAATCACGCATCGTCTTGTATTTCTGGTCCTTTCCGAATCCGTCAGTCTGCATTTTGCTCTTGATCACATCAAACGGATAGCTAGCAATCCAAAGGGCTTCGCCAGCCAGTCCACCGTAGAAGGCGACCTTGGGCGAAGAGATCTCCGACCGCTGTACGTTGTTCCGCTTCATGTCCTGGTTCATCAGGTACTCGAATGTCAGGAACCAAACTCCATAGGCTTGCGCCTCTCGGTACAAGGTCACCGCTTGGCCGCGATAGAGGCCCCGAAGCACACCGGCGTTGGCCGAGAGCTTCTTGATGCAGTCCAAAGGGCCACTGTACAGCCGATCCGTGCCGTGAGGCTGGGTCTGCAGTCTGATCCTGATGTGCTCAATGGGTCCCGAAAGCACCGAGTTGGTCAGGCCTGCGAACGCTCCTGCCATGTAGTATTGGCCGTATGAGAGCTCCCCCGTGCCGTGAGGGTTAGCATGCAGATTGCGGTCTTCAAACGCCCGGCGAGCATAGTGAAATGCCCCGAACTGTACAGACACGCATGCACCGATACCTATTAGGGGAGTGAGAGTGCCCTTGTAGAAGGCCAAAGGCCCTTCATTTTTGAGAACGGACGAGGCACATGCTACTGCGTTGGGATACTTGGATGTCGTTTGTAGTCGGACCTTGACGATATCTGGGCATATGAGAAAAGGTTTCCAGATTCACGACTGTTGTCTGCTTACCAAATGGCTGGCCTGGTACTTATCGTTAGCGATCATTCACTCACGCCCGACGTGGGATCGCTTGTGTCGAGCGCGAGCCCAATCATCACAGAACTCACCTAGAAGAACCTGAGCCACACCCCCAGCAGCTCCAGCGGCCAAATCTTTCGCTGTTCTGGCCCAACTCTCTATTTCGACCTCCTTCGCCTCGAGCTTGTCGACTTCAGCCATCACAGATATCGACAAGGGCTGTTCCTGAAATTCCCCTTCTCGACTTCCTGAGCTAGTTTGACCTCAAGTCACCTCAAACCCACCTCATAATCAGAAGCTCGGAAGGATATGTGCACGGGATTATTCTTGAAATATCTGTTTTGGGATTTTTGGAGTTTGCTTTGGTGGTCTCCGCGCACGCCATTGTCGTATTTGCCCGCCTCAACGCTGATTGGTGGGAATGTGGCTCCCGGATACGTTACTCCTTACACGCTTTCGCCGATCACCGCGTCGGGGATGTCTGCGAGTTTTTGCCCGACAGGGAAGTTTATCATTTTCAAGTATATGGAGGCATCCCTACGAGCAGGCGACTACTACAACAGGCATGTTGGTAATGCTGTAAACCATTCTAACTCGTGTCTATATTTGCTTGATGAACACCACAATTGAGATGTTGGTACCTGTTTCCAGGCGAGATGGGTGATTCCGGTGATTCCCAGACTTGGAATTTCTAAGGGTATGATGCTACATATCTACTGCTCGACCATGATGACCCTCGAGCAACTTTGGGAATTACGTATGGTTATCAAGCTATCAATGGATAGTTACTCGTAGCGTGCATTGTACGAGTGCCTCTCTCAATATCTCTGGCCTATCAACCAACGACCTGGACTTGTCTACAGTAGACGGATTCTGATTGGCGGAGGATGTATTGAGCATCGGAATCTCTTGTGATCCGCCGTAGCCTTGGCCCAAAAAGTGCTGGATGCCCGTCGCAATCACCCGATAAGGACATTATGGTCAGTGTTCTAATTCTGCAAGGTCCAAGTCCACCAAGAATCCGCGTCTGAGCAGTTCGAAGGGAGTTGTACGATACAGCATGCGGAGAGCGCTAGGTCAGAAGGTATGTCCTCCATGCCCAGTCCGGACCGAAATGTCAATTAACCCTCTCAAGCTGCTCCCTCGACAAGATGTCTGTTTCTTCTGCGCCATCCGATCGACCCTGAGGTCTCAACGCCCTGCTCAGACTCTAACAGCCCAGCGACGAGCCTACCAGTCTTCTGCTGCCTCTCTCCATCCCGCCGCCGCCGCTCTCCGGATTGAGGAAGAAGATGACGGTGCCTCTCAGCATGGACGCGAATTAGTCGGTTGGAGATGTCAATGCACCCATGTCAATAGACCACACAGGTCCGAGTGCACGGTATGCCTCACCCCAAAATCAAATAAACTACCTCTTGTCTATAAAGGAGACGTTCCATCGTCTCCCGCTCTTGCGCCGTTGCCGCAGGCACAACCCAGAGATGTCGCATCTCAAAGACCTGGTATCGGCACTCCACCAAATCTTACAAGCCCATCCACCGACCGCAGGCGAACCAATTTCCGCCAGTCCCTATCTGAGAATACACTCGGTCAAATTGGTAACCCTTCAGGCCAAGATTCCCAGGGCTCTGCAGGCAAAGTTCCTAGTGCCGCACGTGTTAGACGGAACGACCAACAATTCGCTCCTTCTGGGCCAGTAACAAGGTATCAAAATTATGCCGGCCACGAACCCAGGAGCAAATACCTTGAGTCTGGAGGAGCAGATCCCCCGGGATTCTTTGGAACGCGAAAATTGACTTTCAATCGCAACGAAAGTGGAAGTTCTTTTGACACGCTTTCCCCTATCTCTAGCAGCCGATCTGGAATGGGAAATGTACGGGATAGAAGAATGCAGAATGTTGCACCACCCAATCGCTTCCAAACCAGAGGCTTGCCAGAGCGATCTGGGAACGATGGCGGATGGTTCTACCCTCAGCAATCTCAGCCACCTCAACCTACTCATCAACCTCGGCTGTCCAGGCAGGATCAGAAACCTATACGATGGACTCCCTTCGGTAGTTCACCTGGAGAAAACGACTCCCGAGATCAAGGCGTCGGTTCCGAAGCCCAGTCCAGTTCGCAGCAGCTCAGATCTGGTAATGGCCAGGGTCAGCGCGAGCGATTTGGCTACCAGAATCGTCATGGTGTCGATGGCAGAGCCAATTCTACCCAACGCGAGCAATTCCAGAATCGTGGAGAGTCACAATGGCGTGTTGGTGAAGCAGCGTTTCGCAGAGTGGTTCCCGGAGCCCAATTTGACCCCATGGCACCCTCCGAGGCTGGATCCCAAGGAATTCAAGATTTCGAGCAGTCTGAAGAAACCCAAATAGGAAGTGTTGGAATAGAAGTCATGGGTGGTGCAGGCTTCGGGCAATCACACCGGAAAAAGCTCACGACAAGAGATGGACACAGGCGGAGCCGTATTTATGAGATTGATGAGATTGATGAAGCAGCCGGGCCTATGCCAGCCTTCCGCCAGTCTGCCGCCCGAGCCCGTACGACGGGAGTCAGCAGACGCAGTCGGGAATTTGACGATGATGAGTTCGATACGCCAAGATCGGCTCGCGTGTCGAAGGGCTCGCGAGGGAGCTCTCGCTGGGATGATGATGATGACTACGAGGCACTTGATGAGGATGAAATGGCATCACCAAGACAGAGAAGAAAAGCGGCAAAGAACCGAAGGCAAAGAAAAGCCTCTGATGCAGCCCGGCCTGAAGTCCACTTGCCGGAGTTTATTAGTGTTGAGCGGCTAGCCCAGGCGCTGAAAGTGAAACTCGATCCGTTCATTGCGCAACTAGAAGAAGAGGGATTCGAAGGTGCAAGATATGATCACATCTTGGATTCGAGCACTTCCGCCATGTTTGCCGATCTCTACGGGTTTGAACCCGTTATAAGCACTGCTGAGGATGCTCAAGATCTTGTGGCACGTCCTGCTCCAGAGGATTATTCAGCCCTTCCAACTCGGCCTCCAATCGTTACGATCATGGGGCATGTTGACCATGGTAAGACGACAATCCTCGACTACTTGAGGAAGTCCAGTGTGGTTGCATCTGAACACGGTGGTATCACTCAACATATTGGTGCCTTTTCGGTAATCATGCCCGGATCGGATAGGAAGATCACATTTTTGGACACGCCTGGTCATGCTGCCTTCCTGGACATGCGTCGAAGAGGTGCTAACGTCACAGATATCGTCGTTTTGGTGGTTGCCGCAGACGATGGTGTGATGCCACAGACCATCGAAGCTATAAAACATGCTCGTGAAGCTAACGTGCAGATCATCGTCGCGATCAACAAGGTTGACAAGGAGGACGCTAACATTGAGCGGGTTAAGCAAACCCTGGCACAGAACGACATTGTGGTCGAAGACTACGGTGGTGATTATCAAGCGATTCCTGTAAGTGGCAAGACTGGTAGGGGGATGGCTGATCTTGAAGAGGCCATTACCTTGCTTGCCGATGTTGCCGACTTCCGGGCTGAGATTGATGGACCCGTTGAAGGATGGATCATTGAAAGCAAAGTGACTACTGCCGGCCGCGTGGCTACTGTTCTGGTACGCCGAGGCACTTTGAAACCCGGTGATTACATTGTTGCCGGTACCACTTGGGCCCGTGTCCGTACGCTTAAGAACGATGCTGGTCAATTTCTTGAAGAGGCGCCTCCTGGAACTCCTGTTCAAGTTGATGGTTGGCGAGGTGCCGATCCAGATGCTGGACTTGAGGTCCTTCAAGCCGATAATGAACACCATGCCAAAGAAGTGGTAGAACTCCGCACGGAAAAGGCCGAGGCCATGCGAGCAACGACAGAAGTGGCTGCACTCAATGTAGCTCGCTCTGAAGAAGCAGATGCTCGGGCTAGACAACTGGACTGGGAAAGAGAACAAGGCCACCATGATGTGGCCTTTTGGCGGAGACCCAAGGATAATGAGGGTTGGATTGAAAAAGCATCTAGCGGGCCCCAGCGCGTCCATTTTGTCATCAAAGCCGATGTCGCCGGTAGTTGCGAAGCGCTTGTCCATGCAGTGAGTGCACTGGGGAACAACGAAATCGTGGCCAATATTATCCACAGTGGTGTTGGTGGACTCCGAGAGTCTGATATCAAAATGCTCGCTGCAACGGGCGAAAAGGGATACGCCATCTCTTTCAACCAATCGGTGGAAAATTCCATTCGACGTCTAGCTGAAGTTGCTGAGCTTGAGATTTTGGATCACAACATCATCTACAAAGTCACGGATGATGTTACAGAAAAGTTGACCGACGCATTGCCCCCACTGATTACCCAACGGGTTCTTGGAGAGGCCGAAATCGGTCAACTGTTTGACATTACCGTCAAAAAGAAGCTGGTGAAGATCGCAGGATGCAAAGTGACCAACGGAACCATCAGCCGCTCGAATTCTGTGCGGGTGTTGCGACATGGTGAAGTGGTGTACACTGGTAAGTGGAATTGACGAAGAAAGATTCTGCTGCTTGTTAGTATAGTGACTTACTGATCGAACCTCCAGGCATGCTCGACTCACTCAAGAACGTCAAGAAGGACGTGACAGAAATGCGAAAGGGAACCGAATGCGGGATGGCATTCGAGGGCTGGGATGGGTTCCGCGAAGGCGACCAGATCCAGTGTTTTGAGGAGATTAAGGAGAAGCGAACCTTGTAAAAATAATACTATACAGTAGTACTCACAACATCTATCGGACAGTCAGCCAGATCCACCTCATCACCAAGAACAAATAAATCAGTCTACAACGACACTAAATGTCCTACCATCTCAACGAATGCAATGCGGTATGAAACATGCCGAAATATGTTATGTACATTCCAGTGGTCTGGTCTCACCTGTATTTATCTTTCCGGTGCGCCACAGAAAGATCAAAGCAGACTCGGAAAGATAGTGCAGGGCGCGTGTGCATGCAAGATCAAGGGCGGAAAGCCCTGCCTGATCCTACATCGGAATTATGTCTTATTCTGATTTGGTTTTCTGAGAGGTAGATCGGCTCGTGTGGATCAGACCCCTTTTTCAGTCAGGTTCTTAAGAGGCTTCGTGAACACCAATGTGTATAAAAACGAAAGGGTGGTGTATGTGGGTGGTGTACCATATCATGTGGTGCGATGTGTCGACGCATGCAATGCTGGTTAGTAGGAAGCCATGGAAGACGGTTGCGAAAGGGGGTCCCCGGTTGGACCTTATGTTTGCGAGATTGCTCCTATCAGCAGGAAGTACTCGATAGCCTTGTCGGCCCTTGCTGAGTCGATGGAGAAGAGAAGTGTTCAAATGCTTTTATTTTCCATGCTTGGTAGAATAGAGGGCTGCTTTGGTAAGCTGTGGGTGACAAGTGGAACGACACGTTTCATGTCCCAAGACCACAGCAAGGTCGATCCTCGGCACGAGAGAGAGCAGATTGCAAGCAGATTGGACTCGTGGTCATCCAAGTCAGGATCTACGAGTAAAAGGGTAGGTAGGGATGATTCGTAGAAGATGCCGGCCATGTAACCAGACTGGATACTGCGGTTTTAGAAATTGTAGTTGGACTGTATGTGGTCTTGACTCTTGAGGTGGCTTGGGAACAAGTGGATTTGACGATGAAACCGGCTGCTTCCGTAAAGTTCAAGTTTGGAACCGGGCTGAACCTTCACAAGCCACCAGAGCCACAGACGAGAAAGCACAATGTCTGAAATCAGGTGTTGGTAAGGTGCCACAGGTTGCCACAGAGAGACAATCAGGAACATGAAGGTGTGCAGACGCAACAAGGATATTGCCTGGTTGGTCTTCCTGGACCATGGGGGTTGTTTCCATACTCGTGGAGGCCTCCGTATCGTACTGTAAGTGGTCTCCCAGGCACATTTTGGCCTTTGAAGCGGAACCGGGTTCCACTTGTTCCCCACGCGTTTCTGGCAAAAATAAGGGCCCAAGAGTGACGTCGGAGGCCGTTTAAGGCTCAAGCTGGAAGAGAGACAATACAAAGTCCAGCACGGAGTACCGAGTAGTCGAAACGCGGGAGGTGTGCGTGTCGACCAGTAGAAGGAGGCTGTCGTCATTATGTCTCACGTGGTGTGGTGCGTGTGCCTCTGTGGCTGCAATCAAGCACAGCTCGCGACTACCAGTGGCTTTTGGGCTGTTGGTAGCGAGTATCAGTGCCTAGCGTCAAGCAACAGTGAGAATACCTGCTCGTACTCGCCATTGCCAAATATGGGGAACCAAGGAGATGTGCTCCGTAATGCAATGCGACGCGGGTCAAGCGAAGAGCAGTGAGATCAGGGAAACCAAAGAGGAGATGGGGCGGTGACTCTGGCTCAATGGGGCTTCAGATTGTTGGCAAACGGTGGACGGTTTCAGCCACACTGGCAGTGAGGAAAAACCGCGGGGGAATGGGCGAATGAGATGACGGGGAAAAGAACGAAGGTCGGGTAATGGGGGGGAGCCTGAGAGGCATGGGATGTTGAGCTGAACGCCACACAAGCACATAGCGAGCGGTGGGCCGGGGGCATGTTGGGACCTTGGGATACTCGACCGAGTACGGAGTACTAGTCCTCGGTATCTGCAGGCTGGACGAGTACGGAGGACTGTATGTGAAGAACAACATGACGACGTCAAACCGGAGCTAGAACGAGAACTCTGCCCAAAGCAGTAGCGACCATGGACAGTTTAGGTCAAGGTGGGGGCAAAGGTTGACGAGAAAGGACACAGCTGGAACAAAAGAGAAAAGTTCGGTGCTTGACAGGTGACAGGTCACGGTCACGGCGCGCATAGAAAAAGCGTGACGTCGATTATTGGGACGACTTGGGAAGCGAAGCGATGCGGAGGGAAGATCAGAGAATGGATCCGGACGAGTTGAGTTGAGGCAGAGGAAAAGCACAGCTAGACCAGCTAGGCCAGCTAGACCCAAGCTAGTGGTTACCAGCCACCAGAGACATCAAAACACAGGCTCAATCCGGAGTACTCATGTACAGTACTCGTAAGTAGGACGTGGCGAGGCGAATCCACTAGATCGGTGATAGTACTCCTAACAAACAGAGAAGGAAGGGTTGTGGGTGGGTACAGGAATTATGGCCGTGCCGTGTGGAACGGACGACGGATATGTGATATGTGATATGTGATATTGATCTTGATCTTGATCTTGATCTTGATGTTTCTGTTTACCGAGTGCTACATACATACAGTACATACTCGCACACGGAGTACTCTGCACCTGGTAGCATAAGGTGCCCACGCCTAGAGGGCGGCGAGCAGTGATACTGACTTGGTTAACTGTTTAACTAGACCCAGCACTCCGTTGGTACGAGGCACCAGGACAGCCCTCGCCCTCGCCCCTCGCCCCTCGACTCCAACGGGCAGCGGTTCCTGGGCCGAGGCGAAGAGGCGCTGGTCGTGGTTGGGCGATCAGCGAAAGAGCCAGCCAGGACGGAGCCCGGGGGAAGGGACAGGCGTCGTGTTTAGGATGGGCTTGCAGGCCTTGGTGTTCTTTAGTCTCCTGGTCCCCTCACTAGTGATCAGCCTTACTCATCTCTGGGCGCTGTGGGTGGTCGATCAAGGGCGACTAGCTTTAGGCTCCCGGAACACTGCCACAGTCGTTGAGCACCGTGGGCCATGGTCCGTCATGCCCGCCCATCCTGAGCGCATCCTCTTTTGACTTCTATGCCTGTGTCATGACCGTGACTTAGTTGCCTCTTGAGGCCACTGGTCCGAGGCTCCGGAGTTGACTGACTTCCATGGTTTGTCGTAGTGGGTGGCCTCTTATCTCCTCGTTTGCCTCTCGTTCGTTTGCCCGTGCCACTCCACCAGAATGAATGGTGGCTGGTCGGGTTCCCAAAGGGGGCTAATTTTAACGAGGATCCTTCTGGCGCCACTTTCTGTCTGGAGCAATACCAATGGCTGGCGGGGAGTGGACCGTGGTGGTGGTGCTGGCCCTGGTGAGTGGCGGATGTGCAGCAGGCGGGTGACGAGGTGGCCGCTAATCGATTGGATTGTTGTGATTCACTCGGGGAGCAGCCTGCGCCTCTCCTTCGAGCTTCCGTCCTGTGGCCCCGTCCACTGGCCACACAGGACCTGGCGCTGAACCTAGCACCCACCTACGTGGAGCAGTCGTACCCTCGGAGGACTGACACTTGGGACTGGCAGCTGGGAGCTCGTAGGCCAGAGGCTTATTCGTAGGCTGTAGCTTGTCCCTGGCACACCAACAACGACTACGAGCACAACCACAACTAACCGACTCCACCGTCACCGATTGTGCACACCCATCAATCATCATCATCATCATCATTGTCATCGTCCTCAACCGTCATCAAAAATCAAGCCATCTTTTAGTCAATAGCCAAACACCGGAAAATCCAGTGACTGACCGACCCGCATTTCCCAACTGCAGGAACGGTATGGCGTAGTGGCGGTGATGCCGTTGCCTTTCTGACCAGCCAAGCATCTTCCCCAGCAACGCAGCGTTGAATTGCGTTTGTCATTACAACTTAGCAACGCCTCTTCGCCTTGCTTCTCTCACCCTGCATCATGGCCTCAGGTCTCAGAGAGTCTCAGTCTCCGTCTCAGTTCTTCCCTTCCCATCCTCGACTTTTCTCACGACCAACACAAACCCGAACCAGAGTCAACTCAGCTTCTCCAATACTGACTGCTCCAAGTTCTCGTCCATTCTCGACGTATCTGTCTTGCCCATTTATCCAGCTCGCTGCTCACCACGCTTCGTTTGCGTGTCAATCCAGCCATTTGCCTTGCCCGAGCTTGGCCCCCTCATACAGCGTCATTCCAAAGATTACGGAACGCCCAAGCCACACCTGAAGCCCACCTGAAGCCCACCTGCCGACCTGCCGACCTGCAGACCTGTCGCCGTGGAGCCCGGAGCCCTGAGCCCTGAGCCCTGGAGTTCAAGTTGCTTGGGAAGGACGATTGACGAGAGACGAAAGACGAAAGACTGGCGCATCGAAACTCACCAAATCGATCGCCTGCCATTCACCTTCACCTTCACCTTGCATCGTTTTTGACTCAAGAACCTCAACACCTTTTCCCGCCGCTCGACTCCTCCAGCTTCCATTTCTCATTTCTCATTTCTCAAATCTCAAATCTCAAATCTCATTTAACCATTCCTCGTAATCATCCTCCTTCTTGGACCCGAACTCGCCCTGCGCTGCGCTGCCCTCAGTTTCCCTCGTTGAACACAGCACCGCCACTGTCTTCCGCTGACCTGGGCTGCACGCTCCCTTCGAAGCCTTGCGCCGCCAGCTCAAGGCCCTCGCCCTCCCCAGTCAGGACCCGCCCAACCGTCCACCATCCAACCTTGAACTCGGTCCCGCGCATTCATCTCTACCTCATACCATGTCGCGCATTGTCACCAACCATCTCCCTGGGAAATAGTGAACGCCCGACAGTCGCGCGCCTGCGCGGATCCAGTAACCGCTACTCATCAGCCTGAGCGCCACCTTTTCCCGCCCTGGTGAGGCTGAGTCCGAATCCACGCTCAGCCTGATTTTCAGCTTGACCTCTCGCCGCGCCCGTGTCCATCAACATATGCCCTGGCAAAAGGTACGGCCCAAACTTCTCTTACAACACGAGGTACGGAGCACTGCTCTATCCCTATCACCTTGCGCCTCTCTGTCTATTTTCATGCTCGCGATAGTCGGGCTAGACACCTGATTTCCTCCACGTCGCTGTCACAAATTGCCCTCGCTTCACTTCTACTGCTACCACCAGCAAAGATAACCTCGCTGTCAATCCTGCGAGTACAATGCTGACTGTCCTTCCTGCCTGCTTCTTTTAGAACTCTCCTGTTCCTATTCACACCTTGCTTATGGCCGAGCCGAGTCCGAGTCAGCAAACTTCCCCGAACAATCCTTCCCCTACCTCTCCCTCTTTCGCTAAACCTACCGCCACCGCGCAGCATCCCCAAAAATTAGACACCGCCAGCTCGCGTGAGTTCGACGAATCCGCAAGACCTGGCAAACGACCACGCCTTGACCCCCCGCAGATGACGGCGGCTGTTGCATTTGCCCAAGCGCAACAGAAGTCCCCCTCCCCCGTCTCCACAAGTACCAGTCCAAATCCGTCCCATCAAGCTCTCAGTAATCTGATGGGTGCAAATGAGAATGTCGTGAGCAAGGCTCCAGCTGCATCTGCAACCACAGACAACCCAGCCAAAACAGTCAGCGAACCCTTCGCCGAGGTCGCTCAGAACATTGAACAACCTACAAGAACGAGTCCCGAGGTGGTATCATCATCTGCCGACAATCATGTCCTGCAGACAAGTCCCACAAGTCTATCCAGTGTGGAAACTTTGGACAGTATGGCCGCTGCTACTGCCATAACCACCACCGTAGGCAGTCCATTACCCATTGCGGAGACTGTTCGCCAAGTCGTAAATGCTTCTGAGGCAGGCTCAACCTCCCCCGCCGACGAGTCCCCCAGCAACAAGGCTTTCTCTTATCCAGCACCTTTATTGCAGCCGCCAGTAAATGAAAGTGCGAGGCGGGGGATGAGCTTGCCTCATTCAGGCACACGACAAGGTACAAGATCTCCTTCCAGCAAAAAGCATAGATGCCCATACTGCGCCACCGAATTCACCCGTCATCACAATCTAAAGAGCCATTTGTTAACACATAGCCAAGAAAAACCCTACGTTTGTTCCACCTGTCAATCCAGGTTTCGCCGATTACATGATCTCAAACGACACACCAAACTTCACACAGGAGAACGACCGCACATTTGCCCCAGATGTGGACGGAAGTTCGCAAGAGGTGATGCTTTGGCCCGGCACAACAAAGGCCCCGGTGGTTGTGCTGGTCGAAGAGCGAGCCTTGGGAGTTTCGGTGGTGACGATGATGATGCTAATGATGGTTCCATGGAAGGTATCATGTACCATGAACCTGATGCCATGGATGATGAAGAAGGCAACGATAAAAGGCCTGCCATTCGTCGCCAGGCGCCTTCAGGAGATGATACTATGGATGACTCGGACCATGCTTCACGCCTTCCAAGTACATATCCTCCCCTGCAAGGCCCTCCGCCTGGTGGCATAGCGGGTGGCTTCTTCCCACCAAGAAATGCCTTTAACCAGCCCAGCACTGGCGTTTCCATGGCTGCAGGTGCAGCGGCAGTCCCACTACCATTCCCTCAGCTTTCTGGCTCTACTTCCAGCTCCCGACCATCGGCGCAGGGAAGTACAGTATTTGCACCCAGTCAAATTAGTGAAAGTCCAAAGCCACTTTCGCCCAATCAAACACAGAGGGGCTCCGTTCCAGGTCTCTCTGAGGGGAGCCTGGGGCGGAATCGTTCCCCCAGCATGGCACATTATCAGCAGGCTCAATATAATCGTGTCAGCGCCCCTGGATCTCTGGGTTTACCGACAGCACCGCAGCTTCCCCTTCCACCACCCTTGAATCCCCCTGATTCGCGGTACACATTGCCCAGTCAAAGCGCTCCAGCACATCCTCCAACCCAGCCTAGTGGACCGCCTACGCACATGGCTGGTAGTGGTCCCTTGTCATCTCATAGTAACAGCTTATCCAGTCACCACGGTAGTGGTGAGAACAGCAATTCCATGTTTGCCAAGGAAGATCGCCTTTGGGCGTATGTGAGCAGTTTGGAGCAGAGGATGAATTCAATGCAAGAGGAGATTAATTCCTTGAAGCAGCAATTAAACTCTGCACAAGCACAAGCTCATCGGATCAATTGAAGCTAGGCCCAACTGACCAATCAGAGCATGCATCTTTCGGAAAACACAAACTATGCAGAGGCACCCATCAGCAAAACCCAAAATGCTAACCACAGAACGGGAGACTCGAAAGATGTTACCGCTTCGAGTCAGCAAAAAGCTGCGCCGTCGCAGAAAGCTACCGCGTCTTTTTCTTCGGATGATGAAGGGGAAAGACCGAGATGTTCACTTCTTTACACTTCGCTTGGATCAACTTAAGATACCCCAATTTAAGCTTCTTTCTTTTAATATATCATGGACGGGATACGAAAGGGTGGGCTCCCGGTATGGATCAACGGTATCCAAGGAAATTTGGTGTATTAGGTTCTTTTAATTGCATATGCTCATGCGAGGGAAAGATGGTTTGTTGTATTCATCACGCTGGCTGGGATGACTGATTGTAGTCCTGCTGTCAGAGCGACGAGGAAGAAGAATGAGCACAGAGACAGCAGGCTCCCCTAACATTCGCACACTGGGATGAAGCAGTTGACCTGAATTGATTGACGCAGAGAACCCTTGCATAATGGGCTGGCCTTGATTTGTTTTCTCATGACGTACTGTTCTACCTACTCGCTATGTGTATATGTACATTATGACTTTATTTGGGGGATGGGATGATCTGGGCTGGAAAAGAACGAAGAGGTGGTAGTGGTAGTGGAAGAGGGGAAGAATGAAGCCTCGATTGACCACACGATTGACCACTTGCCTTTCATCACTGACATTGAGTGTCTGTCATCAAGATGTTCTCCCATTTGGTGGGAAGTGGGAACGACAGATAGACCGGACTGGGTGGGATAAATACTCTTTAGATCTGTAGAAAGGAGACTGCGGATGGAACGACAACCTTTTTCTTCATTTCGAGAGAACCGTCCTTTCCTACTGTTCACTGTTTCTCTGGCCAAGCCTAACATAGGAACGCGCTCTCCCACTTCTAGAGGGACTATTTCATATCAAAACCCCCAGCCTTCCTGTGAAGACATGGGCTGGGTGAAGGTCGTGACTCGCACGGCGGTCGATGTATCCAGCTGTCGATCGACAGCGCTCACACGATCCACGCCATGCGATATCATATCGACAATCGCGTGGCTCTCATGAAGTCACATACCGAGGCAGTCATCCCCCTCTATAACTCCCCATTGTATACCACCCAAACCACGTCACGGGCCCCCCTGCCACCCATCGACATCCGTCTCATTGCTCAAGCGCTCAAACCGCTTGTAATTCTGCTCATACTGGTCGATCTTGTTCATGACGCCAGCATACGCATCCGACCCAATCACAACTCTCAGGGGTGGCTCTTTCATGCAGGCCAGTTTATACATGGCCTTGGCCCCCTTGGCGGGGTCGCCAGCTTGCGTGCCTTGCCGTCTCGCCATGACCTCGGCGGCGTTCATGTGGTTGTAAGCCGGATGCCGCGGGCTCGCGATTTCCATGCTGCGGCCTGCCCAATCCGTCCTTTCGATACCCTGTCAGTTCGACGAAGACGAAGAAGAAGAACAAGAAGAAGAAGAAGGAAGAGGAGGAGGAGGAGGAGGAGGAGGAGGAGGAGGAGGAGGAGAGCGAAACTACAACATACCGAAACCCGCCGGGCTCCACGCATGTGAACTTGATCCCCCACTCGGGCTTGACCTCATGAGACACCGCCTCGGTGAAGCCTTCGACGGCCCATTTGCTCGCGCAGTAAAGACTGAACAACGGCACGCCGCGCTGCGCCCCGATGCTCGTGATCTGCTGGATCAGGCCCCCGGGCGGGCTCTGCTGGTCGCGCATCACCTCCATCGCGGTGCGCGTGACGTCGACCACGCCGAAGAAATTGATGTCCATCTGCCGCCGGATCTGGTCCTCCGTGTATTCCTCGAAGCAGCCGGCCAGGCCGTAGCCCGCGTTGTTGACCACGACGTCGACGCGCGAGAACTTCGCCAGGGCGGAGCTGAATGCCGAGGCTATCGAGTCTTTCGAGGACACGTCTAGGTTTAGGGCCAGGAAGTTGTCTGGGGTGGTGTTGTTGAAGCTGAGTTTGGACGGGTCCCGCGCCGTCGCGACCACGTGTTCGCCGCGGTCGAGCACTTCTTGCGCGTAGTATTTCCCGAAGCCGGACGAGGTCCCGGTTATGAGGAAGACTCGCGGCATGTTGGGTTCGGGGAAGTTGTTTCGCTGTTTGGCTGGGCTGGGCTTGGCTTGGCTTGATTTGACTTGACTTGACTTGATGGTTTGTTGAAGAGCCGTATATATATGTTTTTATATCTGAGGTGGGGAGTGAGTGACCTGATTAGTAGTGGTCAATATCGAGGTATGTCGGTATGTATGTGCCTGTGCCTGATCGTGCCTTGTAGTGGGGTGGACGAGATAGCTGTCTTATCGTCTCGCTCCACTAACTGACCAATCTGCGAACAGTGATCGGATAGGATGTATCGTATGTGTACCGAGTATCTGTACGTGTCGAGTATGTATGGCGATATCGTCGCCTTCAAATCCTCGAGAAAGGAGTCAACCCAAAGTTCGTTTTCGGAGTGCGGAAGTCCAAGAAGCTTAAAGCAACACGCAACAAATGGAAATCCAACCAAAAAGCAGAATAATACCAAGACACGAGTTTCATTTATTTTCGGACCCCGAGGCGTTCCACTGCGAGACTCTTTTCTCCCTGACGTTTCTCTTTCTTTCTCTCTCTCTCTCTATATATATGTATACACGTGCGCACCGCTTGAAGGGGAAGGCGGGAAATGCGATGAGGGTCAAGTATTGCTAACCACTAGGCAGTTGGTAGCTAGCTGGATAGGACATGAGGGGATGTGTGTTAATGTCTGGGCGGAAGAACGTCAAACGTCTCGCAGACTTGACATATCATGTCACGGTGGTGATGGGGTGAAAGTTACTTGTTGCACAACTTTGCCCTGATCGCAAGGGCGCGCAGGATCTCAATGCCAGTCATCTTGAGATGGGAAAAAGAAAGCATGAACCGCTAAGGTGGTATGCAGGACCAAGTAAGCACCCAGTGGGAGCAGTAAGCACTTGATTTCGCAACATCGCCATGGATCAAGTATTCCAGAGAATTCCTGTGTGATCCTCGTACAGTACGAGTACGAGTACCGAGGGACCTGGACCAATGATAGACCTTAGGTAGCGCGTACTTCAGACTCGCAGCGAACTGTCGTATTTTATGTTTCGTTTCGTGCTGTTCCTTTCTTCAGGTATCGAATGCACATGTCATTTGAAGACGGTGTCGACATTCAAGGAAAGAGGTTAGTTCACAGAGATCTTGATCCCAGTATAGATACCTCGGCACGGAGTACTTATATGAGTGATACTCTATGTTCTCGATCGCGATCTCGACCTTGTAGTGGACAGCATGGCACCTGGACCGAAAGTGAATCTTGGTGCTGACGTTGGGACGAGGACACCAATTAGCCCCAGCCCCAGTAATTACGGAGTACAGAGCAGTAAGAGTAGTACGGAGTATTAATAATGATACCAGAGAAGAGGCGTCCTACCACCCCTGAGAACCATGGAACAAGAGCCACAGGAGCCTTGGCCGCGAAAACTCCGTGTCGAAGTAACCCCCGTCTAGCCTTGGGCGACAAGTACATGCTTGATTGAGGTACTCTGTATTCGGTACTACATACGTAATCTAACGAGGTTATTTCCTTGGAACCAAAAACGGCGGCTGGTAAATGATCCACACCGACCTTAGCAAATTACTCGTACCAGCTTATTTACATGCCCCGACATTGTCATACCGTCCAAAACTTTACAGTAGCTACTCAGCTCCGGCTCCGGCTCCGGCTCCAACTCAACTTCATGTCATGGAACTAATACACACTTCTATCCTTTATTGAACTATGCGCCTCGCCAGGTATTCGTATATGACTTACAACAACACAAACCTGGTCGAGGCCCTCGTCCTCGGATTGTCATCCGTATTCAAGAAGCCCCGACAATTCTAAATCTGGTTATCCTACCCTTCCCATCATCCCTGTTCGGATTCCTGTTCAGCCTTATGTCGGTCAGCTTAGGCCGGACTTAATTGAAAGGCGGGAACGGGGGTCTGTCTCTTGTCGTTGACTTAATTATACGACGAAACCCACCAGGGTTGCCATGATAGTCTTCGAGAACAGTGCCTTGTCCCAGGTTTAGACGACTTTGCTTCAATTATTGGAGCGACCCGCCTGTCGTCCTCAGCCTTGTGTCACCCACTCTCTCCTCTTGGTCATAATAGCAGAGGAGGGGGGTGTTCCACGATCTACAACCAAAAATGTGGGCCAATTCACCATCCACATATCCTCAGCAATATGCCCAGAATCATCGGCAGTCGATGATGAGCGACACCCAGTCGGTCTCATCCCACCACTCTGTCAACACTGGTACCATGAACAACTCACAATATAACCCTCACTACCATCACGTCCTTTCACCAGCTCCACATCTACAGCCGCAGCAACAAATCGTCAGTCATCTTCCGTCTCTCACTAGCATCCTCCTCAACAATTCTCCAGGCCAGTTCCAAGCCGCGACGCAACATCCGTTCCTTAGACTAGCTGGACTGGGCCAACTTCCCAAACACGTTCTGTCACGATGGCTGTCCCAAGACCGACTCTATGCCCAAGCATATATCGGCTTCATCGGCAGTCTTCTCTCACGAGTTGACCTTCCTTACGTCTTCATTGCCGATAAACCATCCAGTCTTCGCTGGCGCATTGTCAATATGTTGACCAATTGCTTGAACAACATCCACCGCGAGATCGACTTCTTCACCACCACAGCGCAGAAGTATGGTCTTGACCTTCAGTCTCCCGCACGGCCAGGCGACTCGCAGTTCACGGCCGATACCGCCACAAAGCAATACATCGACCTGTTCCGCGCCTTCTTGACCGACCCGAGTATGTCGCTGCTCGAGGGTCTCGTGGTCCTGTGGGCCACGGAAACTGTCTACCTGAGGGCGTGGAGTTATGCCGCATCGTACATCCGCGCTCCATACACCGCCGAGACGTCTTCTCCACCACTTCGGCCGCCACTGCCTTCGTCGCGCCCCAGCTCCCACTATTCATTCACCAACACCACCACCACCACCAACAACAACAGCAATAACAGCAACAGCAACACCCCAAATCCCAGTTACCCGCCCGCCCCGACCTCCAACTACGCGGCCTCACAAGCCGACTCCGAAGGACCCATCCCGATTCTGACCGCCGAAGACCTGCCGACATCTCACCCGCACCGAAACAACACAAATACGTCCCGCTCCTCCTACCACACGAACCCGCCGCAGAGCCCCGGTCCAGCATCAAGCCCCAACCCCACCTCCAACTCCTCGTCCTCCAACGACCTCGACGGCGGCGCCCTCCGCCACGAATTCATTCCGAATTGGACGAGCCCCGAGTTTGAGGCCTTCGTGCGCGAGATCGCCGAGGTCACGGATGAGCTGGCTGCTCGTGAAGACGCCGTCGTCCGCAGGCTCGACGTCTACAAGGCTGTGTGGCGCCATATTCTCGACGTTGAGACGAGGTTTTGGCCGGGCATTGAGCCTCAGTGACTGAAACCGCAGTTTTGGTCATGCGTCGTGGTGGTGGTGGTGGTGGTGGTGGTGGTGGTGGTGGTGGCTGTCCGCATTGTTAAGTAGAGTAGCATTGGGATTGTGATCCCATAGCACAGACAACATCGGCTATCATCTACATGTTCACGATTTTTGGTATGTTTTTTGGCGTGAGCTGAGGTGTGAGATGTTATCGGATGGTATGGTATGGCATGTTATGGTGCGCGCAAGACGCGACTGATACTACTGATCAGACTATAGTAAGTGGCTGATGAGAATGCCTTATGCGGCAATGAGACGATAGTGGGGTAGAGTAGCGACTGTAGTCTGTCAGTTCTTTGCTTCGCGCGGCGAACATGAACATTGAATCTAAGCAATTTTTCATTTTGGAAAGAGAGAGAGAGAGAGAGAGAGAGAGGGTATGTGTGTATGTGTGAGAGAGAAAGGCATCAATGCATTAATCAATCATTTTGTCTACATAATCCTTGCCTCGAAGACATGGTTGTAACATTCATGGATCTCATGGCAGCAAATTATCGCCCAGGGCATATATGTATCATGTATCCCGTCGTGGCAGTCTACGTCGTCATCAGCAGATTCATCTCGGACATTTTCTCCTCCCGTCAACGCCCACTCGTCGTGGCTCACCATCAGCCAGTAGCCGGCATGACAATTATGGTGGCGAATTTGCTAGAGTTTAAGGTGTGTGGTTGGTCTTCAAGGACCCGGCTCCCCGATCGGGTGATGCAGGTACTGTTGACTGTTCTTTTGCGCCAGTTCAGAACATCCCACCAACTGTATATGATCTTCTAGGGTCGTCTTTGCATTCATATCGAGGGCAATTGTCACTGGAAATTGACTGCATGGTGGTGAGGGCGGCCTTCAAAAATCGTGAATTTGCCCAACGGATCCTTCCACAGCTTTTTTCTTTTTTCTGGCTCTCACTGTGTAACGAAAGCATCAATCAAAATCTCTTGTTGGTCGGACGTTGTCAGCCCTCCAGAAGCCCATGACCGCACCAGTCTCGCTCATCCAGTCCTTAGCACCGTTAACCGCAGCTTTGGCCATTCCGGTGTTTCTCCTTTTATGTCCCTTCTTGAATCCCACTCCTTCTCTTTCACCCGTCGCATATTCCGATCCCATGCTAGGGAGGACATTTTCGCCTGCGCTCAGACTGACGAATAGGGAGAAAGGCACGAGCCAGACGCACAGCCCGAAATACGACGCGATCTCAGTAAACGTGGGTTGATCATATACAGGCGTGGAGTACCAATCCCTCCTCGAACTGGGCACACCTCTGTATCCGACAGGGGCGCTGAAATGCCTGAACCACAACCAGTGGTTGAGGATGACCAGGCCGCAACTTGACAGGAAGAAAGGGTCCGTCAACTTGACGATCGGGAAATGTCGCAGGTTGGTCGCATACACTAAGTGGCTCCCTACTCCCAATAACGTCAATTGCCATGGGAAGCTGTCGACCAGACACAGGAGAACCTGGATCGCAATCACCACCCAGACCAGCCGTTTCAGTAGCTTCGCACTGAACACCGAGTGTTCTTCCACCAGCTCCGACAAGTAGTACAGGCCCGACGCGATCGAGAGCGTGAGGAACCCGAAGCCTAGCACCAGGCCCGCGTAGCCGAGGAGGGGCAGGATGTACATCTCTTCTTGTTCTAGTGGGGTAGGGATGGAATGGTTGCAATAGCGGAGTGGGAAAGGTAACGACTAGCGCTTGACGGTTCGATGGGGGCAATAGTCCAGCTTTATCCTGATGGAGGACACATCAGAAAAGTAGAAGAGTTCAGCATAGGCATTATTATATAGGTATAGGAAGGGGAATAAGGAGGAAGAAGGTCTGGAACTAGGACCACTCCCCAGCTGTCACCTTGTCGTCTTGCGTTTATTCCACGATCCACCCAGTAGAAAAGGGAGCCAGACGCGGGAAGAGGACACGTTCAGATAACAAACCCCCCTGTCTCGATGACGTCAAGCACACCAAGGCTTGGCATCTACCACGTGATATCGGCCTCAGCCTCGCGAGGCAGTACCCCTTTTCTTGGAAAAGGCCAGGGTCGATTGCTTCATCAGATTGACTTTTGGTGCTTTCTGGCTTTGCTGTCTGCGATTTTCACGACCAATAAGAGGCGTTTGCGGTGTCGTATCATCGATATTCTGCCACTTATGCTTGGCCAGTTTTCTGTCCTGCACCAATCTGTAGTCTTAGAAAGAGTGAAGCTGAGTAGGGCCATCAATCGAGATCCCATGTTCCTACGCCCGTGATCTCTGAACAGTCCATATCATTTCTACCACCCCGGGGACTTCGTCACTCCTTTACCAAGCCATTTCACTCCCATCATAACTCAAGAACTTCCCGCCGGATTTCTCCCTGGTCGCCTCATCAACAACTTTCAACACTGCCGTCGCGCTCTCCTCTGGACTCAAAGGCACAATATCTCGACTGGCGCCCCACTGGTCTGCGGCATGCCATCCCATGCGCGTTCGCACCCAGCCTGGGTGAACGGCTACGGCGGTGAAGTCCTGCGCCGCCAACTCTAAGTGCAGACGAGTGATGAGATAATTGGCGGCTGCTTTGCTTGATCCGTATGCTAGACATCCTGGTACTGGCTCCGGAGTACCCAAGGACCCAACGGATGAAGAGATGAGGATGAACTTCGGTCCATTGACAGTTGGACTTCTAGTGGTGGTATCCAAGCCCAAGAGCCCTTTCAAACCCTGAACGAGCTTCAAGGGTCCTCCGAAATTGACGTTCATATGCTTCTGAACTTCATCCCAGCCGGTGCTCAGGGCGGGCTTCATCCCATCTACCATGCCGGCGGAGGCAAGTACGACATGAACACGCTCGATACCATGCTCTGTGCGGAGGTCTTCCGCCAGCCTTGAAACGTCCTGCTCAGTGTCCTTCGCATCGTAGTGGTGGGTGTAGATGGCGGAGGTAGGGTGAATGCTAGAAGCCGAGAAGTCGGCAACTGCAGAGGCGGCACGATGGAGAGCAATTACCGTGGTGGCGGGACGAGAGAGCAGAGGAGGTAAAAATGCGGCGCCGAGCCCTGGTGTGATGAGCGGCGTTACGAAGGTTACGGTTTATAATTGCTTACCATTCGAGGCGCCAGTGACGAGCCAAACAGTATTTCCTTCTCGAGGTGCGTTAGCCATATTGGAATGTTTGTTGGGTATTGGATGTGAGTAATTTTGGAAGAAAACAATCCACCGTTGCACACTGTCTGGAAAGACCTTCAAAGAATCTGGATGTACAGGGAGAAAACATCTAGGAAGGAAGAAGCTAGAATAATATTTCGTCCATTTATATATGCAACATCATCCAATGCTACCTAAAGGTTCTTCTCGGATAATACCGCCAAGTTGATCGCTGATTTAGCCCCGCTCATTGACCGAATAGCACCAGTTTCCAACACTTTGAACAGGTCGCTGGGACGGCTCCCAGCGCTCTAAGAGCAAGTCGAGAATGCTTTAACATCTAAGGATGGGGTAGAAACCCTGTGACGTCTTGGGATATTACCTCAACCGTCCTGGATACAGAATATCGCGATTTTCCCATCTTTCCTGGGTCGCCCTATCTTGTTCTCGATCTGAATACTCCTTTGCGGAAATGCTAGGTTGTGCCCCACCTCGCAATCGCTCATCTGGGAATTTCGCGGCTGCCTCTCCGCCAATCATGGCGAGCCATCTCACGTGACTTAATCGGGTCCTCGGAGTGGTCGGTATCGTACGAGCATCTCCAGTAAGGACAAATGGGCTGGATGGTACGACGGTCAAGTGGTAAGTTGAACCTACCGTCTCGTCGCTAATTGTTAATTACAATTCGTCTGCAAATAGAACACGCACTCAATTTCACCAGCTTAGCAGTGAGCAAGAGAACATCTTGAATACAATCATACTCTCTGCGAAAACAAAAGGGAAGAATGGCGTTGTCATCGACTTCATCCGCGGAGTGATTTTGAGATAATGGATTCTACGCCGATAGGAGTCATGTATAACCAACCTCCAAGCTTCTGATACACATCGATATCAACTTCCGACGCCCGTTTGATCGCTTTCTTTCCAGAGCCATGGCCAGACATAAAATCTTGAGTAGTGTTCAGATTCTGTTCCTCTCAACCCCGATCAGACATATCGTTCTTTTTCGGTCCAATAACGTCACCAGACAACTACATTAGATTCCCCTTTCCCAACAGCTGGCCATGTTGCGTCAAGAGCATCCAACCAGATTGATTCTGCACACCCAAATACTAAGTGCCCTTCGTCAGGAAGAAATAAAAACGTCTCGCTAGCTATTCCTTTGGCGCTGATGTCATTCGGGACAGTCTTTACAATCCCTTGAAGCTTTGAAAGCTCTCCGGCCCTCCGCTGATGTCTCCTTTTGTGTGACACATGCACCCAGAGCGCGGTTTTCCCGTCCGTTTCGGGTTCCTCGGCGGTTCCTCGAATTCCCTCATTGCCATTGAATCCTTGGATAAGCAGATGGCTCGGTTGAGGGTACTTGGGATCGGTAACTGCGAAGCTTGGTTCACGGTATCTGTCTGGAAGCTTCTGGCGCACGAAATCCACGGCCCGATCCACAGCAGCTTGAGGGCGGATCCGATAGACGAGGAGAACTTGTTGGATCTTTGCTGGGGTGAACTCACCTGCGGGGACGGTGTTGGCAAACAAATCGACCAACTTTGGGATTTTGCTGGTATCAAACCTGGCAGGTTTTTTGAGACTGTGCGGGGTGTACATTTTGGTGAAGAGTTCTTGAACTGCTGTTTGGTCGCATAATTGAACTGCACGTACATATTCATCCGGCCTGGACGGATTAATGCTGGGTCCAAGAGTTCAGGGTGGTTTGTCGTCATGATGAGGGTGTGTCCTGGCGGTGCAGCGGCGCCATCGATGGCATTGAGACCAGAGAGCGTGACTCCATTTGAGGCAGCTGGTTTTCGGGTTTCCCAGCGACCTTCTCATCGACCTTCGCATCGACCTCATCATTGGGCTTTTTGGCTTGGCGCTTAGCGACAATGGCCTGTTCCTTACAGACGACGGCGTTTTGAACAGGCTGCTGAGTTTCCCGGCCTAGACCGGCACAGTCTATGTCATCGAGAAGAACCAAATCACCAGCCCGGAGGGATTGGAACAAGCTCAACATGCGAGCATCTATCATACCACTATCTGGAAGCGAAGCGATATGGACGGATAATTTGAACTGCCCTACGACAGCCATTGCAAAGGACGTCTTGCCACAGCCGGGTTTGCCATAGAGTAGATATCCTCGTCTATGTTGTATTCCCCGCGACTCGTACTATGCCGCCGACTCGGGCGCGAGATAGGCTGAAATATCACGAGTAAGGCATTCCATCAACTCCGAATCTAGACACGCGCTTTGAGGTGTCCTCCGAGCTGCTTGAGACCGCAGTGTCCAGACAGCGTCATCACGATAGTAGCTATTGTTAGGTACGAGAGTCAATCTCCTCCTTCTCCTGCTCCATCTCTTGAATGTCTGAGATAAGCTGTTGAATTCTCTTTGGTGACCATCCAAGACACCAAAGCTTTATGCCAGTGGCCCCCTTGGTGTACATGCACCACCCGCCTTTGTACTGAAAGATTTGAATATTGCCTTCGATTTGGAAGATTACCTCGCTCCTTTTTGCACATTTGACACGGGGTATGTCATTCAAAGTAGAAAACCGGGAGTAGGAATAGGCAGTGAGTGCCCTCCGCGCTCCGATCATTGCCTTTGTAGCTATCCACATCTTGATGCTAAGACAAAGATAATCATTATCGTGTAACTATAGATTGTGCGCATTGGAAAGATACTGTGGACAATGTTTCCGAGGCTCATCAACCACCTCAAGGGTGCGGATGGATTTTAGTAGAGACCTGGGGGTCGGTGCAGCCTGCCAAGGGTTTGGCAAGTTTGAACTTGAATTTCATTTCTTGCCCTCTCTCTTAGACTGGTCCCTGGACGAGGCTGAGCCGAAGCTGAGCTGCTTTTCCCACTGTGACGGGTGCACATAAAGCGGTAGTGGGAGGGTCCTACAATGGGGGTAGCAGTCGGTCATTTGAACCAAGTCGCATTGATAGATCTGGTCCACCGTACTACCACGTGACCATCGAAGGTCCGACTTTCCGCCAATCACTGCTTCCCCGCAGTCTGGCTGATATTTGGGCCCTCCACAAAACTTCTTTGCGCCGTGAACTTCGCTACAACATATGACATGGCATTCATAGCCACAACAGACCAACTCTAGGAAATTTGTGGCTCGGGCGAATATAGCCCTTTTCTCACGAAAGGCCTACCCAAAACTAGCGATGTCGCGCCCCGAAGACGTCTTACCGCCAGACCTGTACTACAACGACAATGAGTCCGCCAAATATACCACGTCCTCCCGTATACAAGCCATCCAGGCTTCTATGACCAACCGGGCCCTTGAAATTCTCGACCTCGAACAGTCCTCTTTCATCCTCGACATAGGCTGCGGCTCTGGGCTCTCAGGTGAGATCCTGTCGGAGGACGGGCACATCTGGGTTGGGATGGACATTGCGCCGAGCATGCTGGACATCGCGCTGCAAAGAGAAGACGTTGAGGGAGATCTGTTCCTAGCAGATATGGGCCAAGGAATCCCGTTTCGAGCGGGTGCATTCGACGCGGCCATCAGCATCAGCGCCATTCAATGGCTGTGCAACGCCGAGACAAGTGGAGTGAGTCCCGAGGGCCGATTGAGAAGATTTTTCGACGGACTCTACGCGGCTTTGAAACGAGGCGGGAGAGCGGTGTGCCAGTTCTACCCGAAAAACGAACAACAACGCACAATGATCAGTTCCGCCGCCGTGCGGGCAGGTTTTGGCGCTGGTATCCTCGAGGACGACGGTGGGACCAAGAACGTCAAGACATACCTCGTCCTCAGCGTCGGTGGAGGCGATATCACAGGAACGGTGTCCAAGATGGATGGCGTCGACATTGAAGACGGCAGGAAATTCCGAGAGGCCATGCATAAGAAGGGGAAGAGGAGTGAGGATATCAAGGGTAGTAAGGCGTGGGTCCATAAGAAAAAGGACAAGATGCGGAGTAAGGGAAAGATCGTCAAGACTGATTCAAAATATACTGGAAGAAGGAGAGGGCCGAAGTTCTGAGTGCAAAGAAAGCCAATTTTCAGACTATACCAGCACAGAGATTGGGGGTGTCAGCAACTGCTTGAGACCGAGTTGCCCAATGCCTCTAATCAACTCTTAATATGGGACTGGTTCCAGTCCACCATCTCGGGCGGTTCGAGCAGGAGATTCTTTCCAAAAACCATGCAAAATCCCATCTAGCATCAACCACGAGAGCTGCTCAGCCATGGCTTTCTGGATCATACGGCAGGAACAGAAATGTTGAGCTCCGTCAACTCCACATGCCCCAGACAGAAAAGTTTTCCCAATTTCAAAAGAAGCTTGAGACCAGACCAAAACAAAAGCGGCGGGCCACGGGGACCCCGCAAACCTTACTCCTGGTCACCGCACAAAGGCAAGAAAGCACATCAATCCGCACGTCTTGCCATGAATGATAACATGAAACATAACGAGGAATGATAGACCAAGGTCACAAAAATAAACCGGAGGATATGGATCAACCATCCAAACGACAAGACCGGGAAAAGAAGCGGATGGACTAGATTCGAAGGATCTGCCTGTGATGAGGCTGCTTTTCTTTTGCCCATATGCAACTTTAGGAGCCATGCACAGACTACATGAGATCCAGAATAACAATAAATAATGAATCCAGGCTCGAAAGGAAGGGGGTTTGATTTCCCATTCCCGCCTTTCCATATCTTGTCCCACTCTCTCTCCCTTGGTCGTCACCAATCCACCAGCTCTTACACGTTCGATAGGTTATCCACAGGCAAGACGCGCCATTATGCAGGTCACCTGAATGGAATCCCCCATCCCACATGCTAGCCTAGATACGACGGAGCGGAGCATATCTACCCGGGCGAAAATGAGGCTCTTCACAAACGCAAAAAGAACAGGACAAACGGACGAAGTAAAGGAAAAACTCCCTACTGCCGGGTAATCCTGAAAACGAACACCAATTGGCGGTCAATAGTAGCCTAGGAGTATATATACACCTCGCGAGTATCCATCCCTACATCGCTTTCTTCCCTTGAAATTCATCTATGCCGCAGACCACCCCAATTTTGTATACCAAGTAATTTGATGCAATGCAATGAAAGTTTGAGAGAAGCACTCAATGAGAAACTCGCCACGGGATTCAAGTGAGCTCATTATTCCTCTCTTGTTCTGCGCTCAATGATCCTTCGAACCACGGCGACCAACGAGCTCTTCATCATCGTCAGCGTTGGCTTCCTCCTCCTCCTCTTTCTCCAGTCTATCTTGAGGTTTGGAGCGGCCCCCGCGACTGTTTTGCAGCGGCAGAGTACCCTCTGTGTCACCGCCAAAGTCACTTGGGTCGTCCTTCCTTTTGCCTACCTCTAGAATGGAGTGCTCAGTTGATGGTTTCCCATGGCCGCTTTCTTCAATGTGGCCGTGCTCGATTGTATCGTCGTGTTCGTGATCATGTTCAGACTTCGCTTCAATCGGTTTCCCATCCTCGCCGAAACGCACGCCGTCTCCAACGCGCCGGCCCGGGAATTGTACAAAGTCGCCATTTGATTTCTCCCCATTCCCATCATGATCAGCAGCCTTGGGCGAAACAGCACCCTTTTTGCTTCTCTCCCAACCAGTCTTGAATACTTTACTTCCCTTGATATCAAATACCGGCAGGGGATGAGCTTCCGTGTTGAAAACGACGCGGTCCAGGGGGAAGAAATCGTCGCCGGAGAAGAGTAAGTAGAAGTACTTCAGGGTTTCGGCCATCCAGAAACTCTCCATATTGTCTCTTCGCTTTCGCTCTTTCACTGGGTTGTCCATGACGGTGTCGAGAGAGCTATACGCATAGACCTTGCCTTCAACTTCATCCACCACCTTGGTGTGCTCGCGGAAGGCCTCGAACATCTCCCATCCCCATTCTCGATACTTTGGATCCTTCGTGATCCGCCACATGTAGAACAATGATTCGACGGTTTCAGGCCTCTGTAGATTGTGGACGTCCATATCGTGGATGTCGTAGTCGGCTCTCCAATCCGCGTCCATGTCATCTGACAGATTTGATGATACAGGTGGCGTCCAATTGGGATCCAGATGCCCTTGCCATTGACGAGGCGGGTTGTCAATGTGGAAGTAGGCGATCTCGGGCGCGAGCCCAGTCGGTGTGACTTTGTACATACCCCAACATGTTTTCATTAGCTCCTCCGCAAGCGCGAGATCCTCATCATGTTTCTTGGTCCAACCACTGCCAAGATTCCTTCTTGCTTGCTCGACCGTCTGTCCACCAGTGACTGCAAGTGCAATTGTCCCAGGCATGAAACATACCAGGTGGTCCATTTTGGGCGTCAATACATGGCCTAATCCACTGGGCCTTTCAGCGAGAATCGTTAGTGACGCTTTGCTGGAGTAAGTGATCAGATGTTTCTTGACTCCTTCCAAGGCCTCATCCCACATGTCCCGATATATAGTCTCAACACCACCTGTCTGTAGATATTGTTTGATCAGATATTCGTAGTAGCTGTCTCCTCGAGACCCAAGACGAATGTTCTCTCCACGAAATTCGCCAGTAGCTGGGTAGATGAAAATAGGAAGCAAGCCATCTTCCATTTGTTGCGAGTCGATTGCGTTGATCACAAGTTCCGCTCTCTCCCAATAGACAGGTTCTCCTGTTACCTTGGAGAGGTATTTCATTTCAAGTTGCAAAGTTGCAGCCTCCGCTGTTGATGATGCGCCGCCATCCAGATGGTTGATCAGTCCTTGAGATGTGTTAAGATTAATAGATGAATACGGTATCCCTGAAGGAGAGTCGTAAGCTCCAAGCAAGCGATCGGCCAGGTCGGTTGCCTTTTCAATGTACAGGTCTTCTCCTGGCTGATTAAAGTCATCGTCTCGTTGAGGTGCAAGATTCGGGAAGCTGGTGGATAGATAATAGGCAGACAGCAAACCCCCAAGCATTCGAATGGTCGTTTCAAAGGTATTCACATCATGGTCTGCATTATAGCTGAGTGACGTTGAGATCCACTCCCTCGCTGTTGCAACCTGTGAAGTCAAGTTCATCATAATGGCCGTGTCTAGAGCATCAACAATAATCCATCCCATGCCACCTTCTACCATATTTTTCCCTTTCCGTGTGAGGGGGTGGTACTCGTCCAGTCCCCATGCATATTTCTCGTACCCTTCCCATGTTGTTATAAACACTTCCTTGACGGCCTCCCTCTGGGCAGACCAGTCATTATGGCCAAAGAACGTATGCTGGTGCTCAGCGGGGTCATAATGCGGCTTGGAGCCTCCCAGAGGCAAGAGACCAGTCCACCAAAGGACAAAGATCACCAGCAGGCCTATGAGACCCTGAATCCGTTTCCGCTGCAGTAGACCGCGCCGCCGACTGGCAGGGAAATGCGGTTTGTCCTTGTACATTGGGAGCTGACCCCCTCCCTCCTCGCTGAAGATATCGTTGATTTTCGAGGTGACCGCGTCCGCGACTCCTCCTCTCGCAGGTCCATTACTTTGTTTTGAACGCCAGTAGGAGTCTTCTTGTGATCTTTGTGAACTCGAGAACGACGGCACATTCTGGGGGACTTGGAAGGACATCGAAAGTCGTGGTGAGGTGAGCGGACCAGCCGAGGGAGATGGTGAAGCCCTGGGGCACAGACACCTAAAGGGGAGAGCACACGACTTGTGCTTGTGCTTGCGCTTGTGCTTGTGTCCCGAGGGTGTGTCGTGCACAATGCCGCTGATGAATTATGCCAAAGAAGGACACAAGTGGCTACATTATAATGAAGAAGAGAAGGTAGAAGATATTATATTTTACAAGGACATCGTAGCTCAGCTTCTGAGTCCTTGAACTGCGCGTTGCCAACAACTCGGCGGGCCACCTTGGTCGCAGTTGAACAGGGGTACCACGTGACCATCGTGAAATCCTTCGCCTCGAACCCCGTCTGAATTGATATCAGTTCACTGTTCGCCTTGGTCATAATTGAAATCCAATCTCATATACCTACTAATTATCAGGTACTGGGGTCCCCTTGGAGTGATATGACATATAATAAGTATAATGTAAGTTCCAAATCTTTGTGTTTAGCAGCACTCACGTGACCTTAGCCTTCAACCACCCTTTTGCAGAGCCACGTACGGAGAAAACCGTCAAGGTACTGAGTATAGAGGCAATGCTGGATGGGGCTCATCAAGTAATGTCTGATCGAGTCGCGTTCTCGACGCACGCTGTACCCTTGAGCTGATTCATGGCGAAACCTTTTGTCTCTGAGGCTGAAACTGAACAATCTCACAGCACTCAGGGAGGAACAGGTACCGAGTAGATGGATCTAGTATATTTGTAAAAGAACGTTATCTTTGCAACTCACCGCAATCTGCCTACTGCGTTAAGTTCATTGCGCGAATTCATAGCGCAGCGAGGCTGTGATATCAGGGGCGCATAGCGCCCAGTGTGGGGTAACTGCCTGGAGGGGATCGCGAGCAGATAGATATAGAGCAGAGGCCAGCTACACTAGCAAAAAGGTGTGAGTCCGCACTATTTCTCATATGTCGGTATATCTATATGTCAAAATAGATCGAGGAACCAGTGAAAAGGTCTTCTATAGTTACCTATAGAGTTATAGTAGTTAGTAGGGCACGCGATGAATACATCTCGGGTCAGTCTACGCCTCGGAGTAAACATGTTAGGCAATAGGTCCGTAAGCCCTTGAGGATCGCTCAAAAAGACTAGAATCTCGTACGAAGTACGAGGAATTCTCGGACCTATTAGTTATATGCTTGCTAGGAAGCCGCCCAGGGTATTCCTAATAGAACATTTCTTCCGTCCTCGTGTTCTAGACATGATGCATGTAACGGCCTTGGCCATTTCAGAAGGTTCAGCTCCTACGCTACTCGGAACAACGATGCAATTTACAACCCGCAATATCAATGAAACGATGACACTGTGGCCAGGGTTAAGTAGCTTGTACGGAGTATCTATGGTAGGTGTTCAAACAGATCGATGAACTATTTCATATCTGTAGTTGTTATTTTGTCACAAAAACACCATCGCAAATCGTAAGTCCTAACAGAACCAACAATCGGCATCCCTCTTATCCTCTTCTCTCCGTTCTTCAGGCGCACTCGTCATGGCGGCCTAATCTATCTAATTATCTAAACACGCCCCGTTCCCAATTCTCCTTCAAAAACAACGCCCGCTGCAACCCCAACGAAACCCCGATATACTCGATCATCTCCAGTGCCTTCGCCTTCTGTTCCGGCCTCGCAAAAGGGCACCTTAATAATATCCCTGTCGGCCACAGCAGCGCGAACCCGCTTGTCCCGATTCCGGACACCGGTAGGTTCCACTTCGCATCACCTCGTCCCAAACAGTAGGGCAAGCTTGCGACGATGTCATCGAGAAGCGTGGCGATTTTGGATTTGGATCTTTCGAACGCTTCTTCTGTTTCAACAGAACCGTAGCTTGCTTCGCGCAGGAACCGGCAACATTTGACGATTGACATCAGCAGCATGATCCGCGCGCATCGCACCATGTTCCAGTCGTTGGCGACGCCGAGTGCCGTGTAGACGTCGAATGGGCCGGGCCAGCCGGAGAGTGGTTGCATTGCTGGTTGGTAGGCGTAGCCTGGCTCCGCCAGGGTATCCGGCCAGGTGTGTGCTTGCGAGTCGAGCTGCTCACCATGGAGGATGGAGCTGTACAGAAGCTTCATCGCGGGTGTCGCTGTTCCGGCACCAGGGTGGGCTTGCTCAGCTTGCACGGCGGCCTCCACTAGAGTGTCGATCTGGTTATTGTACTGTGCTACCATAAGGTTTATCTGTATGGCGACCGTGCTGGGGTCGGATTTGTCGAGACCTTCTAGGATCTGGATCGTTCGCGGCTTGGGTGCGGTTCGACTTCGGAGGTGCTTGACAACCTAGCAGTGGTCGATCCGGCTTCAGCGGAAAGGCGCACAAAAGTCTGCCAAACAAACACGAGCCCAGGACCTCGAGGCGGGGTGTTACTTACGATCTGTGTTGCCACTGAAAGATCCAACGCGTATTCCTGTGACTCATGATTTGTACTGCGGGATCGAAGATCTAGCAGTGCCTCATACCCGGCAATATGCGACCCATGGGCTTCCATTGTATCGCCGCTGATATACTGGATAGGCCACGCATTCTCAGCTACTCAGCGACGTGAACCTGGCTGGCAGAGGACTGCCATCACTTACCTCAAAGAGTGTCAGAATAAACAGCGAGCACAATGTGGTATCCTTGGTGACCTCTTGAGGGTCCTCAATGGCTTTCTGCACGGCGACCAATGCCTTGACATGTGTTCGACGAGCTTGATGTATCGCTTCAAGATCCGTCAATTTCCGCACCGCGTTTGCATCGGTTGCTGCACTGACGGCCAGGTGGAGGGGGGAACCTGGATTCGAGTTCGCATACAAGCTGGGCAAGAATGTGAGCAAGCCTTGCTTGGGATCCTGTACGGAAGAGGTCGAGTATAAATTGATGAAGAGAGGCAGCGCCAGGTGCGCCCAGGGGAGCAGTAACGGTTGGATGATCGGAGTTTGGAAATCGAAGTCCCCGTTGGAGGTCTCCCATGCCCTCTGTGAGCCGTTGGAGAATGAGTCGTCCTGGAAGCCAAAATCAGCGCCTGGTATGGCTAAAGCTCCTCCATTGTTTTCTGTCCCAAGTTAGAATCCGAGTACTTGTATTTATTCAAAGGCCGTGCCGCCTACGGCGCTTACTGAATTGGCGATCAGGACTTGATCGAGAGCTTGCATTGGAGGAGGAGTCATCTGATCTAAGCACCTTGACGAACCGAAACGATAGTTCGCTGTCCGCTCTGTATCCCGGGCAGATCTTCCCAACCCGGGTGCACCGATTGCACTGCGGTTTTGCCTCATCACACTGCGATCGTCAGTAAATAGATTCCGATATCATAAATTCCCACACCTCCTGGAAAGTGACTCCACTCACCTTGACTTTCTTCCGCCGGCACGCGAAACAGCCACGACTGGGATGGCCTGGGTAGACCATGTTCCGACTTCCTGGCAGTTCTCTCGTAAAGTCGTAGTCAGATCAGGCTGAATGGCGTCTCCACGCGTGCCTTCCTAGGCTACCATTTGATCCCTCCACAAAGCTATAATACGGTTAGCACTATGGAAGCTGTGAGTACCCCCAGGCAAGCTCGCGCTCACAGCTTAGCCGGTGGCACAGTTCAATTCTTCAAGAGTTGCGCGCAACTAGTCGATATCGCTGATTGTCAGATAGTGATGTTATCGTGTTCTCTCACAAGTGTGTTTTGCTGCGTTCCCTACTCTCGTTGGAGTTCGATGTATGTAGCTGGAAATGAGTTTTGATAACGGTTTTAGTCATCCCGTGCCACGAGCCTTGACCACGAGGCTAGGTCATCCGACGTTGGCTGTCCCGTCTAGCCTAAAAATCGCACAATTAGCCTAGGGTCCAAATCTCTCGACGTCAAGGACAAGGTTCCAGCTACTATCTCACCAGAGTTGAAAAACTAGTACGGTGTTTCCTGCAATGCGTATTCACTTGTCCTCGTGTCGCTGCATCAGTGTTATGTAGTCAAATAAGGTTAGACTGCTCAGTCACGGCGCAAGTGCCGATGAAATTCCGTTAAACATACCCCGTAGAACTTGGAGTCTTGAGGCCTCCATGATCGATAGATACAACACTCCAAGGTTTATCTATATTACAGATTCCACATTAACTTGGAGCGCAAATCATCAGCATGAGATGCTAGACCAAGTAGCTAGTTTAGTGTATTTTAGACCTGTTACAACATACGGTATTGTTATTTGGTAAGTCACCATTACTAGCTGGTTTCTCGAAAGGGTAAGTTGGCTGGTTTGCATTGTCCATTTGGTTTAGAATACATCGACTGGCTGAGTGCTAGCAATGCCTCAATTGAAGGGGTGCCCTGACTCTTAGAGGCTTCATTTTCTGCTCCTGGTCGCTAGCTCAGGAGACACCACTTGCCCAGATCTCCTAGAGAGACTTCTCATCCACCCAGCCTTTGGTCAATTCCTAAAACGCCGAGCCGGTAATCGTACAATTTCCAACCATAACGATCTTTACATTGATTTTGTGCTTATCTCCCCACCCAAAGGAAAAGCTCCCTGGAGTATGCAAATCCCTGGCATAGCGATATTCTCAACAACTCCAGTATGGCCTCCGGCCGTCCTTCGTCAATCTTCGTCTAATCGTGTCGTTCGCGTAATCGAATATGGGTATCATTTCGCATAAACTGTATGCCTCGGTGGTGAACTGTAAACAGGAAGAAAAATCGATGGCTCCGTCATTTCACCGAAAAGAAAAAACTCCCAGAGCCGCAAAAAGACTTTGTACAGGCGCGACCATGCTTAAGTGCCTCATGGTTGATCGATTCTCCGACAAACATCAGGGCAGTTATCCCCCCACTCCTCAGGATAAGGCCCGATGGCCTTCTGCATGTGCGACTTGTAAGCCGTCTCACTAAAAATACTCTTGTAGCCCTTGACTGTGCACTGTGGACAGCTATGGGCCCCAAAACAGTCTTCGTGGAGGAAATTGAAAATGTCGAGCCAATTCGTGTCACTTTTGTCGTATTCCATCTCCAACGCGATTCTGTCGCCCCAGTAGTTCGGGTCTTTTGGCATGAAGACGAAGCACGCCCGGCACAAGCGCAGTGATCGTGGGATCCATGACTTTCGCTCCAGTAGTCTGAAGAGCCCGTCTTTATCTCGGTACCCTCGCCACGGTGCCATGACGCCTTTCACGCGCGCGACCTGTCCCATCCTCTTGCACGTCAGCGCTAGGCAAACTTGGAAGTGTGGGATCTTGACGTGGTGAAAAATCTCCGTGAGGAGCTCGTATGGGAGAGTGAGAATTGGACAGTCGTTCGATGGGGAGGTAGTTGTGTCGGTGTCTGATGTTGGTCGTGTAGGGATGTTGATGTTGAGAATAGAGTCTGGGATGAAGAATGGCTCATAGGGATTTGCGCGTGAGGGTTTGATGTCTGGTTTTCGTTCGTGTTCTGAGGGAAGATTCGATGGCGGCATTGCCTCGAGGATATCAGTTGTTTTTGACGGAGGTACGTGAATTCCGACCATTCCAAGGGGTTTGTGAGCATCCATCGACCGCTGCTCGATCGATCGCTGCATGGTGTGTAGACTAGCGCCAACAGGACTTTCAGTGCACGCCTCCGTACGCAGGCAAGGGTTTCATCGTAACGGTAGGCATATCAACCGAAGAACTTGTATCTGATTTGCTGCTTGCCCGTGTGATCCGAGGACGAGTTATCGCTTGTGTGGATCTGGTGAGAGATGCAGCTTATGTATTCGGACATGGGGAAGTTTGTGTGGGGGACTTCATGAGGACCTAAACAATAAGCATCTGCCCCTCCGTAAGGGAGACAAGGCGTGAGGGGTTCGCAGGGAGAAACATGACAAATACGCCAAGACCGAGGTCAGTTTGCACATCGGGAGAAAAGCCTTAGTGCACGTGGGCACCTGTACGAGTACGGAATATTAATTCTGTATAGCAGGTGTGCCGAGAGTCGTAATACTGGTCACGTGTGACATGTGTTTCACGCATCAAGAAGCCAGCGAACGGGGCTCCTTCGTTGAATCTGTTCAGATGCAATGGCCTGCCTGCGAGGAGATCCGTAATAGACTGCACCAGATCGCAAAATTATCTGTATACGTGCTGATCAAGCTCATCATTTCATCCGCAAAGTACTGCTTCACCTCGGAATGGACTAATTCCGTCATGTGAATACTTTATTCCCGTACACGCGAAGGCAGTTGAGGATACTCTTGTACGGGGAATATCGAGATTACGAAGAGGTAAAGAGCACGTGAAACCAGAGTCATCGTGAGTCTGACGGTTTTCATAGGTTCCTGATTGCCGTCCAAGACATCAGTAGTAGTTGCTTATCTCGCCTGTCCATTTAAGAAATCACTCGGGCTGACCTGCACATTCGCCTTTTTGATTACACCCTGGGACACCGCGGGTTAAGGCCGTTGGTAGCGATGCGACGAGAGTGTGCATAAGGCTACCACTAGCCACCACAATATGTCATCTTGGGGGCAAGTCGGAGATATGGCGGCTCGTGCACGGCCGCGTGAGTAACCAAATTGTGAGGAACCATTGCCTAATTTTCCAAACTCCTGCTGTTTTAACCTGCACTTTACCAATGGTCTTGCCATCTAGAACACCCAGGACGCGCCGTTTGAGGTGATTTCTGGATGGGTGGTATACTGAAATGCTAGATCGCTTAGTACAGGTTTCATCTGTCATCGCTGGCTTCGTTTCTTTTACCAGCAACGCTTTTGGGCTGAACGAGCGATCTCCGGCGATGTAATGAAGCCTTCATTCAAACCTCCGCCATTCATGCACGCTTGCCGAAACGATGGACGGATCTAGTGACTAAGGAAGTCTGGCGGCAGTACTTCCCTGCGTTGGCCATTAATCCTGATGTGATTGTTCTTAGGTCATCGCGGTTTGATGTCTGCCCCAGTTGAGGATATGTCATCTGTCCCCAGCGGACGGGCTGGGAACTAATTAGGAGAAGGATGGTTGCGATCATCATGAGGCTGGACCTCATAAAGATGTGTGCAGTCTGGACTAACCGTTTTCTCGGTGGCTGAGGATACAAGGGGCGAGTTTTCCGCATGGAATATAAGGGACTGAGCAGATTCTCCGTCTCGCCGTTCTTTGTCCTTGCCCTCTCCATTTCATTTCGACAAGAGATACCGGCGGCGCGACAGACGAGCATATCCCCATGTTAGCCAATGACTCTAGGGAGTCTATCCTCCCACCCTACCCCGGGTCCTATACGGGTTACCTAGGCACTGATGGTCCTTCGAACTCACGGCCGCTTTCGGCGAAGGGTTTGGCACCCAACAAATACACTCACGTGCCACAAAAGTATCAGAAGAGATCGAGCTTCTTCTACCGTTATGCAGGCATTTGGCGAGCCTTACCCGCTGTATTAGCGGTGATCATTTGGTCAACACAAATGATATATTTTTTCTTCTGGTTCATCACCCGGCCAGCAAATGAGGATGGTTCATGGCACAGAATTGGCGCATCATACGCGGCATGGCCGTTTATATCATGTATTGGTGCAGAAAGACAGTTGTGCTTCAAACTTGCCAGTATCATTGTGGCATGTCTCCTTTGGACAACTTTTGGAATCGACTACTTCATAGGACGGAAAGCCCCCGTGGGAAAGTGGCTCCGATTGGGCAAAATGGTGTTTTCGAGCATATCCTCGGCCTTTCTCATCGCGCTGGCATTTTCAAGCGTGGACGGACAGCGCAAGAATCACCTTATCTTTACCAGCTTCCAGATTATCCTCATGGCATTCGCCAAGGTTTGCGACTGGTATCTTAACCGAACCATGAGAGAGTGGCTTCCAAATAACCGACATTTGCAAGTTTCGAAAGCATGGAAACGAGTTGCAGCATCCATTGCACCACGTAAGTGAAATCGTCCCAACACTCGAGAAGTTTAAGCTTCTGGCTAATCTGTGGAGCAGCTGCGGGTCTATTAGTTATGCTTGGAATCTATGGTTGTACCGCCAAGTTTGTCAATGATACGGTCGTCTTCACGAGCCAATGTTGGTCGCTAGTGAGCTTCGCAGCGACGGCCGAGTGGACACTGAGTACACTGTGGATGATATTCGTGGGCACAGTTGCATACGACAACTACCACCTTGAGAATACGGTCCAGATGTTGCTGATGACGCCTCGTCCACTCAAACGGGAAAAGAACAGACTTGGCTTTTGGGCAACGCGGTGGTTCAAGACGAACCAGGGCGGGCACGACCTCGAAAATTGGGGTGGGCGACCAGAGGCCAGACGGGTCATTAAGGCCAACACAGATTTGGATCAGGAAACACGAAGCATGTTTGAACGAGACTCGATCGTGGGAGGCATGGATGAGCCAAGAGTCGAAGAGTACAGCCCATTACAGCACCAAGGACGCACCGTGATACCATCCATTCCGAGCCGAGTCGGACGAGACTTGTCGAATCGTGGGTATCAGCAAGTAAGCAGTTCACCTTATGCGGAGGGTCCGTGAGTTTTGGTGGATGTCCACAGGAGCCACCCAAAGGAAAGGACTGTCGGCTGCCTGAGGCGAATATAATTCGCTACGTGGCCTCGATCATTCCGAGCGTCACAGTACAATCGGCTTGACCCGTTGTGGTCTTGTGATGTCTGTGATGATATGAATGAGCTTCCTTCCGATGCAACTAGAGGAACGCTTTCGGAGCCAGTGTCGAGGCAGCGTGATATCAATCTAACCCATGATAAGCCCATCTCGGAGGTCGGTTGCATAAAGCTACGCAATCGAGGCAATGGCTCTTCGTGATTGAATATATCAGACCACGAGCTTCTGGAATCAAGAGCCTGGTGCAACGAAGCACATGCACTCGGCCGGGCGATGCAAGAGCATGACGAGTCATGGAATTCCGTGTGACCCAATTTTGTTTCCTTTTCGCACTGGTGACGAGTTAGGAAGGCAGAGACAGGAATCTATGTTGAAGCACCCGACGTCGTGCTGATGTGCCAAGTGCGACCCAGACCGAAGGTGGGAGTCGTTTGTCTCAAGATCTTGAGGAATAGAAGAGTGCAGAAAGCAAACACGCATAAATCAGACTGGGGATTGCCACCCAGTTTCGTGGTCAGGTGGCAACAAAGAAGAAGACCAACGTTCAGGTACACGTATGTATGTATAAGAACGTTTCGTGGCAGTCAGCAGTAATGACAACAACAATAGTATGATGCAAGATGACGGCTTGTCCGCGGGATTGGGAAAGCTTGCCTTCTTTTGGTGACTGGGTCTTGGAACATGCTTGACATTTGATCTTCACACAGAAACGTTGTCGGAGGAACAGACTTTGTAGATAGATCGAATTCTAAAACCGCATCGAGATAAAAACAAGAATTACAAGCCGATCACAATCTGCAGGGTGCAAAGTGGGCAGAACCGCCAGAATGGCATTGGCATATGGGGAAGGAGCGCGATTGCCTCATAGCAGTGCCAAGCTCCACGGGTGCCAGCCCGGTCGAGTAGCAGACGCGGCTCAAGGGTTTACATACAAGGTTAGCAGCTCTGCGAGTAGATTGCCAGCCAATGCCGAAGTTTCGAGGGGTTACGCGTCGCGAGTTTGTTGGCCCCAAAAGACAGGTTAGGAAGCTAAGAGACTCGGGAGCCGCAGGGGCTGTCTCTGGCCAGCCTTGGCGTTTGAATTGTGCTTGTCACCCTTGTAATCGTACTCCGTGCGAGTACGGAGTGTACGAAGAAGGTGACTTCCCTGACATGGGACACGGCTCAGCCCAGGCTTCAACATCTGGGCAGTGTGTCGCGCAACTCGCTAAGAGAATCGAAGGGATGACCATCTGCCAAGGCTGTTTCATGCCAAATATGGCTCAGGTAGGAGTGACTATTGGTACCAGACTGGGGACGGAGAGCTACGCACACGTACGTACACCTCGCTCACCGCACCGAGTGATTCGTCTCAACGGACAGTGCATCCCGTGGCAAGCTAAGGGAGATAAGCACTTGACGACCTGCTGGCGAGGACGGCGTAGAGAAGGCAACACAGAGGAGGAATAAGGAGAAGAACAGAGAAAGCTACTCGTAGACAACGTTGCGAGAATGGGTAGGTCCACTACTATAATAACAAGAATAACATGCCACGTTTACAGATATCGGTAGGATAGCAGCAGCATGGCTGAGAATGGGGTACGAAGAGGCTACGTGGGCAATGGGCGTTCGGGCACTGATCGACACGTGCCGTGGGCCAATCTTTGCAAAGACGCGCTTTTTCTACTCAGCCGGTTGGGAGAGATTGAGGGAAAGAAATCAGCAGCATGGACAATGGGAAGTGGCTCCTTCTTGGGGAACTCGGAAGTGGACCCAGCCCGGGCCTTGAACGACCTTGAAGGGTCTTGGCTTCGGCGAATAACGACCCGTGGAGAGGCTTGGATGGGGGCGTGATTGGGTGCCACGCCGATGAAGGTGACTTGCGTACTCCAGGGCCCCTCGCAGGGACGCGCGGCGCTCATCGACTTGCTTCTCACAGTCGTGCACACTCATCGGTTTGCCCAGGCCGCCCTTTCATCTGGGGGAAGCGTCGTCGTAGGCGTGCTTGGGGCCTGGGGCCTGGTGAGGGTTAATGGTAGCCTGGCGGCGAGTGTGAGTGTGAGGGCGAGTGCGCGTGCGCGTGCGAGTTCTGCGGTGTCGGGTGTCGGTTCCTACCTGCTCTTGCGCTCGTACTGCTGTTGGGTGGTATCTACTGTAGGCCCTGGGGTGGTAGTAATTCGCAGTGGCTGTCGCGGTGGCACGGCACTCCGTAGGATTTTGGCTGCTGCTCTTTATTCCTGCCCTTACGCCTGCAAAGTGCTAACGCAATCCTCGCCCACACCCAGGCATACGTACTCCCTTTCCACATCCACATCCTCACTGTCGCCCTCTCTTCCAAGTCTTACTCCTTCTCTTCTGCCTTCACACATTCTTCTCTCCTTTAAACAATCACCAGCTCCCAATACCGTCGCACTTCTGCATGAACTGCATCCAACTTGCATCCTGCCAGATTCCCGCGGTTAGAATATAGATCGGAAGACTCCAAGGGCGATTTCTCCATCCTGAGGGTGGCGAGGCAACTCGACTCGGCTGTGCTCCGTGACTGCGCCCATCCAATACACCAGCCCACCAAATCCCCCCCCCCCCCCATTTGCTCCTTCCAACTTCAACAATCGCTCTCTACTCACTTCAATACCCTCATCCACCTTCAACATCATCGTTGGTCTTGCAGTGAGAAAGAACCCACACCCGAGTTCAACCATGGCGACCCCAACGCGGGAGCGCATCCTCGACGATGACTTCGACTTCAGCGCTGCCGACCTTTCCAAGCAGTTCGAACAATTGCTGCGAACCAGGAGATTGAATGAACTGGAAGAGCAAGTACGAGCACCACGATCATCCTCTCCTCGACTCGCTCCTCACTCGAGATCTCAACAACTTGCTGCTTCCTCGCCATTACCACCACAAACCCCCAATTCTCACAGTTCCGCACATCCCAGTTCTCGCCCTTCCCAATACCAACCGCCCACCTACACCTCCTATCGAAGTCACCCCATAGTACCCTCTCCACCTCAAGATGGCGCTGCGTTGAAATTCCGAAACCTCCTGATCACCTTGTCCATGACTCCCACCAAATACGAAAACCCGGGTCTCCTAGATGATGCTCTGACACACGTGCCCATTGATCGCATTTACCAGGAAGCAGAAGAAGAGCACAATCTCATGAAAGGTATGGCGGCTTCAAAAGGTGACGGCCATAAACCGGAATGGGGTTACCAGGATTGCGTCATGCGATCACTTCTACGGTAAGAATGTCTGCTCATACTCCTCCTCACCTATCCTAATCTCTATTCTTAGCTGGTTTAAACGCTCCTTCTTCACCTTCGTCAACAACCCGGCTTGTACGCGATGTAACGGTGCTAGTATCGCTGCCGGACAAATCCCCCCAACCCCCGATGAGATTGCCCGCGGCGCAACCAGAGTCGAACTGTACAGATGCACAAGTTGTGCCTGCTACGAAAGGTTCCCCCGATACTCCGATGTTTGGACCTTGCTTGAGACTCGAAGAGGCCGAGCAGGAGAGTTCGCCAATTGTTTTAGTATGCTGTGTCGTGCGGCTGGTGCAAGAGTAAGATGGGTCTGGAATAGTGAGGACCATGTCTGGACCGAAATCTACAGTGAACATAACAGGAGATGGGTGCACGTTGACCCTTGCGAGGAGATGTGGGATAACCCAAGAGCCTACACTGAAGGTGAGTTGACGCTGCATCTTGATTCCATAGCATACTGACATTCCATTCCAGGCTGGAACCGCAAGATGTCATATTGCATTGCCTTCTCGAACGACGGCGCGACTGACGTCACACGAAGATATGTACGCAACACTCATTATCTCGGTCCCCGAACCCGTTGCTCTGAGGAGGTTCTGCTATGGATCATACATGAGATTCGCAAACTCCGACGAGAGAACCTCGACAAAGCTGTCCAGCACCAGCTACGGCGTGATGACGACCGGGAGGAGCGAGAGCTACAAGGCTTTGTGATGCGCTCTCTTGCTCACGACATGATCAACTCGATGCCTGGTGCGGTCACTCCTGCTCGAACCGACGAAATGAAGACACCTGCAGAAAGACAAGACACCACCATGCAATGGTCAAATGAGCAACAAATGGACCATTCCCATCCTCGGTGACATGGCTATCTTGCACCACTACCTCCGCAATCCCCCCACCCTGACACCACGTCCACCCCCACCACGATAATGTCGTTATGTTCAAATCCATGATACCACTTTCTTATCTTCAACAAAATAAATCGAGGAACTCCTTTTGGTTGACTCAGCATTGCGCTTGGGTCTAGGCGTTAAGCGTGAATAAAGATTTTCACAGGCTACCTGGTTGGGGCATTTTGGGGATTCTAGGAATCGGTCTGGAACTCCAACTCGATACCTGCGGGGAGGTCCATTTGCATTTTTAGTTCTCCACGGATTAGGAGGCCTGACACTGATGTTACTTTTCGGAAGAGCAATCACATACTACAGGAGCATTTTTCATCTGGATATGGAGCAGGGGTTTTCTGCCATATCAAATGGCGTTGACGGTCTACCTGTACGTCTCACGTCCGAGCCCAGGGGACGATATGTTTTGGGAGGAACTTTTTGATCGTTAATCATGAGCAAAATTTGAAGAGGTGAGTTGACGAGCACCAGAGGAAGATGAAAGATGAGGCAATTCTGTGCCGATTTAGCATTGCACATAGATGCCGAGTGAAGACGATGACGAGGAGATGGCAAATCATGTATGTATGTATTCATGTATGTACGTGTGTGTATGCATGTGTTGGGCAACGTCTCCACAAGACCTTCGTTCGACACTCCCCCTCTCTTGGCTCTACGAGTTTGTCCTGCTCCTCGCCGCCGCGCCGTGCCGCAGCCGCTTCCTGGCTGTCCTCCCGCGGTAATATCTTTTGGGGCTAATAGTTATCATGACGCGGTGCCACCTCGTCAATATCACCCAAGGTACCACTGGTGGAGCCGTACCACTGGTAGTACGGGTGAGAGCCCAAGCTCGCTGTCTAATCGAGGCCCGTTTGGATACGATTGCCGTATCGGGTATTCAAGCACAGTGAGGACAGTACATCATAGTGGCTACTACTACCGTACATGACTTGGTGACTCGACTAGATGGGGAAGGGGATGATGGTTGGCGTTCACATAGCCTATCATGCATGGCTTCTCGATCATACATAGTACTATAGCTAGCTACCTAGCCCTGCCTTGCGATAACATCACAGACACACACGCGCCTTAGCTATGATAGCTACTGTACATAAGAACCCGGGGTAGATGCGCACGATAACTTGAATTTTAACGCTAAGTGTCCCAGTTCTGCACGCTGTCAAAGCGCGGCATTTGGTCGACGTCGAACATGGCGCGTTCGACGATGACGATTTCGAGCTGGGGTTGGGGCGGCGGCGGCGGCATGGCGTTAGCCGCGTCATCCACTGCTGTTGCTACTGCTTCCTGTGGTGGTGGTGAGGCAGGATCTGGTCCGATCACGGCAATCCCCAGGATCGAGTTATATGCAGTGGTCAGATAGTGATGCGGTCTTCCGTTGGGTTTCTGGGTGTTGTTGCCTTCGGTTCCGCCAGCGATAGTTTGCCCGCTGCCATCGGTGTGGCGGCGCATGGCTGCGAGAAGGTCGTCAGCCTCGGCTTGGTGCATGCCTTTGTTGTCGTCATCATCACCTATGGTAGCGTCCATATTCACCATTTCTTCATCGCCACTGTCATTCTTGAACTTGTAGATGTCTCTTCCGAGCCCGCTGGGCCGCTCCGAGGGGATTATCTGGTCGCCTGCGCCCGTGGATTTGTGTGCGTGGCGGTGACGTCGTCGTTTCTTGTTTCCGTCGTGTGGTGTGCTCTGATCTGGCGTATCCTCATCCAATAGATTCTGTCTCTTTTTACCGTTCTTGCTCTTCTCTGATGTCTGCTGTACACCATTCTCGATGGGCTCTAGGACTTGGTACTTGCCTAGAGTGGTTTGCTTTCCGGGCTTAGCATCCTTACGGACCTTTGGAGCCTTTCGATCTTCATTCCGCGACAGATCCCGACTCATGTCGAACATGCATAGATAGTTGTGGCTGTAAAGCCATAGTCGCTCACCTCGATTTTCTCGGTCGGTGACATCCCAGAAACAGCCCGTCACGCGGCCTTTCAGCCGTGTAAAGGAGTAAGGTAAATACCGTGAAGGGTTGCGACGCGTCCAGTCACTGAGGGTGCTTGACATGGCATCAAACTCTATTAGTTGATGGCTTGCCGTCACAGCAACGAGTTTCGCGTCCGCTATTGGGAATTCATGAGTGACAGGATGTGGATTATTTCGCGTTGCGTGGAGCCCGAGATTAGCATTGGGTGATTGAGGTGATTTGTGGAGAGAGGGCCGGAATGAAAGTGCTAATATGGCCGAGTCAAGTTTTGGTAAGCTGGAACCAGATGGGTTGCGAATCCACTTCTGGCCATGGACTACTGGAGCAATGTCTTCATCTTCGTCATCATCGGAAGAGCTGTCCGATGAGGAATCTGAAGAATTGTCGAGTTGGTCAGGAGTCCTTTCAATGAAATCCAGATCCTCATGCCCCTCGAGGACCCAGATATTAATGGCACCGGAAAGGTCACCGGCGGCGAGGATTCGGCTGTCACTGGAGAATGCCAGTTGCGCAATAGTCATTTGGAAATTCCCTAGAGATGTTTGTGATTGCGATCGAGTTTCTCGATAGAGCTTAGTGCTCTTGGTATGAACCGTGACAGGGTCCTTTGGATTCGATGGCAATATGATCTTAGCCAGGACAACCGTATTGTCGATGCGGACAATATACAGCCACTTCCCATCAGGAGTGAAGCCGGCTAGTCTCCCACCTCGTTGGGCAATTGACGGTGGAAGCTCAACGGGACGTGTCCGAATTGCTTGTCTTCCAGACACAATGGTCTTCCGCAATTGGAAAACCTTCGTATGATCACTGGTAACGGCAATCATCAACTGACCATCACTGGCTAGTTGGACATCTTGAATATTTTTATCACCCTTCAAAATCACTTTCGTCAGGGGCTCATGCGCTGGCTCCTCAGGCTCTAGTAAATTGTGATTGATGATGTTCTGTGATGAATTTCGCTGCGAAGATATATGGTACACAGCAATCTCTCGATTCCACCAGGAGATGAACAATCGTGACTTGTTTGATGCTGCTATTTGTGGCCTTTGCGGTAGATGGGACAGAGTAAGATGTTTCTCGCTCTGCGATCGTCTGATAGGAGTTACAATTGGTGTCGCGTCCATACCCCCAGATACGAGTACACTCAAGTCTGTGCTCTCGAAAGTGGCGGCACACTTTACATCATGCTTGTGATATCTTCTGTGAGAGACCGCAGCCCAGCTTGTCGTTTTCCGGGATGCGCTCGTGTCGATGGGTTTGTAAAAGACGGTCCTTCGGTCCACGCCAAGTGAAAATAACATATCTCCCGCGGCATTGTTGGCAATTTGTAGGATGTCAGCATCATGAGTCTTGAGCCGTTGAACGAGCGAATAGGTGTGAGCATCCCATATCTTGAGTTCCCCGGATGAATCTCCGGAAACTATTGTTCCGTTCGGCAGACATTTAACGGTCCACACGAGGGAATCAATATTATTAGTAGTATCGAGAGGCTTGCCCAGACTCATGTGCCGAATAATTGTCCTGGTGGGCACGTTGATGACCCGAATCGTGCTGTCCTCGTACCCAGCAACTATGGTGTTGCGATCACGCCATGTTAGACTGAGGACCCTTGGTTTCTTGGTGGCTGGTGGCGGGAGAGCTTGAGCATAGCGCAAATCATTGTCTGCAGTAGTGAACAAGACGATTGTTCCAGTGTTACAGCCAGCTGCGAGTAGTTGTGAGGGCACAGGATCTTCGCCTGGAGATTTATCGTGTGGCTGTGCAGCAAAACACCAGATGTCTCCAAAGTCCCCTTCGACTTGTCGCTTAGGAACGCCCGTGTTCAAGTCCCATTCTATCACCGATGTAGACCCCCCAGTGCTAAACAACCGAAGTGGTCCGCTCTCATCAGCATCAACGACATCCTGGGTCCAAGCTACTTGCTCAATAATTGTGTCTGACGTGCCCTTGAGGATGACTTCCTGGGTCCAATTACCATTTAGAGGATTCCAGATCTCGAGATCGCCATTATTACGACCGACAGCGAGGCGTAGATCGGAGGGCGATTTGTGGTTGGGATCGGAGGGATGTGAGAAAGAGAGGGAGTTGACAGGTTGGGGAGGATATGGGACGAAGCGACAGCGGTGAATGTCCATGGCTAATGGTACGCATGCGCAGTCGAGGCAGAAATGGTACTACCGTACAGTACAGCTGTTGAGATTGCTCGGAATTTCCATTGGCATTGCGGCGCAGCCTCATGCGTTGAAGTTTACCTATACGATTAGAAAAAAGTTCGATATTTCGGGGCACAAATTTCTGAGCACCGACAATCGATAAGGCGGTGGCCCCAGAATGGTTTAGTGCGGCTGGAAGCAGGGAAGTAGGAGCCTGCGTCAGAGGTTTGGGGGAGGAAGCGGCTAGGTCACCCGCAAGTCCCGTCGTCACTGACTCATCAACAACAGGTTTCCAGGGGTGCCAGGGGGTGCCAGACACCCCCAGAGACCAGGCTGGCCGCCGGGAAGCACCCTGAAGCAAGAGCGCTTCGGGGCTGCTACCGTTTGTGAAAACTGATGTGGAAGAAGACTCCTTAGGGCTTGTGATTGCTTTGCTTGTCCCATTACTATTCTCTACCGACACCACGACGAAGTGCTCCTCAACATCACGCCATTTCTTGAATCCAAATCTAGCCGATGCATGTGCAAAATCCTTTCATGACCCAGTGGTAAATTGGAATCAATACTCCTTTGGTAAAACTCGAGGCAGGATCTGCAGCCCCTACCGAGCTAGAAAATCACCATCTCCTTCCCAGTATACCGCTTACCCACGCTGGGTAACACTTGCGCCCTATAGGCATTGAATGAACCCCTTGAGCACCTGGCTTGGTCGACGAAGCCTAAAGAGCCTAAGAGCCGGGGGAGACGAGGCCGAGGGGCGCCGCCGCGAGCAGCCAGGCAAGATATTGCTCCTGGCCAAGCTTTGGTGGGCAATGCATGTCTGACACCCGCTAGGAATACTTGTAGAACTTACCTCCATGGTTAGGTACCGTAGGAGCTTAACTACCGCCAAGCAGACCCAGCCTACTCGGTTGAAATCACTAACTCCCTCAGCCGCTGACCTCCTGTCTGTTAGAAGCTTCAGTCTCGTCTGAAGTGAGCGCGATTGAGACGTCCCGTGCTCCTCCTAGCAAAGCGTGGATAGGCTAACGCTCTCGGCCATGTTGGCAACAAGTCGAAAACAGATCCAGACCCCGACGTACCCAGAATCGGTACTCAGGTATTTAGGCACAACCTGCTCCGTACTTCGCAATTTGTTTCATGCTGTAAGCTCTCGGACAGGCTCGCTTAACCCGCCACGATCCTGCAAACTACCATTTACCGTTTCTCTGTTCCGACTCGTGACCGACGGTCTCCTGCGAGAGAGGACACTGATCTCAGTTCTGATATGGATTCGGAAGATGACTAAGCCCCAAGAGTCGATGTCCTGAATCCATAAGAATCAACACCTATCTGCTAGTTTTCCATTGCCGGCTCCAGCGGTCGGAGGTTGTCTTTAGCAGATTAGTACTGAAAATAGAAACCCATCAGGCTTTCGATCGGTAACCTATCATGCTCAACGACCTGTGATTCGGAGGACCCCGGGTCCATGACATGGTGCAAATCGCTTGTTGACCACGAGTATGGCCACCTTTGTCGATTACAATGTGTCCACTTTCAGAGATAATTCTAAACCAAACAAAAGACGACTTCAAGAACTGCAACACACTGAAGCCAGAGCTCATGCTGCTCGAGTTGCATATTGGCGCAAAAGAAAGCCAGGTCCTCGCTCACAACCGAAGGGGACACGCGAAACTAAAGAAGACCATTCTGATTCTTGTTTCGACGACTCATCCGTTCTCACATCCAGCGAACAGCATGATTCACATTCAGACTCGCGAAGACTCAGCACAGAATGCCCGTCTGATCCCGGCCCAGCAGCTGTGAGGGCCTCAGACAATGCTCTATCGCTCAGGAGTTCTACGCAGTCCGCCTCTTCCAAAATAAGTGAAGCAGGACATCGGCCTGATTTGAAATTTGGAGACTTGAATTCTTTCTTCCAGCTCACCAGTCACCCTAAATCTCGACTCTTCGACCCCTTCGATACCGTCCCTTCCCGACAAGGTGAAGAAGTTGTTACAGCCATGGACCACTGTGATTACTTTGTCTCCATTTTAGATTTTTTTCCCCTCTGACAGTATTTAGTTATCCACCACTGGGCTCCCTCTCAGAGGCCCGGTTTGAAATTCCAAACCAAAGACAACCCGTTAATTCGAGACGTCTTCCCTGCTGCACTTCAGAATGTGGAACTCTTCGAAGCCTCTGTTGCTCTATGTTTAAGTTTCAAGGCGGCTGGGTCAAATTTCACAACCTACCTATGCAACGCTTGTCTCCATCACAAGGGTCAGGCATTGGCTGGCATTAGAAATAAGTTGATGTCAGGGCGAGTTGATGAGGCTGTCATCTTTGCTACGGTCCTCCTCATGATAATTGATGTACAAGCCATCCACTGTTGCTTGATCGCACTCTCTTGCTGACCATGACAGAATGTATTTCTAGACGTCGATGCGTACAAAGCTCACCTAGAAGGCCTCCGCAAGATGGTCGGTGCTTGTAATTCTTCCATTCTAGAAGCATACGGAGGCACCTTAAAGTCCTTCGTGGCATGGTAAGGCGAAAGACATCGAATGTGTTTCCATTTCTAAAAGTAGATATAGGGCGGAATCAAATGCCTTGGTAATATTTGGAAATCCTAACTCGCCTCCAACGGCTTCTACAGCTGGGTCCAAATTGGAGTACTATGCTCAGCCCTTCCCGAACATTGTGAATGAGAAACTGTCGAAACTCACACCAGGATTCCGAGACATGGTATCTGAGGGCCATCTCTCAGTTCATGTGCTGACTATCCTCGTAAACACCATCCGATGGACAAGATGTATCGGACCCGAAGCTACTGATACAACTTCCGACGATGACCAGAAATTCCTGATAGACTTTGACCCCAGAGCGAATACTGCCATGGTGATGGAACTTTGCCGGACGTTGGATCAGCAACGGTACATAGAAAAGGTGCTTTGTAAGGCGCTCTTCATTTACTATGCTAACATACTGCATTGGACCTGCCGCTGTTCAGGATATAAACGGGTTACTAGCGAGCTTGCCGACAACGTCCTCTCAGCTCGGCCGCAGAAACCATGGGAACTGGCCTTTTGGTCGTGGATGTCACTCCTTATTACGAACGCAGCAAGAAGAGGCTCACTGCCACAACTTCAGTCGGACACCATGAACAAGTTCTTTAGCTGGATGGGTCGTAATCAAGATTGGGACGAAATCATGGACACGTTGAAAGCATTCGTGTTTCATGACGGTTTGGGTGGCGAATGGAGGCTCTGCTGGTCGGCAGGGATGAGCCATATCGTATTATAGCATGTCATCTCTGAGCCAACCATCTTGGGTCGTCTTTCAATCTCTTTATCATCACCACGGAGCCAAAGAGATGCATTCATCCTGTCGTCGGGATGCGATGAAGAAAGCTATACAGACAAGTAGAAGCACACAAGAATAGATACGAATCTCCTTCCCCCCTCCTACATGTGCAGGTATATTAATGAAGCATCATCCTAGCTCTTCGAATACAACCCGCAGTTGCAGTGGATGAGATGAATTGCTCGGACAGAAGGACAAAGCCCTCGAATTGCGGTGTTGGTCACGTGTTTGACATCTGGAACTTAAGATTACCCAATTGACTCGGAAAACCTGCCTTGTTTGGCCCGGTCATCCCGGTCTGTCGGCGATGTTTTTGTTCGGCGGGCGACGTCCGGATATCGCGTCCCATTTCTGACCCGAAATTGCCTGACTTCATCCTCTCAGTAATGTGGCAGTTCTTCTGACGACTTGAAATCGCGCTGTTGAACCTCGTGCAAGCGTTGCACCTGGTCTGAGAACGCAAAATGAGCGAAGTTCCCACTCCACAGTCTGTTCCATCCTATTGGCCACTTCAGCAACGGGCACTAATTGAGGCGAACAGGAGCGACTCCAAGCAAGTCAAGAGGGCATGTACAGAATGCCGCCAGCAGAAGGTGGCCTCTTAATCTGTCTCAGATATATTAAAGAGTTTTGCTGATTCGACGCGTCCTCAGGCAAAATGTGACGCATATTTGCATCCCAATAAACCCTGTTCAAGGTGCCGAAAAATGAACAGGCACTGTACAATATCAGAGCCTTTCAAAAGAGAGCACAAACGCAAGTTAGTTCTAACCTTCTTACTCCACGGTCTTAAAACGCAGTTCTTACGCGATCGTAATCCCAGGCGAATGTCCGAGCTTGAACAGCAGACCGATGAACTCCAGCAACGGCTAAGATCATCTAGCCAGCCAGAGCCGCAAGCCTTGCCCGAGCGTTCCTGGAAGTCCGTTAACAGCGTCAGTCATACGGCTGAAGCTGAAAGTCGCTTGGCTTCTGTGGCGCCCTTCTTCAGAGATGCGACAATCGCACCAACGTCCTTTCGATCATTATCTCATGCCGTTGAGAGTCTCCAAACTCCCGAGAGCCTTGCACAGGACCCACAGTCAGCTTTGACCTTACCACGAATTCTGGATGGCCAAACCATCAGCTCAAGGGATATCGATGAGCTCTTCCAACTGTAAGCGTTCCGGTAAACTGTATTTCCTAGTCCTATCTGACCTATGTGTTCTAGATATTTCCGAGACTATGCCACCTTCATGCCCATACTTGACCCTTCCATGAGCCCAAATGCATGTTATGCGCTCTCACCATTCTTATTCTGGGCCATTGTGGGTGTTGCTTGCCGCTCATATTTAAGAAACCCAACTCTACTTGGTTTCATGCCAGCCAAGATCCACAACATGGCCCTACTGACACTCAATTCCACAGTTACTTTGCAAATAGTTCAAGGCTTGCTCCTTCTGCTCTGTTGGCCATTTCCAAAAGTCAGCACCGGGCACGATCTGGGTTACCCTCTCACAGGTGCCCTGGTACACATGGCCACACAAATGGGCCTTCATCTACCGGTTTCGAGCCAGGAATTCAGCAGAGTTCGTCTCAAACTGGATGAAGAGGAGATCAAGAGACGTGCTGAGACCTGGGGTTATTGCCAACTGATCTATATGAGGCAAGGAAATTGACCCGAAAGTTCCTCTCACCGCTGACCTCACCTAGATCTTGCCTATCAAGGGGCAATCCAATATCAGCTATTTTCGATATTCCTCATGATCCTGACCAGAAACGAATTCTCTACGAGAAGATGCCAGCAAGTCTTAAGTTTGAGCTCAAACTTCAGGATGTCATCACAAGATGCTGCATAGCTGCCTCTCAGAATGGTCTTCGTGTTATGACACTAGACCAGGAAAGATCACTGGACACTCTATTGAGTCTTTTTCAGGCTCAGATTGTGACCATTAGTCTGGATCACCCGTCAAGTAAGCATCTGTGCCCTACACCGAAATTTCTTCTTTACATCGCTGACAACTTCAAAGTTCATGATCAATTCTACGTTCGAGTAGCGACGTTATATGTGCAGAGCTTTATCCTCTTCAAAGCCCCCGCGTCGCAGGACCCGCAGTCACTTTACGATTTGTGCGTTTCCGCATGTCAAGTTGTCGAATCGTTTGAAATCCTGGAAAAGAGTGGCACGATGAATCTACCAGCGTCTGGAATGTACGCATACTACAACATTATGCTGCCATGTCACGTCTTGTTGAGGCTGCTAAAGACCTCGTTCTCAACCTTCGTCGATGTTGAAAGAGCGAAAGCAGCACTGTTCCTCGGAATCAGCCTACACAAGCGCATGTCTTTACAGAACGATGACCTGCCAGCCAGAAATGGCGCGGCTCTCACAAATCTGTGGAACAGCAGCCGAGCTTTCAAAAAACCCAATGGTTCCGAGGCCGTGGGGCTGAGAGTTCGTAGCCGTTTGTTGGGAAGCATTCTCCTTGACGGGGTTCTGTGGTGGAGAGAGGAACACGGCGCCATGATGGGGGTTTATGCACCACCGTTGAGCGAGCCCAATGGTCTGTTGTTCCGATGAATTGTTGCCTGTGATTGGATACATGCTAACTTCAACAGACGAAACTCAGAGAAATGATGACGCGAATGGACTTCCACTCAGCGATGCCTCGACAAATGGCATTATCAAACAAGACTTCTCCACTTTCTTGGACGACCCTATGTTGATCGAGTTTGGATGGTCTATCGGTGATGACATCTTCTCTCCTGCATGGGCCGATGCGACTATCGCCCCGTTATGAAAGCTCATCGTGATATAGATCGGCCAAGATGTCTACTCATGCAATGCCAGTAATTTTCGGTTTCGCTCTTCAGAATTCAAACTATGGGTGGGCATTTGAACCAAAGTCACCATTATTATCGCCACTCTACCATTTATTTTCATACACCCCGTACCAGAACCCCCAACCCACAACTTTGCCTCGAATCTCGTCCAGGATCTCCGGTTTTGTCGCCACAGGTGAGAGGCGGCTGGTGTCCAGCTTCTCCTTCAAGGCCACAATTTGATAGAAATATCGATGTCCACCGTGCCCGACAGGCGGACGGGCTCCACCATAGACCGTTCCCAGGGCGTTCTTGCCCAGCCGAAATCCGCCTTTCAACCATTTGGCTTTGTTGCGAGCACCATTATCATGATTGGCAGATTTCACCGACACAGTCGAGTCAAGGCTGATGTCATCCGAGGCAACATGCGTTTTCTCCGGCGGAATGCTGTAGTATATCCCATGGAGAGAGACCATATTCGGGATCGGCGCGTCGGGATCCTCACAGATGAGGATGTACTCCTTGATCTCGTCCTTCGCCAAGATTGAGGAGCCTGCCTGCGGCGCGAGCGACCACGTCAGTTCTGGGAATTTCGAGCCGCCGAACATGCTATACTCGTTCCCCATCTGTGCGCCTTCGGGTCCGATCTCTGGTGCCACGACGTCGATGTTCCGAGGGATGGCCTTGAAAGGCTCTTGTTTCGTGAAGAGCAGGGAGTCATGCCCCTTGACGTTGTAGAGCAGCCGTCCAAGGAAGTATTCGATGTATCGTAGGACCCTAGCCATGATGGGACTGTCTGACTTGCTCGTGTCAGGCGGAAATGACGTGGATGATTGATGGATGATGATGATGGTGGTGGTGTTTTTCTTCGGCTTGCACTTGTATCCTCGACTAGAAATGCGTTTGTTAATGCAATTAGATGCGATGCGATGCGATGCTGCAATCGCTGATATGTGACAACTATTTCCACTGCTCGTCTCCGTTTGATTCCCCAACTTGGCAGATTAGAGATTCGTCGACTTTTGCCTCTCGCCCCAGGTGACATATATTTCTTCAGCGACTTGGGCGCGCCCAACGATCTGCGCAGGGAACGTTTTCTCGTGAATATCTGTGCAAGCAGGGCTAGGCTAGAGTTCTTTAACAAGCAGCGGTTTGAATTTCAGGAAGGACCGCTTCAAAGGCACGAGCCAGAGGGAAAAGCCACCCAGCTATGTACGACCGGTATAGGACCCACGGACCTCTGACACTGCGAGGCAAGACAAAGCCTAGTTCACACATGCGCATGGCTTCTGGCACCGGTGGAATCGTCTTATTTCCATGTTCCCTCATTATCTCCGGACACCCTTGCATGGTCCTTTCCACTATCTCCGCCGTATCTGTATGATTGACTCGAAAGGGGCCCGGTCGGTGTCGATGAGGCAAGCGAGGAACTGGGGGCCGGGGCAGAGCCAGCAACAGCCCCAGCTCCGGACCGGTCGACGAACGCAGAAAGCTTGAAACGGCAGGCCTGTCCAATGGCGTTTGCATCTGTCAGTGCGTCGACCTACCTGCGCGAAGTTGGGATTGTCACCCAATCAGAGTCCATGGCTGACGGGGCCGCCCGGGATCGACCTCGAATACCGGCCCTGAACCGGCGCCCCTATGCCTATCTAGCTAGCTTTTAATTTGGTCAGCCACTGTACAGCAAGGCCTTCTTCTCTTTGGATCCAGATTTGTTTGTCTTCATGGCTTGATTGGATGGGACCTAAGTAAGGACCGGTACATGCACGCAAGCGGATCATATCCACGGCGCCAGTGTGGAGGAACTTTACCAGGGCGCGCGGTCTCTTTTGGTGATCAACGGAGTGTGTTCTCCTGAGCACGCTGAGTGGATTTGGAGGAGCATAATCCAAAATTGCAATGCTGTGTTGATAAAAGCTTGCTCGGAACAGCTTTGCTGACTTTGCACCGCCGCGCTCATCACTGACTTGGGTTGTTCCTTTCAGTCGGGTCAGAACCGGGGGGTGGAAACTTATATTTTAGTGTTACGTAACTTTCGGCGGCTATGATGGCTTTACATGAAAACGTTCAGCCCAAGGAATCTATAGAGGGAGACGGCCGGGAACATCACCTTGATGAGAAAGACGGGGGCAACGACGAAGTGTTAGTTGGAGCCGCACCAGTTTCAGAAATCAATCTCGAAGAACAGCGAGATCAACATGATCCAACAAAGTCTTCAGCCTCGGCAACGGAGCCTCCATCAGAAAGTCCAGGAGGTCTTCATCAGCAGCAGTACTCGGTATACAGCACCAACGAGAAGCGACTGATCATCTTCGCGGGCTCTCTGGCAGGGTTTTTCTCGCCCTTGTCATCGAGCATTTATTTCCCGGCGCTGAACACCATCGCTGCGGCGCTGCATGTGTCGGGTTCGAAAATCAACCTGACGGTCACATCGTACGTTATCCTCCAGGGAATAGCGCCTATGATGATTGCAGGATTCTCGGACAACGTGGGCAGACGACCGGCGTATGTGATCTGCTTTACGATCTTCATGTTTGCGAATCTTGGACTGGGGCTGCAGAATAGCTATGCGGCGTTACTTGTCCTCCGTTGTCTGCAGAGCGCTGGCAGTAGTGGTACGGTTGCATTGGCGAATGGGCTTGTGGGCGATACGGTGACGTCGGAGGAGCGAGGTGCATATATTGCATTTGCGTCGCTGGGTGGGCTGCTCGGGCCGGCGGTTGCGCCCATCATCGGTGGCGCGATCAGTCAGACGCTCGATTGGCACTGGATCTTCTGGATTCTTCTCATCTTTGCCGGGGTTTTCTGCGTTCCGTTGTTCCTGTTCTTGCCGGAGACTTGTCGCAAGGTTGTCGGGGATGGTTCCATCCCCCCGCCCAGGTGGAATTGGTGCCTGACTGATAGTATTCGCTACCGACGTCGGCAGCAGAAGGGGATCGAGATCGACAGGGTAAAGCAAGCCCAGCTCCATGAAACATTCCGGTTTCGTTTTCCGAATCCGATACCTACTCTACTTATCATCTTTGATCCAGAGTCACTAATTATACTGGTCGCCACCGGGCTGTGCCTTGCATGTTTCTATGCAATTTCTACGGGGGCAGCGTCGACATTTGGTGATGTGTATGGATTTGATGATATCAAAATCGCACTCGTATTTATCCCCATAGCGGTTGGAGGCGCGCTTTCGGCGCTTACAACAGGGAAGATGATCGACTGGAACTATCGCAGATATGCTCGCAAACGAGGCATTACCATTGTCAAGGGCGTCCGTCAAGATCTTAGCGAATTTCCAATCGAGAGAGCCCGCATGGAAGTGGCCATACCGGTGAGCGTTCTCACTGCGGTGCTAATGATTGGGTATGGGTGGGCAATCGATCAAAAAGTCAGTTTGGCCGGGCCTATGATATTGCTGTTTCTGGTAAGTTTACCCACCGTTGATGCGCGCCTCTCGGAAAGCTGGTGGGGGGATGCCCATCTTGAAGATTATCAACCACTGACTTCGGCGCAACATTCTAGCTCGGATATGCAACGATTGCGACGTATCAGACATACAATGTGCTGATGGTGGACATCTGGCCGGAGAAGTCGGCGGCAGCATCAGCCGCAAACAATTTTGTTCGATGTAGTCTCGGGGCAGCGGCATCCGCAGCGATCGACCCCATGAGCAAGGCAATGGGCAGAGGCTGGGCATACACGACAGTAGCACTGCTCCAGGCAGCAGCTGTGCCCTTTCTAGTTGTGTTGATGTCACGTGGGGTGCAGATGAGGAAAGCTAAGGCGGAGAGGCGCCTTCGCAAAGAGATCCGTAAGGAGGGAGACAGGGAGGAGGCCAGGGAAACCTTGAACCAGAGTATCCTAGCGAGTAGAAAACATCCGGCCGGCGGTCCTCAGTCCTGACCAAGCCGGGTGAAGTCGTGTTGACTTATCTGAGGGCCAAGGACTGCCGCGAGACCCACGATGCGTGGAAGTCTCTGGAACAAAGCGGATTGCATCTTGAAGCTATATTGGTTGACGCACTCGATGGACCAAGCAAGATTTGCGAGCGTTGAAAGGATTGGGAGTTGGTGGCTTGGTGGGGAAAGTGGGATAAGGACAGGAATGACGGCGTCTGACGAGAGGATGTGAAGTCACACGTGACTTGACATCAGCACTCGTCACCAAAGAAGTCACCCAGAAGGGGCAAACTTGGTCATTATAAAGGGATGCGCCCGTTTGTCAGACGTAACTCCGCTTCCTCTTGTAGTCAGTACGCACCGTAGTTCGTATGTCAAAAATGTCTCATCTGTCACCGGCCGTGGAAATGTCAGACGCGGACGCCACTCCGAGGAAATGACGATGGATGGGCGGGGGCATCTGCCTAAACTTGGGGTCGGATCTGCCAAGAACGCCTGTCAGTCGTCGTCATTTTGGCTCTTATGACCCAATTTCGAACGAGGACGGAGAACCGAGCACGCGCCCTCGTCAGTTGCGTCATGCACCGTCCTAAACGGTACTGTACGGTACGGAGGACTCCTGCGTCACAGTTACCCACCTGCCAATTGCAGCCATCCACCGAGTTTTGGCCCCTGGGCCCAATCTCACAAATACCACACTGTGTTCCTCGTACTCCGTACTCCGTACTGAATGTTCAACAGCCAGGCAAAAAAAGCCAATTATTATTCCTATTATCTCGAGGGGCCATTCCCGTTCCCTCGTAGGCTGCCCGCTGTTACCTACTTCCATCCCGCCGGCTTTCGCTCAAGTCCAAGTAGCGGTCGGTTGGGTCCTGGTCAGCTCGATCTTCTGTACCAGCTATTCTCCCTAACAGCTCTATCCTTGTCGCTCAGAGGCGCCCCGACCTGAGTGAGCTCACTCGTCCGGAAACCAGATGAGAACCTGATCGCCCACTACTGACCACCGATTGTCCTGCGCTGCTAGCTACAATAGCCTTCTCTCGTCCGTGGTTCGGCCATGTGCAACTTCGTCCACGCAGAAATAGCCTCATGCTTACCGGACTGAGTTTCTGACAAGTTCCAGCGACGACGACTACATAAACACCTCACTCCCACTCCCCAGTCCTATATCCGTGTGAACCGCCACCGTTCCACCCGAAACTCGTCTCGCATTCCAACCACAACACCCTGAACACCCTGAACACCCTGAACACCCTGGGTGCACCCTCATCCAACCCTCGACCCTAAACTGCTTACCTAAACTGCAAACTCTGTATTGACGTCCTTGAGCCGACACTTCCGTATTTTTTCAGCTTCCTCCGCCCGCTTCTTCCAGCCTCATCAAAATCTCAACCTCACCCCTTCTTCTCAACAAACACCCGCCCCCGCCTGCTGGACAACTCGCGCTCTCTAACCTGCCAGGTATCTGCCTAGCCTTGGAATGGCCTTCGATTTGCTTTCTCGGTAATTTTCTCTCCATCAATCCCCCCTCAGCAACCCGGCAACATGCGGCCTAGTTTACTCAAGAGAGCGCGAAGCCACACCAACCGTCAGTCTATCAGTGATATGTTGCATTCTCGCGGAAGCTCGCCACACCCTCAAGCCGACACTGTCTCCGGCCATAAATTGATCGAAGAGGAAACTCTGCCCAAGTACAATGCCGACACTTTTTACCCTGCTCGTCTAGGAGAAGTCCTCCACGACCGGTACAAGTTAGTCGTCAAGTTGGGCTTCGGCATGACAGCCACTGTCTGGTTGGCCAAAGATCTCCAAGCGTAAGTCAATACTTTTCCCATGTCCAAGCAATCATTTCGAGCCCTGCTCACCAGCAAACAGTTCTCCAAATTCAGGCAATCGTAAATACGTTACCATCAAGATTAACGTCAACACGTTGACCGATGACTATCTAAAAGGTCGGAGAGAAATAGCCCAAAAGCTCTTCTCTGCAAACCCCCAGCATGTAGGCTACACCCACATCAGATTCATGCTCGACACATTCAAAATCAAAAGCAAACACGGTTCTCATCTGTGCATTGTCTACGATGTCCTACGAGAGCCCATCGACCTTTGTATGGAGAAATTCCCGGGCCGACGCTTCAGTTGCGAGAAAATCCGGATCCTGTTGCCCGCTTTACTTACAGGTCTTGACTATCTTCACTCCGAATGTGGGGTGGTACACACCGATCTCAAAGCTGACAACATAATGATGGGTCTTGGCGATCCGACTATCCTGGATCGATTTGTGCAGCACGAAATCGAACATCCATCTCCGCGAAAAATGCCCGACTCGCACGGACGTATCATCTATACCTCGTGCAGCGATTTTGGCGAGGCTCCAACACATGCAGTCATTGCCTCTGCCAAAATCACCGACATTGGCCTCGCAGTGTTCGGAGACGAGAAGAACACCAAGCCCATCCAATCCAATGCATTTATGGCCCCTGAAGTCATATTGCAATGTGGTTGGTCATATCCAGCAGATATATGGAATCTGGCAGTCATGCTATGGGATTTGTTTGAGAACTTTGGTCTATTCGACTCCATCGATACGAGACCAGGCCATTACCAGCCAGCGAGACATCTTGGTCTGATGATCGCATTGATGGGACCTCCTCCAAAGGAGTTTCTCAAGCGAGGGGCAAAGTCTCATCAATTCTTCGACTCGCAAGGCGAATTCAAGTATCCAGACTACATCCTGAAAGATCTCGACTGGGACGCATCCGTGTCGCGCCTGCGAGGCGAAGAAAAAGATCTTTTCATCGACTTCGCCAAGAAGATGATCACTTGGGTTCCTGAAGAGCGGTGGACGGCCAAGCAGCTCCTCGAACATCCATTCTTGACCAAGGAGCGCGATCCCAACTATCTCACGCCAACACCGAGTCTCAGCCGCGCGTCGACGGCATCAATGGGCTCTATCATCCCCTCACGAACAGCCACGCCCGGGCCGCCACCGACCTCCCACCCAGCACCGGCACTGAGCAGCTCCATGCTCTCTGTGCCATGCAACACAGGGTCTTCAGCCGCAACATCCAAAGGCCTCGAGAGAACATCCTCACGCCCCAGTACACCAGCGAAAGACAACGAACTGGATCTATCACGCCCCCCTTCACGAGCATCGACTTTCAGCACCAACTCAGTCACGCTGACCTCTCGGCCCAAGCAGAAAGAACGCGCTTCCAGCGACACCACCACCCTCTGCCCACCACCAGCCACCATCAACACGGACAATAGGTCCTCTCAAGATCTCATCGATTCCATTCTGAAGAGAGGAAAACAAGGGAACGGAAAAGCCAACGGGAAAGTCCACCAGGACCCCATCGAGGAGGAACCAACTTAAGACGGTTGCAGAAGAAAGATTTTTGCTCGCCGATTGAATCTCCTACGCGTTTTGACTGCTGCGGACGCAAGCAAGCCTAGGAGTTGGACTCTACACACGAAAACATGCCTCTTCACATCGAAGACCAGAACGAAAAAATACCAACGATTACGACGACGAGAGAGATGCGTGTACGAGGTCTCGCTTCCCCAGAATTTGACCGTCCACAGGGACTGGTACGGTTGGGATTCAACCCAGCAACATCATTCTAAGCAGGTTCAACGACTACCACCCAAAAAGGGCTCCATCATTGCGCACCGTGGTTCTTTCAGGACTAGGAAGTGTTTCCGAAGACAATGGAAAGCAGATCAAATCCGCCAACGTTTGAGCAATGTGTGGGGTTTGCAAGCGACCACTGAAAGGGAGTGATAGGAATTGCCCGAGTAGCACATCCAGCGAGACGCTATTTTACCTTCAGCGTCGGGTCCCTACCCCCATGTACTCCTGGTTATCTTGCTGTCGTTAGTTGAGCTTGGCGAAACTAGGAAAGCAGGAATTCATGTAGGATTTTCCGCACCGTTGGCCTCTGGCCGGGTAATCGAGGAAATTTTAATTTGATACTCAGTAGTAGCCTGGTAGCATTCTTTGTTTTATTTTGTTTTTATGTTGCGATGCGCTGCATTGTTGCCAAATGACTCTGTTCGATTTCTGTGCCTGCACAGTGGCTGTGACAACTCAATGTTCCGACTCTATTCCTATTAATCTGCTGCACATCTGAGAGGGGCAGTCCAACTCTTGCTCCACGGATCTGCACGGCTTCCCGGAGAAGGCTGAACAAGTGAAAAGCAAGAGCCAACCCACGCAAGGGATACTCCATATTCCTTCTGCCCGCCTGCATTATCACGCGAGGAGGAACGAAGTGAAGCACACCGCCTTCGGAGTGCAGGCGACCCGTGATACCTCGCACATCCTCGCTGGTAGCGAATAATGGCCAGGCCGCATTTCCAGGACGCACGAGACCAGTTGCCAAGCTGAAGCGAGAGCCATCGGAACAAGCATCTGATGAGCAATGGTGTAGGTGCTTGAGATGCTTAATTTGTGTCTCGCAAGCCCCATGGGCCTCCTACCCAGCCCCCTATGGAGACACTCCGGCTTACCTCATACGTCGTACCAAGTACGGAGTACAGATGGTCTAGCGGCCCTGGGATGCTGATCGCGCTGGACTTAGTTAGTGGTGAACAGGCGGTGTCGCGTCTCGAACAGCAGAGCACCAGCAATTGCTTAGAGACCAGGATTTGTACATATATTTGGGCAACCGAACTCCGAATCTCCACTTATCTAACGCACTCGATATCGTGAACCACAATTCTCCCGCCTGGAGCGTCCAATTGCGAACAGATGTTCGCGACTTCTTCGGCAATCGGTGGACTCAAAAATGGTGCCGGCCGTTCAACGCCGACACTGGAACACTGCTGACGGTGGCTTCAGCCTGAAGACGATGCCTCGGCGGCGGTGTTGAAATAATACTCTCCCCATGACCTCCTCAGCTCTCTCGTAATTTTGGTGGGCCATCACGCCCCATTTTCTAGCTAGCCACCAGTCATACAGTGGTAACGGTCGGTTTTAGTATTGCTTCTTGTATTGTCTTTTGATTGCTGGAAGGCTGCAGGCGTATTATATGGTACTCGTATGCGTGACAGAACTTGGCACCTGCCACATATCACTGTTTGACTGCGGGTACAGGAGGCCTGGTGGCCGTGGCCAATACGTGAGTACTCGTTCGTCGTCAGATAATTTCACTACTGCATTACCGCTTTTCTTGACAGCATACAAATTGATCCAAGCATGAACAACATGGCGGCCAGTGAAGAAGGCTGATGGCCCTTTTGGCGATTCAAGGTTGATGCGGGACGGAGAGCCAGATATCAGACCCCGTGGTATCATATGACTGAGGTCCAAGCAATGAAAATCGACTCATCCACTCAACGACTGCCCTCCATGAAAAGGTGGGACGCATTGTGGGCAACTGCTCCGGTGGTCAATCAACGAAGCAGCAAACGATGCTGCTGATGCGAGTGGGAACAATAAATACCTTGCTTACATTTTGTTCAAGGTCGGGCTACTGCAGCAAATTCGAGCTCTAGATGAATCTTCTCATTCTGAGAGCCGGGCCGCCAGGGGGAAGAGCCCATGATGAAGCCGCGACTCTCACAAAGGATTGCATGGCTCTCAAGAAGAGGCAACTGGGAGGTTTCAGCGGTCCTCCCACGTCAAGGGGGCTTAGCCACGGCAATGCTGCCTCCATTTCTTGAGAAGAGGCAGGATACAATCCCCAGGGTCGGATGGAATCAACCGAAGATCACAGAGGTGCTTCAATCTTAGTTGTGCAAATCCTGCAGCACTTGGAAATCTCAAGAATGGGGCTCTTACACCAGGAACCCCTCGCTTCGTAAACATGACTCTTTCCTATATCTGACTGTTATTCTACTTCCAGACGCCCCTTTGCTGCTGTGATATCCATTCAAACTGGGGCGGCACCAATTACCACTTCCGGCTATCAATCCTTCCCTCATTCCCTCTTCCCAGAACATAGCGAATTTACCTACGAAAGGTTCCATAGTCCGGCAGGTCCATTGCTGTGGCAGGTGGGCTGAAGGAGGCTCCCATGATCTTGTGCAAACGGATCCAAGCCACCACAGCAAGCAAGAAATATAATATGGAAATTCCCCGTTGAGTCTGTGGATTTGCGAGTCCCGGTGCTCCAGGGGCAAGTTTCTGTGCTTTAGCTACGAACGGCCCCATCTTTTTTTCGTATGCCTCAAAGCCGGCGGTATAGTCTGGCCAGTGGTGCACAATCTCTCCAGCAAGAACGTATGCTCCAGCAAGCGCGACGGTTGTTCCCATCCCAGAGATTGGAGTCGGGCAGTATGCTGCATCGCCCACCAGAACGACTCGGCCTCTTGACCAGGTCTCCAGCTTGATTTGTGCAATTTGCTGAATGTAGAAATCATCGGCATCTTGCATCCCCTTTAAAAGCCGGTCTGTTTCCCATCCTGCGTCGCCAAAAAGATCATTCAACAAGGCCTTTTGTTCCCTCTCGGTCTCTTGTTGGGCTTGTTTGAATCGTCTGTCGTCGTGCATTATCCACATCGATGCCCGAGTCACATTTTCGTTGTCCGGTCGCACCAGCAACATTCGACTCTTGGGCGCGTTATACCATCTTGCCCATCCGCTATCAGAAGGTTGCCGGGGCAGAGAAAACCATGCTCCCCACTGCCCAAGTGGCTTGACACAGCTGTCGTTGATGTCTGGGAATGCAATTCTTCTTGTTTTAGAAGACCAGCCGTCGGCTGCAATCAAGAGGTCGAACTTCCTTGTTGGGTGCCCGTGGGTGAACTCGACCTCCAGACCATGGCCCGACTCCTTATATCCCTTGACATAATCGCCGAAGACATATTCCACATCCTTCTTGGTGGCCTCGTACAGGATAATGGCGAGGTCACCGCGCATGATTTCGATCTCCCCAGTAAAACCCTTGCCATCGCCAACTGGAAATTCAGCTCGACCTCGGTCCTGTGCATCAACGAATCTCAAACCCTTTTCATTCGTCTTCTTCGCCCTCACTTCGTCCTGTAGATCCATGCGCTCGATGATGGTCAACCCATGGCCACGAATGTCGATGTTCTGCCCTGATGCACGCAGCTTGGTTGATCGTTCCACAACCGTGACGGTAAATCCCGCTCGATATAGCCAAAAGGCCACCGTTGGCCCTGCAATGCCGGCCCCACTGACCAGAACGTGCGGTTTACCCATGATCTCGTTCACAAGACCGCACGTTTGCCGTATTTCTTACTAGTCAGGTTGTTGAAAATCTTATAGGGTCATTGCACGAAACTGGCGGTGGCTCATGGTGTGCCGACCAAACTCCAGTGTGGCTGGAGAGACCTTTTATTTCCTTGGATTCCTGCTGTGCAGACCCCTCCCTACCAACATTATCCCAGACGTCGGTTGCTACCACTGACTAGTATGTTATGCGGGAACAACAGCACGAGCGCAACTTCGATCACAATGCAAGATAATGACGTAAACACTCGTCTAGTGCTGCCGCAACAATAAACCTCGTTTATTTCAGATGCAGCATAGACGGTGCTAATTAGCTTGTCTACGCTTGACGAAAGGAGACTGGTTTTCTGTCCCTCCGCATCCCGCCTCCTACTAATGACCGGCCAGCTTCCAAACAATCCAAGTATGGTGTCAATCAAAGGAGACATCTTGGCCACTGAATGTAGGACACATTTGCATTTTCTCGGATCTAATCTTATCGTAGCCCATCCTCCCCCTTCGGAAAATTTCCCCCAGCTTCATGCAACATACATTATTGGCAGCTCTCTGTGGCGCTAATGCGTGTGAAAAAGGCTATGGTCTGCCCAAAAAGAACAAAACAAGAAAGGGTATGTTCCTTATGTCCGTGAAGAGGACTACAAAGTCCTTAAGCTTTTATTATCCGTGTGGCCAAGTGAACGTTCTCTCTCCCTTGCTAATGAGAGTTTTCGGCAACGGAATATCCATTCCTCCGCTCTTCCGGTCTCAACCGACTGCCGTAGGCTTGTGATAGTCCAAGACTTTTTCTCAGACTCACCTTCCACTTCCACTTTCACATCCTTTCTTGCTTTGTCATCTCATTGAACTCCGTCGCCCCCAGAACACAGGTCAATACGACTGTGGATGCCAGTCATGCCTGGCAAGAAGGTAGTCGTTGTCGGTGCTGGCCCTGTCGGCTCTCTAGCAGCACTCTATGCCGCCTGTCGGGGGTTTGAAGTCGAGGTATATGAACTTCGCAGAGGTATGCTGGCATTCAGATACTGCTCGCCATGGTGACTGATAAATCCATTTTATGGCAGATTTACGGAATGCTGACACCACTCCACTCAACTTCACAAAGTCCATCAATCTGGCACTCTCTGAGCGTGGTATCAATGCCCTCCGATCTGCTGCCGATGACGTTCTTCTGGACAAGATTCTGACCCAGACAATCCCTATGCATGGTCGAATGATCCACACTCGGTCAGCTACCGGAGCATTGTCTCAACAAACTCAGTTATATGATGTTCATGGCAGCTTCTTGCGGTCGGTCGACCGCGCTGGCCTCAACGATATATTGCTTGATCACTTAGATTCTTTGCCTAACGTCACTTTCTTTTTCCAGCACAAGTTGACCGGCGCAGACTTTTCGCAGAAGAAAGCTTGGTTTGAAGTCATGAACAAGTCCACGCCTTCCTCTGGGCGAGCAAGAGAGATTGAAATAGATTTCGACCTCTTGATCGGCGCTGATGGTGCACATTCGGCCACCCGGTTTCACATGATGAAGTTCGCTCGGATGAACTATCACCAGGAGTACATCGATTGCTTATGGTGCGAGTTCAGAATGCCTCCAGACAAATCAGGCGACTTCGCCATCCATCCGAATCGTCTTCATATCTGGCCTGCGGGCAGTTTCATGTTTATCGCTTTGCCAAATCTCGACAGGTCTTTTGTTTGCACATTGTTCGGCCCGGTCGGCCTTTTCAACAAGCTGGAAGCCGGTTTGGACAGTGATCTTGTTTCAATGTTTGACAAGCATTTCCCGGGCGTGACTACTCACATCAAGCCGGAAGACTTAATCGCCCAATTCAAACGTAATCCACATCTTCCTCTTGTCAATCTCAAATGCTCTCCACATCACTTTGGCGATAGCGTCGTCATTGTTGGAGATGCCGCGAACGCTATGGTTCCGTTTTATGGCCAGGGAATGAATGCTGGCTTAGAATCGGTCAGGGTGCTGTTCTCCAAGTTGGACCAAGCACAGACCACTGCGCAAGGACTTGCTAATTATACTGCGGAGCGTGTGACTGATGCACATGCAATTGCGGACCTGGCAATAGCAAACTATACCGAGATGAGATCGTCAGTCACCTCAAAGTTCTATAAAGTAAGGAAGTATATTGAGGAAAGCCTTGACAAGTACTTACCTTCTCTCGGCTGGGCAACGCAATACTCTCGCGTGAGCTTTAGCAATATGAGATACAGTCAAGTCATTGAGAAATCCCAGCGTCAGAAACTCATTCTGACATGGGCGTTACGCGCTACAGTACTTGCAGGGTTATACGGCGGCGCTGTGGTGCTCCCCTACCTCTGGTCGAGGCGTTCTCAAACGTTCTTATGGCGCCCTTGAAGCGAGGTTCTACTCCTCTCAGATCGACTTCGAGTAAGCTATGTTCTGGTTCTTCGCTGTACCTTCTACTAGTTGTACAGGCGAGTCTGAGTTCGATATTCACATCCAAGGCACCAAGTCACATGGAAACAGCCTCTCATGCACTTGGGGAAATGCCAAGGCAGAACCTTGAGATTGTTGATAAGTTGCTATTACACGCACTGCAGGACGAGACACTCCTCAGTTATCTTCTTGGTGGGTGTCTATTAGAGCAAGCGCTTTTTTGTAACTTTACAACGGATCTGACTGCAATCGCTCAGATCGCTGAGGTAAAGTGGAAGTGTCTCACTGGTTACCTCGGCCTCCTTCATTCATCCCATCTTCATAAATTCTCTACACACCACAGCTCTTTTCCGAACACTCTCTCACCATCTCACGTCGACCTTGAAGGTGTAGCCACGCTTCTTATTTTCTCGCTGGCTCAATTGATCGCTGTCGCTGTGGCCACCCCAATTCAACCAAACTTCCCGCAAGTCAACCCACAGGCCACAATGTCTTCCGTTGCGTCTGTTGCACCTGTGCCGCAACGCCCTGGTCCCCCGACAGTTTCAAACGTGGAGAGATCTTTGATAGCTCCTGACGAAGTAAGTTCATCCCCCATCATCTCCCTCATCTGCCTTCCTCGACGACTCCAAGCTGGGTCAGTTTCATGGCTCCCAGTAATCTGACCATTACATAGGTCCTCCGCAGCTTTAAACGCCGCAAGGTCTCGTACGAGCGCAAGCACGCTGCAAAGTATGACCCCACCAAGAAGGACATCTACACATTGTCACCTGACGTTCTTCGCGTCATCTACGACAAACTCGATGTGCCAACCCGAGTCTCCTTGTCGTTGACCTCTAAGTTCTTCCTCGAAATGAGCCAGAGAATCAATACTGCTGTCACTGATCTTCCTACCCCTGTGCGCCTGCACCAGAATTGCAAGCATCTTCCTTGCATCTACACTAATCATCTGAGCTCCCGACGTATCCTCCTCTTGATGCTTAAAACGTGGATGCCTCATGGAACCACCCTTTGCTGGATCTGCCTCAAGTACACCAGAACCAGTGCTTCCAAGTGGAAGGTCACCAACCAATTCAACCTCCAAGGCTTTAATCGTATTCGAATCCCAGCTCTAGACGCGCTCAATCTGAAGAAGGTCAAATGCCACGTCGATTGCTTGCCTGCCAGTAACACCAACTTGTCGGGATGGCTCTATCGACGACCAGGTGCGACTGGTGGATTCGATAGCAAGTCTCATGGGGCTGCTCGTGCCATGCTTATCACCCCAGCCACGGATCGCTTGATTGAATATGATGCTGGTGCGGATGACTTGTAAAAGGCTACATCTCGCCCACACTATCTGCGCACCATCATCCTGAAGAGGTTCAGACACAACAACCAATGGGGATTTGTTTATGCGAAGTGTCTACCATATTTGAGGTTGAACAACATTATCATGGACCACGGTCGGCCGAATTGTCTAGTGAGCTATTGAGAAAAGAGCAATTGCTTGTCCCCAGCCCCAACTACAGATGAAAAGAGTTCGGAAGTCAACAGTGGAGGCTATTCTCCGACTCATTCCAGCGACGTAGGATTTTCCGTAGTGCGAGGTTTGTGCAAAACTAATCCCATATCATCCATCAATGACGATAACAATGAAATCATGTCTCTGTCTCTTTCTCTCTCTCTCTCTCTGCCTACGTGTATGGATGCATGCACGCTTGCCTGCCGTTGTTCCATACACATACTATCGTACCCGTACCCCCTGAACGACCAGCGCCTCGTCAAGTCAAGCCAAGTCACGCGCCTGCTCGTGACGTGACAACACATCACGTGCTGCCTGCTGTTCCCTTGCCCTTATGTTACGCACAAGGGCTTCCGTGACAATTATGTCACCAGTGGGAGTCGCGTCAGTAAAAGAGTAGTTCCATGTCTCTCTATGCTCGCGTGTCGTTCTCCCTAGGATGAGCGTCCAATAAATGCCTGCCGCCGTCTCGTTCCGTCACGTACTTTGTTCTCGCGTTATGTGCAGGCCACTGGGTTTCAGATAGTATTAGGCTAAGTTAGGCTAGGTTAGAAGGCAAGCTAAGTATTTAGGAGAAACGGGTTATATAGCTCCTACTCTATAGTTTATAGTATATAGAGGTCGAATCGGTATATATTCTCGCCTATCTAGTAAGTTAGATAAAGAGGCAGGGCTACGTCGCTAGGGGTTCTCTCTCGTCTAAGACCGTAGGATAAGAATTAACTAATACTAAAACTAATACTATAGTAGCTACGTTTAGAATAAAACTTCTTACTTACCTATATTAGTAAAGAGATTATAATACTATAAATCTCTATAGCCTTAAGCTGTCACGGAATGAGACTACGGTAGACCCTAGAAGCACCCATCCCATGCTAAGACTAGTCCTAAAACACTAAGGGGCCTAGTATATAAGACCTTAGGGGCTATGCGGATCGTATACGAGGTTTTTAGACTCCTTAAGTTCTTATAGTCGATGTTCTAAGGACTATATAGTAATTAATCGATTATCTTAGTATTCTCGTTAAGTTACTTATACTCTTATAATTCTATAAGAACTTCCCTTAACTACTATACTAAGGAAAAGACTTAGGGGTATAAGCGGCGTAGCTAAAACGCG